ATATTAATGCAGAACACTAAACTATCCGAATCAATCGCTTAACTTGATTGCATTAAAAAGAAAATTCACAAAATTAAGACTCATAATGAAAAATTGCAAAATAACATGAAATTATGTCCATTCCCGCCTGGAATGCAAATAATGGCTCAAAATCTCTATCCTATCAAACTCAGTATCCCTTTGGCTTCTTTGAACATTAAATAGACCATGTTAGAAGAATAGATTTTGTGGGACTTTGAAGAAGATTATTCAGAAGAATAATTATACAGAAATCTCTTTGCCATTATTGTTGATCTATTAGAAGAAAAGTACCCAAATAAAATTACTAAGCTGACTGCATTTGAAACACATAGTATAGCAATTTGTTAATCATAAATTAGAAATTATTGAGGATTGTTAAATTTAAGTAAAATAAGCCATTGAGGATCATCAGAAGTATAAACACATTCAAGATATCTTGGCATTTGAGTCATTCATAGATAAAAACGATTCGATGATTAATTTACAAATTACTACATCCAAAATCAAAGAGACGATTTAGTGGGATTTAGAAAATGCCTTTAATTAGTATTGATAATCATCCTATTAATTAGCATTGATGAATTCGTTCATGCTTATTGCTATGAAAATAAATTAGACAAAGACAATTTTGTTTTAATCGGAAATTAAATTAGGGAATAAATATAAAAGGCGTATGAGAAAAGATTTCGTATTGCATAAAAATTACTACTAGAAGATTAAACAGGTAGAAAATATTTCAATATCAAAAGAATTCAAATAGAAATTGATATCTTTCTTGGATTATCCCTCTTTTGAACCTTATCAACCAATCAGAGATCTTCCTTAGAACAATGAATTAAATACCTTTTTCAAAAAGAATATTGAATTTCTGCCACTTGAATTATAAATGCTTTATGGATAAAAACTACATCCTAAACAAATGTAAAAATTAATTTAAAAATAGACTTGAGTTAGGAGTAGATTAAGATGACACAAAAAAGTTTGAAAAAGAATTTAATTAAAAATCTAAATATCTTGAACAAACAATCTTAGCAGATATCATAAACAAGACTAAATAAAATTGATGTAAATATTAAATATTATTTTATAAATTGATAACTTTAATCATCGATTCTGTTTTCTTTTATAATTAGTAGTTTTATACTAATTGCTATAATTACCTATTATTTTAAGTTAACCTTAAAATTATGCCCTAAATATAGAGATTAAATATTATATAAATATGAAAATAAAGTTTAGTAACACTGTTAGTAATATATTAATTGCAATTATATTTTTTAGCCAGTTTTTTCATTTTAGCCATTTTCTTTATAACAATATATAAAATAAACCTTTGTATATTTAGTAGAGTGTTATTTTGCATTTTTTATTTAATAAATATGCCATTTTTATTGGAATTAGAGGTGATATGCAAATTTATAATTTAATAACAAACAGGTGCACTTTCTAATAGTTCTATATTTGATTTAATAGACTGTTAGATGAATATGAATGCATTAAGAAAGTATAATATTAAATATTGATTTTGTTTCAATTCCAAATTCATTAAATTTAAATTAATGTATTAAATATTAATATTCTTGGTTATAGGCTTTTCAAAGAAATTAGTTGAAGAAAAATTCACACTTATAGATTTAAAATATGAATACTTATTCTAATAAAATCATGGATATGTCATATAAGTAACAAAATTAAGCTATTAAGTTAATTAGTTTGAAATTATTCAGTTTCCACTAAACAAAAATTATTTCCCTACTTTTGAAATAGTTGATAAAAACATTTCAATATAAACTTCAAGTTATGAGTCTTATGCTTAAAAATAACATATTCGCAAATTGTGGTTAAGTTAAAGGGAAATAGATCAAAACCTAACTATCTCTATATATTCTAAAATGGAGAATGTTTACAAGAATATTACTGAAGCAGACACCAAAATGAGTTTCAAGTTAACTATTTATGATAATGTAAAATATAGAGGTTTGATAAGTATTAGATTGAGTAATAGAAAGAACCAACATGTAAATTCCCAGCTTATGGTTTGAACTGTGATCAATCTGTAAATTACATAGATGTAGATTTGCTGGTTCAAATTAACTTGAATAAATAGAGTTGGTTTTTTGCATATTATCAATTGTCAAATTTGGATTACATTGTAAGCTTAATTTTGAAATGAATAGTTGAAAATATCGAATTCCAATTCTTAGATGGGCATCTCACTTCTATCTGGTGTTTATGAAGCATTTATTTAATAGCCTAACTTTTTTCAAGGCTATTAATTAATAGATAGAAAAGAAAATGTAAATATTAATCTAAAGAACTACTTTTCAAATATAAAGGATTCGAATGAATTCATAATTTATATTGGAGTGTTTAATGAGAATATAGAAAGAGAACATAGTTTGATACTGGAATTAAAGTAATGTGCTTATTTTAAATTAGTCAAATAGAAATTAATGAATTTCCGTTGTGGGCAATATTAATCATATGTGCAGTTATTTTATCAGGTATAATAGTTTCAATTCTAATTTATTATTCATATAAAAAGCAATACAAAAAGATTACATACGTCAAGCCTGTGTTGGAAGTTGCACATTTGAACAAATTTATGCCAGCATAGAAAATGTTAGAAGAATATTTAACAAAGGAATGCTCTATTTGTTTGTTGTAATTTGAGAAGAAAGAGAAGTTTAGAATAACTCCTTGCAATCATATCTTTCATGATCAGTGCTTATAAGATTGGACTAAAAAGAATAGTTAATGTCCAATATGCAGATAAGGACTAAAAGAAGAAGAAATACAATAATTTTTTGCTAAAATTCACAGTAACAATAATGAATCTTAAAGTGAAATAAATAAGAAACCTTCTGTTTAATTCATCCCATTAACAAACTCAGATTTAACATATTAGACTGGAAACAAATCTGACAATTCCCCATCCAATAATTTATGCATGAGCAATTCTGGTAGGCAACTGAGTATCTAAATTATGCGTGATGAGATATTGGAATGAATTCACTTAATTGGTATGTTGATATTCAATTACATATTTAATATATATATTAATTGAGCATATATTCTGTATTTTAACGATTATTCTTTAAATATTTACTATATTTATATAAATTTATTAGATAAGAATATTAGTTAAAGACATTTCAAATGCCTCAGTAAGAGTATGTGTAATAATTATAAATATTCAGTTTAAATATCCAAGTTCTTAACATTCCTTATAATAAGTAATATATGATATAAAGTTAAAACATAATAATAAAAAGTAAGGAAATATCTACTTAGTTCTGCTGTGAGTTAGAAAAATGGATTTATTTTTCTTGTTGAATTAATTATTTATATATTAATGAATACTGAATAATTAGAATAAATAAGATTGAATGCTCTCTAATTACTTGATAAAGGTATCTTTATTATTATTCTTAAAAGGCAAAACTTTATATATGAGTGACTAAATATTTGAAACAAAAAAAGAAGGATATAGTTTAATGATATAAGGATTAGAAGAACTAATTAAATATGCAAAACTAGAGACTAAAAAAGAATCTAAGAGTTTGGTGAAATAACAGATCAAAATGAATTTAGAGATACTTGAAAAATTAAAAGTCTAATTGAACTCTTTAGAGAAAAAAAATAACATAGAATAGAATTAAAATAATAATTAAGAAAATTAAAATCAACAATTTAGTAAAATTTTTAGAAAACTTAGAGGATGCTTAGGCTTCCAAACCTGATTTATTCAATTCTATAAAAACAAATGTAAAATTGGAAGATATAATTGGTTTAGAACAGGCAAAGAAATATTTACAAGAGGCTGTCATAATACCATTAAAATTCCCAAAATTATTTTAAGGGATTCGTAATCCTTATAAAGGTATTCTATTATATGGAGTATTTATTAATTTCTAATCTTTAAGCCTCCAGGTACAGGTAAAACAATTTTAGCAAAAGCGTGTGCGACTGAATCTGAGTGCACTTTTTTATTTGTTTCATATTGTGACTTAATATCAAAATATGTAGGCGAATCCGAAAAGTTAATTAAATAATTATTTTCTTATGCAAGACAGAAAAAACCGTGTATCATATTTATAGATGCAATCGATTCAATATTTAGTGATCGAGAATGTGCTAGTGGTGAACTTAGAAGTGTAAAAACATAACTTTTAATTGAATTTTAAGATTTTAGTTATGATTAGATAATTGTGATTGGTGAAACTAATTTACCTTGGAATATAGATATGAGTGTTAGAAAAAGATTTGAAAGACGAATATATATCCCACTTCTAAATCATGATGAGAGATTAATTTTACTTTAAAATAAGCTAAAAGAAATACCTAATAATTTAAATTTGGATTAATTTAAATGTCTTGCAGAAAAATTAGAAGGATATTCTGGATCCGACATAATTAATTTTATTAAAGAGGCATAATCTGAATAGATAAGAGCAATTCAAAAAGCCACTCATTTTAAAAAGCAATTTACTTAAAATTAAACCAAATATATGGTTTGTTCCTTAAATGATCCAGAAGCTGAGGAGATGACATTAATGGACATTCCTTCAGGGCAATTATTGTTAAATGAAAATATTTCATATGTAAATCTTGATGCTTAAATATTTAGAGTGATTTTTTGGCTGTACTTCCAAACCTAAAAAGAGACATTACATAATAATAATTAATGGAGTATAAAAACTGGACCGATTAATTTGGATACTAAGGTTGACATTATAATATTCATCTTAATTATTCATTAATATTCTTCACATGCTTCTATTTATGTATAATTATCTTTTTATTTATTTGCAATCTAACAAGCCCACTTTACAATATTTCTTTCTATTTATTCATGAGCCTTTGAGTCAAACTTACCATCCACTGTTACCCATGGAACGTAGGTTAATTTAGGATCTAAATTTAATGTTTCTTCTCCATTAGTCCATAATAATTTTACTCCTTCAGTTCCTTTTGCACATTCCAAAACGCCTTCCCATAAATCTGGTAAACATTATCTGATTTCATTCTCGAAATCTTCTTGTTGTCGTTTCCTAGACTTTTGAATGCAAGTCAAAAAGTTTATTTACTCTTATTAAGATGCATTTAAAGCATCAAAACCACATGCTTAAATTTTATTGCCAAAGCATTCTAGATCACCATGTTAACACTGAAATACTATCTTACTGTCATTTTATAACACCTAGGAAGCCTTCCCATATGGAACTAGTCTTAATTCAACTAACTCTTCAAATTATGGTGTTTATAATGCCTTTAATAATGATGACTAAATGAATCTGGTTGTGTCAGGACAAAGTGATTCAACTAAAATGTATTATATTTGTATTACTATAAGCAGACACTTTTAATTTCTCGCATTAGCTAACCGAAGACAATAGAAGTATTAGAGCAACCAAAAATTTCATAATTTATGCCAATTTCCTATTTTTTGTATTAATAATTTTGAATTAAATATAAACAGTAGATTTTCTAGATAAATGTGATATCGTTTTTCTAAAATCATCACATGATGGATATTTATATGTGTATGAATTCCGAATTGATCTTATATTTATTTTCAATTATTATTTTGTGAGATACAAAATTATTTGGTTATTTTAATTTCAAAGAGAGAAAGAACAAAGTATAAAAATTAAAGATTATATCTCATAAATAGAACATATTAAATACAATCTTCATTATTCATCATTTATTAAATCTGATTATGAAACATTAACTACTTATCCATAAGCAATAGAGTGACTGCTTCTTAGTATAAATTGCTAATTTTCATAAACAGGTTGATAGGTTTCATCTAAAAATTGAAGTTTGACCAATGCACAATCTCCACTTTTGAGAAATTAAGTTTCTCCAATTATTTCTTATAAGTTTACTTGCAATGTAATATTAGAGAGTTCTAAGATTGGTTTAAATCCAATTGTTACAGTAGTTGGACCAGGAAGCATGCTAATATTTGCCCAGAATGACTTTACATATGGAATGTTGATCTTTGGGTCAGCTATTATTTTGATTTTAGAAAAGTCAATAATTTATTAAGCTATTGGCTATAATATTAGGCATATCAATTCCCCAGATCTTGCTTAATTAAGAGAAGTTCTGATATTCTAAATAGAAATCACTTTTGCACATTGTATCTACTTGTTTTCATCCAATCCAACAGAAACTATTTAATCCAACTTGACAGTTCCAGATTTTACTAATCCAAATGGGATTTCCCCTATAGTTTTGACATTGCAAGTATAAAATACATCCATCATAAATGGTTGTTCTGCAGATTTGATTTCAGAATGTAGATGATCCTGATTTTAAAAATGGAACAAAAATTATAATAGAAGTTCAATCCCATCCCGATTAATATTATTTACTTCAAAAAGTGGACAGATCATCCCTTTCTAATTGTCACATTTTTTGAGTCTAAGATTCATCAGATTAGCGCATTCTTTGGGATCCTTTGCTATAACCAATTTTCTATATAAAAAATTATTGCTGATTTAATTATGAATTTTAAATATTACTTTTTCCTTATCCTCCTTACTCTAAATTAAGTCACATTTGGTTAAGACAATAATAAAGGGTATCTTATACAATTGGCATATCAATAAACACTCTACAGTGATTCTCGTAATACCTTCATCAGCAGCTATCACAATTATTAAGAGATTAAACAAGCATTTATTGATCGCTGATAATGAATGCTTAAAATATTTGGTATCTCCGCATGTATCGATTAGGTATGAATATGAGTTTGATTATTAGAATACTTGACTTTAATATTGTCCTTTGTTTGTTGGTAATTCATTTGATAAAATCTACTTACCCTCTTTATCAAATCCAATCAGCTCAAACACAACAGATTCTGTTTGCCCTCCCTTTTTAACTTCATGAGAATAATTAACCATAATGTTTCTTATTGATCCTTTTCCATCATCACTCATTCCCTTTGTTAGCACTCCCAATAAAGTCGTTTTACCGCATCTTGTACTTCCTACCAAAGCTATTCTAGTGAATGGCTTTTGTTAAATTTCATCTATTTATTACATACTATAAAATTATATGTTAATATAAAAATTTAAAATATAATTTTCTTTTTCGTAATTTAATGCTATATTCTAGATACTAAACTAAATTGTCATAAGAATATTAAAATAAGTATTTTTTAAGTTCCTTACTATAATGAAAAAGTCATAATTATAAATTTAATTTACATAGATAGTGAATAGATATAAACAATAACTAATAAAATCAAAATTTACTTTAATTTATTATATAATTCTTGAATAAAAGTTTCAGATTTGCGAATTCAAATTATAATTTAATTTTATTTTCTTAAAAAGCAATAGGTTGTTGATTTTAAGTTATGGATTTTCTAAAGAACATCTATATATAAAGAGTTTAACTAATTTATTTTTAGTTAATTATAAATTTTTAATTTTACAAACTATGCAATCAACTGCATTTTTTAAATTAAGAGAAAACTTTTTAATTGAAATCCATATTCTTAAAATGATAAGATGATCAATATCGTTATTGCGGTAGTGATTGACATTTAATTAGATACTTAATTCAAAAGTACTCTTTCTAAATAGTAATAAACTATCTTACCAATATAGGAAGATCAGAGCTTTTTGGATTAGTCTTTGCTTTCTTGATTATTTTAATTCTTCATTATAAATGAGTTTATTTTGTTAATAAATGTCATAATATATTTATAGAATTATAAATGAAAATTCTCTTCTTAATCTCACTTTGGATTAGAATAACTTTTTATTTAATTAAAGTAGATATTCTTATCTAATGAGTATATATTGTTTATAGAGAAATATTCAATTAAAACTTAAATTTTCGATTGCATTCATTTTTGAGTTTAACCTTCCTGTTTTATTAACAATTTTGATTATTATAATATTTGTTAAATAATCCTCACATTATCTTATCTTATAAATACTCACAAAAACAAAAGTGTCTTTGATAATAAAAAATTTGAGTATTCATTTTTGATTATAATATATTCTAAATTTCATTCTTATTATGAATAATTCTAATTTACTTTTTTATTTAAAAAAATCATTTTATAGTTCTGAGTAGATTAGGAATGTTAATTGAATATTACATCGTTAAACTAATATCAACAGTATGTTTTTAGAATGAATTGAGAATCAAATAAAACTTGAGAGTTAGTTAATTATGAATACAAAGAAAACATAAAAGAAATTTAAACATCAATTGGATATCATTATCTAAGATTACAATCTATTATTTTGGAAAGACATCCTAAAGCGACCATTATTATTATTTATGTTTAAAAATTTACACTTGCTAAAAAAACAAGAAACCTTACTTGAAAAAATACTATATATAAATTCTATGCTCCCCAGTAATATTATCGTTTAGAGAAAGTTACAATACAATTTTAATAGAAGGATAATCTTTTACTAAAAAACAATTTAAAGATTTTATTTACGATTATTAATACTAAGCATTTGAAAATATCTAATTTTTCAATTAAAATACATTTATTTGTAATAAACACTACGGCAATTATATATTAAATAATAATTTGCTAATATGAAGGTGTCTGATACTCACATATATTATTGTTATCTATAATTCTCAAACTAAGGATAATTTTCATAATAGAAATTTACTATTTATGATACATACTTGTCTATATAGGTAAAATAAATTATAATATTCTAAGATTGGAGAAGCTAATGAATTAAAGGTTGAATATTGTTCACAAGGTGCTGTTTTTGAGTGGAAACTAGAGTATTAATTTGATTTTATCTTAGTGATGGCAATTAATGTGAAGTAATTGTTATTACTGAAAATTATTCATATACATATAGAGGATCAAAGTAAACAATTTAATGTCTAAAATAATATCTTGATGGAAAGGTATTTTATGGTAATTTCATGTCCCAATACAAAGAAATTTAAATATTAAAAAAAACTAAATAAGGAGAAGTAATGTTTAACTTAATGTTTAGATTATCAAGTATTATAGTAAGCATTAGAACATAGAGGTTATTGCCAAGAGATTTCATTTTACTCAAAATCTAGAAAGACATTCCAAGGTATGTTTTTTATTTAATCAAGTCACTTGTTTTGAATGAATTAAGAATATGTTAATACTTAAGTTAATTCAACTAAGAATCTATTTTAAAATTAAGGGAGTTTTATCAAGAAAAAGATAAGATTATACTCATTTTTGATTATTGTGAAGGTGGTACATTGTATTCCTTTATGGCTTAAAAGAATTTCTGCCCATCTTTTGTTGATATCCGAAAAATCATGAAGAAATTGCTATTTGCAATAAAGTTTCTTCATAAACACAATATAATGCATCGAGATATTAAAATGGATAATATTATGTTATTAGAAAATAACAATACGAATTCAATTTAAGTTATTGATTTTGGATTCTCAACATTTATCGATGATAAACCATATATTATAGAAAGATGTGGAACTCCAGGTTATATTGCTCCAGAGCTCTATTCTGAAGGCCCTTTTGATGAATTAATAGACATATATAGTCTTGCTCAGATATTTTTTACATTATTGACAGGAAGAAAGTTCGCTTTTGAATCTCATTCATTTAAGACATTTGCTCAACTTCATCAAAAATAATAAATCATTATAAGAGAATCAACAAAGAATGAAATCATAGTTGATTTATTTTTAAAAATGACGGCTTCACCAGAAAAAAGGTTTAATTCAACATAATGTCTTAATCATTAATATTTTGAGAAGACTTCTAAAATTAAACAGTAGTAATTATATATATCAACTTTAGGTTAACATGTCCTAAGTTTCCTTTATTAAAAACTCCATTCTAATTGGTTAAATAGAAAGAACAGTAACATTTAAAAGACCATCAAGATAAATTCATTAATTAAAAATGAAACTTATTTGTACTAAACTTCCAATGTATTTCTATATTCTTCTCTTCAACATCCTTATAATATTATTTCTCAAGAATATATAAATAATATTAACATAAAATAGTTTAAAATATGACCACTTAACAAAAAAGGAGATTTAAACTAGACAATGAAAAAAGTGATATATTCATACACATTTAAGGCAGAATAATTAATTTTTGAGAAACACAAAATTTTAATTATTTTAATTGAGAAAGTGTAATATTTTGAATTAAATTCAACTTTTGTTAACACTTTAGTCATTATTATATAATTTATTTTATAAATCAGGCGTCTAAGTCATCATGGTTAATTAAGAAAGCCATGCAATTTTTTCATCATAAATAAATTAATTTAATTAATTAATATAACTTGGTAATTTTTGTTTTCTTATATCAAAAAAGTTCTAAAATAAATTATGGGTATTTCTAAAGAATAAACTTCATCAATCTAATTTTTATGTTCTTTGACTTATAAGATTCTATTATAAAATTATTAAACCATTATATATGAACTCAAGCATAAGTTAAATGATTCAGCTATGTTACAATTGTTTAATTTTTGAATTGGACTGCTAAAAAATTTTGATTAAAAATCTAATAATTTTGAGATTTTAATTTTTTTCCCATCCATTTATTTTATTTTTCGTTTGCTCTTGATTAAAGTTTAATTTGATTTTTGTTTAAATTTGAAATAGTCAGTAATACATCATTGTTTTTTTTTGCAATTATACAAATATTAACGTATAGATATCAAGTTAATGGGATTGATGTTTGTTTTTTTGAAATTCTGCTAATGATTTTAGATATCAATCATAACTCCTGATAAATTATTTATATTATTTTAATAAATTTTGATAAATATTAACTTTTAATTTATGTCTATTTTATATGGTTAATTAATTAATACCTAATTAAACATCATATTTCTAAATAAATTTTAAATTAAATCAGTATTAATAAATTACATGAAAAAATATTCTTACAATTGATTTTTCAATCCTGACTCAATTTTTGAGGCCATTCCAACATATCACTAACATACATAACATCATAATTGATTAAATAAAATTCTCTATGTTAAATAACTGTGTAAAACTAATGAAAAATGTTTAAATAATAAGAGGTACTATAAAATTCTTATTTACTCAAGATTTAAAAATATATTTCTTAAAAGAAATACTCAAGAAAGAAAGAATTTGGATTAAAAATTAAACTAATTACAAAAAAGTAATATTTAAGTGGATCAATAAAGCAATCAATTTTCTTATATGAAAATGGGAACAGGAGTTTTTATCAATTCATGTTTATTGCTCCACCAATCTACTGGTTAAACAAAACCTAATTGTAAAAATCCACAATCAGTAAAAATTTAAGATTAATATATTGAAATTGTTAGGTTTTTTTAAGTAAGAGCTACAACAAAATTCTTAATGGTTGAACAAATGAGTATAAGAAATGAAATTATCATTGTCTAATCAAAATAATTATTGTATAATAATGCTATTCACATTATAGGTCAATATTATAATTTTGAAATAGGAGCTTGAGCTTTCTCTCAATTAGTATATTCTAAACTCAATTTTAGTAACCAACTTAAAATATGTATTAACCTATATTAATAAATAATTGATATTAGCTATCAATAATTAACAAATATTATTGCCATTAAAAAAGTAATTAAAATTCAAAAGCTTGTTATATTATTAAGTTTAGAATCAAATAATTCAAAATCAAAAGAATCGACCAATAAAGTTTTGACTCGAAAAAACCCAATTCAATTCAAATATGGAAAAAATGAATGTTTGATTGAAGATTTAAAGGATGAATAATTCAATAATTCAGCAATATGGACTTACTAAAGTTAGATATTATCTATTCAATGGTAGTTTCTGCGCTACTAAATATTTTATTATCCATATTACGTAATTTGTAAAATCTTTAATTGAACTAAGTGGAATTTAAATTTTGTAAATACTTTTAATAATTAATTATTAGAATTCTTCAAAATGAAAAATGCTATGAAAATTGATTAATGTTGAGGTAGTGTGTTTTGATTTTAGTACATGAAAAAAAACAAACAAAAAATCATTTAATAGTGATTGAAATAAAGATTTCTTAGAATTCTTAATAACATAATTCCCACTTTAAATTAATTATATATATCTACAATTAAGATATTAATATTTCAACATTAAATAATGAAAAGAAGAGAATCAATTGCATTTTTCGATTCTGGGTTCTAAAACTCGATACTTAAGAAAACTGAAAGAAAAAAATCGAATACGAATTCTAAACTACACGAATTGAAGGGAGAGTAGTTTTCCTAAAGCCCATTACAAGCTACATTAAAGTATTATTTATCCTTAAGCCTAGTACAATACCAGTTGACTAATTTGAATTATAGTATTTGGCAAGGAGTAATAAGTAATCTAAATAAAATTCATCTGGGGTTTCATTTTTTAATTTAACAACGCAAACCTAACTTATATAAACAACAGCTCAAGTATTTCACGAAAAATATGAAATAATCAAGATTTTAAAAGAAAACAAATAATGTCAAGTAACTTGTTTAAATTAATATTAGATTGTATAATGCAGAAATATATTCAATAAAGAATATGTGGTGGCTAAAATATGCTTATAGTCTCAGAATGTAAAAATATTTTAGGTATTTTAGTCGGAAATCAATAGTGAAATTAAAGTGAACAAAACCTTAAAAAAATATCCACATACAAAATTAATGAAATTGTTGGAAATAATTACTGAGAAGGATACTTCAATATTTATATATGAGTATATGGCTGGAGGTACTCTATATGAATTCATGCAACAAAAGCATCTCAAATTAGACGATTCAGAAATTAAAACGATATTCAAACAACTGTTAAAGGCTCTAAAGCATTTACACTCACTTAATATTTTGCATAGAGACATCAAATTAGATAATATTATGTTTAAAACCAAAGGAGACATAAAATCATTAAAACTAATAGACTTTGGCTTTGCAACATTTATCTCAGACAATAAGAATATGGAATTCAGGTGCGGTACTCCTGGCTATGTAGCTCCAGAAATATATTAATAATCAGTTCCTTATAATGAATTATGTGACATTTATAGTTTAGGGGCTGTCATACACATCTTGGCTACCGGAAAACGCATTTATTCATCAAAATTGGCCCCCAAAGAAATTTGTGAACTTAATAAAAAAAATCAATACGTCATAAGTGATAATCTGAAATGTCCTTTGTTGTATGATATTATAATTCAAATGCTGAAAGATGCAGGCCAAAGACCTTCCGTTGAAAAATGTTTGATCCACCCCTATTTTACTAAATTATCTGAAATGAAGAATTCTCATCATGACAGCATTAATTAATAGTAATAATACATTATATTTCTTAAGAATATATGAACTTGCACTACCTAAATTTAAAAACCCTTTTAAATCTTTCTGAAGATGTAAATGATTAAATTTATCAACTATTCTTATATAATATAATTAATATAAATAATACAAAAATAGTAATCACATAAATTTTGAGTTTCTAATGTCAAAATAGTTGTAATTTATGGTTTATTAAATTTATTATTGCTATTATTTTGCTGGATCAACTGCACTTGATGTTTTTTTGTGTTGTTGGTAATTCTAAACTTAGCAGCATTTCTATAATAATTTCTACACTTGAGCCACACTATTGTTAATATTACCTAAATAGGATTAAGTTTAGTACTTTGGGGGATAAATTTTGGTTTAGGAACCTCTGTTTTTTGTCTTTGGTATGGACTTGTTGGGTTAATATTAATGGGTGACTTCTCAAATGATTTACTTCTTTATGCCTGAGTTATCATGATGGGATCTTTAGGCCTTAACATTTCTTTTTATTAAGAGAAATTCTATGCTGTAGTGTAATTTGATAACTAATTTATTTGAACCGGTCTAACATAACTAACTGAAGTTGATGGCTTATTTTCATTCTTATTTTGAGTGCTGAAACTTGCATTATTCACACGTCTATCATATGGTTCTCCATGAAAAGAATAAGACTTTGTTACATTTGTGATAAGATTTTCTGTTTTTTTCTTTATTTCTGGACTTTTATTAATATCATTATGAGGTCTATTCACAATATTGGTATAAGTCTTTCTCAACCCTTAATTGTAAGTTTAATTCTAATTTGAATTATATTTTTGTTAAACCTAATGGGTACTAATATTTTAAGGATTAGATGGCATTGTTGGTTTCAAGGTAGGAGAATAATCAGACTTCTTTTAAGAAGTATAGATATTTGCAGCTTCAGGTTTATAAAAGGAATCTAGTTTCTTAGGCTTATCCACAGGTTGAGAGGCTTAATGATTAGAAGCATGGTGTTTCTACTTTGACTCAAAATTATTCATATAAGTAGCCAAACTTTGTGGTGTAGATACATATTATTTGGCTATGTTTTTATCAAATGTATTCTATTCAATTTCTTATAGAATCTATTCACAATTTAAAGTTATTTTATCTCTATAGTCTTTGATAGTGAGCTTTTTATTCTCACTAAAAGGTATTCTGATTATTGATTTCAAGGTTTTTTCATCTTCAGTATTCGAAAATTCCTTCATTAATTAATGTTTCAATGCTTCATCAATTGTCATTCTTTTTTAGGGATTCCAATTTAGACATTGTCTAATGAAATCAATGAAGTCTGGAGATGCATTAGGGAAGAATCCTGCGTAACTTTTTCTCTTTTACATTTAGATGCCATCTAAAACCTATAAAGCAAGGGGTGCATTAATTGTTTCTAGATCTTCAATTTTTGGTCTTCCTATTAGTTCAATTATTTTTTCTATTTAGTTCAAAGTTGATGATCCTGAAAAGATGGCTTTGCCCAATAACATTTCGCCAAGAATACAACCAACACTCCACATATCAACCGACTTTGAGTAACCATGAGATCCTAACAAGATTTCTGGGGCTCTGTACCATCTTGTAGCAACATATTCTGTCATTACTGGTGTTTCTAATATGATTATAGAATGCGAATATATACCATTTTCATTTTCAGATTAAGCAATACTCCGAGCCAATCCAAAATCAGCTACTTTTACTTTGCAATCGGAATCAATCAACAAATTGGAAGGTTTCAAGTCTCTATGAATCAATTCTCCTGAATGTATAAATTTTAAGCATTTTAACAACTAATATATTATATATTGCATATGCAAAGGGCTTAACAAACCTGCCCTAATAACTTTGTGTAAATCAGTTTCCATATATTCAAACACCATATACAAATCTTTCTAGTTTTCAGCCTTAATAACTTTTAATAATTTAACAATATTTTCATGATCTGTTAATTATTATAAAAAACAAACTTCTCTGAATGTTCGTTAAGCATCAGTTTAATTCTAGAAAGCATCAAAAACCTATTAGAAATATTAGTAGTTACAACCTTTTTTAATGCCACTTATTGTTTCGTTTGTTTATCTACAGCCTTCCAAACTATTCCATAAGCTCCTTTACCTTTGAAATCTTAAATTTCAAATTATTTGAGGATGTGTTCTTCTACTTGGCTATGATGATCGTTTTGGTTAGACATTTATTGATATTTTTTATTTTTATTTTTTATTATTTTTCGAAGCAGTAATTATTGTAAATTACTTTGTTTCAAAGAATACTTAAAAATCCGTAATTTAAATCAATTCATTTGAAATTTATGGTGAAATCGATAAATATGATGATAAATGGATAAGTTTGATTTGTAACTACAGAAACTGAATTATTTAATAATTTTTGGATCTTAATAAGGAAATGTAAATTAAATTAGCTATTTGTTCAAATATGATTTTAAATTTGTTATTTAAATTACAACAAATGAGCATTTAATAATCCGTATTATGAGCAAGAGTCTACAAAGATTTCAGTATTGCATGCTTTAAATAAAACTGATGAATTTAATGATATAATATTATTATTAGAATGATTTTAATTTTAGAAGAATGTGATAATCATTTCTTATCTTGCATTAGATACTCTGTACTTGCATTTTTGTCTCTCATTATCGCAGTAGTCTCAATAAATTGGTCATTCCACTACTACAAAGCAAATGGATCAATACGATATGAGATAGCCCCCATGATTTGCTGCTGTTTACAAGCTATCATCCATTTGATTTAATACACTATTTACAACTCGAATAGGATGATCATTTCAGCAAGCTTATTACAACTCGTTACCTTCATTCTTGTTTCACAGAGTTTAGCCAACCTTAGATATCGGTTTAAATATGCAGATGACTGTAATTATTCAATTTTATCTATATAGTGGAAAAAAGAAAAAATCGATATTTAAGATTAATGGTCAGCAAGGGAGCCTTCTACTTGATAGTATTTTCATTGCAGTTTTTCTTCTTCTTCAAAATCGACGACTCTTCTTGCAATAAGTACGATTACCATTGTTAAAATAGTTATTTTTATTACAGTCTCGATTTATTGGAAGTGCAAATACTGATAATCACAATATTCACGCAAATCCATGGGCAATCACTGATCTACTACATACGAAGGAAAGAAGAATCCTTAAACCAAAATCAAGACCAATACTCCAAAATCCTTGACAGCTGTTCAATGATTAAAAACACATTAACCATGAAACTACAATAGATTAAATTAGTTATTTGGGCCTAAACCATTACAATGATAACATTCATTGTGCTCATATTGTTAATGTACAACACCAACAGAGAGTTATTTTGCTTTTAATAAAGCAAAGAATAAACTTATTCTGTTTTTTAAATCGGCATTCAAATATTTTTTACAGCAGTTCAACAATTTCCCTGTTTTTATATACCTTACGCATTTTATTACGCAGAAAAAACGAGATCGGTATCAAAAGCAACAGTTATCGATTTCAATATTCAATACGATGAATCTACTACGGAACAACAGATCTAAAGAAGTAGAAAACCAAGTTCATTTGAAGACAATTTTGTTAATATGATTCACAGTGCATAATAAAATGATTGATTTGTATGTTTATTAGTAACTTATTTAATGTTGACTATTTTTGCTTAATTGAAAACCAATTATGATTTTAACCTTCCCTACTAGTCTAACAGAAAAATTTATCAAGTTTTATGAACTATATTCATTATTATATAGAGCAAGACTATTTTTTAAATACCAAATTTAGATTCACTATTTTTGTTCTTAGATTAATTATATAGAACAAGTAGAAACTCTATTAATCTGTTTTAATAATCTATTTTTATCATTTACACTCCACTTTTTTAAATCAATTGCTTGATATAAAATCAATTTTTTGGGTTAAACACTATAGAATCATGAAATCTAAAAATTTGTAGAATTATATTTTATTTATAAATTAAAATCTTAAACTCTTTATTTTCATCAGTCATATCCAATAGTTTTTTGAAAACTAAAATGGAACCTCATTAGTTGAATAATATTTTGCTTATTTAACGATCTTAGGAATCTACAGTTTAAAAATAATAATTCTATATCATAAACATTTCCTTAATTTAAAATTTTTTAATTAATAATTATTTACAAAATAAATTTTTATGTTCAAAATCTCAAACAATAATAAATTCATAATCACTTCAAATCAACAAACAAAGTTTTTCTTTTAAATTATTCGAATTAAATCTAGCTAAAATAAAATAGACATAAAATGATGTGTATATATGAAAATGATGAAGAACTAAAGGAACATAAGAATTTAATTGATTTTATTAATATAATCTAAGATTGATTAAAATTCTAACATAATTAAAGGTATAAAGTGTCAAATGTGAATATTACTATCTAAAATCTAAGAGATAATTTATAGTAATCCATCCTCAACTCTATATGATTTATTTAACTTTAATAAAGAGTTCTGTAAACCTAATTAAGGTAATTAAGATTTAGGTGTAAGATAATTCAAATTATTTTAAAAGGGTTAGAATTAATAATTATATAAGTTTAATTTTAATTATAATAGTTAACTAAACCAACTCTCATTAATCCATACTATAATCAACAAATTATTTCGTTTGCAGTCTTTAAATGGTCTTTCTTTTATATAGTGATATTTTCATTTAGTCGTCTCTTTCCCTGTAAGTAGATTAAAATATTGAGAGTAAAGGATTATTTTCAAAATATACTGTGTCCAGTTATCTCATTTCAATATCCAGGTTTAGATCCTCGGTTTCTGATTTAGATCGTCCAATTTATATAAACAATAAACCGATACTGTACAAAATCATACATATTACAGATAATGATCCTGGTAAAGATTCCTAATAAAAATATGATTTTCTATACTTGCCCCAGAAAGTATGAGAAAATGCTCCCTATAAGTGGTTAAAAAAAGTTAGCAGAGTTAAATGTTAATGGATCGACAAATAATTGCACATATGATTATAATTGATTCATCAAAACACCAGTGAACAAGGCATTCAGGAAGATTTGAGTAAAAAGAACGGGTTCCAAGAATTCAAAGAAGTTGTGCTGATTATCAAATGTTAATGTCATCACTATCAACATAACAGTACTCAAAGCCCTAATAATAGCGAATAATGTAAAAGTTGGACAACTAGTTATCAATTTAGAATAATATTTTGCACTAACTCTATTATAATAAATACTAATATAAAGTAGAAACTCCACCTCCAAAAAGCGCAGTTAAATCTCCATATATGATTTTATCTAAAATTGAAACATCTTGTTTAGAATAAAATGTGTAGCTATGGTTTGTGAAAATTACTACCAATAGCACTAAGGCAACTCCAAATCCAAAATATTCCAGAATGTGGCAATGCTACTTTGCGATGATTTTGAATCCACAATAAAATAATAGGGAACTATTATAAAACATAAGAGCATATGAGACATGAGTATGTGTGACAGATATTGATAAGGACACTGCAAAAATCTACAATTCATATTATATATTAGTACTGCTTGGGCTACAGAGGCCATTAGTAAATTAAATTCTTAATCCTTAAATGAAATGCTATAATTTTTTTTGTTTTTTAACTCATAGATACTGATTGGAAGGTAAATTAAAGCAGTAAATCCTTATCTCCAAGTTGCTCTAATGATAGAGCTTTTGTGTAATGTCAAATACAAGGGACCTCTTAATGAGGATAGGATTAGCTGCAAGAATAGTATTCCATATATTCTACATAAAAAGGTTTAGTCCCTATTTGTTAAATGTCTTTAATTTACTAATTTTTGTAGGTCTACTCTAATTCTTCCACCTCTCTAGCAACTGCAGAAGATATTATTGGTTAAGGATTAAACCCTTTGTTTTTTGATGTATATTGTAAAATATTTTGATTATGAACTTATTGATTATTTACATCTTCAATCAGGCTTAATAAAGAAGAAGCTTTATGGATGGACGCAGAATGAAATGACTTGTCATTATGATCATTAATTTTCATTAATTTTATAATCGTGATTAATTATGCGATATAAATATAATTGAATTAATTCTATAATTGTGATTTCTATGTAGGGTAGAAGTGATTTATATTTTGTGTATGATTAATAAATCAGAAATAAATAAATAGACTATTTTGCTATTAAACCATTAAATAGAACATTATTAGAATCCTTGCATATTCATTCAATGATCTATAATTATCACTATCTCATTTATAAAGTAAGTATTAGAATGCCTTAAAATATAATAAGTTATCTAACTGATGATGAGAGAATAATTGCACTCGAAATCTTATCTTATTTTCCTATTGAGAAAAGTTCTTCAATTTTGTTCTGTTAAAATATCTATACGTCTTTATATAATTTAAATTATATGTTCAAAATATAATAATTGTTTGAGGAGAACGGGATTCCTTTTGAAACAAAATTAGATCCTAGAAACTATAGAAAAATCTTGGATAAACAATTCACTCAATTAATATAATAGTAAGAAAGTGAATAAGTATGAGATTGAAATAAAAATTATTAGATTAATTTAGAAGAGGTTCTCCAAGAATAGATTTAGTTAAAATAATAATTAGCTGAATTAATTAGAAAAGTACATTCAAGTGGGAAACCAAGAAAAAAGAATGCAAATAAAATAAAATAAAGGAAATATGAAATTAAGACATGTGAAGCTTAAATCGAATAAATTGAATAATAATTGAGAGACAGATAACACTACCAGCAGGCTACTTAAGAGGAAGTGGAATTGTTGGGTAATAAAATTGCAGAAATCAAGGAAGAAGCAAGTATACAATTTATTCAAATTTTGTAAAGATGAAAGTAGAGAAGAATTATAAAGAGCAGCAGCCACAGTCTAAGAATTATCATAATCCTACTAAAAGTTAGTTAATTAAAGCAATCAAATAAGAAATATATATTTGAATTTATAGTAGGAGATTAAGGCTAGTCAACAAAAGTAGAATTAGTTACAGGCTGCGAGTTTGCATTACGAATAAGAATTTGAAAAATTGTGTAAGGAATAATAAAGACTTGATCCTAAGTTATTGTAAAAATAATAGAAATTAGAGGAACTAGAACAACTAAAAAATAAGTTAGACATGGAACTATCTTAGAAAAATAATGAATTACAATAGTCAAGAATCTAATTAAAAGAGTTTGAAGATGAATTTAATAAGACCAAAAGTTATGATAAATTAATCAAATAAGAAGTCAAAGCTTAGGAATCATTGTAAATGGAGCGAAAGTTGCTTTTGGATGAATTTTAGAGAATTTGTTCTATTAGTGGAATTGATTAACTAGCATAATAATCGGATGAAGGACTTATGAATGAGTTAGATTAGAAAATCTAATAAAATTAAGATACAATTGAATCTTAAGAGAAAATGCTTGATGGATTATAGAGTGAAATTAAGTAAGATTGATTCTCGAATATATTAGTTTACTAATGGAAAAAGAGGAAACATTTACTATCAGAAGAAATGAACTTCTAAATAGATATCATGGACTAGAAAAGTAGATGGATGATTTGGCTAAAAAGTATGCATAGTTTGATAAATGATTATAATTACATCAATATTCAGATTGTATTTTTGATATTAAATATAGAAACTTAATTCTTATAGATTTACGAATTTGATCAAATATTATAATTATAATATAATGATTTCCTAATCAGAAGTAGAATCAATCAATAGGTATTTGTTGGAAGCAACTGGGACATTAGACAATATATAGAGGACGTTCATTAAGAAGTTTGAATCAGAACCTAATCCATATCCTTATTTTTATTAAGGATTATGTGATAATGTAAGAATCTAAATAAAAATAGATATTCACAAAAGGATTAAGACTGCTCACTATCTATTTGCTGTACAATTCGGAATTGAAATCATGTCTATAAGACATTTACAACTTTACATTAAACGATTTTGAGAGAAAGTTTATTTAAGACCCTCAAATTGTATACGATTTTATTAAGACATTTAAGATAGTATGCTGGCATTACAATGAAGACCTTGCTTGAAGAATAAGATAAATTTACATCTAATGATAGGCCAATCTCCAAAGACTATTCATAAAGTTAAATTGCTCAGAATAAAATGAGAAATTGTATTTCTTTAAATAATAATAATCCACCCTAGTAAATATTTCTCTAATATTTAGAAAATTAAGACAAAACTCTAATAATGATATCATACAATAACAAAATGGATTTGAAATTGAGTATCTTCGACCTATTCCAAATGTGGTCTCAAATAGATTTGATTGGATTGATTTAAATGATATGTCTTATGCGATTTGGGATTATTCATTGCAAATAAACTCTGATAAATTGAGTCAAATTAAAGAAATAATCTAGAAGGCACATAATGAATAGATCTCAGAATATGAATTGCAAGTAACAAAATTTTAAATTCTAGTTATTTTAAGAATATCTAAAGAAAGACAATTACAATTTTTTGAAGAATAACGGTTTGATTAATTTCAATCTAGGGGAAATAATTGAGAAAAACTTAAATTTGGCATTTTTTTTGTTTTCTAAATACTTTCCTAATCCAGAATTTCTAGAGTATTCATTTAAAATTATTATAGACTAATGGATAACTTAGTTTAAATTGATGTAACTCCTAATGGTTTAGAAATGATGTGCATGATCGTTTAATAATTTCATATCCCCTAGGAGTATTTAAATTATTATATTAACTACTGTATTCAATTTTGCTAGAACATCAAAGTATTATCTATTTATTAATATATAGGAAAAAGGCTAACAAGTGAGAATGATTAAGTATTTTACCATATTTCTGAAGCATTTGATTAACAAGAAACTCTATAAGACCTCAGACTTAGTCACAGAAGTAATTTAATTGTGCTTATCATATAGCTTTAAGCATTTTCAATAGAATTTTCAAATATAGGGGAAACTTCAAGTCTGTTCAAATTAATAAAGAGTGATTTATCATTATGAAGTAGAAGAATTAATTTGCTTCTATTTATTAGAAAAAACTAAATAATAATAATAGAAATAGTATACTTAATTTTCCATTTAAGTTCTTCATTATTAATTAGACATAATATATTTAATATTAAGTTCTATTTTGAATTAATTTAATTATATAACAGTTAAAATTAAATGAGCTACTCATAAGAGTTCTCACCATTGTCAATGAAGGAGGAGATGTTTTTTAAAAATGAAACTGAATCCACTTCCTTAGAGTCATAGTTACAAATTGCAAACGAAAAAGTTAATTAACTAATGCAATATTAGCAATAATTAAGGTATATTTTAAATCTCTATCTGAGTGAAGAACTAGAGCACTTGCACTATAAATATAGTGAGGCTTAGTAGGAGAATGAAATCCTCAGTAGCCAACTCAGGTAAGGCCCTGATGAAATGAAGTTTCTCAACTGCGTACTGGATATGGTGAGAGTTTGTCACCCATCTGATAAATAAATAACACTTAAATATGCATGGAAATGGTTAAAATATGTTGTTGATGATTATATTGAATTACGGAAGCGGAACAAGAGTGCAAACTCATAGTGTGAAGTCTTCAATAATCCGAAAAAGAATTCTATAGTTGTAGGAGATTTGCTACGGAAAAATTTATAAGTAACAGAAAGTTAATACTTAAAGCATTCTAAATACAACAACTGATAGTTATATATATTATAATAAAGTTTTTGGTTAAAAATAATTTAATGCATTTAGATTAAAATTTATTTAGTGTTTCCAAATTTATCTTTTTTGAATATCTTATTGTATTTTAGTATCATAATGTATTCTCATTTTCCTTATCATTCAAGTATTATAACTGAGCAGTTGCTTCATGTATTGAATTAATTTATACAAATGTCTAGAAAATATAGAATTATGCCATGGATTAGATATAATTTAGTATTTTGGAATTAAAAGAATTTAGGAAATTTAAACAAATTAATTATGAATCTTCAAATAGAGTGCTAGGGTCTTAAATTCAACTTCGTTGGAGTTTAATCTTTAGAAGAATTGAAATCTAGACTTCATTAAGCTGAGCCATCATTTGTGTTATAGTCATTAACTTATAGAGATGAGGATGATGATATTATCACTTTATCAGATGAAAATGATTTTAATTGTCTCCTTACAAAATCTTTTTAAATTGTCCAAGCTGATGGGTAATTTAATTATTAATGTACCTTGAATGATGTCAAACAAATAGAAAAAGAAATAGAATCCATTAAGTAATAATTTGAGATCTAAAAAAAAATTAATAGCATTAACAATAAAATTCAGTTTAGGTGTGTTATCTAAGAATAAATGATGAAATTTCATATTTGTTAATTTGTGGCAATAGAAGAATAAGAATTTACTTATGATGAAGAAAACTTGGAGTAATTCATGAATAAAATTGAATTATTGCAACGAAGCTTATGTGAATAATTCTTTGAATCTTATTAATCAATGAGACTTAACAAACTGATTGAATTAAAAGAAAATCAAATAAGGGGTAAAGATAATCTTCTTGAATTATCTAAATAATTAAATTAGTTAGAACAAATTAAAACATAATAATTATCTTACCTAAATGTAAAAGGAAATTATAATACTTCAACTTAAGGGGATACAAAAAGTGAATTATAGAATTTGTGATTATTTTAATTTAATGTATATTGTTATATCAATGATTTCTAAGAATATAATTATGTAGTTAATATCTAATGATTACAGAATAGGAATTAATAATTGGATACTATGTGTAATTAAAAATACTTGATTTAATAAGAAGAAATTTGAACATAAATAAATTATTTTATATTTTATTTAATTTTCAATGCTAAAGAAGCTAAAGTTAGAAATCAAGGATGTTACTGAAAAATTTCGGTCTAATAGGAAATATACAAGCCTTGAAAGAGTAAAGGAAGTGGAGAAAATTGTGCTGACAGAAATCCATAATAAAGATTTAGAATAAAAGGAACTCTTATTGCATTTAGCTTTAGAGATTGGCCATCCCTTAAAAGTCAAATCTATAGAGTTAAAAGAGGAGTTAGAAAAATTTTTGTAATTGGTGTTAATCGAACTAATCAATTGTAAGGAAAATTTGAATAAAGATGCCAGCGAATATTACTAATGTTTAGAAGCCATAAATGATAAATTATATACAATAGTTGCATACAAACTTAGATAATTAATGAAATATGAATAATTCAAATTTAGAATTCCTAGATTTGGCAATACTTAGAAGTTGCTTAAAAAAAAAATTAATTAATTGTTAGCTTGTGATATTAATCATTCATTTTTGCAAGAAAAGAGAGATGCTGAATATGTTGAATAAATACGCAAGTAATACTAAGAGAAGAAGACAATAAGAAATCTTACATATGGTGCTATATTTGTTTATTTTGGAATATTATTTAGATAGAAAAAGTGGTTTTAATCAATAAATAAACATTATAGATATGCATTATTTGGTTTTGTTGGCGCTGTGTTATTTTATCAATTATAATGACTATTTCTTTACATTCAAGTAAATCTAAAAATTAAGTATAATTTATTATGATTATTTAAAGATCTTGCTTTTAATATTAATATATTTCTTTTTTGATATCTCTAATTAAATCCTCTATCTATAGATTAACAATAATATTATATCGCATCTGAACACATCTTAATCAACTAAATTAATATATTTCTTAGATATTTTAATTAAAAATTTAATATTTAATAATGATCATAAACCTTTTCAACTAACCAGAAATAAGTAAAACCATAATCTCAAATCTAAATTCAAAAGACTTAGCTAATTTGAGTAGTTGTAATAAGTATTTCAAACATCAATTAAATTTCGTTTTGAAAAAGTATTTAGAATAAAGATTAGTTCACTTTATAAATGTAATTTATTATTTCTATATTCTGTTTAGAGTCTAAAGGAAATTTATAATTTTAGAAAAAAAACAATTCCTGTGCTTCCCAAGGACTTATATAAAGTACCCAAAAATATGGATATAAAAATTAAAGAACTAGGTGTTTAAGTTATCAAGATTTAACTCAAAGATCTTCCAAGAGAATTTCTTAGTCTCAACTGGCAATCCATTAATATCAACGCCATTCTTCCAGAAGAGTGTAAGTTAAGCACACAAGATAATAAAGCCTTTAAATATAATGAGAACTACATCGTAATAAATAGATCATTGATTGACTAAGGATTGAATTACGAATTCTCAGAAATAAATGAAGATTGTTCCAAAGAAATATTAGAAAAGATAGCCTAATCATCAGAATTTGCTAATTATCAATTAGATGATATGCAAAGTATATTAAGTAGACAAAAGGAAATACTGGAGAGAGTTAATTAGAATAAGTAAAAGGTCATCAAATAAAAATAATAATAAGAACCAAATTTAAACCAATTAGATTAAGTTTAAAAATTTGCTATTATCTTATGCCATGGTGGTTATTTTTGTTTAGGAGTTTTTGATAATACAGGTTGCATTTATCATAAAAGTGATCATCGATATGTTGTAAGAGGAAAGGCAGGAGGTCGATAACTAACCAAGGATTCGCATTCTGGATCTAATATCAAATCTATTGGATCTCAAATAAGAAGGGCCTAAGAAAAGAAACATTAAGAGAAGGTAAATTCCATTCTTAACGAATCGTTACCATTTCTACAAGCATGCTAAATTTTGTTTCTCTAAGCCCCAGGAATCAACTAATAAATATTAATACAGAATGAAGAACCATTATTCTTACTTAAAGATAAAATAAGGTCAATCTGTCTAACAGCTAAGAAGGCAAATTATACTGAAGTTGAAAGAGTTTACAAATCAATTACGAGTGTTTATCTAATCTAAAAGGAAGAGTCATTTTTCTTTTGATTAATTTTATTTAATATTCTTCAATTGATTACTCATATTAAATAAAATAATTCAATAAATATCACATCCTAGCCTATAATGACAAATTTTCTAATATTTTTGGATCGATTTTAACATCATTTTTACAGTTTTTGCCAGCACAATCTAAAATTTCCATATAAAATCCTGCTATTAATCCTTCTTCATCAACAGAAACCATATCATAAAATAATTGCATAACAAAATATAAATCTACCTAAAATTATTTAAATAAGTCTTCTGAGAAATAGGTTCCTCTTACTTTTTGTAATAATACTTTCAAAACATACTTTACGACTGTTATAAGTAAACTATTTCTGTCATTAATATTGGTTTCTAATATCTTGCACTTTCTCACCATGACTATTTCCATTTAAATATTGAAAGTGCTTTATTATATGATGGATACTTTCTTGACAAGTCCTCTTTTTGTATCAGGAAATAGAAGACCTAGAGCTTCTATAAAATTCTTGACCTCATTAAATAAAATCTTTTATGTAGTTTGTTGTTAGTACACAACATTTTCTTGATTGAGATATTAAAAGATGATATTGATCCAATGTTCGCTCTAGGCTTGTGCAAACAACATCAAGTTCTTTTAAGTAGATCCATTGATATAGGTTTTGAGTTTATTCAATTCTTAATCAGTTGGTTGTCGGACTTGATAAATAAATTATATAATTTACTTTTATACCCTTAGAAGACCTAACTAACAAGTTCAAATAATTTGTTACTCAATGTTTTTGAGTACAACTATAAAAATTAGTTTGAAAACAAATAGTAATATGTTGAATCATTAGTGTTTAATAATGGCAAGACTTGCTAAATAATATAATTATCATTAAACAATTAGTTTAATTGCTCTTGGGAGATGGAAATGGATCTAAAGGCAAATATCTTACCCACAAATTTAACAAACTCTATTAGAGAGGCTTAAATTAGATTCAAATAAGTCTCTTATTCTCTCAGATAACTTTATTATTAAGAAAATACAAAGGCTTTAAGATCTAATAAACGTATAGTTGTGAATGCGATCAATTTTTATTTGATGACAGTAATGAGAGTCATGATCTCTCGTTTTATTTCATCAGTAGGTTACAGGCGTTATAAATCATTTTTAGCAAACACAAGCAATTCTAAAAATTGCACCCTTAAATGACTAAATGATGTAAAAACTTATCCTCTACAAATATTCTCAACATTTTCTGTAAATTTATCGATGATTTCAGTCCTTAATTATTGTCTAATTGAATTGTTTTCGAATAATGATTGGAGTTCAGTTTGTAACTTAACAAAGACTTCGTTAACTTAAACATTATTAATCTTCTTCTAACTCATCTTATCAGTAACACCTTAGAATACTCCATGAATGATCTCTTTGATGCATTGAGTTGAGAGTTATTCTAATGATTTATCCCTAAGGGTTCCTCTAATTTCAATCAATAAAAAGGAGACTTCCACTTTCAACTCTTTAAATATAATTTAACATAATTGATTGATTAACCATAAAATGGAACCTTAAATGGCAGAATCAGAATTGACAATTTCTTTTTCTTTCATTTATTTGTATTCCTCTAATTCTTCAACGGTATAGTCATATCTCTTTTCTTCAAGGTAGTCCATCAGATTCACAACTTCAGAAGATTTAGTAATGGCTGCTTTATCTATCAACTCCTTTGCTACAGTCAAATATCTTTCTTTGATTATCTTCTAATAATGTCTCAGTACAGCTTCTTCATCATCCATTATTTGTATTAACTTCTTGACTGCTGATCTGGCTTCTTGAGTTGAAATTGACACTTTAGATTCGGAATACAATTATAAAAGTGGATTTTATTATTTGAATTCAATTAGGGAACTCCAAAGGATTTATCTTGCATTGTCTAATTTCTAATTGGTTTCTTTATAAATTGGTTAAATAAGTGGTTCATTTTTGTATTGATCCAAAGTGGAATAACATTGCTTATAATACTAAGCAGTCTCATTAAAATATTCATCATAATTCTTTCCTTTACTAGATTTATATTGATCTAATTCTTTTTGGATTATGTGTGGAAAAATTGCAAACCGAATTAAGACGACTCAAATCCTTATTGACAGTATCCAGTTTGATGATTTCTTCTCTTTTAATTGACAATTAGGAATCTATTCTTCTTGACAATTAGGCTATTTTGGTCATGGATTGTGCCAAAGTCTCTACCTTTTAATCAATTTGGGTAATGTCAGTTTTCATTTTCTTGACGGTATCAATTGAGGATATGAATTTGCTACAACTAATTTGATCAAGTACCTATAATTTTCAAATACTAGTGATTATATATCTTAATCATATTCTTTGATTTCTGATTACAATTAATTATGTCTTTGTATTAGATCTTAAACACTATGATTCTTTAAGAATTCACTCACATATTTTTGGCAATCAAACTTCGATGAATCAATATCAAGCTAATCCATATTATTATTATTAATTAAGAAATAAATAAATAGTTTATTCTGATGATAATAAATGAGATATATTGATTTATTTTATAATTGCCATAATTCATACACTTCATAAACTGACTTCAATTCCAGTACAATTATGAATGAATTAGCCAGTCAAAGTTTGTATAGTTCTTGAATGAGAAACACATACGAAAGGTCCATCAAATTAGAGGTACTTCTTACATTCCTCCACCCTTTTGGTATTCTCCTCAAAAGTCTCAACTTAGATTGGATTCGTTTTCATGTACTCCAAAACCTTATCAATACAAGCCTAACTTCCATATTAAGTCTCTTGAATGTATTGTTTCAAAACATCCGCACTCTTTTGATTGTATATAAATTCAAGCGACCACATGTTCGGATGCTCTTTTACTATTGGATTCGATAATAATCTATCATAATTAATGAATGGATATTCATTCATAGTTTCTTATAGTCTGATCCCAAAATCACATCCTGACATAAACATTTCACGCAAATACGGTTCCACTACAAATTTAGGTTTATTGGGATGGTTTTAAAAGAGTAAGACAGCCGTTTCAACTGCTCTTTTTAATGGACTTACAACTACTGTCTCAATTCGAAGGTCTTCAAATTTAGATGGTTCACACTAAGTAAGTTTAATAAGCTATGTTGGTATGTACTTATTCTCTTCCAAATTTAGTTAATGGAGCATCACAATATTTAGATGAGTATTTCACATCCTGATCTTCTTCTTCTAATTTAACTTCAGCCACTGAATTTTTTGCAATCCTTTAAGCTAAATTATACTCTGACTCTGCATGTCGAATAAATAGGACTTTCTTTTCCATTATTATAATTTAGATTAATATTTTATTGTAATGATATATCAAATCTGCTCAAAGTTACTATTAGTCTTTACAATTTTTTTAATTTATTGTCATTTTCATAAAAATATATATCCATGAAATCATCATCAATCACAATTACTTTCATCAATCAAATAAAAATTAATCATTAATTTCTATATGGATTAATAATCAGAGCCAAATTCTCAAGAACAAGTGATAAAATAAAACGACGAGTAGTAGGTATTGCCTCAGACTGTCCTCTAACAACAGTAGATTAAAGAAGTCGAAACTCTTGATTTATAAGTCTCAATTTCAATTGAAGATGTGATCATCAAAGATGCAGGTTTTGGATAAAAATTCACAGCCTACTTGATTAAAGGCTCAGACAATCAAGGGTCATTCGAAGTTTATAGAAGATATAATGATTTCTTTGAATTAAGAGAGTAATTGGTCAAAAAATGGCCAGGATGCTACATTCCACCAATCCCTGAAAAAGCTCTAGCAAGTGGCAATGATTTAGAAACTGTTTAAATCAGAAGAAGACTTTTGGAAGTCTTTTTGGTTGCCATATCGTTATTACCCTACATTTACATATCTGAAGATTTTTAATAGTTGTTCCTAAGATCCAGTTCTCAAGATATTGCAAAAGTAAACATCAATTTCATTATTATTAGACTTACCAACAGTAAAAGCCACCAACTACATCAGAAATTATTGAAAGACTTAAGACAGCCTTCCCAAATCTCGATGTCAGAGACCAACAAAATAGTGAATATATGTTGGCCATCAGTAATTTCTCAGGTTAATTACGAAAAACTTAAGCTATTCTAAAAACCTATATTGACCAATCCAATATTGTTGCATAAGCTAGAAAGATACTATAGGATGAAAAAAGTATATTTAATATTTTACTTTAGTGAATTTATTTTATGGATCTTTGCCTCTCTATGAAAAGACTATACTTAATGAATACGTTTATGGTAAGGAGTAATAATTAGTACTCTCAAATCCTTCAAATCAAGATGAATATAAAAAAGTTCTAGAAGATATAGTATAAATTGTAATTGATAATATTAATAGAAAGAAAGCCATAAAAAAACTAATAGCATTAATAATTTAACTGACTTGTTTCGCTATGAATTGAAAGATGCTGAGTCTATGTAACAAACCCTCGCCTATAGAGATCAAATTGTCATTATCAGAGCAAAATAAGAATAAAAAATGAGAGAAGACTAAGCTGAATTAGCCAAAATGGCAGCAAAACAATAAACTTTAACCACTATCACCAATTCTACATATAACAAATCAAAAGATGCTTCATAAGTTAAAGTTGAAACAAGAATTTCAGAAGTAAATTATTAATAATAATTAGGGATAACTAGAAATAGACAAGTTATCATAATTGTATAACATCATCACTGCAATCATAGCCACTAAAGAAATTGATAGATATAGAAAGACAAGGGTCAATCACTATCATAAATTCCTGAGATCTATCTAATAATCAGAAACTAAATTGTATTAAGCTGAAAATGACTTTTTGGAAAAACTAATACAAGAGTCATAAAAATAATTACAATAATCTAATTCGGAATTAATTTAAAGATAAGAGCAATAATAATAATAATATCATGAATAAAAATAACGATAACAGTAATAATAATTATAATAGTAACAATAACTATAACAATAATAGCAATAATAATAATAACAATAATAATAATAATAATAATAATAATAATAATAATAATAATAATAATAATAATAATAATAATAATAATAATAGGAATTACCTGATTAAGTACAAACACAATGATTTTGAATCAAATAATTATTTTTAATTTAAAAGATCATTTACTTAATTTTATTATTCCAAATTAGTTTAAAATATAACTCTAAATATTATCAGAATATTACTGATAATTTTACTCAAGGTATGTGAAGCAAAAGGTTTTAACTAGTCTTTTTCACTTAACTTATTTTTAACTTGATTAATTGACTTTAACTAAAGATTAGCATTATTAAATTAAAAAATAATTTTATACCGATTCTTTCTTTTTTCTGATTAATAATATAATAACAGACTGATCCATTAATATATAAACAGTCAGAATATGGATTAACATCCAAATTTTGAGATAGTTTAATCAAAAATAAGAGTGCTTAATTAAACATAATTAGTTAATTTATGTTTCAAGACAATATTGTTAAAACAAAGTATACTTGAAAGTCTGGAGATATATCCTATCCATTAATTTTACTTTAATTATGATATTTGGTATTTCTTAAGTTTGAGTTTGATTTTCACAAATCGCAAATAATTTTATTTTAGAGACCACCCCATTCAATAAATAAAATTTACCCTTGTAACATATTTCTTTTAGATAACCAATAAATTATTATTGGGAATTGATATGAGTAGGCATTTCAATATTTTATTTTAAATAAGAAATTCTAGATTTTGCAGATGGACATTATTTGATATATGAAATCTTGATATGCTAAATTATTATGATTAATGAATTGGGTTGATTATAAAAATAATAATAGTTATATTTTATCAGATAGCGACGTTGAAACTGACATCAATGCTGTTTCAGATGGTTGATCCATTGTACGATTCATCATATTAAATAATATAGTAAAATACTCATATTATGATATAAATAATAATGATATTAATTTTATGGGTTGTTTCATAATAAACCATTTTATTATAGCAATTATTAATACCTCAATATTTTAGCATCTTTTTATTTCATGAGTTCGTCCATACGATGCAATTTTTATTCTAATACCTAGAAATGCAAATTATAATGAAATAGTAACCTCAATTGTTTCTCGCAATTCAAAAATTTGTTAATCTTTTTGCCATTCATTTGCTAATAATGGTGGTGGTGCAGTTTGACTGTCTGTTTGTTGAGGTTGTTTTTCAGCAGAATTAGTATTGTTTTCTAAATAGTATTCCAATTTGGCTTAAACAAACTTCAATACTCTCTCAATGGCTTCAGATTAGCATGAAATCACACTATCAACTTAATCTCTATATTAAATATTCAAATTTGAACTTGGAGAGAGTAAAGCCGATCCTTTTGAATACTTTTGTGTTTAATGTATCCCAGTTATACTTTTTCTATTTGACCGAACTTGCTTGACTGTAATTATGCATCTGTTCAAATTCAAATCATTAATACATCAACCAATTTAGGTAGAAAGTAATGCATTATTTCAGCCATCAATATGCCATCAGCGAAATCTCTGGCTATATTCTTTTTTGGTCTGCTGAGAGGTATTTGATCGACCCATGTATAAATTTCATTTAATTCCTCTTCTTTTAGTGGTTAAAGCATAAATTAATATTTATAATCAATTATATAATAAAGCATTATTAATATAAGAAGATTTAATTTGTTGATAATTTATTACGTAATGATAAATCATAGGTATTATGTCTAATTTTTCATTAAACGATAAACTCTCTGATATCATCAACATCAATGGGATGTCTCTAATAGGTTTTAGGATTTCCCATCAATTCCAATTAGTCTTCACTAAATGGTTCATAGAAGTTGATAACCCTATCAACTCCATTGTAATGAGGCAAGATAACATCAAGGAATATGAATAGTTCAGATTCATGAATCTATAAAGCATAAAATAATGAAGTACATTCGAAAACTTGTGTAAATTGCACTTATTAGGAGTTGTGTAGCAATTATCACCTTCTTTGAGTTGTAATTTTGGATATTGAATTCCCTTCACAATTCTAGAATCTCCCTTATTCCTTCTGAATTCAATCTACTGATGATGATCAATAGGATCGACATCCCAAGCTTCTCTTTCCCCCAAACCATTCATAACATGGCTCAAAACGAACATATTGGGATGATCGTGTAAAGGCATTCTGACTCCTGGTCTCAAAGCAAACATAGCAATAGTGAAACGATGCTCTGGCTCTAGATGTATAGGCAACATGGAGACGTCTCCAATGGGCTTGAATTCTTTTTTGACATATTCTTGTAATTGTTTCGTTTTAACAGCTTCAAAGGTAGCTTCAGTAATGGCACGATTATCAAAGGTGTCTAGGTAAGTTGGTCCTAATTTTTGGAATTGGGTGTAGACTTTAACAACTTCCTTCAATAATTTGTGCATGGCTATTTCTATTTAGATTTAAATATTTATCAAAAAAATGGAAATAAAGATTGATTAAAAATATGAGAAAATTAATTATATTTTTAACAGCAAAATAATTAATTAATCAATGAGTTATTCGGATAAGCATAAAAGAAACACTTCTCCTGTGTTACGAACAACTAGCGAAGACAGAATTAAATAAAATTCATGTAAGGAAAGTATATAACTGGATTAATAAATAGATAAAGTATAAAATCATTTGTGATTAGATCTAATAGTATTTAAGCAAAAAATACGACGATAGAATGAAATTTGTTGAAGAAACTCTCTAAGAACATGAGGAGAAATTTGAAAGCTTTATTAAATTAATCAAATTGCTATAACATTTTGCTACATCACAGGAATAGGAAAATAAAAATATTAGAAATCATATTAATATCTCAATGGAATAGTTATACAATGAAGAACTCAATTACTTAAAAGACTAAAATCTAAATATTGAATAATAAATTTTAGAAATTTAGAGATCATTAGGAGAAGAATAACCCTAAATTTAGGAATTTGAAACTATAGTTAATAAAAAAATAGATGTAATCATGGATGAAGTGAGGTAGAGCGCTTTAAAAACTGATTATTAAAAAATAGAATCAAGATTACAAAGATTAGAACATAATATTAAATAAGAAGCATATTTAAAGGGTAGTGACTCTGACAGAGTGTTAAATAATAGTTTAGTATATCAAAATTAATTAAATGATCTGAAGATTGTCTTAGATAGTGTCATATAAGATTAAGAATTAACTAAAAACCATTTGAAATAAATTGAGCATGATTTATATTCCATTAAATAAAAGGAAAAGCAGTCTTATTTAAGAACTTCAATAACTAAAGAGTCTTAAAATACAGAAACTGATGTTATGGCGAGTAGACCAATTAGAGATCCAAAAGAAAACATTAAAAATAAGGACAATAATAAGAGAAATAAGAGCAAATCTAGTCAAAGCAGGAGTGAATCTAGAAATGCTAGGTTAGAAACAATTAAAAAAAAAAAATAAGAAAGTGTTAAGGATCTAATTAAGAGACACAAATAATAATCAAATAAATAATATTGAATTTATTTATCTATAAATTAATTATAATTAAGAATATTATATATAATATAGAATGTTTAATGATCAAAAACATCAAAACAGAAACTCAGAAAGTTAAGCTGTTATAAAGGTGAAGACTGAAGATCAAACGAAGTAAAAATCCAAGATCGTTGCGATATTAAAAAGCTATGAATCTCTAAAAGAATGGTCAGATTTAGGATAGGTAGTTCATCACAATTTATTTTTAGTGGTTACTTAAGTTACAAGCAATTTTTAAATCATATTAAGGCACCTATATCCCAAAGAAAAAATTATTATGCAAAAGGTTAGCACAATGTTTAAGTCCTATTTGGAATAAAGCTATTCATGAAAATGCACTTACTCTTTATGATTTGATATTGCAAATACTATGTTCAGATTCAGAGTATGATCTAATATAAGATTTGCCATTATTTTCCCTTGGTCTATTTCCATTCTTTGGGTTTGCATCCATTTAATGTAAGCCTATGTTTTTAAGCATTCTTGAAAAATATTACTATCCCTTAAAGAGAGAATTATTACCATGTATGGGAGGCTTGATAAATTCCATAATTGTTGGTATGGAGGATACAAACGAGGAGATGATGAAAAAGGTAATTTCTATATAGACACTAGGTAATGTCTTCTCTTGATTAAGCATGTGAAAGCGTAGGAGTAAAACAATTTTTTGGATTACTTTGGATAACAATAATTAGATCAGTTAGAAGTAGGTTAGGAGCATATAAATATCTAATGAAGAGATGGACAAGATAATAATAAATTGAATTAAATGAAAATGAATTAAAAGAAGACGATAAGATGCCAAATAAAAGTGCTTTGGTTATTAATGCTCTTTTGGCATCTTTGGATGATGAATCTTCACTAGTAAAAAGGGCAGCCTTAGATTTTATGACTTTGCATTGCAAAATTTAAGATAAAGTCTTTTCATAACAAGAACAATTAATACTGATTGAATAAGCCTTGCTTTTATTTTAAAAATAAGATCATGCAGTCATAAGAAGAATAAACAATTGGTTAATTGGAGAAGAAGAGCTCTCTGAAAACAATCCCAATATCCTTTATATCTAGGAAGGATTAAAAAGAATATTAATTGAAGAATAAGGGGATCCCCTGAAAGTGCTATAAAATTGGTATATGCAACATCCAGAAACTGTTCAATTAACTCTATTTTAAATTGGATATTCTCTAGCTAAATACATTTATCATAAGACTGTCCAATACAAAAATGGGAATTAAAATGAAAAACTTGTAGAGTTATTGAAAGGAGGGGAGAGACTTATTGAGAGCATATCCAGTCATAGTGAATTAATCATAAAATCCCTATTTGAACAATTAAATAAACATATGAAAGATTAAAAGCAAGATTAGATTAAGGAATGTATTCTAATTTTTGACTTTTGTCTTAATAATTTAATGATATAATAATTTTCAGATTTATCAAAAATTGAAGATCTATAATTGTTTTAATAAAGAACTGAATGTTTACAAGAATTTATTATTATAATAATAAAAGAGTTGATGAATTTGACTTGTGAATAAGTGTTTGAAACTTCAATATCCTAATTGTTATTGGAATAAACCGTGGATTGCATTAATAAAATAAGAAAGAGATTAGAAATTTTAGAAAATGATAAAGAGTTATAGGCAGTTTTGGGAAGCAATTACAATAAATAGGTAGAACCATCCAAAAATTCAATATTAGTGCAATTAAATCAAATTGACATTGATATCATCTCTTAGTATTGCAATTATTACATTTAAATTAATGAATACTCAATTAACAATGAATAAGAAACATTATTTCCAATTTTATCCCTAATTTTATTGAGATCATAATTATATTTAATGAAACAAGGAAATTATTAATACTAAGAAATACCTAGTTGGATTAAATAACTCTTTAAATCTTTGGATTAAGGAACAAATAAAATAAATTTATATTCCATTTAAATTTTAATAGAACTACTTAAGTCAGCTTCACTTCATTAAAATATACAATCACTAACTGATATGATAACTAAACACAGCTATTAAGATTTAGAACCGTTTCCAAATATTTTATCCCTATGTATGGATTAAACATAGAATCATCATTAGAATAATAATAATTAACATAATTATATAAAGTAAATCTTTGAAAAATTGTGGATACTTTTAGATTAAAATTATCATGATTAAATGATTGTCGAATTTCTTCTGTATATAACTGAAAATTTTCAACATGTTTTTGTTTATGTGATAGAATCATCTTTAAAATAAGGGGATTAAAGGAGATTTTAGATATATTGCAGAATAACAAATACTTATTACAAAAGACATCCAAATAAAAATACTGGAGTTGGAATCATTCAAATGTTAAACTTTTTGGAACATGAAAATCCTTTGATTAGATATAATACAAAAACATGGTTATCTGAATCGGCTCCTTTCTTTTTTAGAATATTGGATCCTATTATGTTAAGATTAATCAATTTTTAAAAAGATATTGAAAAAAAGAATGAATTTTCTCTTGATTTAGCAGTTGATTCAATCAAGAAATTACAATCCTTATATTCGTCGAAAGAATGGTTTTAACCATATATTGAAAAAACTAGACCAACATTTTATGAAGATGAAAATATCAATACGTACTACAAATTAATATGTTTGACTCTAATTCAATTTATAGTGGCTGATTTTTAAAATAATGAATATACAAAAATCAATGCAATAAGTGCAGAGCTTTTAGAAATTGTTATTAATAATACAATAAATGAAAAGAGTAAGACCTAAATTTTGATCTAATATTTCAATACCATCTTAAACAAGTTTGATTAAGTTATAAAAAGTAAAGATCAAGTATTACAATTACAACTGTTAAATCTGGTTAAAGTTTTCTTGCTCCATACATATGAGTTATAAAAAGATTTGTCATCTGAAAATAAAGTAAAACTGATTGATATCTATGATTAACAACTCTTTTTTGATAATCTGGTAAATGGATTAAAATTAGCTAAAGTTTACTATCTCAAATAAAGATATTTAAATACTATTGTTGTTGGTATTTATTCTATCAGTTATTTATTGCCTCCGAAGATAATAAATGAAAAAATTATATTGATACTTACATCTTTGTTAGCATTACTAAAATTATGCGAATATAATAATAGCCAAATAGTCAAATCATTTAGACGTGTTTCAAATGTGAAGATATTAAAGAATCAGAAATAAGAATAATATAATAATAATTTCTAATAAGTTAATATATAATAATTAAATAATGAGCAACCTTCAATCAAAACTACATTGTCCGGAGATGATTTTGAAGAAGTAATGTCATTATCTAATTCTATAAGAGCAATAATTTGTTATTTTTTCTAATTCAAATATGATTCTAAAGAAATTGATTAGAGACCAAATGCAGCAGGTGTTTTAGTAGATTTATTTACACTAAATCTTTTTTTCAAAAAAGCTGATAAAACATTAAAATTAAAAAAATAACAAGAGTAATTATAATTTGAAAACTTCCCTGATACTTGCTAGATGCTCTTGAAATATTTTCCATAAATTATATAATCCTATTTGGAATGTTGGAGATGCTCATTAAAATGGGATCATCTTTTTACCAAAGGTTGTTTCATTTATGAATATGATAAATTCGATTAATTTAATAAATAACTCAAAGATTAACTATTTAAGCAAGAAGAAGATTATTCAGACGAAGACTAAATTTAGTAATCAATTTTATAATTATTGAAACCTTGTTCCACTCATTTTACGACTACATTAATTTAATCCTTTTTATTAATTTGGTAAAATGAATACTCAGTCAATTTCTATGCTGATCCTAAGATTAATTTAAATATGTGTAAGCTAATTGAAATCGCAATAACTCTACAAATATCCCCAGATGATTTTATTGCTGCTTTCATTAATACACAATAGGTTCAGGGAATAATTTAGTATTACTAAAAAAATAAATATAAAAAGGGACCATATCAATTCAATTATGATCAAGCAACTTTTGAGAATGGAATTTTATTCTTTTTATATACTTATTTTTCATCAGTTTTATTTTAAAATCTCAAAAACAGAGAATTGATTAGATTGTGGAATGGTTTTCTATAATTTTCAAAATCCCTCTTATAATCTAGACACATTAATACAATATGTTTTTTATTGGAGATCATTCATCTAATGTCATGGAAATTCTCTCCAAAAGATGTCTTGGAAGAATTCAGAAAGGAGTTGCATACACAATTAAGATAGATTTTGGTAATTTTGGCTGAAATAGCCTCTATGCAATATCAATATGTGACATTTACATCTTCTTCCCTTGAGAACTTTAGTTAATCTTAATTTGATCAAAACTTATAACTTATTGTTCCTTTCACTCCGACTATATTTGAACTCTATACTGAGTATTATCAATTAAGATAAAAAGATGTTGAGAAAACAGAGGAAGGGTGGAATGAATGTTTTATATAAAGAAATTTATTTGATCCATATCAATAGAAAGGTTTGAAATTAGAACAACAAGATTTCTCTAAAAAATGTTCAATTATTGCCTTAAAAACATTAAAAAGATTATCATAGGTGACTTTAATAAACACTTATGAAGTATCAAGAGGTGAAAGAATAGTTGAAAATACTAAAGAATTTATGGCATTAATATTCCCGTTATTTGAAGATAGAGAAAATTAGATTATAGTGGAATCAGCCTCAGAATTACTGCATTCTATACTCAAACTTTCAAAAGACTAACTATCCTAAATATTCTTAAATGATATTTTAAATATTTTCAATAAATAAGAGTTTTTCAAGTGCACAGGAAGATGCCTAAAATTCTGGACTGAAATCATTGACATAATATCAGACAAAACAGATTTGTTAACAGATCAATTAGGAAATAATTCAAAGATCCTTTAAGGATTTACTGGGTTGTTTTAGAGCAAATCAGCAGAGATACTAAAGAAAACAAAAGGATTCGAAAGAGTTTGCTTTATAATCTATTCAGGAGGTGTAGATAAATACTAATCCAAATTGTCTAGTTTGTTAGATGCAATTTTAACAGTTATTAAGGATATTAATCAACAGCATGAAGCAATAACAATATTAATTATTTTTTGCATTAGAATCTTAGTTTTAAGATTAAGTTAATCTTCATTAACTTAAGTCTTTCGCAAAATATGGCCTTATTTAATTAGTATGTTAATCTAAATTTTTGATAGAAAGGGAAAGTAAGCTAATCCATATTTGTTGATCTCAGGTTTAAAGCTTATTGAACTTTTCTCATTGTTTCAACTTGAAGAATTCTATTTTTATGAATGGATATTTGTATTTGATTGTAATATTTTATAATAACATTAGATTTCGGTATAACAATCAACTTTTAGTAAGTGGAATAGTAATAATAATAATAAAAAGTAAAAATTACAACTCCATATAAATTTATACCTTACATGGCTTATCAATTTCCAATCACAGCCAATTACAATGTTGATTATGAAAATACATTATATCCAGATTAATATCAACAGAACTTATTAAAGAAAAAGCGTTTAGTAAAGATTAAAGATGTCTAAGAAGTACAAGTAATAAATGTTTTATATTATTATAGGAGTTTGAATCTAAATTAAGATAACAAGCATTGTATTTATGCTAACATTTAATTGATATAAATCAATAAAGAGTGGAAGTCAGTCCATAATCCCTGGAGGAAATTATCGAAGCTGAATTCATAAGCTTAGATGATTACATAGGCAGAATTTAATGATTTTGAAATATAATTTATAGTAATTTTCAACTTATTTCAGATAATTTGTTTCATCAAATGGTTTTGAAAATAATACTTTCAAATTAATTAGATTACTATTTGTATTTTAAATATTTTAATAAGAATTTTTAATATTAATAAATCATCATTAATTACGACTAATTGGTATTGGAGATGTATAAAATTTCACTAAATTTTGAAATACTTCTGAAGAACTATGTTTTGTTTTCAGAAGGGATTATTTTTTTATATAAAACTAATCTTCTGATTTCTACTATTTTGCAGTTTTACCCTAAAATAATATTTTCACATTATTTTACTAATGATATATAATAGCAATTGATACTATTAAACGGAAGAAGGAAGCAACAGCAGACTAGTAGAATGATTGTAACCAAAAATGTTAAAAAAGGATTATCATAATATCTGTAATCTTTGTATGCATCTTCAATGTTAATGAGAACAGCAGAGTAAATTATTGGAAGAATGAACATAATCATTATAATTATGACATTCAAATAGCTTTATTGAGTCCAACAACCACAACAAAAATATATTCCATAAATAACTATAATAGGAATACTAGCCTCTTTAAACATTAATATCCAAAGATTGTATATATCTAAGTATTAGTGATACACTTATATTTAATATAAAATCGTTACAATTTAATGAGCATTAGCAAAAGGTAAGAATAGCTACAATCAAGGAAGATTGTAAAAATATTAAAAATGCTCTTTAATTTCTTATTCCTATACATGTACCAACCCAAAAACAATGATGATCAAAGCCTTCAACACAATGGTTGCAGAATTTGCCTAGTTAGCTTTTAGAGCTTACAATGGGAAGCCTTAGAGGGTCTCATAATTTTGCAAGTTGAACAATATCTGACCTTATAAATGCTGGGTACTTCAAGATTCAATTCAATTTAATTTTATGATCCTTCCACTAATAAAATGTGATTTGATCCATTCCTAATTGACTCTACTTCTGCAAAATTTTTATTTGATTAGGTAGTTGATTCAAGTTCTTCTACTGTCTATTATTATTATTATTATTTTGGATCAGGCAAGTCTCCTTTTAACAACACTCCAGGTTCTATTAAAATATATATAGAAATTCAACCTGTCATTGTAACATTCAAAAGCGTTGTGATTGGAAGTATACAGCATATTGCAATTATAATTGCTAAAGCATTATATTAATAATCTAGTGCTGCAGGAAATATAAAAATTAAGTACAACATTATAATAGCTACTATTAAAAAAAAAGTCCCAATAATATTAGGCAAGTCATTCTAACATAATTTATATATAATTAAACTTTTGCACCGAATATGATGTTGCCTTTACATCTAGTAAAAGCTTCAAATGATTTTCTACTATCTGTAGTTTCAACTTCCTCAAAAAAATGTAATATTTTCTTCATAAATATTAAAAATTTAATTTATGAGAAAGCTAAAATTTCATGAGAAAAAGCTATTAAAAAGGGTTGATTTGTATAATTGGAAGAAAGAAAAGGATCATAGAGAAGCTGAAATAATCAAAAGATACAATTTATCTAATAGAGAAGATTATGATAAATATAACAGGATGTGCGGTCATATTACATCGATGATTTCTAAAATAAAATTATTGTCATCTTAAGATCCATTTAGAGTAAAGCTAACTGAATAATTGTTGGAGAGATTGTACAACATGGGAATTATTACAACAAAGGATAACATATTAAATTGTGAGAAATTAGCAGTATCAGCATTTTGCAGAAGAAGACTCCCTATTGTGTTATGCAAGCTTAAATTTGCCTAAACACCCAAAGAAGCTTGCACTTATATTGAATAAGGACATATTAGAATTGGAACTAAAATAATCACTGATCCTGCTACTTTAGTGAGTAGATCCTAAGAAGATCATATCACTTGGTCTGATACATCAAAAATCAAATAAACAATATAACAATACAACAATGAAAGAGATGATTATATAGGTTGAATTTTTTATTTATTATTTATTCTTAAGATAATTCACTTTTAAAATTTGTTACTTATATTACCATTCTATGCTATCAATAGAAATTTTGATATTAATAATCATATTTAAAATATAATTAATAACAATAAACTTTTATCTATTCAAAGATTCTATCAAAATATCATAGTAAAGTTTAAAGTTCAACTCAGAATTTTTATTAAATTAAAAATAAATTATTTGTAAGAAGAATCCTTAATTCAAAGACTCTCAAATAGGATAATCAAAATAACATTCCCAATCCATAATATGGCCCAAATTATAGGCTAAACCAGAGAATTAGGACTCAAGCTCTTAAAAGCTGTAATATTTCCATATTGATTTTAAATTGTTAATTACTTATTTGATATAAATAACCAAAAATTTATTAAAATTGTGGAGTAAATTAAAATGTCAATTTTTAAGGCAAGCAACATCTACATTTTACATCCTTTGTTATACAGCATACCCAACTAATGTACATACAGCAACCACTAAACTTTACAAGAAGTTTAAAGTTATTCGAATACCATAGATTTTAAATGGGGTATGCCTTTCATCATAATTCAATTATCTAATTGCATCATCTATTTCTTCTATTATCACATTAATATATTAAGTAATGGTTTCAACAGATCTAGCTTAACTCTTCAACAAAAATACAAACTTTTTGTGGATCGCATTAGTCACATCCAAGTTTAATATAAAATATTATTCTTTCTTTCTAAGCATATCCACATACATATTCCTAACGTCTTCAAGTAAAATATCGAACGTTTCATAATATTCATTTAATTTAGCTCCATGCCATAAATAATATCCAATAAAACCAGTTAGAATCACTAGCATTTCTGATAGTAAAGTAATTTAAAAGTAATCTATTTGTATAAAATCCAATAATACCCCTATACCAAACAAAAATAAAAATATCCAACCTATAAAAATCAATGAATAAAACCCTTGAATTCTGAAATCATATGTTCTTCCATAATCAAAGGCCATTCCCCTCAGCATTGACCACGCCTACAAGGTGATTGGATTATTAAAGTTGATTGTTGGTAATAGTTTTTTGCCTGATGAATATTTTTATTCTTTAATATTCAACATATAACAACATTAATCTAAAATATAAAACTTTCTTTATAAATCATATAGCCCAATTTAGAGAAATACAAAAGAGCCAAAGAATCCTTGAAAAGTAGTCAAGACATTTACAATTATCCTTATAATATCAACAGCCCCAACTTCTATTTCACAAAAGTATTATAATCTTAATAAACATGGCGTTAAGGATAAAATTAAAGATTATAGAACTACATATTTAGAAAATCCTCCAGGAGTGTGAATTTTTTGATATGAATTGACCAAATATCCAAATATAAAAAAGCAGTTGAACGTGTTGTCTATAATCGGTGCGACTTATGATTCCTCCTACTATTCTAACCATTCTGAATAAAATCCTACTTCCACCTATATCACTTACCTTAATGTCTTTATATGTGGTTAGCATAAGAAGTCAATTTTGTAAAAATCCGGATCCAATTCTCTCCTTTTCAAAAATCTCAATTGTTCTAGAAATAATACTTTAGGAGTTTGAAGCCTCCAATCCCACATCATTAGATCAAAGGTAAATACTTCTTCACTTAAGACTTATGATTTGTATAATTTGATTCTTTCTTTACTTAATGTAGCATATTTAGCAGCAATTACAACTGCCCTTATTAAGAGGGCAAATTAAGTAAACAGTATTTCAGTAAAAGTTATAATATTTCTATTATCAAATACATACCAGTAACCACCTGCCAATGAACCCATCCATAAGAGCAATTAGAAATAAAACTGAGGATGATGCTTTAAAAATCTCATATTTATCATCAATGGCATACCAGGCCATTTCCAAAAAAATATAACCATAAAGGGCCCAAAAAGATTATAAAACATCTAGACAATAGATATAAGAGATTACAATATGATAAAATAGGAATTCAAAGAAAAACTTCCAATGCCATTCTGTTTAGTATCTACCCATCTCTTCTTAGGCCACTTTAAAGATCGTCGCCGAACGCTTAATAGTATCTCGATAATAATGTTCTCTTAATGGAAGTTCAGCTTCGTCTATATCTTTATCTGGAGTTTCTATTCTTGTTTCAGATTGAATCAAATTCAACTTCTTTAACTAGAGAACTCTTGAATACGCCTATCTGTGTTTCTCATTTCTTTCTGTTGAATTAAAATTCCCAGTATCCCCAAGACTGGTTTTAACTTAAGTAATACATATATTATTCATCAAAAGAAGAATTTCTTAAAAATTATTTTTATTACAAGATAAATTCTGAATACAGATTAACTTAAATTATGATATCAATTAAATTAAAGAAGAAGAATTCAAGAAATTTCATTTGGTAATTAATCACTATGATAAATATGAAAATCAGTATCAAAATTCAATAATAAGAATAATAAAATTAAAATTAATATTATTTTGAATGAAGATAGTTTTATTATTGAAGAATATAGAAAAAGACTATATTCATTTTTTGATTCTTTAATTTAATTTTTTTCAATAATGCACCACCACTTAAACAGAATTGTTAACTAACAAGATCATTAAATATAAAGAATTGATTAATTATTATTATTGATAATTTAATAAAATATCAATTGATAATGCATATTTTATTATTCAATATATATCACTAAATATCTGTACCATACAATAATCTATGAGCTCTTTGAATAATTGTATCCTGATATTATAATCAGATTTAATACTTTCTTTGCTTCATATGGATATTCTTTGCTTGGAATTTCAAGAATTGTAGGCAATATGGCATCATATTAATTAATAATATGTCTAAGATAATTTTCAGCAACGAATTAAGTAACAAGGATGACTGCTATATTTGGATGCTTCAAGAAATTCTGAAAAGTATTTTCAATCAATTTAGGATCGGTTTCGAGAAATAATGATCATACATACTTGAATCTACAACCAAAAAGTTTGTTTCTCCTTTGATATTTTTCTCTCCAATACCAGTTAATAGAAATCCTGTAACAGTATCCTTAAATGTTAATAATATTTGAGTACTTCATCACCAATGATAGATACAAGCGATGTACCCTCAGATTTCTTAAAAGTTTTCTTTGACATTAAATTTAATATTTATTTAATATATAAAAGATTAATTATTTATATACTATTAAATAATCTTCATAAATCTAATTATTATTTAGAAGGCTTCTTTGATCCAACGTGAATAAAAGAAGCCCTTTTAGATTTGCTCTTTGAATTTGTATATTAGTTAGAGAGTTCTATTTGGTCATCAACAGGCTAGAATTCATCTCTCTATGAAATTTAATCTAGTTCTTTATTAATTTTTTGAGCAGCAAACTTATTCAATGGATCAGAATTGAATAATGCAAATTCATTATAATTAGATTGAGTTTAATTATTATCTGGCTAAGCCTATTATTCCTGTTTTGGTTCATATTATCCAATTTTTGGTTGTAATCCATAATCACTATCTTGGTCAAACTTCCATATTTCAAGATAGTCATTAGAAGGGTCAATGCATTTTTAACATTCCCTAATCATTTTACCTTAGTTTAACTAAGCATCTGGAGTACTATCCTGATGGACTTGCTTTTTTTCATTAATTTCTACAAATGAATTATCAATTAAACTTTCCACCTTAGCAATTTTTTCAGTATCTTCAATTTCATCCAAAGCCTATTTCACTGGTTTTTCATTTAGGATAATTTCTGATATTTCTTGATTTGCGTATTGTAAAGTCATTTTATCTAATTAAGCCATTTGATCCTCTTCATCATCATTGAGATCTTTGAAAATATTTGGATCTGGAATTTCAATATTTTCTAATCTTATTTTTTGAGCATTCAAATTATCTTTTTTAGATATTTTAGGATTGATTGGATTATTATTATGATTTCCTCCTTTATTTGGAGATCCCCCTTCATTATTTCCACCATCATTATTAGGGTTTTTATCATTAATAGTGATCTCTTATTTAAAATGTCTGCCCTCTTGTTTCCTTTTATTAATAATATCTAATATAGTAGTCTTTTCTTCATTTAATTCTTTGACTTCTGCAGATGTAAGTTCAAAGAATGACTTCACATTAGAATCAAAACCTAATCCAACTCTACCTACTTCTCCATCATATCGATTTTTCTTAATTTCGAACACTCTATATCTAGGTCTGTTTTAGATAATAAAAACGTTGTCAGCTTCTTGAGTGGCTTTAGCTGAACCAAAAATAGATGCAATAGTTAAATCCTCATTTTCATCAACTTTCCTTGGATGAATGACCAAAGTTAAATGGATATCATTATTACTAGTCAATCTTCTGAATTTTTCTATTATTTCATCCTGAAAATCAAATTTCCTATTTCCTCCGACTTAAGTTCCCATCATAAATTACAAATTATCCAAACAAACATGAGTTACATTATATTCGTATATTGCATATTCAATTGTATCAATAATTTGATCTAGATCTGTTGACCCATAAAAATTCATGTAATACTATATTTATAAATAGAATCTGTTACAATTGGCATTTCATTTTCAAATTTTTGAACTGCTACATCAATCAAATCCTTTTGTTTAATTAAATCTGTCTTATAAGCTTGCAATAATTAATGTTCGGCCAATCTGTCAGTCTTAATTTCAAAACTACCCCAAAGTGTTGTTATGCCTTCTTTACAGAAATCTAAAGATAGCTGACTCAAAAAGGTTGTTTTACCACTACCAGTAGGTCCAGTCAAAATAGTGAATTCTAATTTAATGTTAAATCACACACATACCTCCAGTTCTCAATCCTTTAGTTGTATTATTATAGGTTGTAAAAGTTTAAGATTGAGTTCCTTTAGACAATTCAAAGTTTAAGATTCTATTTTTGGTCAATTATTTAAAATCAGTAAACTAAGTGATATTCTTCTTTAATAGACATTTTGATTGATCAATGTAAGTCATGACTTTATCTGGATAGAATCTTAAGCAATCATTTGCATCTTTTGGATAGTCATGAGGATCAAGTAAAGATGGTTAGACCACTCTTGTTCTCGCATTACCAAGTTTACGAGCAATCTTCTATGAATTGATTCTTCCAGGATTATCATCATCTACCCATATTATAATATCATTCAATTTCTCAAATTAATCCAACCTTATTATATAATCATCATAGCATACCATTCAATAAGATAGGCTGGAATATGATTGATACCATATGGTAATGATATAGCAGGAATATTTGTCATTTAATAAGCAGCCATAGCATCAAATTCTCCTTCTGTTAAAATCACCTGAGTAGAATCTTATTTTAGTAAATGCATTCCAAATATTCCTTTAGCTGCATTCATAGGTTCGATCTTTTGAATATGCTTCAAATCCTTTCCGGCTGCTCTGATCTTACAACTCACCAATTCATACTATAAATTGTCAAATTAGTTATCTAATTGTGATTTAATATTCTATTTGGTTTCTTCACTCATCACCTATTCAGCCAACACTTCATCCTTTTTCTACTTCAAAGCTTTCTGCATCAATTTATTCCTCTCATGTTAATTTCTATATCGAAACATAGGAAAGTATATAAGGGGAGCCTAAACGTAACTGCCCTACTATGGATCGTAGATTTCAGTTATATCAATACCAATCAGATACAATTTTAACACATCATCCTTAATTCCTCTTTAATTCTGACTAGTGAATAATAGGCATATTTTACATTTTCCCAATCATCCCCTATCAAATAGTCATAGACTATTTTTGGTTCTTACAACTTTAATCTCTCATAATATTAGTGATATTCAAATATATTCAACTTCTAAGTTGGCTGCTATACACTCTATTAATTCTATTGTTGTGAACTATTTAGATTCCCATTCATAAAGTTCTTAAAATCAAACCAAGATCCTCTTGCTTAACAAGTTGCTCTAAAACAATTATAAGACCCACTAGAATGATTGTTATCAAATTTACTTCTCCAAATTAATTCCCATAACAAACTAGTTTGATGGATTCTCTATATTATGTTTCGGACAGAATGGACAATATCTTAATTGTACATACTTTCCCTAGATCTTGTGTTCCATCTTCTTTTCTTCCAAGTATTGAACGATTGAACTTGATGACACTTTAAAATGTTTAGATGTGTAAGTAGGATGGATCTGAATTTCAACTTAAAAAAATACCAAATTCTCATTCTTCTCCTTATAAAACTTATTGTAATTATCATCAAAATGATAAACAACCTTCTATTGGAGAGATTATAGCATTCTATTTTTCATCATAGATTAAGCAATTCTAGCTACACGCCTCATCGGATGATCGTAAATTAAATTTAAATTAATTTGTGTTCAATATTTTGTTATAAAATCATCGAAAATCATATTATGCTATAATCAAACTTAGGTATTTATCATCATATCTGCATCCAATATGTAAGTATATCTCTAATAGAGGAGGAACCTTTGAAAAATAAACCAGATTTACATTTACAAAAAGTTGCTTCAATATCTTTTGTTTAAGAATTTCCTTAATGTAAGTTTTTCTTTTTCATAAAAAGTAATTACAATATTAATAAATTTGATTATGCATAGGAATATAATTATTGCCATATTCATATAATTATTATATTAATATACTCAAGTTAGTGAATATTTAAAAGCTAAAATTACACTGAAATCAAATAATCAAAGTCATCACAAAAATATTTAATCTATATATAGAAAAATTAAATAAATAAAAATTAATGTTTCAGTGATTTTATTAACACCATATAATTTAATCATATAAAATCAGCCCTTTCATTCCTTTTGATTTTCATCATCAGAATGAATTTTATGTTTATTAAGATATTATCTGATGAGTTGTTTTGTTCTTTAAAATGGCTTTTCTGCCTTTATCAATTATCTTTTCTTATGATTTTTTCTCAAGCGAGGATTAAAAGGATTGAATTTTTAGTGGTGGGATCTATTTGTTTAAAAATAGTACCTGCATTAACTTGGAGTTCTAGTGCCAATAATCTAACTCATCCTTTTGAACAGTGGTTGTCCTTTTCTCTATGTATCTCCTGATCCTTTAACTCTAAGTAAGAATTAAACATATTATTCGTGTTCCTCTTGGCTCCAATGGCCCTATTTCGCATTAGTATTATTGCTGATATCTTATTATTTGGAATGATTTATCATAAGTTCAAGATATCCATGGTGTAAAGTGCCTGAATTCTCAGATTTCATTTAATTCTTGTAATTTGAATCTTAAAATAAATAATTTAAGAAGAACTTAATATCGATAAAAATGTATAAAGAATGCCATATTTTACACTAATGAGAGGTATATTCATTGAACTAGACTCACTGAACACAATTAATCTTTGATAGAAAAGATCATGCTTAATATAATTAAGATACATTTTGAAAATGAAAATTAAATAAATTCATAAGTAATTTGAATTCAAAACAAACAATACAAAATATTACTTAATACATCTTATTTATGCCATCAATATTTGTTATTGTTTGTAATCGACTCTGTACCGTTCTTTTCTATTCTGTGTTCTTCCCCTTTAACATAATTTTAATTTCACTACTAATCTCTAGAATGAAAAAAAGCAAAATCAATATTGCTTATAAACTTATGGGGAAGGTAATTTAGAACCCAAACACAAAAATAGGTAATTAATATTTATGTAAAAATATTTTAATAAAAAATCGAAAAGTCCCTTTTTAAATGATAAATCACCTAAAATTGGGAATTCTAGCAAAGATTAATCTATCAATAATGAAAATTTCACCAGAGAATAAACGATTGAAAAATTAATCTTATAACTAGATTTAATTCGAAGGAAACATGAATAGGAAAAAAGGGAAATGACTGAGGCATTTAATCTTTAAATTTAAACTAAAATTAAGCAACATCAAATATCGGAAAATGAGTATCAACAGAAAAATTAACTATTAGAACAATTGCTGTTTTAGGAATAATCAAAAACAATTCATCTAACTAGAATCTTTTAAGATAAATAAAAAAGTATTCCAACCAATGACAAAGATTAATAGAAAAACAAATTCCAATAGTCTGAAATATCTCAAGATTCGCAACGTAACAATACCAAAGTCTAAACGAAGTAGACGCCAAAAGATAATTCAGTTAAAATGCTGCTTGACATAATTAACAACATTCAAGCAAATGTTGTTCGACATTCAAAGATAAAAAGGCTAAATATCAGTTGGATAGATTATGAAATACTCGAAACAGATTTGTAAAAATAAAAGGATTTATCTAAGTCTTTAGCTAAAATTAATTAGATCTTCGATAAATTCTTTAGCATCATCAATGATAACTCAGCTCCGTCACTCTCCCCCTACAGAGTGCCTAATACTCCTAAATAATTCAATAATATCGATAAGTAAGTTATTACAACTAAAGAACATGCAAAAGCTAAATTATGTAATATATAAACCTAAACAACAGAAATTATTACTAAAACTCATAAATTAGAGTAAACAGATATAAGCAATAAATTATCAAAGCTCATATAAACAGATCAAATTGAAGATCCATTTAATAATTAAAAATAAATTAAGTAAACAAATTAACAATCTTCAACTTCATAATTGATTAAGTGTTAAAATTAAGCTTAATAGACAGAGAAGATTGAAGTGAAATTTGAAGTTTGCAGAGCTTTATCAATTAGTTTAAGTAATTAAATTAATCAAGTTAAGGTAAAACAGATATCAACAGAAGTTCAAACAGATCTTATAGATAGAGAATCCCTTATAAAATAAATAAAACATAATTCAAAAATTACAGAGAAGGATGAAGAAGAAGACGAGGAATAAAATAATGAAAGTAAAAAATAGAATTTAAAGTTTGATAAAGAAATAGAAAATGATAGTGAATCAATTTTCGATTGTAATAAGCCAGACTATGATTCTGTAATCGAGCATCACGAAGAATTAGTTGATTTGAGAAGAGAGTGTTAAGAAAAAAATGAGAAGATAATTAATTTAGAAATTACTCTACGGCAACTCTTTAAAGAATAAGGTTAGTTCCAGTTTGATAATTTAATAACAAGTGAGTAACATAGTTTGGAAGAATTATCATCAAACAAATGGTTAATTAAATTGAAGGATCATGAAGCATAATAAAAATAGACAATAGGAATCTTGGGTTAAGATTTAAATCTATTAAAAAATACCATAAAAGCCATATTTAATGACGAGTTATAAGTAAATCTTGAATTAAACTAATTTGCAGTTTAATACTATGATAATGACTTCTTGGAAAATTATAAATTAGACATTATGATCAAATCAATATAATTTCCTGAAAAGATCATTGTAAACTCAAAACTTAATTTTGAACATTAATAATTTTAAAAATTTTGGATTGATTTTATGATTAGTCATTGCAGTGTATTTATTTACCTGTGCAAAAATTGTAATGAGGATGATTTTAGAATGATTGATTATCTAAAAGAAAATAATAAGAAATTGATAATAATAACATTTAGTGATTTACAAATAGAGAACTTTTACAATTATAATAACTATAAATAAAATATAGATTATTAAATATTGAAGATTTAAGAAAACAAAAATATTTTATCATCAGTTTGTAAAGAAATACTTTAAAGTGATTGGGATTGGGTGGATGTTGAAGATTCATTATTAGTGTAATTGCAATCTCACATTTAAAATATTATTGGAAATGAAGATTGCACTTAATTACAAATAAAGGAGGATGGAATATTTGAAATATCGGTAATTAATGATGAATTGAATTATGATTCTATATTATCTTTCCCTTACATTAAAAGTAAGGAAAAGCAAGATGATCAAATTTAGCTATGCCTCGAGTTATGGGAATTTGGTCAAATTCAGGATGTAAAATGTGTGGATACGTAAATCCTGATCGTAATTGATTCATATATACTACTTGAATAAATGGATATTAAAACTTAATTGCATTCAATAGATGACAATAAAATACTTTTATCTATAACACAATGAAATCTATATCTGCTATTATATATAATAATATAAAATATCAATGAAATCATTGGTTTAAGTACTCTTTTAATTTTGAATCATAATGTCTTTGTGCGTTGTTGTAAATTTATTGATATTATTATTTCTCCTCCTTGGTTCTCTGCTCATCATGAATAATCAATTTAATAATTTCGCTTGCTCCTTAATTATCACCCTACTTGGCTTTTTCTTGGCCCTATTTCAACACGTTTATGATGTCCTAAAATTTATTGGGATTATTTACTTGTTAGCCTGGAAAAATATGTTCCATGTTTGACAGAATCATAATTAATATTTATTATGTGAGCTCAGCTTATATCTAAGCTTAGTTTTGCTATTTGATTTGTTGCTGCATAAGCCTATTGTAAGGATATTTGATTCTAATACATATATTGATTTTGGAAATAGGGATTCATTTAATTAAGTTCCTATTCCCCATGAGCAAAAGTGCAAGTAGCTCCATTTTTGCATTATCCTGTTTATGGGTTGAAGTGCTTGCATAATTATGCTAAGAAGTCATAAATCTTAAAAAATACTCTTATAATTCGCAATCATGGGATTAATTGGTTACACCTTGAGGGGTGGAGCTACTTGAGGATTCTAATGCATAATGAATTCAGAATTGGGCTAAAATCCATTAGCATTTGCTCTAAGCTCCTGTCTTCCATGAGCAAATTAACATCTTGCTCCTAAAGCACAATTTCCATTTGTTACTAAAATTCACATTATAATTTACTGAAGTGTCTGCAAAGCTGCGTTTTGTACTTTTGGTTGGGAAATTGAACTTGATTGGCTTACATAATTTTATATTAATTCAATAAATAAATATAATGATTAAGTTTGTTTGAAGAGAATCAACTATTCTACATCTACTTCTAAGATGAAAGTAGGATGACAATATTGATGATGCTGATTAGAAAGGTTAAGAATCTCTTATATCTTCTCTAATTGAATTTTCATTTAGAGAAGATTTGAGAGATTCTAGAAGAGTAGTAGTAAACCATTATTGAATGTATATAAGATTAATAATAAAACATAAATAATTAAGCATTAAATTTGAAAAGGGATTTAAAAAATTTTAAAGATTTTTTTATATATTAAATGTCCCACAGAAAGTTTGAGGCACCCAGACATGGAAATCTTGGATTTACACCAAGAAAGAGAACAAAGCATCACAGAGGAAGAATCCGAGACTTCTCCCTTTAAAAGACAACAAATCATCTCCAGTTCACTTGACAGCCTTTGCAGGATTCAAGGCTGGTATGACCCACATCTTGAGAACTGTTGAAAGACCAGGATCAAAATTGAATGGAAAGGAAGTTGTTGAAGCCGTCACCATCGTTGAAACCCCACCTTTGGCTGTCGTCGGTATTGTTGGATATATCGAAACACCAAGAGGATTAAGAGCTTTGACCACTGTTTGGAGTACTAAAATTGCCAAGGACACATTGAGAAGATTCTATAAGAATTGGATCAACTCAAAGAAGAAGGCTTTCACCAATTATAACAAGGCTAATGCTGAGCCAAAGAATTTGGAAACTCAATTAAAGAGAATCGTTAAGTAAAAATATTAATTAAACTCTTTAGATATTGCTAAGTTGTCAGAGTCATTGTTCACACTCAAATGAGCAAATTGAACTTGAGATAAAAGAAGAATCACGTCTTTGAAGTTCAAGTCAATGGAGGCACAACAGAATAAAAAGTTAACTATGCCAAGGGATTATTAGAAAAGGAAGTCAAAGTAGATTAAGTCTTCAAATAAAACGAATAAATTGACGTTCTCGGTGTCACCAAGGGTAAGGGAGTTGCTGGTGTCATCAAGAGATTTGGTGTTAAGCATTTACAAAAGAAGACCCATAGAGGTTGGAGAAGAGTTGGTTGTATCGGAGGATGGCATCCAGCCAATGTCAGATACAGTGTTGCCAGAACTGGTCAATTGGGTTACCATCACAGAACTGAAATGAACAAGAAGATCTACAGAATTGGTGCTGCTGGAGATAAGAACACTGCATCTACCGAAGCCGATTTGACTTCAAAGGCAATCACTCCATTGGGTGGTTTCCCACACTATGGTGAAATCAGAAACGATTTCCTCATGCTCAAGGGAGGTATTGTTGGACCCAAGAAGAGAGTCGTCTTGTTGAGAAAGTCTCTTGTTCCATAAACTAGCAGAAAGGCTTTGGAAGAAATCACTCTCAAATTTGTTGATACATCATCCAAAATTGGACATGGTATTATCTCAATTCTATTTTATTAGGACGTTTCTAAACTCAAGAAGAGAAGGCCAAGTTTTATTTCACTAGAACCCAAAGAAAATTAAAGCAATAGTAACAATAATGATATATAATTACCCTCATTTAAGAACATTATAAACAAGACAATTTATACTAAATACATTTCTTAATGCAATTATACTTATGTAATAAATCAGAACCTCAATTTTGAAAATAGGAATCTTGATTATGCCTTCTTATCAGCCAAACTTCCTGCTGGTAATGTTCTGTATTTCTCAGCCAAGTATCTTCTCAAATTCTTTCTCAAGTCTTTTCTCTTTTCAACGTTCTTCAATTCTGACTCTTTCACTCTTTCAATTCTATCTCTCACTTCTTTCAAAGTTGATTCTTCTAATCTATATCTAATATAATTATATAGCCATTCCTAACCTTGTTGGCATAATGTGATTCAGATTTAATTGCTTAATGAAAACCTTTAAAGTTGTTCGCTTTCTAATTTGTTTTTAACCCATTCTCTTTGTTACCTTTCTTGGGTATCTTTAAATTCCAACAACCAAACCATTTGGGAATTTGCAATCCTAATTAATTTTCCTATTATATACTTTTGTTGTCTCTTCATTTGCCTTTATCAAAATGGCTTTCTTTCCTGCTTATCTGCCTGCCAACATTACTACTAAACGTCCTGGTTTTAAGCTTAACATTAGTCTAATACTTACAATTTTCCCATTTCAAAATACTAAATAAATCTTTTAATTATTTAATACAAATTTTCCACTAATTAAACATTCTCATTCCTTCTCTAATGTAAAGGAATTATTCTACTATAGAGCATTTAAAACATTCATTTTTGAATGAAATAATATCCTAATTTCTTTAAAATATAAGTTCATTCCTAAATTGAAATTACCATGGACTCCTGTAATATTAATAGCCTATAAATTATAACCTTTGAAAATATGTTGGCTATCTTCTTATAATCTAAGATATTATAAATTTTGTAAATATCATTCTAGTAATTCAATAAATAGAATTAAGATTAAAAATGCTAAAAAGTAATTATATAATCTCTCAAAATCAATTTCAATACGCTATAACTATTATTTGCATATTAAGTATTTGATTTATTTTGCAGTAACTTGGCAGACTATTTAGAATAGGATAATTAATTTGTGAGTTAAAATATCTTGGTTAAAAACAAAAACAAATTTTACCACAAATCTTTTGCTAGTTATTTAAAACAAACCAATAATTTTACTAGATATTGATTAATTATGATTTATATATAATATATTCTGTCAAAACTTTGAATTCAACACATTAGTTTTACTTAAAAATCGGATAGACTAAGTTATACTTATTATAATTCTGATGCAGGCTCCTGAATCTAAGTTTATGATGCCATCCCATAATTAAATTTAAATATTCATAACTAATTTCATAAATCTCATAATTTTAAATTTATTGTTCTTACTCTTTCTTACTATTAAGTAAAATTTAAAATAATTATATATACCTTAATCAGTTTATATAATCAATAGAGTTCTATCAACGCTAAAAACGAAGTTTTAATTTCAGGGTATTACAATCAAAATTTTTTTAATTTAAATATAAAGGAAGAATACAATAAAAGAACAACAAAATTATTTTGCTTACTTTTTTTGTGAGAATTGAAATTTTCATCATTTTCAAAATAATTGTATTTATTCACTTTTAATTTAAAATAAGTATATATTTGTGCATTAAACTTAATTAATATCTTTAAAAAATGAAGAGAATATATGGCCATAATAAGAAAATTAATCTAATAAGTATTTTCATGGTCATGGGTAATAAATAAACTCAAATTTAACATTGTAAGTCATAGTTTATTTGTTAATAAAGCTCAACTAAAGATGACATTTCACAACTTATTTGAAAAATTTAATTATTCTGATCAAATAAAGTTAATAAAATAATTGAATAATATCATAAATTTCTTTTTATATTAATTATTTATTAGTGCTCAAAATAGTTCAATAAAAAGAAAAATATTTCAGTATAACATTGGAAATAAATAAATAATCATAAATACCCAAATATAAAAAAACAAGTAAATTCAAAAAGGAAATTAGAAATGTAATTTAGATTCATATTTTTTATGAATTTTTTCGAATATTTTCTTTGCTCCATTACTATTTAATGATACATCTTCATCGAATCTCTTTAAGGAACAAATCTATTCGTTAGTTTTTTTTACTTTTTGAATCCAATTTTAGAAAATGTAAAATTAAAAGCTACTTTCATCTTTTTCCAGATGAAAACGGACTGATTTTTCTTTTTTGATACATGACAAACTTTTTGAATGCCTGGCAACTAAAATAGGTCTTCTTCTTTTATATTTCTCTGAATATTGATTTTCATTTTATTTTATGAAGGAGTCATCCTGTTTGAAAGATTGTTTTGAGCATTGTTTTACTTATATTTGATTTTATTGATCCTTATTTAATTTAAAAGTTTTAATTTCCTTTGGAGTATCAGGAGGATTAATGGGATTTATTTTACAAAGAATGGTAAAAGTGCTCATATGAGATATTTGAGTATCTGATTTGTACTATTTTACATTGGGCATTTGATAACTAAGAGTCTTTTAAGCTTAAGATTCATCATGAATTCTTTAATGGAAATAAATTTTACTGTGAAACAAATAAACAATCTTCTTCTATCTACTATGACTAATTTTAATAAACTCTATTGGTCATATAATTATATTAATAATTAAGATTAAATTTTATATAAATGGGCTCAAAAAATATTAATTTTAAGAATCAAATTGATTGTTTCTTAAGAAAAATGACAAGAATAATACCCACCTCTCTAATTAATATAATTGACTATGCTTAAAAAGATTTCTAAGATTATTGTAATTAATAATTATTTAATAAAAATAATTGGCAATATTTTTATTATATCAAGAGTTCATTAAAAGATATAACCCTAGTTTTTATATTTTAGTAGCTTTTTCCTTAACATATTAAATTTTATTCATATCCATTTAATAATTGTTAAATTCGATTTTGGATGTGATATTTTTAGTCTGTTTTCTTCTGAAATTGCGAGCTATGAGCCCTCTAGTGAATTGTTTATCATCTTATCTATTATCTTATATAGGATGATCGAGATTGCATTAATAAACTTTTTTGTCGAATTCAGATTAAAATTATTTAAGAAATTTGAGAAGTTCAGTTTCATTCATAAATTCACCTCTTCGTTTTAATTGGTTTTCTATTTCCACTGGATCAAAATTGCATACCAACTTACTTTATTTTTTAAAAGGAGAGCCCTCTTCTTCTTCCTCTTTATCTCCATTTTAATTTAATTTAGGTTGATTATTATAATTTTGATCTTGAAATTTCAAGTGTATAATTTTTTGAGCTTCCTGATCTTTTTATTTTAATTTCAACTTGTGGTCGCACAAATAATCCATCTCATAATAACAACTATTCACAATATTATATCTAAAATCTATCTTTTCTTCATAATTTCTTTAGATATTTGAAATTTAATCTTATCTTTCATTATCTAAAGTATAAAATAAACTTTACATAGAGAGACTTAATAATGAATTTCTTGGTCATGTTGATGACTCAATTCGCCAATGAGGGATTCGATAATTTGTTTCTTTTAAGGGAGAGGCATATCTTCAGGAATCTTATACTATTCCATTAATTCCCTTTCTAATTTCATCCTTTCAATTTATTTCTAGTAATCCAACTACTTTTATTTTTCCCTCTCCATTTATTCAGCTTTTCTGGGCTAATGATAAAATCATAAAATATGAATTACATCCATTGGAGAAACTTGAGTAGATGATTTTCTTCTTTATTATTAAATTTAGGTCAAAGGTGGTTACAATTTCTATTATAGTTTCTTTGGTTTCAATCTGCTAGATCGTTCTGGCTCTTGGGAAGATTCATTTGTGTATTCCTTTTCATAATAGCTATCTTCAGACTTTTATTTCTGTATGGAAATTTTGGTTTGAGAATACTCATTTGAAAGTTGAGGTCGTTTATGCTAATTAGCCTACTTCCTCTTCCTTTAAACCTAGGTATTTTGAACAGTGCCATTAGTACTATGCTAAGCAGTATAAACAGAACCCACAGGAGTATTTGGTGTAATAGATTTGGCTACACTTCTTGAAGAAGACTAAGGAAGATATGAATTGTCCCCAATCTTTAAATGCATTCTATCCTAAGTTGAAAATAGTATTGCTTGATGTTGTCTCATAGAACCGTCTAAGGATTCCTCCTCTATGATATTTTCACGATTATCACATCTACTTACTTAGATATTTATTTAATTATTATTATTTTCATTTTCATAATTATTTAAGTCAGAAGAACTACCACTTTGTTCTAAATTATTTATGGTATATTAATATCTATCTTCTTCAAGCTTTTCAAATCTATTGTCACTTTTGAATAATCTTTCTTATGAGTATCTTCTCTTTTTTTCATCTTCCTATTGATCATATTCATTTTCATTCCCTTAAACATTGTGAGATTTCATTCGCTTTGATCCTCTCTTAAAAGTAACTGTCAACTAATTCTTGTGTTGCTTTTGGTCAGTCTCAGAATTATTGCTATCATGATTTCTTTAATCTATCTTATCTTTCTATGCTGAAGTTAAAGTCCTTGAAGATTATGGAGGCATCAATGAATTAATATCATATTAGTCTATTGTATGTTTCTTAGACTGAAATGAATGTTCACTTATATTTAAGGCATTTATATCTTGTTTAAAATGAGTTGTTTATCGAGTGTCCTTAGGTTGTGATTATTAAGGAGAATTTGTTATAACCATATCTTCTATGAGATCTGTCCTTAAAAATTAGGGACTTTCTTATTGTCTTTCATCTATGTCCCTTCTTGATGGTTTTTATGAATTATTAATATTACCACAAAAACTGGTTTCTTATGTTAATAGTTATTATTATTACTATTATTTTCCTTGCTCTAATAATGGCTTTTGTTTTGCAGCTAAAGATTGTTAAGGCTTATGCTATATTCTTTTCTATTATTTAAATTCTTATTAAGATTATTGCTGTCGATGAGTGGCTTTTTAATTTTTAATCACATTTTACTATTTTTCAGCCTTGCTGACAGATTTTGTTTATTAATTAGTTTCATTATGTCTTTAATTTGGATCGAGTACGGGAGGTAATTTTGTTTGTTGGATTGGTGTTAAAGTTTTCCTTGAGCTGTTTTCTTGTTAGCTTATTAAATATGCCTTTTAAGGATAACTGCCTTTAATTGACTTTAATAAGACATCAGATTATTTTCTAGATGTTAAAGGCTATTGTTAATTAGATTCTTATTAATTATTAAATGTTGCAGATTAATTTTATACTTATCCATTTGATATTTCAGAAGTGAAGTTTGTATTTAAACCATACCTCAATTTTTCAGTTGGAATCAAGCAGGATTATTAGGATTCCATTTTGATTTAAGATTAAGATTGGTCAGATTATTCTTGGGTCAACAAATTATAATTTAATTTTTCATTCCTTGCTGTTGACAAATTATCTTACTTCAAAAACTAATCCTGAGTATTATCACGACTAGTTTGAATTGTTCTAACCCCTTTAATTTCATTTTTTTCTGAAGTAATCTAAGACAATCTTAAATTCCGCTTGCTTCTTTCTGTTTTTGTTGCTTCATCTAATATTTACTAATCCAAAATCTCCTTATCACTAAATTCATTTGTTTGATGTTCCTTTAGATTACTATCCTTGTGTAACAGCAGAGCACCACTTTTATTAGAGATATTAAAGGATCCTCTATAGCCTAATTATCGAGTTGACGATATTGTTTTTATCTCATAACTTACTTCTTGAATCTTTTATTATGATTGTTAATGCTTTGCCAAGTTTATTTAAATTGCTGCAAATATTTTATTAAACGCAGGTTATACTTTTGCTTTCTTTTTGTGTTTCTAAGTCATCAAATCAATGAATTAGGCTTGATCAACAAAAGATATCAACCCAATTTTTCCTTATTATACTTTTTCAACTATGTTAGCAAGAAACATGTCTTCTCTCTGATTCTATCGATTGTCTCCAAATTATAGATTAAGTGATTTCATAATAATTTTAATAATAATAATAGATTTGAATACTTTATTCCTTAAACATAATTACTAATTTAAACAAAAATTAAATGCATCACCCTAGTATTCTCACGAATTAGATAAAATAAATTAAATCTGCAAATAATTAATATACAACCAAAGAAGAAGTTAGTTACTGATCTAAAATTATCTTGTTTTATTTTACATATAAGAACGAGCAAATTTTATTTATTAACCCCTGTTTCAAAAAGATAGAATTATTAACAGAAAATCCATAACTGATTCTCTATCTAAGGAAATTAATACCAAAATGTATATATAATAATTAGATATTTTATATTTTTTATTCAAAACCAACCTGTGTTAAATTTTATTTAATGTAAAACTAATATGATATAAACTAATTTAATTATCAGATGTTTATAAAAATTAATAATTAAAAAAATTTTAATTTATAAACTACACTAAAAAAAAGGAATATATATTTATTTTTCATACTATGTTATCTTTTTTTATATATATTGTAAACTCACTTAAAATACATTTAGGATAAGACCCTTAATTTATTCTAATCGTAAGCAAATATACTTTTAAACCAGTTTGATAAAGTAATCAATGAATTTATTTATGCCTACTCTAGGATTGCTTGACTTAGATTTCACATAAATGAATACTCTTGATGAATGAGTATCATAGAAGAATATTTCTTTTGGCTTGGCTTTAAAAAAATGATTATTTTTTGTTCATAAGTATTATATAAAAATACACATTAAGAACAATCAAAATCTTGGGACTGTTTACCGTAATTTTCTTTTATTGTATAGAGCATTTGAAGATAGGTTAAGTTTAGGGATGGCATGAAACCAAAATCTTTTTCTTTGATTAATGGAAGATATTATAAATCTTTACTCTTAACCATAGTTTACTTAAGACTGATTGGATACATGTTTTATTGGATTTCCTTCTAAAACATTGATTTATTTTCTCGTAATTGGTTTTTAATTTGAACAACCCATTTTGCTTATTTTGTTTATTTAGTATATTTAAATTAAGAATGATTTAATAAGGATTATCAAATGGTATATGAAGACAAGATATAGTAAATCATAGAGAAGGGTTTAGAAAATAAATGGATTGTCTTGATATATTGTAAAGTAATAGATACATATACTTGTTTAAATTAGCCAATTAAGTTATTATAATTATGAACCAGTAATTTATCAGTCTATTATATTTTAATAAAAAATGCAGAAAACAGAAGAGAACACTTTTGATTAAAATAAATTTGATATTATTTGATAATGAACCATCTCTAAGAGGAACATAAGGAAAATAAAAAATTGTAAAAATTTTTCAATATTCATATTGGCTTCTTGATTATTATTTTCTCCAAGCTATTTTCTACTTTTCGAGTAGTAGGGACATCAGAATTTGTTTCTGGATAAACTTTCCCTAAATGAATTTAAGATGAATCTAAAGAGTGCTACTATTAGATCATTAATCCTTAATAATTCGAACTTGGTCTTTTGAGTAACTTGACGTCATCGTTATTTTCAATATCTGGGCTCTTCAATTCTACTTGTTGATCTAATGAATTTCCTTGCTTAATATCTATATCCTTTTCAGATGAATCTTAAGAAAGCTAGCCAGATCTCTTAGTTCTTTCGATTAATAAAGGTGAATTTTTATCATTTCTTCTTCTTTTAATACCCTCTCTAGTCTCATATCTCAGGATTGCCCAATAATTAATCACTTTCTCTTTCATTTCCTTCTTATTTATTAATAGTTTTTTTAGACAGGGGTATTAGAATTCAATGTTTGGAAATTTTAATTTAATTTTGGCCCTTACAATGTCAAGTTTATCGTCGAATTTATTAATATAGCCTTCAAGTAAATGAAAGAGGATCAAAGCAATCAAACAAGCATTGATTATAATTATGATTAAGAACATAATGTATTATAAATAGTCTAAATTTTCATTCATACTGGCATAAATGAGAACACCTAAACATAGTGAGCAAGAACAGGCTGCTGTTGACATCTAATCTATAAAATTCAACTTCTTTTATTTGTAAGGTATAAAAGTAAATGAAAATGCTCCATACAAAAATACTATTAGAAATATCATTAATCCCTTAATAACAATTTTATTCTCATAAAATGTTAAGGAAATTATCACAAGTTCCTTCTCAAAGATTTTTACAAATTCCCATAAATAGGCTTAATTGGTATATTCATGATAGAAGAAACCCCATCTCTTGCGTACTTCCATACTCTCCAATTAATGCTTATTTCTTCTGATCAAATGCATGAATATAAATGGTAACATGAGACTCCAGACAAATAAATTGGGACCAATAAAGATGTAAATATAATATTGATGCATATCAGTATAATATTAATAACTGACATTGCTCTAGACCCATTCTATTCCACTGACAGTTCTCGAACTCAATAAAGAAATGAACCCTCCAACTAAAGTAGGCTACAAATAGATGAACATGTAAATAAATGTAGTGTAAATGATTCCAATTTTAAATGGAGCTATTCTCATTAATACAACAGAAAAATAGCCAAAAAAGAATACAATCATATAGAATAGTGGCATCAATAATGCCCAAGCCATTCTGAAGTACAATAAATCCATAGTTGCAAAAGTCACCAAAAAACAATCTAGAGAGTAGGCCATAGATTGAGTTGGATTTCCCAATACTTCCATAGACGAAACAAAAGCAGCAGGTATCGAAATTCTAAAAGTAGTTAAAGATGCAATGATTTATAAATAATTGGTTAATTACTTCATAATTATGGATGCATTATCTAGTTAATAAATACTGATATACTTTATTATATGTTAATTCTGGCTCCAATGGATTACAAAACTTACTGATGGATTAAGTTCTCAATAAATTCATAGTTCCCTTTAACGGACATAATCATTGTGACCAGAGTGAAAATCGAAATGGCAATTATGATGAGAATGTTGGATTGAATAGTATCTTAACAAGCTCCACAAGTATATTTCTTACTTACTGAATATTAGGGTCCTCTGATTCCATAGATGTCACATTATTCACATAAAGCACCTACATGACCATCAAAACAGGAGGTATCACCTGGAACCCATCCTCCAAGACAATTGGACTTCAAGTTATAGCATTCTTCAATATTATCGTTTTTTGGAAAAGGCCGCCAATATTGTTCTTTCAATTTAATTCTAACAGGAGTAACCATATCCATTTAAATTGAATTGATGCCTTTACATTGAACACTATTCTCTTGAACAGAATAAGTATTTGCTTAGCTACATGCGGTACATTTTTATTCTAGGTAGGCTTCTCCAATTTGGCAAGGAATGGTTTTTAGATTCAGATATAGAGCGTAGTTTTTATTATAAGAAAGGACATTGTAAGGAGGTTGTTGATTGTAGATTGGGATCTATATGGAGGTGCATTAGACTAATGTATATTATAAAGTGATTACATTTGAGTTATAAGAATAAGTTATCTGCTAAGAATGGGTCGAAGTATATCTATAATTTGTCAAAATTAAAAGAGTTGCTGGATTCATCAAAAAATGTAGCCGAATAAGAAGTGAAATTAAGCAGAAACGACTTAGTGAAATCTAAATTTAATTCATCCATCAGACGACCTGAAACAGTGCAAGTTTCAGTAGAGGAAACTGATTTTATGATATTTTTATTCTTATCCAAATTGTAAATTCTAAATATCCAATTGTATGGTATTTGTTCTTAAGTATCCTCATAATAGTATTTGTATTATGATATCTATTAACCAGAAGGAAGCAATAAGTAATTGCTTTTAAAATTAGGTATGCTGGTAGACTGAACACTTACAATATCAATTATTTGGAGATTCGAGTTATCAATGATATTATCATCATTCAAGTCTCCATCATTCTCTTAAAATGTTGAGATGTCCATCATTTAACCTTCTAACATCATCAATCCCAACCCTTCTGGCATCTGTTCAATTTATGTATTGCTGTTATGATGAATGAAGATCTGCGAATTTTCAAGATTGTTAAGATTATTATTCATCATATAAATTGCACTACCTAATTGGGCATCATTATTGATGTAGTTGTTGTTAAATTGATCTAAGATATTCTTACTTTCTGAATCATAAACGAAGGCCATTCCTCCTCCAACCAAAGTTGCTTTGTTATCCATAAATTGACTATCTATTATCTTTATGCTCACTCCGATTATTGAAACACCAGCCCCTATTTGAGCAGAATTACTTTAAAATAGACTTTGCTATAAATTAATATGATATTTTTAGGTTGCAGTTGAACTCTATAGGATTCTATTACTGTAAGTAATATTTAATTAAGGGATAGTTTGAGTCGTTATGACCAAACAACCAAAGTAGCCAATTATGTTATTTTAACAAGTCAATTCAAAGATGCTAGTAGTATTGTGAGCTGATAAATCATAGTTATTAATTAGAATTAGCCCTTATTTACATCGATCACAGAAAGAATTTTTAATTGTAACTGAATTCATGTTAATATTGTTAGTCGATTTAATATGGCTTAATTTAATATAATGAGGAATGCTGTCGATTTAATAGGTGAATTATAGATTTGTAAAATAACACAAACTAAAATCCTATTGTGTTATTACATTTTCTACAAAATTTACATTTCTATAAGAATATAAAGATTTAATTTCTCTAGAAGTACTTAATTTAATTTCATCGAGGGCATATTTGTCTGAGTATGATAAGGAGTCATAATAATCGTACAATGTACTATTATCCAACTTAGTTTGTGATATTTGTCTGTAATCGTAGATATCCTTATAGAACTATCTTAAATCCTCTTATTCTGTACAGGTTTAAGTGTTTGCTAGTTCGAACATTGAAGAAATTGATTGGCATCGACTATTGAATTTATAAATAAACTATTCTTTTGTTAACACTTTTTATTCTGTAATATTGTCAATAACAACATTCTAAAGTTCTACTGTCGAATACTTTGTGTAGTGAGTAATTTCTATTAAAGATTGACTAAATACAGTAGTATCTTTAATCACTAAATCTTGCAGGATTACCATAAACATATTTTTAAGTTCCATTAATCCTTGAATCTGTATATCATTAAATTAACTTTATTGGATTTCAAATATGCCATAATTCTATTTTATCAAACTTATCCCAGATATTATCAATTACTCTTCTTCAACACTGATATCACTTAGTTATCTTAGAAATCCTTCAAAATTGTTATTCATTATATTTGTATTCCTAATACTTAAGGCTGGCAAAATTAAAGAAGATACAGAAAACTATATATCTATTAAAGAACTTTATATGGATTAACATTAAATAAATTGACTATTATCAATGGAGATAATTTATTCATATATGGATGTTTGCACATAAATGCATCCACCAGCTATTCGTGATACACTATGATTCATAGTGACCTTGTTTAATTTAATTTCATAACTAGACTTCTATAAATTTAAATATAATGATCCTCCATAAGCCTAATCAACATATTCCAGTGACGTTGATAGATTTGTAAACTCAGTATTGTTAATGGCAATAGATACTAGGTCCTGACCTAGAAAATAAAAGGCAGTTCCCATAAGAGATTTGCCATTCAGAAATTGGGTTTAGTCAAGTTCCAAGTTCTTACATTAGATATATATATTTGAACCCTCAGACTCTATGTTGAATTATCCAAGGAACTAAGAATAATTATTGATTTAATATTCATCGAATCTATCAAGCCAATTTGATTCCATTATATTTGTATAGTTAAACAAAGCTGAAAATACTCTTAATGATTGACTCTTTATGATATTTATGCCATATTGTGATTAAGTAGCTCTATTATTCTAAGCAACTAAATGTTTGATACTAATCATGCTGTTCGGACTCAAAATTGTAAAGCAAGTAGATATTTCCATAGTGATAGACTCAACTAATTAATGTAGGTGATTGCCGATTAATTGGACATTATCTATAAGGATAGTTTGAATTTAATCAGATTCAATAATGACACTTCCAATAATAGTTACTGGATTTGAAATTGCAATAGATGTATTAAAAATATTGATATTTTCTAAGATTATGACTTCATTGTTATATCCATAGTAAAAATCCAATTTATTTTTAGTCGCACTTTAAATAATGAAATTACTAGTTTGCTTCATCAATGATTCATATGATTGAATGTAAATGAATCCATTATCAATTCCTAGAAGACCCTTCAGAGAAGCATCAGATATCTTTACTCCGTATATGAAATCCTAGACATCCAAACAATATGAGTTATAACTGCCGAATGATTATTTCTAATAGGAACACGTAGTATTGCTAGGTAATTTGTTATTAAAAGGATATTAGATGATTGAACTGTTCTCAATCTTAGTACGAGGACTTGTGTCTTTCTTGCCGATGATGTTTTTCGAGAAATCACATAAGAATTTGGATACTTCTAAGGAGGCTATTTCTTAGAATGAAATCACAGTTATGGATAATTGAGTATCAATTACAATATTAGTTAGTTTGACTTACTTCATTTCAGTAACTCTGGTGATCGCAGAAGAAACTGATTGCCTTTGTATTAATGATAATTCAACGTAGTTATTAAATATATAAAAATTCTACATTACTAAATCTGAATATATTTCTTCTGAGTTGTATGGTGTTTATAAGAGCATAAGACAATTGATATTGTAACAAGTATTTTCTACAAATTTAAGATTTGATATTTCAAATCCCTGATTTTTGATTTGATTATAAAATGTTTCAGTATCTGGAACTTAGTCTGCAGTTGTAAAGATTAGTGAATAGTTAGTAAAAACATTCATATAGATGTAAACATTCTATATTTAATAGGTGTTACATTTAAATAATTCTGTATCATTAAATCTATTTCCAATTATATCTAATTAATTTATGGACAATGTGGAAATATAACTAGATTTTATAATGCTTGATGCTTAATAAAATTGTGTCTATTTGATAATCAATTGGTTGATTGAAAACTTAGAAACAAATATCTAATACTCCTGCTGATTATTGAACAATGATGAATTAGTGAATATACAATCTTGAATTACTAAATTGTTAATATTTACTATACTATAAGGTGTTAAAGGAAATATTGTATTATGTATAAATTAACTACTTTTTAAATACACATTAGAGAATTCAAATACGTAGTTATTGATTTTTAGTTGATTAACAGTAATTTGATCTGAATGTTATAAATTTTAAATGTAGACATCCTTCAATTCTAATTAATTAAGGTTTGTAAGATTCAGAGTAAATATTTATGAATCCTTATATTTATTTTAATCATATCCCAGTTTACAATTCTATATTTACAAGTATGTAGATGAAATATTATTAGTTATTACTAATCCAAAGTCATTCTATAAATTGGAATAGATATTAATGTTTTTGATCATCACAAAAGGGAAATCCTGTAAGTAGAAATTGTCTGTAATGTAAAAAGTAATTGGTTAACTGTGAGCACTCTGAATATTAACTTAGAACTTACTCAATGCATAAACATTTTTATGGAACTCTGTTATGAGCTATGTAGACTTTTGAAATGTGCATTTAAAATCAATAGAATTAGTAAATAGTATGTCTAAAGTTAATTCTTCTAATGTTGCTTAATTCTTAGTTGAATATGATTGAAAAGTCTCTAAATATTAAAACTCAATGGAGGCAATATCTTCGAAATCTAATGAATAATAATCATTCAGATTGTAGTGATAGAATTTTTAAGCGGAATTCAAGGTATTATAAATAGAATTATATTCATCCTCATTGCAATACACATGAACAGTAATTTGAGCTGTATGACGACATCTTTTGGTATTAGTTGAATCTGCATGTTAATAGATACACAAAATAGGTAAATTCAAATAAGAATTATATGAAACACTTTAAAAGTTCGACATAGTCATAGTCTAAGCCTTGTAACATAATCTTCCATATTGGAGTAAGTTGGAATTGTCTGGATTAAAATAAAGGTTTGTTATTTCATATGGTTCTCTGTCTCTGCATGCTAAGCAATTCAAAGGACAATCGATGCATTCAGATTTATCCGAGACTAAAGATCTATCATTGAAAGTATCATAACATTCTCCGCAGAAGGCATAAGTTGATTTAAAAATACAACTATTAATTGAGTCATCACTCACAATTTGATTCTCAACTTAGCAATTGCTACTGCAACCTAAGCATTCGTTCCCATATAGTTAATAGCCAAAATTACAGGATGTACATTAAACTTTGATAGGAATATCATTTAAGAAAGTCTCCTTTAATGAATTACTAATTGGTTACATTTTATATAAGTAATCTGTAAAATTATAGGTCTATGAGTATTGCCAACATTTTTGACAATTATTAGGACAAGGATCACAAAAGCCAGTAAAGATATTCGGATAATACCCATTGCTGCATTAAATACATTAATAGAGTGTTTGTGCTGCTCTTATAAATATCTAACCTGTACCATCCGTGTATTAAGTTTAATCCAAACTCTTATAAGAAAAGCAACTGGAACATTAACTTATATAGGAAGTGCACGAACTAGAACAAATATTACTTTATTAATTCAATATTACATTATTTACACACTATCTACATTTTAAAGTCGTATCTTAATATTTCCGATCACATTAATCTGGAGATAACGCTGAAGCTACACAACTTTATTTATTAGCACTAACAGTGTAGCCACTAATGCATTTGAAACACAATAAATTTGATACAAGATCATTGCCTTTACTAGGTTCAAAATCATAATCCATAGTTGTAACATCCCCTCGTATATTGTAATAACACAAATCGCATTTTGGTATTTGACATGTCACACAATCTATTCCATTATGACTTACAAAACTCTTTGTTGAACATTGTCTACATCTTTTAATGTAATCTTTTTATTTCATTCTATCTTAAATCTTTATCATAGTTCTTGTTGGATAACGATACTGAGCATTTGAAGCATAGGTTACATACTCACATCTTTAACATTCATTGCCACACTCTTCACAATTTTTTTAATCCAAAGAAGCCACCATACCTTCTCTACATTTTGTGCAAACTGTCTATAATTATACGATGAAGCAATTCAAACAGCCATTACCACATTTCTTACATTAACCATTCTATATCATATAGCCATCATTACATAAGGTGCATTACCCATTTGAACATTTCAAGCAATCTGATGGACAACTTATACACAATTAATTTTTGAATTCGTAGGTTAATAGGCATTCTACGCCCATTATTCCACTATCCTCAGCATATGGGGAAGTGATACTATTACAATTTCCACTTACTCCTGGAACACAAAATCTCTTACAACCTGAACAAATATAAGTTTCATATTAATATTGAACCTATATACGTTACACTATGCATTTACATCTCTTGTTATTGAATCCAAATTAACCCCACTTGAAGTAGAAGGACCAAGATAATATAATTCAGTATACTGCTTTGATTTACGTACATATGTTCCCTTCATAAAATCTCCGCTTTCGATAGTGTATTCATATGAACAAGTTCTGTTGCTCGACCAGGTATAAGGATGCTCCACACAATCCATACAATATAAGGTGAAGCTATCTATGACCTATTAATAAGGACTACATAACTAACTTTTTTTACCATTACACACAGGCATTTCCTAAGTACAGGAAATATCCGTACTCACATTAAATCTATTAGTTTTCACAATTAAATTATCCCAATGAACATAATTCCTGACAGACTCCATTTCGTGATGTTTTACACCCCATTTCTATTTACTATCTATGAATAAGTGTAATATTTTACGAGATTATCTGGTTTCTCGCAGTTGGCACAAGCTAAATTAGGGTAATAGTAAGAAGAAGTAACATTAATATTATTTTAAAATTTTAATTGTTTTTTATTCAGTTTGTGTTAATACCTGTAAATGTTAAAAATCCTAACATGAACAAGCAGCCATTAGTATTTCATAATTTTTTTGCTATTTATTTGAATCCCCAATTCTTCGATATTTGTAATTGATTTCATGAATATTGAGTAGGCCAAAATACGAAATAGAATAATTAATATTTAACTGGTCTATCTCGAGATTATTAAACATTCTCGTATAGTGGTAATGAATGAATAGAATGCTTTTGTTTTATTCATAATATTGTTCATTATCCTTATTTATTTAAATATTATAAGAAATTCTTATTTGTGTAATTTTGATATTTTATAGTTGGATAATAAAACCAAATTAAAATGTTTAATTTCAATTCTAAGTTAATTCTTCTACAAAGTCCTTTAATAAACCCTTCAAATCCTCAGTAATTTAACTAACTAGCTTAATCAAAGTTTCATTAGTTTTGGAGATAACAAATTGCAATCTTCCTTCTTCAGAATCATTTTTTTGAAGATCAGCCCTAATCAACATAGAATTAAGTATATTACTTATTAGAACTCTTCTCCTCCCTTAGTCTTTTCTTTTCAGCAAACCATTTGTAGATTTACTTCTATATCTATTCAAAACTATAAGTCAAACTGTTTAATTAAAATTCAATTTACATTACTTAATTCATTATCGAATTCTAGTGTTTAGAATCTAAATATATATTTGATATTTACAATTTGATTAGAACAGTTTTTAAGTTTCTTAAGCATACTTAATATTCTCTTCAGTAATGAATGATGATACCTATAACTAAGAACCAGAGCTGAATTTCTCAATTGGTTCATAAAACTAATTTAAACACTATTTGAATTTGCTTAATTCAAGCTTCTTATTCTCAAGGTTCTTATAATGCTGCTAAACCTATCGGTATTCTTCCTGAAACTTGGCTTCTATTTCTTTTTCCCCTTTAAAATAGTCGACAATGTCCATAATAGATTTTCCCGCAATCATTTCCTTTAACTTCTATTTTCTAGTATATTCATCAGGATCAGGCAAAAAAGTATCCTCATCTTAATTATCTCCCTTGCAATATCTCAGTTCCTTTAATATTAAATCAAACTTCTTATCATTACTTAAAAAAGACAATAATATCTAATCCTCCTTATACTTGCTTAAATATTACAAAAACAACTATAACTATTCTTACCTTTATGATATGAACTCAGCATTCTCCACAACCATACTCTTTATGCTAGAAATAACACCCTCCTTCTCTGGTAAACTAGGAATTATATCTCCCAATTTTGACTTTGTAAAATACTATTGAAGCATCTAAAAATCAGTATATCTTCTGTTAACTTAATATTTAGTATATGTTCCTTAAAGTGGGTCAGTACGAATTTCTGAACAAACAGTGTAAGTGTAATAAGTTTAAGAAAATGCACCATCTTTAAATGATTAATAACCTGAAATCCAAACATAAATATCTTTTGACTCATCCTTCTTAGGAAGGTCCTCTTCATCTTCACTTATTTCAATAAAATCAGGTTTGATTTCCTCTGTCTTTGGAGGTACTTCATAAGATTCAGTTATCTATAGTTATAAATTATTTGATGACTACTAAAGAATAGGTTTAGAATCCCCAAATGTAAAATTCATGTCATTTTATTAAATATCATTACTTTCATTTATATCTATGTTACCAAACTCAGTTATTACATGATATTTATTTTGCTCTTTGAATTAAGTTACATCTTCCAAGTTATTTTAAATTATTTATTAATCATCTTCAGATTACTAATTTGTATTATTTTGTGCTTAGATTTAATTTATGTGTTCATTGCATTATTCAATCTCATTTACTACTTCCAATTGTACTTTCTCCTTGTTTTCAGTTATTCCTTCTTTTTCTTTTTAGATTTCTTGATTTGGATTATCCTTTATTTCTTATGAAGTAGAACTCTACTTTTTTTCTAAATTTGGTGGTTCTTTTACTAAGTTTTATAAATTCTTGAGAGCAATCATCGACTTATCCAACAGCTCTTCTGGGTTTGGAGGCTAAAATGACTTTTTCAAGCTCTATTTGCTATTTACTCTAAGTGGGAATTGCAGTTTGATTGTTTTTATATCACAAGTTTCAATGTCCACTTTATTTTGCAAACATTATATATACCTGAGTGTTGTAAAGAACCCTTCCCTATCCAACTCATCAGAGTTTTAACGAGAGAATACCTTTTTTAAAATTAAATCAGCTTGAGCTTCTGTAATCGAAAACTAACCTATTATTATTTTTTTAGTTTTTTTAAAATCTAAATTCACTTTCGCCTTTACCACTTTATCATACTTTTCTTAATAAGAACGCAATTCATTCTGGTTTAGTTCAAACAACATCTTCTTTATAAAAATAATAATATATTAATTTTCTATAATATTGCTTTTTAATTCAATAATATAGAAATATTTTAAAAGTAAGAATAAACTACGATTCCATTTAGGAATAAATATCATTTACATTCATACATATGCATTAATGATTAGTTTGAAACCGTTAATTTGTTGAATAAGTATTTTGAAAACAAAAATAAAACTTAATAGAAAATATTTCTCACTTAAATTACCATTAAATTGTATGATTTTAAATTAAAAATAGTCTAAGTTTATTTATCACATAAAGAAAAAACTATATATTGAGTAAGATTACAAATTAATCTAGTTTCTTTTAAGATACTTTGAAAATAGCAATAATTTTATTTACATAAATATTTAAATATTATTTTTATTGCAGTTAATAACAATGTCCAATTCTCTAAAACAATCTGTACCTTTGGCTGCTAGTAATCAAAAAGGCTATAATCCAATTCTAAAATACGAGGACATCAGAATAGGTCCTTCAATTGCACCTTCGAATTCTCAATAAATAAAAGACAAACCTTACTTTTAGCATCAAGATAAAAAGTTAAGTCAATCCTAAGTTCAAAAATAAAAAGGACAGCAAGAATCAGTAATTGTTTAGCATATTCGGATTATTTTTATGTTTTATGTGTAATTTGGCAATAAAACAAGCATTTAATATTTAAAATCAAGCAAATTTATAAAAGCAATGGCAGATGCTGAAATAATTACACAGGGTATCTATACATAATTTAAATTAGAAATAACTAGCAAAGATCTTGATATTTTGTATTTCTAAACAACAAAAAATACAGAAACCCTAACTTTAGACCAATTCAAAGATTTACTTTTAAAAATAGCAACTAAATTATATAGGATTCCTGAACAATCAAAGTCTTTTGTTTTACTTTATAAAAATCATTTATCAAAGTTATATGAAAAAATAAACGATCAAACAGATTTTGGTTAAGATTTAAAGAGAATTGAAGCATGTCGTAGTTTAATAGATGAATAATTTTTGGAAATCATTTCTCAAGTATAAGGATTATTGAGTAAAATACATGGGTTCATATTTCAAGATTAAAGTTAAAAGATTTCTTAAATTTAGAGTTAATACATGCATTTTTTATAATAATTTGACATAATTCCTTTAATTATTACACAGACTAAGGGTTAAATGATATTTTTTGATTTGTTTCATCGGGATTCAATCTTAAATTTAAAGAATGATGGGAAGTATTTATTTAATTTTTCTAAATTTGTCGAAAGCTTACTCATTATCTCTTTTCATTAAATTTAAGAAGACAACTAAAATGGATTGGATTTGTTTTATTAATTACTTGAGAAATTGGAGAACTCTTCAGGATTTCAAAATTTTTCAAAATAGAATAATTAAACAAAGAATGAATAAACTCAATTAGTAATGGCATTGAGCAGAGTAAATTCTGTAAAGTAGAGTAGAGTCTCTACAGTTTATCAAGGTTAATAATAATAGTAAAATTCAAATCTAAAATAATCCTAATAAATAGTTGAGGAAAGTAAATAATTATAATATGGTTCATAAATACCTTATGAAAAAGAGTTAAGAAATGTATTCGAATATTATTCATAAATAGGAGAACCTCTAAATCTAGTAAATTTAAAAAGCATAAAATATAAAAAGCTACTCTAAAATTGTGGTATAATTGGAACTTTGATCACTCAAGTGGATGCAGATATGTTTTATATTTAATCAACACCTAAAAAGAGATTGGATTCAACTAAAACTCCAAAATTTAAAGTTAATAAATTGTATGACAATGATAATTAAAATGGTAAAATGGATTTTATAAACTTCTTTAACTCTTTATAGTTGATAGCAGAAAAGTTCAATGGTAATGATATTGCAGGATTGATTGAGCAATATTTTATACCCCATGAAAATTAGTTAAGAATAGAAAAGCAAGAGCATATTTTACAGATTTTGATGTTGATTTTAGATGATCCAAAAATAGTATTACATAATAATTACTTCATTTTTAGATTAGACTGTATGAAATCATGCAGGAGCATTTTGAACCATACTATAATCATTATACAAAAGATTTAATGACCCTATCAGGCTTTATGAAATTTTGTTAAGATTTCGAATTGGCAAATTCAATGGTATCTAAAGGATAGCTTATGCATGTTTTCAAAGCAATTGCATCTCTAAATAACACTGATACAATTGATAAACACTAGTTTGTTGAAGCCATAAGTGTAATTGCTATTTTAATCTACAATAATGTGAATGATAATGAACAGAAAGTAATATTGATCTGATTAATAGATTATCTATTTGTTGGAAAGAATAACTTAAAGTGATGGTGCAGTGAAGGTATCTAAACAATTAGGAATTATGAAAAACCCATAAAATACGAATTTAATTTAATTGTTTCGTTATCAATCTTATAAGGAGATAACAAACAAAGAAGAAGTAAACTTTAACAACATAGTAAACTAAATATAAGATGATTTTTGATTTAATATATATATCTATATATTTAAATGATAGTTGTAAGGTTTCAATAATAATAACTATCATTGTCGTCATTTTGTGACTTTTCTTTTGCAGCCGATGACTAGAAACTTTTGGAGAATACTGACGATGCTTTATTAAATTTAAAAGAATCATCAAATTCGTCATCGTAATTTTAATAGCTTATTTCATTAATTTCTTTAATGTCATCTTCAAGTTCGCTGTCTCCCTCAAAAACCTTTCTCCAATCTGGGATTTCATTTTGAGGTTTATTATTATACTTATTCTGTTATTGTTATTAAATTTGAGGAACATTCTTCTCTGGAGGATTATTCCCGAATTATTGAGCAGCAACCAGTTGCATTTCTTTGAAGAGATCAGCTTCCTCTGCCTTCTTTGAATCCAATTAGTTATATCTACATTGAGCGATATGTCTCTCCATTCCTGATTTAATAACAATGTGTAAACAATTATATGGACAAGTATCATATTTATGACCTAAGTAGATTGTAAAGAATACCCTTTTCTCTCTTGTCCTTGCATCCTTTGGAAATGTGGAACCATAATTTACTGAAGGGCATTTAATGTTTCTTATTATATGGACATTAGACTTCGAAGTCATGGCGACGGTCTCCTCTTTAAAAACTCATTATTTGGAGGATTAATAATAATATAATTTAATAATTATATAATGATTTTCATTATTTTAATGTACTCAAAGCACAACACATTCCACAACACCCACAACAAAATAAAATTGATGTTATTATTAGATATATTACTGTGAATGTTCTTAAGTTACCGCAGGGTTCTTTTAAGTAGAGTGCATACTTGATTTCTAAATAATAGAATACTTACGGCGAACAAAATAATGAAAATAACTCCCACTATTCCAGAGAGCAGTTAAATACAATCGATGCCTGAATTACATCCTTCATCTTTTATCAACCTTGATACCATCCATATTAAACTAAATAGGTTTCATTTGAAAATTAACATTATAAATATAGCAAAAGTAATGCAAAAAATGGAGTAGTTATGAGTATAATTTCTCAATTTAAAGCAGTCATCGCTCTCTATTTAATATTTTCATAACACTTGTTTACCGTATAATTCTTCGTGGGATGAAAAATAATAAAAAGATCCTCCAACAACAGCAGATGTTATTAATGTTAACCAGGCAGCTTATTATCTAGTTTTAGAATCCATTTTAAATAATATTTAATTAAAAAACGATAAGCAAGATATATTGTATATAAAAGTTCTTCTAATAAGGGCGAGACCAAACCAAAATCTTGTTATTTTATTGATTGTATTAATGTTTTTTAATCATTTTTGGGATGTAGCTACTGCAGCAAGGCATACTAAACAACAACTCAAGAAAACTCCAAGAATAATTAAAATTGTGAAAACCCAAACTAACGTAGTCAAACTTCCACATTCCTCTTTTTGTGCCAAGGCAATCTTTTGTATTATAAATCCTTTACCCATAACATTATCCAAATTACTAATGAAAAGATTCCATATACTGTGTTCATTACTCCCTCTGCTGACAAAAGGAAACTAATGCTTTTTGAGCTGCAAGAATAAATTAACAAGAGACTATATAATGTATATTTATTTACGTATGAATTACAACAAGTATTAAAGTAGCGGCACCTAAAATATAAGAAAACTTTTTCAACTAAATGCAGCTGCTCTCATCACCTAAAATTCTTATAAAGATATTACCATAATATCCAGGAGTGGTAGAAAACAGATAAAACAACAATCCGTATATTGATTAGAAAATAATGGTACAAACCTATTAACTCCATACCGAAGCGTTCTATTACTTTTACAGCCTAAAAGTATGATAATACAGCAAACCTGTCATTTTCTAAGTTCATGATTTGTGCGAGATTTTCCAATTCGTCGGTATTCATAATTTCAAAAACGATAAATAAAATAATCACTTCTTGGTGTAAGATTTGCAATTATGATTCCCAGTCCGAAGCTCAAAATTCTGTTATTTAGTTATAAAACCGAAAGAAATACAGTAAAATAACCAAATATTCTAAGCAAACAAATTCTATTTATTATGAAACATGTTGTGTTATAATATATTAATCACAAATAAACGAAAATATCAAATTAAGAAAATTTGTTTTATAAAAGAATCTGTATTCCCTCTGATCTTAATGAAAAATCAATACTAAAATAACAACAATCAAATCTATTCACCACGTCTTTCAACCTTTTGGGGTTTCTAAGTTGTACTAATTTAAATTAATTATTATTTTCTATTATAATATTTATACATTCAATGAAGAATTTATAATATATCATTAACACATATATATATTAATATAATTAGTTATTTTGTTACTGTAAAAATATTTGCCTAGATATCAATTAGTTTGAAGTATTTTTTTAATTTATTCATAAATGTTAGCATCGGATTATGACTATATGATCTTGTCCGATTTCAAAAGGAATTGTAACATACTTCCTGGAGGTGGGCATTCCTTATCCTAGTTTATCATCTAATATTCGTGCTTAGTAAGCAAATACTAGTTAGTATTATGAGGAGAACTGAGTTAATGTTCTTCCAATACAATGATGTGAATAATTTTTTTTATTTTTTTCTTGATTCTTAAACCATTTTTCTATTTCATTTCAGCTGTTCCAAGTTCTTTGCTTTAAGGGGAAACACTTATGTGCAAATTTGTTTTTCAAGTTATTTTTAATTTGTGAATTGTTGCATGTTTTGAATCGCATTTGAAGGGGGTTTTTAAGTAATTTTCAGTATATATAGTATTATATTATTTTTAATATTGATATTATACGTCATTCTAATATCTCTCTTACTTTATATAACTTTGATTATCGTATAGACTCCTAAATGAATTACCTAACTTTTTCAACTTCATGATCAGGAGTCAATCCATGCGATAAATTCATAATATATCTTCTGGTTGTTTATAATTTTTCAATCATTTAAGATACTCTCTTTTTTATGATTTATTAAGTACCATACAAAACCTAGAAAATATGATTTAAATACTCCAGGTTCAAGATTTCCTTGGATAGTTCTATCACTTTCAATAATTTTGATTAGGACATCATCACTAACATTGGAATCCAACTAGAACCCGTCAATCAAAGGAGTTTCCCCCAAGCACATTTTGAGAAAAGCCAAGATAACTTCAACTCCATTTTGATCCTTAGCAAACATTATTAATGGAGTGTTTGGACACTCTTATTTGAATCCTTCTAATAAGATTCTTAATGAGGGAATAACAAATTCAATATAATCAATAGGTGGAATTTATCTAAAGTTTAAGTTTGAGTAATACCCTGCAAAGGAATCGAAGATCTAAATAACTTGGGCTCCTCCTTCTTTGACTTAATTAATTAAATATTGAGCACTCTCCCTAGCAATTAAATCCATGACTTTTCTGGTTTCTTAAGTGTATTAATACAACCATTTCTTAGTTTTTAGAAACATTTTGGATGTCTCACCTTCAACCATATAAGAAAAAACAGTGAATGGAGCTCCACAAAAGCCAATGAGAGTCTACTTTCCTTATAAAGCTTATCTTGTTAGATATAATGCATCATAAACATGTTCTAGACTCTCTGGATCTGGAGATTTGATTCTATTGATATCATCAACGGTTTCTAATTTATTTTTGATGATGGGTCCTTTTTCTTTATCCATGACAATCTATTGTTGTTATTTACATTTAAATACTTCCATTCCCATTGCTTTTGGAAGTGTTAGAATATCCGAGAATATGATAGCAGCATCGATTTCGAATTGTTTCAATGGTTGTAAGGTGATTTCAGCTGCAATGAATGGATCTTAACATGCATCAAAGAAATCTCTGTTTTTCATGATTTCTTTGAATTCAGGAAGGTATCTCCCTGCTTATCTGAGTTCAAAGGATTCGATACCTCATCATCCAGATTGGAGCACGATCAAATTAAGCAAACGATTAAAACGCATCTAAGAGTCTGGTATTGGTTTGACGAGGGAAGGTTTAATTGGTTTTCCTTATCTCTCTTAGGTTCTCTTTGGTGATCTTTAATTTGTCTATTGTTTCCTTGAGGATTTTGAGGGTTTCGGGATTGTCCATAACTTTACAGATATATTTAATATAGAAATGTGATAATTTGGGAATGCTTAAAATAAATAATAAATATTTAGATGTCATAATACCATTATTTATTCAAATTTATCATAGTTGGAGATGGAAGTGTGGGGAAGTCTTGCATTTTGTTGAGATACACAGAGAAATAATTTCGAGATGAACATGACACTACAATCGGAGTGGAATTTGGATCTTAGGTTTTTGTAAAGAATGAGAAGACAATAAAAATATAAATTTGGGATACTGCAGGATAGGATTCCTTCAAGTCAATAACGAGATCCTATTATAAAGGGTATCTAATTGAGAATGAAGTTTAGATCCATTGGGGTTTTGCTTGTTTTTGACATCACAAACGAGGAATCATTCCACAATGTATTAAAGTGGTATAATGAAGTCAATGATTCAGCTGCCTAGAATTGCTAAATAGTCTTGGTAGGCAATAAAGTTGATTTGGAATCCCAGTACATATTACACATTAATTATCATAGTCGTAAAATATCGACCATTCAAGCGAAGGCATTTGCTGATCAACACAAAATGCAATACATTGAAACTTCAGCTAAAACCAATTATAATATTGACTAATTGTTTGAGAATACAGCCATGGAAATTGTTGATAAAATCGAAAAGAAACAAATTGAGTTCGCTACAGAAGTATAAATTACATTGTGAACATTAATAGGATAGTGGCGTTAAATTAGGTAATTACTATAAATAATAAAATACAAAAAAATAAGAAGACGATTGCAAATGCTGATTATTAAAATTAACAAAGTATCATCAGTTATTCACAATAATAATATGAATAATGCAAAGCAAATCACAACTATTTGAGTAAATTCGAAATTATCACATCTCTCTTTGCATATTTTAATATTCTTCCACCAACTTGTAGTGTTTGGCTTTAAATTATAGAGCATCACTTCATTCACTTTGGTCACCTATCTAAATATATTCAACATACTTCTGAATGGTAAAAAATGGTAGAGCCCATATACGATTCATTCATAAACACCAACACCTCTTGTGTATCCCAATTCAATAAGATATCTGCTTATGTCCAAATGATTTTAGCATCACTTGAAACTGAACTATTATAAAATGTGATCATTTAATTGTCATTCACTCTGACGAACCCAGCATATCCACATCTAAATGAAATGGCAGTTTTATCAGTCGCAGTATCCTTCAATCTCAAGTTCGTGTCCTCAATCTCCTTATTTCCTGACGCAAACCAAAATCGAATATGCTAAGGTTGTGATTCTTCAAACAGATGATAGAATCCATCCTTGAAACTTAGTTCCGATTCTTCCTTTTTCTTTAATTTCAAGAACTTTCAGTAATTCATAATTTAACATACTTTTCCATCCCCCTCAGTAACAAATTCGGTTTCCATATATTCTTCAGTCTAATTCATGATCCAATTTTATTCAACTCCAAAATTCCCTTCGCCTTTCAAATAATCAGTTCCATCATAGGCTGCATATATTAAAGTTATTAAAGTTGTGATTAATATCATTATGTAATTATAATAAAAAAATCAACTTGCATTCAATAATTGTTTGTATTTGTCTCATAGAATTATTACTTGATTCAGATCAAAACTTAATAATTAAATGGAGATTCCTTATCACTTTGATATCCATTAAGAACGATGATTCAATTAAACTATTTCTTTAGAAATTATGTAAAATGTGATAAGAAATCAGATGAAAGATATATAATTTATTCCAGAAAAATTTCATATTTAGAAGGATATTCAATTTTTAAGAAGGCTATTTATGAATTTCATTTGTAATCAAATATATTTCCAACTAATGAATTTAACTCCATTAATTTAGAAATGAAGGTTTATTAGCTTGGGAAATAAATGTCTAATTTAAATGCTATGATATCTATTGATTATGAAGATTTTTAAAGTTGTAGATTTAATAGTCTAAAACAGATAACTTGAATCCAAATTTATAGATAATTACTCTGTTAAGCATGAGATCTCTGAATTGGTGTTAGAAGATATAATAATTAGACTTAAGATTTGAGAATTATAATATGAGTAAGGATAAGATAATTGAAAAATAATAAATTTCATTTTCAATCGAATCATATCAAAAGGGGAGTTAAAATTAAAAAAAGAATTGATTTTTGAAGTGATATATTAATTAAATCATAGAACTCATTCTTAAAACAGCCTTAATGATTGTTAAGTGTTATTTCTAAAATTTCTTTGGATTTCAAATTCATATACTTTAAAATCCATTTATATTATTAAATTAATTGTTTTTTTAACGATAAATAATATGATCGAATTTTATTTCAACAAGACGCATCTAAATCATTTTATAAAATTTGATTTATTTTCCATATCCAATAATTATACATTGTATCATAATTAAATTGCAAAATGAATCAATATTATTATATATATATTTCATTCCTTTGGTTAACCACCTTCAGGTGTTTACTTTCCTAATAAAGCTTTGTGAATATGAGGAATGACACCACCGCCAGCTATTGTTGCTCTGATAAGGATATCAAGCTCTTCATCTCCTCTAATAGCTAATTGTAAATGTCTTGGAGTTATTCTTCTGACTAAAAAATTATATTGATTTTTTCTCACCTTTAAAGTCCTTAGAAGCATTCCCTGCTAACTCAAGCACCTCTGCAGTTAAATATTCCAAAATTGCTGATGCGTATACTGCTGATGTAGTTCCTACTCTGTTTTTAGCAGATACTCTTTGCTTAAGATATCGATGAATACGACCAACAGGGAACTAAAATTTACAAAAATACATACTTAAAGCCCTGCCTTCAAAGACCTAGATTGAGGAGTCTTCTTATTTTTTCCAGATCCAAACTTTCCTCCTTTTCCTCCTTTTCCACCTTTTCCACCCTTTGCACTCTTAGCAATTCCTGACTAAAGAATAAAATAAATATATTACCATATATTTGTTATTTTAATATACTAGAAAATTATTTTTTATATCTAGTTTAAGAATCTCAAAACTTAAATTTGATTGGTTTTCAAACTATAAACTCGAATAATTCATCAAGCTCATTTACTATCATCACTTCCACTTTTAATCTCACCTATCATTCTTCTAAGTTGCAGATTTTCATAAACTTTAATTATTATGAAATTTTTGGAAATATTATATTAACTAAGGATATTAAATATACAATTTAAAAACTTGATAATTATCCATTAAGTTATGATTTTGATTTATACTTTAGTGAATACATCCTAATCAATTAATGGAACCATTAACTTTTTGTATTTCACAGAGTTACCTACTTATTATTGAGAATTTTTACAGAAAATTCGATATAAAAATTAATGAATACTAAAAATTAGAGAATCCCAAAATTTGTGACCAAATTGATTGAAATATTAGATGTAATCCAATTAAATTATTTAATATAGAATTAATCTTATTAAGAAATTATTAGTTTCGATTAAAAAGGTGATGGTATTATAATCCATCAATAAGAACTATTTGAAAATTAGATACTCTTAAACTATTTTAAGCATAATCATATTGACTCATTTACTCGCTAAATGAATAACTATGGATTTAAACGCGTGAAGAATCATTAAGGGAAGTATGAATTTAAAAATCCATACTTCTAGAAAAATAATAAGTATTCCTTTTATAATATCGCGCTTAGAAATTTGATTCACTTAGTCATGAAAAAGAAACAAGAAAAAATAAAAATAATATCACAATTCTTAGCATTAAAATCAGAGCTAAACTCTTTTTCAAAAGAATTAGACTAATTTAATTTTTTCGCCTCCTCTGTATTTCATTAAATTATTTAAGTATTAATAAAGCTAATCTATTTTAACAGAATCTTAAAATAAAGCTAAATTAGAAATGATTTCTATTTCATAAAAGAACCTTGAATTGGAAAAAATGCTAAACTCTTTAATTAATGAAAAAAAATTGTATTGAATTGAAGTGATATTCTCAGTTTTATTTTAATTTTGCTCAACAAAATTTATAACCAAGTACAAATTTTTCAAGCTTCTTTTTTCTATTACATTTTATTATAATTAATATTACTTATTTCTACCAATTTTAGATGTCATTCACTAAATTTAATCACAAATCAAGTAAATTTAAATATGTTATCAGCTTTGAACGTAAAGTTCAAGTTTTGAGAGTTTTAAGCATTTTTTATATACTTATATATATATATATATTCTTTTTCATTTAATTTAAATGATAAAGTCATTATGATTATCAATTATCTTCCTCTTAAACCATGTCTTACTTTCTTAAATACTCTATTTAGGTTTCATTTAATTGAATCATCTAACCATTTTCATCCAATAAATAATTGCCCTCGTCATCTAATAAGAAACCATTTTCGTCCAGTTAATATGTAGCTTCATTTTCTTCATCATCATCTTCGTCTTCTCCTTTTTAATCATTTTTCTAATGCTAATCCTCCTCTTTCACTTCAACTATCTTCTCTTCCTAAAATTAGCTATTCTTAGAAGGACTCAATGCCTTCAATTTGTCCATAAAAGCTTCCTTCTCAAACTCATGTTCTATTTATTCCTATTATTTTAAACAAATCTAATACAATATTGTTTTATTCAGATAATTCATTTAATTGCTAGTCGCTCTTACTCTCGGAATCTTCTTCATAATTAAACACTTAGACCTATGCTTATTGTATCTCAGGCTTTTTCTTATTATATTCATCAATCCAATTGGTCTACTCTGTCTGCTTAAATGAAAATAGTAATTCTTAATGCGACTTTCTGATCTCTTCATTTGATTTATTTTATAAATCTTAAAGGTATTCAAACTAATTTTTATATTCTTATTTAATTCTTTCAAATTATTTGGTTAAACTAGAAAGTTCTAATTTTAATTATGTAATTCCATTGTCATTTTCGTCTTTATTCTAAAACATATTAATATCCTATAAATACCTAATCGACCTTTTATTCTAATTATTTCAGATATATTTCTTGCTTAGAATTTTACGAAAGATGTTAATCAATTCTGAGAGTTAATTCTTGATACTGCTAAGAGAGTAACTTTTATGAATTCTGTAGATCAAACACTCCTTGAGTAATTTTATTTAAATCCGCCTATTGAAGTGTTAATTCTGTCAATCTAATTTATATGTTATCCATTACTTATCAGATTAAGAAAATGTTTTTTACTGGATTATATTCTAAACCTACTATAATTTGATTTCAATATCATCGGACAGTTTTTTACTTGCTTAAGCAATATTGTTTTATTAATTATTTTAAAATGTCTTAAATTAAGCAATGGTCTATTCCTCTTAAACACTAATTTTTTAGGATTGTTCAAACAAATTCTTTTCTAATTTTGCTAATTGTTATCTAATTCAAATATAATGGAATTTTTACTTGGTCTTTTAATCATACAATGTGAATTCATTATGTTAAGAATCAAATAATAATTGAAGATCTTTAATTTTTTATTGAATATCCTTAATTGTTTTATCTTCACTTAGATTATTTTAAGGAGCAATTCTCAATTAAGAGTCTTCTTTTAATTTAACTAAATTTTACTAGTTGTCTTTTTATATCAATTTTAATTTATTATCAGTCTAATCTTGTAATTCTTTGAACTTATTTTAATAATCGTTTTAAAAATTAACCTATTAACTCATTAATTCCTCTTAAGCCTTTTTTATTTATGTTCTGATCTATAAAAATTGAAAATAAAAATTACAGATTCTTCAAACTATTTAAATTTTATGCTTAACTATTCAGCATTTATTGGATTTTGTCCTCTAATATCAAAAATAATAGTTCTGTTTGAATCTATTTGATTTTATAATTCTTTAATCTTTAGTTCTTGTGCTTATGATTTTTCCATTATCATTTGATTGACATGTTTCACAATTTGTTAAAATCCAACATTACTCTCATCTACCCTGTTACTCAAGAAGGAAGCATCTTATGATTACATTGCAGTGCTCAATGCAGAAAAAGGAGAATTATGTTAAGGTGCTGAATAACATATAAAAAATACCCATTAGAAGGTGTTCAGTGCTTTTCATATTAGCAATCCTTGTATCAGCCTATCTACCAGTTTATATTTGATTAGGTTAGTTATACATATAGCCTTATTATGCCTACTTGTCTTATAGAAAAATGGGTTTTCTACTCATATTGATTGAAAATTTAAGGTAATTAATAATAATAAATACTTTTTTATAAATTATTCACAAAGCACTTCATACACATAATATGTTTTTGAACGAATGTTGAATCTGAGAATTGAATGTAAAATTACCCTAAGAATAAGATTGAATTGATATTTATGACTATTTAAATAATAATTAATCAACATTAACATATCATTAAAACTTATACCCATCGAATAAACTTTATACACTTTTTCTTCTTAATAAACTCTGACAGTCTTCTTCTATTTCACTATCTGCTGATATCTGATTTTAAAAATCACTATTACCATCAATACACTTTTTATTAAGAAATATAAGTTACTCCTGGTATGTATAAAGATTTCATCTCTTTATTTAGCAATTTAGCCCATTAGACTCCTTTCAACCAAGAATGATGAATTATCTCTTCAATTCCGCTGAAGCCTAATCTTTATTATGGTTTACGAATGAGTAACTAATTTAAATGATAATATACCCTATTAATAAAATCGATGGCTTTGCTACTAATATTAGGAGTCCCTTCTTTTATCGATGCTTACTTGGCTAATATTTGTTCTCTAATTTCTTATCTATTTTTTCCATTATAGGGCCTTTTACCAATTAAAATTTCATATAGAATAACTCCTAGTGCATAATAATCAACAGGATAGGAATGCTCCAATCTACACATAACTTCTGGTGCCATATAACCTGGTGTCCCAGAAGTATCATTTGCAATGCTATCCTTATTTAATCTAGCAACTCCCAAATCAGTTAAATGCAAAAAACCATCTTTGTCGAATACTAAATTTTCTGGTTTAAGATCTCGATGAATGATACCGTTCGAATGCAAATACTGCAATGCAAGTAGCATACAACAAGCGAAAAATTCTCATTATATTAATTTCGTACTTGCTTGATCTTCAGTAAATCTTTTCAATTTACAAATATGGAATCTTAAATCTCCACCTCTTAATAAATCCAACACGAGATAAAGATTTTCTTTATCTTAAAATGCAAAATGCATGTTCACAATAAATGGATGACGAAGATGTTCCAATAAGAACTTTTCATTCATAACTGAATTGACTGATCTTTTAGAAATAATTCTAAGATATAAGTAAATATACTTTGCCTTGATCATTTCTTTCAATGCAAACTCTTTTTTTGTTTGTTTCATTTCAACTCTCCACACTTTTCCGAAGCCTCCCTTACCGATCACATAAATAAATCGAAATGTTAATCTACTTATCGTAGTAATTTATTATTATGACGTTTTAAGTTAAATAGTTTCCTTTTAGGAATAATTGTCTAATGATATTTTTCTTGAATGAGATTTTGACAATAACCATGTCGAAGAGTTAGTAGACGAATCTTTTTAATCATAATTCAACTTCCCACCATAATATGTTTGCTACAACAATTAATTTGATGATTATTTTGATAATTTTCTGGATATCAGACCTTAAAGTTAAGCTACTCCTTATTTTTCTATTTTTCCTTAATCTATTATTATTGAGTGTTTTAATGGTTTTAAAGAAATCATTGATGATGATCTTTTTCGAGAACATATTACACAACTCATTTAATTACATGTACAAGATTCTTCATAATTTTGACTAGCTTAAAGTTTTATTTTTATCTTTGCCTGTTTATTTTGCATCAAGGGTAGTAGATCTTTAAGAGAAGCATAAGATGATTTCATTCTTATAATAAATAAATTATATTTTATAATTTATAGATGATTTCAATTTCTTATTATCGTTGGATTTCAGATAAATTTTGATTCGTTAAGTTAGCTGGTCTTAATCACTAATTCCCCTTTAATAAATCGGTAGATAAACACATGTCTTCTCATAATACAAATCACTTATAATATACTTTAATTATAATTAATTATAGCTTTAGTATAACACTTTGATGTTAAATGATATTGATGTCATTTATGAGAATCAAGATATCTATAATTTTAATTTTTGATTGTAGTATCATTATTTAACTAATGAAAACATTTTCTATAAATCTATTTGCATCTCTTCTTAAGTTATTTACTAGCTAAACCCTCCATTCTTTTTCAAGAGTTCATCTAAATAACTTGATTTACTTGAATAAGACGAACTAAAATATGAGGTACCATTATTATTATTATTTGCAGGAGGTTCATAGGTACTACCCTTCCTTTTATGAATTTTCTCCAAAAATTTAAATCCTTTTCTGTTGATGGATCTTGGTAGAGGCTTCATATTTCTTTGTTTTTGATCCTCAATCCTACACCATGGACAAGTGTATTTAAATTTCATATCTTCTACTAAACATTCAATCCCCTGAATTCCATTTTTAGCTTCGCATGATAAATGTGTCTTAAATAAATTTATTATAATTTTAATACCCATTTGTCACACTTTTCCTAATCACAAGCAATCCATTTTTGACCATCCAAAAAATTTTCATTTTAATCACTGTAAACCTAGAATATAAGCATAATTACTTAAGCACAGAAATAACAGCACTTTTTCTCAGTGTATAATTCAAGACATTCTTTACAAAAAAATAGAATTTAATCACTAAATTTAGCAGGATAAACATTTTATGATTCAATGGTACAATATTAATTCATACATTCATCTTCCTGAATTTTATCTTAATCATCCATTTATATTCAAATAAAAATATTTATAATATCATTAGAAATTTTCATAAAGATAATTAATGATCATATCTGGGTCATCCCTATGAATTGCATAACCTTCGATCACTTATTCAAGTGTAAAGAACCCCATTGCCATAACTTAGGCAATAACAGGATTATTCATGGGGTCTTCATAAATTGTTTTTTCACTTTCCTTCAAAGCATTTTAAAATTGTGTATCTTCAAATTATTGTATAAATTATTATTCCTACTCCTATTTGCTTTATTCCATAATCTTCCTTAATATTTCACTCTCTAAATTAGGTTATTATTATTATTGTTATTATTATTATTATTATTACTATTACTATTATTATTGTTATTAAAATTGCTATAATTTTTAAGTTTATTTTTCCTGCTATTAATCTGGATATTATTAATTAAATTAAGCTTCTTGAACACTCTCCTTAATTACCATATCCATGAGTTATTCCTCTTCTTCTTCGTATTCGAGCTATTGCAACGATTCCTTAATGGCAGTTTACTCACTATATAAATGTTAAAAAATATTACTTTTTTAGTTATTGATCCTAGAATAATCTTTTGGATTCATTAAAAATTATGTCTAATTCGTTGCTAATACAATTCTCAAATTAAGCTCTTGACAATTATTGTCCATATCTATTATTATTATTTGCATTTTGCTTGTTTTTCTATTCTTGCAATTTCTCGAACATTTGTTTTTCATATTAACTAATTTCTAGACTTCCTAATAAGGCTGAATGTTGTTTGTCCTTTAATTTTATTGAGTTGTAATGAGATCTCCCATGATATGATAATCTGATTGGTCTAAGAAATAAGAATAAATTATTACTCTTTATTAAATGGATTGGCTTCTAATCCAGTTTTTAATGGTTCTTTGCTGCAAACATAAATCTCAATAGGAATATCATAGAGTTCTCGAAAGGCTTATAGTTCTATATTGTCTCCCCAAACACCATCTTTTGATTTGTATTCGACATATTCTTCAACATTCCCATTTATTATGTAATCTTAGAAATAGTCCTTCTCTTATAGAATGTACTGCATAGCAAATTTACGTAATTCCTTGTGATAAATTTCATTGCCATATAATTGATCGCTTATGGCTCTAAACATACAATTACCATCGCCTTATACTTCCCTTATAAGCATTCCCTACTCACTCAAAATAGATTGTAAGGATGTTTCCATTTCCTTATATTTTTTTCGCATGGATAAAAGATTTTATAATTGTAGATAAAGGTTAAATCGATGCTACAATCTTAGAATTGATTAAGGCTGTTATTTTAATAATTTTCCTATTCCAGGCTCATTTGAGTTTTAACCAAGAGGATGAATGTCCTTGAGTTGATAATTCTGATCGTATATTCTCTTATATCCCTAATGATGGATTAGTACTGAGTCCTTATCTACCTGTAGGACCATACCAATTAACCATCCCTTGTTGGAATTATAGACTTCGACTCTTGTGTTCTATAGAGGGACTCCAGGAATCCACTATTTACGAATAATTTCATATGAAAATTGTATCCAGAAAGTATTTGAGGAGTAAGGAGATTAAAGTCTTATATTTGAGTTTTAAATATCCACAATCTTCATAGTTATCCATTTATTTGTATTTGAATCTAAATAATCGATGAATTCTCCTATTTCCAATAAGTGACTCAAGACTTACTGTTCCTAAGGGCATTCCTAATTGACCTATGTCTATACTTTATTACCATTTATTTTACTTCATCATCTTATAATTCTAGATCAATTTCTTCTGAAGATGAATTATCATTAATTCGATCTCCCGTGTTGACATTAGACTATTCCATTGCGCTTTAAAAATTAAAGAATATTATTTTATAATTATTAAGAATAGATGATAACAAATACTCGTATAAATTCTGGTTGAAATCAAAATTTAGACAGGATAGTTTCCTCGATATAATGATAATGTCTTATATATAACTAAATTTCACTTTTTGGTCTGAACATTTACTTGCCTTTAGAATTGCTGTTAATGAATTTGTTCTTTCAGCATTTCCATCCCACTTGTTAATTATAGTATTTGATTTTTTAATTGTAACACTTCTTGCTCATACTATGACTGTTTTTCTAAGAATTTCTATTCCTAACAAAATAATTTAGTTTTTAAATTCGATATTTAAAGTTGTTGTTGTTGTATGATATAATTTAAATTATAAATGTTGCTATTGTTTAAAACATCTTCTTATTAGTCTTATTATTCTTGAACCTTATTAATGCATTTCCTTGAGGATTTATCCTAACTTAAAAAACTCTCGGCCTTTATTTCTTATTAAGATCTGTGAGTCATAAATCTTTCGTTTTTTTGAACTATAAATTATATTTTCTCAAGATGCTCTAATATTTCTTATTTTAAGCTGAATTAATTTCTAAATAATTTACTTTTGATTGTCTTCGATTATTTCTTATTTGCAATTGCAATTGCTGAATCGAGAATTGCTTGTTTAACACTCTGTTTTTTAAGGAGTTGATCGAGTAGCAGTATTTTCTTCATATTCTTCATTGCCTTTATAAAATTCTTTAAGTTTCAATATGTCCTTTAATTTGAATGTTTCACTTATATTTTTCACTTTGTTATTCAATTAAGTCGATTTTTTATTATTTTCTTTATCCTTGGAAACACTTCGTTTCTGCTTGGTTTGTCCAACAGATTTTCGAGTACTTTGTTGCTTCTTTTATCCTATATCTTAATCGTCTATGCTTTTCCTACTCTTGCTTTAACGAAGTTGCATTAACAGTTAAATTTTATAATATTCTATATATAAAATAAATTAATATGAAATTATTTTGTTTCACCCTTATTTCAATCTCTAATTGTATTTGTTTCTTATTCTTGTCATACATAACAACCGTTAATTGTTTAGTCTTAAAAACACAAAGTTACAAATAATAAGATTTGAGATCTAAGTTCAAATCAAGTATTTTTGAATATTTTTAAAATGTAATAATATGAATAAATATTTAGCATATTAATTTGTTGGAAAAAGCGATGGCCTTCATAAGCTACCAGATCATATACAAAAAATAAAGAAATCTCTTGGATTCGAAGAAAAAGAGAGAAAAGTTATTGAAGAATTAATACCTTAATTGAAATAAAGAATTAGAGCACAATCTATTCCAGAGAAACCGATTCCCAAACAATTACAAATTAATAATCTGGCTAAGAAGTTGGCCTATTTAAGGTAAGAGTATGATAAAATAAATGTTGAATTGAATAAACATTAATCTTTCAGAACATAAATAAAAAATCCAAAAACAAGTTTTGAATAACATTTTTTTTAAATTGAACAATAGATTCACATTTGGGAAGAATAAAAATCTAAACTCTCTGAGTAAATTAAACAAATTAAAAAAGAACTCTTCTTCTTAGAGAATCAATCAGATACTTATACTTCAAAAAAAATAGCTACTAACTAATCTGTGTTATTGAGTGAATTAGTCACAATCGAGAAAAAGATTCCTACTCCTTCTAAGCTCCCTAAAATATTAAATTAGGAAAGTCCAATGTACACTTAACCTAAAGCATTTCATTCAGATGTTAAAATGTTAAATAATACAAATGATTCAAATTTGATTGATTTGCTAGAAAGTGACGAAGATTAAGATTTACGACCTAGAACAAGAGTAATAAAAATGAAATAAAAATAATTGCCAACTTTAGAATAAATAATTAGTTAATTGGATCAATTTGTTATAAAGAATGATAAATTACAGCCTCATAAAGAAGCATTAAAATAATTTAGATTAGCATAGTATGAAAAATATTTATATAAATAACCTCACATCTAAATGAATATTAATTATGGATAAAAACTATCCTTAACACATAAGAGAATTAAGAACATAAAGTATGGATTTGCTGCTGTTTTTTTTTGTTTTTGTTTAATTAAGTAAACGAAGATATCTCAATAGAGATATCAGTTAATTAGTTATTCATATCATTAAAATAATTATTAAAAAGTTAATTAAGAACTGATATTTTTTGTTAACAATGTAATAGCTAAATAGATTTTGTTCAAATTTAGTAGATTGTAATAACTTTAAAAAGCTGAAAAAAAACAGCACAAAATGATGATCCCATTGATAGCAGAGGAAATTGTCAGAGAAATTCTGTAGAAAATGACAAATTAGAAGTTTTCAAATTAATTTTATATTTTCTTAAATTCTATTTCGGAAGAAGGCTTTTATCCACTATAAAATTATCATAGTGACATTATAAAAGCAAGATTTTAGATATCAAAATACTTTTCATACTTATTGAGAGAATGTAAAAAGATTGTCTTTATTGAATTGGTTCTCATTAAAAATATTATCTTTTATGGGTTATTTATTAAAGCCAAAGAATTATTTGGCTAATTAAAAATAGATGCAGATAATGAATTAATTAATTCTGTCACATTAATTTTTCTTGAACTATTTTTAAGAACCTTATAATCAGGAGTTATAAATGTAAATCTAAAACATTTTAGTTATGCATCAGCAGATGGTCCATATGTTTAAAAGTATTTGAAGGAACTAGATCTAATAAAAATGAAAATTCTAACTACTTTATAAATTGATGATATGTTGAAACCATTTATTTAAATGATTGAAAAATAATTTTTAAATTACTAATAATGATTATTTATAAAATACTCAATAATAAGATTTATTATTTCGTTATTTTATCAAATTGTTGTTTATGAAATGACTAAATCACTTTTATAATTAATTAATAGTTTACATCTATCAGATAACTATATAATTATAAAATTATATTTATAGATATTCTCATTTAAAATTGTCAAATAATGGCTTATACTAATATCTGCCATAAGCTATTGAATTTTATAGATTTTTCTTGGTCCCTGCAGTGAGCTTATCAAATGATTCTAAACACAGCTTTTGTCCTTAATGTAAAAATTCTTCCACTTGTTTTTCTTTAACCTCTTTGTCCACATCGTTAAAAATGTCTTTTCTCTGTTAAACACAAAATGCAAAATGAGCTAAGAAATTTCCTAGTTGATTCTTATCCTCAACATTCTCAACTTTATTGTATGTTTCTTCACTATGCTATACTAAAAATATTGATGAATACAATTTTATAAAATCTTAAATGGTTTCTCATCAAATAATCCAAATGAATTATAATATTAGACACATCAATATTGAATCTTCTAACCTGTTGCATTATAATATGAAAGCAGAATAAAAATGATTGCTAATGTGTCCTATAATATTTATTGATATTTTACTTTTCAATTATTTTGCTTAATAAGGGAGTTTGTTAATGTTCCCAACCAACAAAAAATTAAATTGAAATTCTGTATAACACTGTCCAAACTTTTTCATCGTCTGAATAATATTGCTAAGAAACTTGAGTAAATGATCTGAAATTGTAAATATCCAAATATCTCGCATTGTCTAATATTACTCTATATGCTCTATCAAAAACTTCCCAATTCTTCTTAACTTCATTTGGATGATGAATATTTAATTATTTAATGGCTTTCCAAAGCTTGAAATCTTAAGTGTGAATAAAGGTATCATTATTAAGTATACTCAAAATGAAATCTAAATCTGTTGATTCATATTTCTTATTATTATTTCAATAAGTACTAATTTATGAGGAGGATTGTTTTTTTGAATTTCAATAAACTTCGAATGATCATAATAAAGATGAGCATTAGGAATATCCTCTGGTATTGAAGGTTTTCTTAGCATTTTGGTTTCCCCCTTAGGTTTCAATATCCCACGTTTTGTATATTTAGGATCCTTAAGAAGACTAGGAATTGTTGACCTATGGGAGTATTTTGAAAAGCCTTAAATTATTTTCCTAAACATAAATATTTATTTTATTTATAATGCAACTTGAGAAACCAATTATTTTCCATAATTTATAAACTATTTGGTTCAGTTTGTTTTAGCAAATTTAATTGATTATTTGCACCCTTTATTAATAACTAAATAAACATTTATATTAGTAAAATAAATTTAGCAAGCTAAAGAAATTTATCAAATTCAGTATAATATATATTGGAATTTTTATTCAATTTCATTTAATATTTGATCTATAAGAGTTAAGGAATTCCAAGCATTATCTTAATAAACTAATTAATTATTAACAAATTACAATATATACAATTAATATATCATTATAACAAAGTTATTTATAATTTATAGTAAGCTTCAACTTTAATCAAATGCAATCCTGGATTATTAGTATTACCAGCAATGTTAAATATTCTAAATTCTTCTACAAATTAGTCTGGGAATGTTATTGTAACTACACTTTAAGCCATAGTGGTTTCATAAACTTTAGTTTCCAGATTACCAACTTTCACATATAATTACAATGTTTGAAGCCTATTATCTCTATCCCAAATCCATAATTTTAAAGTGTTTAGTTCATATTTCTACAACAATTTCAACTAAATTGAAAATCCTGGCATACAATACATGAAACCAGTTTAGCCACTTACTTCATATATCGTATCTCTTAAGCAATTTCCAGAATTATTTTTATAAAAAAAATTCTCTTTTGTGGACGATATTAATGCCCCATTTGATATATGTAAAGAATTCTTGTACTTTCCTCTAGTAATTGATCTCATAGTTGTTTATCTTTTCAAGCATTATTAATGAGTAATTAAAGAAAAGTCTAACAAAATTATGATGGCTACTATAATTTAACCTCTTTGCTTCATAAATGGACTTTAATTGATCTCAATTATTTATTATAAATAATATATTTATTACTTTAGTTTTAAATATATGAATGGATAAAAGCGAATCTAAAATAGACTTTTGGAGAATAATCTTTTGAATCATTTATAATTTTCTTTAATAGTTATGATAAATATTTTTCAATTGTCATGAAATACTAAAATTATGATTATTTGAAAATGTGTGTTTCGCATTAATTCTATAATTAAAAAATATATTGAAAAGGAAAATATACCTTAGATATCATTGTTTTTCATCTCAAACATAGCCAATTCTTTATGATTATAATGTTCCAATTAAATAAGTCAGTATAAACACAAAATATTCTCCGATAATAACTGACTAAAATTTATGGAATAAATTATTTTTTAAACCTCTTAATTAATAAAATCTTTCATTAAATAAAATTTAATTAACATTTAAATATAAATTGAGTTCTTCAATTAATTTTTATGGATTTCAATTATAAATAACATTTTTATATTACTTTAGAATAGAAAAAAATATTTATAGAAAACTTAAATTCTTTAAAATTTTGAATATAAATAATTAAATGAATAATTAGAGCAATCCAAAAGGATATATGGGAGGCCCTTATTAAGGAAATATTTATGGATAATAGCAGGTGAACCCATAAATTAAGGATCTATTTTAAACACTATAGAAAGAATTTTAGTATCAAATAATCAAAGCACCCAATGATTATACATAATCTGCAATTGTAACACTAAAGAATTGCTAGATAAGAATGTATATTAATCCACTATTCTAGTGATCAGAATTATAATATTGGTATACCACCAACTTGTTCACTCAACAATGCTCCATATGACTACACAAAATTTTATCAGTGGAATAATGGTTCAAATCATCTGGCTTTAGTCCACGCTATTTAAGATTAATTTGAACTGCATTCGAAGCTTCTATCAAAGTACTATTTATTAATATAAGTGCAGTCCAATTGTATAAGAGTATTGTGATTTTGTTACTTCTCTTCATGTAGATGATTGTGTTAATAAAATTAAAAATATGCCAGTTGCTTAAATGTTACCAGGCCTTTCATAGTAAGAATACCAGGTTTGGTTGAATTCTGATGAAAAACAATAAGTTCTAATGAATCTATTACCTTAAATTCAAGAATTGAGAAATTTAAAGGAGAAAATGCTAAAATATGTTTAATAGAATGAGATCATTGCTGGTATAAATAGAAAACGATGAAAATTTAGGTTTGATTGAAGCCAATGATTCAGAAATTAAAACTAGAGTAGAGAGATTACTTACTAGAAATAATTAATTTGAAGAAGAGAAAAATAATTATCTATAATTATCAAATAGAAGTAGGGCATTGAGTGAAAGGTTCTAAAACTCAAAGGTGAATTTCTTATTCTAATAAATGTGTGAATAATATGATGAATTAGCAGACAAACTATTGGAAACCTCATAATCTGAGGACTATGAAGATTGTAATACATTTTATAATCAATTAGAGGCTAACCAATATTTTTAGAATAGAAAAAAGTATCAAAAGATCTTAGTACTATCAGAGAAATTTAGATAGATGAAACATATCTGATGGGCAATTATTTCTATATCTATATATATGTTAATAATTTGTAATTTTAAAGTCATTTAAATACCTATCAGATAGAGTAGTGTTTATTTTATTGAAAAATTAACATTTATAAAAATCTTTTATTTTAACTAAATATTTAGAAGATGTCTGGTAAATCATCAAAGTTTATAGGAAGAGGAATCATAATATTCAGAACATCCAGGAGGTTGGATAGAATGGTTTTGCGCACATGAGGATCATCAATTTTTATGCGAAGTTGATGATGAATTTATTCGTGATCCTTTTCATTAAGTTGGAATCAAAGGAAAATTCAATTTCTTTAAGTATCGACGATGCCTAATAATTCTAGTGAAGCCATCAGCATGATTTTATAGCCTACTTCTCCTGAAGATTAAGACTTGGAAGATGAAAGGTTTTCTTATTTTACATCACAAAAGATTTTTAGAAGTTTATTAGGAGGCATCTGACATTTATGGTTTACTTCATGCTCGATTCATATTTACATCCAAAGGATCTGCAATCATGCGCGAACGATTTTTATAAGGAAAATTTGGTCATTGTCCTCGTATATATTGTGAAAAACAGAATGTGATCCCCATAGGACTATGTGAAGATCTTAAAACTGCCAGAATCAAAGTTTTCCATCATTATCTAATTAGGTATTTTGTCCAAGATGTGAAGAAGTTTACATGCCTAAGAAGAAATGTGCTGATATAGATGGAGCGTATTTTGGAAAATCATTTCCTCAATTCTTATTAATGGTTATTAATTTAAATATTAGATCTAGACCTATCCAGATCTACATCCTAAATTTTAGTTATTGCCTGACACTTAGATCTAAGTTGATTTTTAACCAACATTGTTTGGATTCAAAATTGCAGGCAAATAAGGTAGTAAAATAAAGAAATATGACTAATAATTGTAATACAATCACATTATTACATAACCTATCGTTTAATCCGTAGAATCAAACATCCTATAGTAAGAACAAAAGTAATACAGAATACAAAAATAAGAATTACAAGATTAATAATAGCAATAATAATAATCCGATTAGAATAAAGATCAACCTCACAAGAAAAAGAATAAAAAAAAACACAAACAATGAATTTAGGTTAATTTGGGTTTATATATATTATTTTATTAACAATTTGATTCTATTAATAATAAACTGTCTATTATTTGTTTTTCTCATTTTATTCTGTATTATTAATTTCAATCTAAACAAAATTTAAACTAATCCTTATCATTGACTTAATTGGTTTGAGAAATAATAGAAAAAGTTATAATTCAAATCGAAGTGTTTATGAAATTAATAAGATAATAATTTATAAATTATTAGATAATAAATGAAACAAAGAAGGTATTCTAATTTCTTAGATCAAGATGAGGAGTTTGCTTAATTCTAATATCACTCTTTAATCTCGAAAAATAACTCTTAAAATTACTAATCCAAAAATAATAGAATTTCAGAATTTTTATAAAAAAATCATAACGATCGAAATCAATAAGTAAATAAGATCAATACAAATAATAATAATATAGAAAAAGCTAAAAGTTTAAAAGATCTTAAACGATAAAATTAATTATATCAAATAGGTTTAAAGTTCAAGAAGATAACAAAGGAAAATTTTATATTAAATCAAAAACTAGTAGAATTCAAAGATATTTTTGGGTAATGCTGCACTTGTCTAATAGGAAATGAAGTTGAATATCCTTAATTCTAAAATAATGAAGTTTACTATCTCTCTGGAGTGCAAATCAAGGAATCTTTAAAACAAAATAAAGATTTCTAGATTATGATACAGAAAGGTAAAATCACATAATACCCTCCAGATGAATAAGTGTAGTAAACCAAACCTATAGAATAAGAACAAAAAGACAATAATCTAGAGATCAACTCTTCTACTCAGAATTATTCAATTATCAATCAATTTTAATAAATTGAATTCCCTTCACAAAACTCTACAATAAAGACATATTTTAATATTTTAGCAATTGTTATTTAATAATTTGATAAAAAATAAATCTGGAGTTAACAAAAGGGGCGATTTTTTGATTTTATTAAAGTTGAGGTTATGGATTAAGATGGATAATTAGACTCCATTACATTATGGAATACATTTTTAGAACATAAATTCACTCCTTATTAAATTGTGTTTTTCTAGAATATAGAATTAAAGACCACACCAGGAAGTTAATATCTTTAAACTATTGACGGTATATCAAAAATTACAACTGACGATTCATAATTATAATTCTTACATAAGTATTTCATAACTAAATTTTAGCTTTTATGAAGTAAAGGCTACTATGACAAGGCATCTAGAAGTTATAAAATTTAAGAAACTTATATCATATCGAGAAATATTGTAATAAAATCCTAATTGAGATTAAATCAAATAAATTTCAATATCTTTTGTTTTTATTAGTCTAATTTTTGAAACATTCATCAATTATTATTCATTTTAGATAAGGATCTATTTGGTTATTTGTCAAGACATATTAAAAATGAATATTATAATAGACTGATAAGCTTTTGAAATTGAGATTATTTAAATATAACTGTTTTAAACAGCAGTTTGAATATTTACTAGCACATATCAATAATCTTGATAGGATCAAATTTTCAACGGAGATTTTAACTTAGCTTATTTTTCAGGTTCTAAAATTTATTTTTTTTTGTTTTATTTTTTTTTTTTAAATGGAAATAAAAAAGAACTAAATTTAATTATTTATAATATTGAGGATAACAAAAATTATATATAATTAAGAAAAATTTGAAAGTCGAAAAAATTTATCACTTTTGAATAGATCTGTTTAATTTTATCTAGCTAATTTTGATTAACAAATATTAATTATAAAAAGTGGTTAATATCAAAGTTATAGTTTAATATCTAGAACATCTAAAACATAACTTTGAATATCGTATATCAACATTAGTTGGTCTTATGTAGTTTATTTAATTTCTTATGATATTGAAAAGAATACTTCTCATAACTCCTATTCTGAAATGGGCAAGGCTTTAATTTTATTTTGCAAATTCAGGAATGAATCAGAAAAAGTCTCTATTGTTAATTATTACATTAACCATTATTAAATAATAGAATTCTATTTTTAATTATATTGATAATGATTATAATTAAATATTCAAAAATCTTCTAAGAAGATTTCTAAAATTCTTATATAAGCTAATTCATCAGCAACTCTAACTACTTAATATATTAAACATTGGGTATCAGATGTGTGAATTATCAACTGTTATTCAGCAATTATTTTTAAATCGTATTTAACATTATAGATTGCTGTATTGAAATTTCCTAAACAATTTTTTCGATATTAATATTATTATAAATTTTAAAATGAATTGCTATAAAATAAACTTTTAATTGCTTTTTTTGGAATGCATTTTATATCCACCTGAAAAGTCAAAATTTATTAAGTATTCTTAAATAAAAGTGTAAAATTTCCTTACGAAACTATCTTTTAATCGACTTCTAGTAGATGGATCTATATAGGAATCCAATTTAACTATGGAACTTTTAATTGAGTAATTGAGATTTATAAAAATAACATAGGAGGGGCTTTTATTAGGATTTATGAATACGATAAGTGCAAAAGTTCTGGTAAATGACCCATTCCTTTGAGCATTCAGTACACTGTGTTATTAATGGACCTAAACATTGATCACAACCAGTAATGCATTTTGCAAGGTATAAATTAAATGCTCTTATTCCCCAATAAGCATTTTTAGTAATAGAATTATTATTGGTTCTCATAGTTATTTTGCATTCTGATTAATGATGAGATAAAGTAATTTCAATATTAATAATCTGTTCTTATCCACTGGATCCACAAATCTAATAACTACCTGCACTTCTCAAAATGGTTTAGTTATAAATTTAACCATCTACTTCTAAAACAAAGTTTTCATTATCCCATGAATCAATTTTCCAAAGTTATAATTTCAGAACCATTTTATAATGAGGATGTAAATTTGTGAAAATCTTTTCTAATTTATCGTTTGGTGCTAGATTAATAGATCCTCCAACAAGACCAATACTGGCACATTAACCTATTGCAGGTTAGATATCACTATTTTTCATCCATCCATCAACTTCTATTGAATAGTGCCACAATGATATAAAACTAATCCAATAAAAACAATTATTATAATCAGTATCTTAACAAAATAAGCAACCCTAAGGACATCTTAATATTGACAAAGTAAAACTTCTAAATCCCCAACTTTCCTTTAATATTAATTAAAATTTTACATCAGAAGGGGGCTAATCTAAACTTGAAGTGATGATGAACACTAATGATTCTGAATTATGACTTATTATAATTGAAATTGGCTCAATTACTTCATTCCAACCATCTCCTACTCCACAAATTTGACTCCCTTGCCACCAAGAATAACCTTTTGCCCATAATTTATCATCCACAAATATATAGACACCCTCATTATCCCAACTATCAATTCTACTTTTTAGATGAGAAATACTTCCAAAAGTCGAAATCAACTTTGACTTTAAAATGAGGAGGCAAGGAAAAGTACTTAGATACTAAAGTATTCTATGCAAAAACACCATACCCTCCAAACAATTTAATACCATTACAGCTGGTGAATAAATTTTGATTGTAATTATTTTTTACTGTCCACCCTAATTAATTGAAGAAGAAAAGGTACCTATTGCATCTTTTGAATTTGAGTCTTTAAAACTTTCATAAATAATTTCCCACTCTTATGCCATATCCAAGCTTATGAAAAATAAAACTAATAACTTATATTTCATTACTTTAAATTAATTATCATATGTTTTTGTTCAATAGAATATATTTAACCTTTATCAAAATTTCATAGAAAAAATTAATTTATTTTTTAAATAATATTATTACAATTGTTTTAATCCTCCTTATCTATAAAATTTTTTTGATATTATTTATTTATTGAAATTGACTGTTGATTGATTTATTTCACAAATTAATCACTTTCTAAAATTAAAAGGAATTAATTAAATTGTTCTTTCGCATAAAGGGTCTTATTACGAGATTGAATATAAAATCGTTAAATATATTTAAAATAAAGCATATGATAGATTCAATAAATATTATCTTATAGATGTATAGTTGTAATATTTTAGTTAAACAAAAATCTCAATTATTGTACTATGTTGGAAAATACTATTGATAATATATTATTTATAAGAATGATATAAATTATTGTAATTTAATTCGTAACGAAATACGCAAATAATATTTAATCATTTGATAATTGTCAAAATGTATTTCGTAAGCAATTAACTTGAAATATTGATTTCTAAACTTATTTGACTTTACCCAAAATCATTAATAATACTGTGAAATGTAAACAAAAGTCAGTCTGATATTCCATATAGGCCAGCAATTATTGATAAACTCTCAATAAAATTTAAACTGTGGAGTATTGGAATCAGATGGAAATTCGTGTGCAATAGCAGCTGCAAAGTTAATAATAAAGTAATTTGGATCAATAGATATAACAAAAACTAGCTTAAATACTCATAAATTTGAGAAAATAATAAATTGGGAGGCTTATTAATAAGCTAGGGACAGTTATATTTATATTCGAGTAAAATTCTTTCTTAAATATCTTAGGAACTAGAAATATATAGAAATCCCCATTTTTACCTTTGGACTCGTTTCTTTACTACTGCACCAATATGGGAGATCGAGGATCATACATATTACATAATTGAATTAATAGATTAGGATTTGAACTACTTTAGTTTCAGCAACAGAAGAGAATTAAATAAAAAACATGCAATCGAATAAGTTATATTAGAGGGTTAACATCTAAAATATCATCGAACAATCGTATTTCTATGCGTGAAAGACTTCGATTAAGGTAGATATCACGCTCCAAAAATGTACATCGATACAATTGGGTTATTTAATGGAATATATAGAAGGAGATAAGAAAGATGGTTATGTTACAATGTTACTTAGGGAAACTATCCTGATGGGGATGTTCTTAAGCAAACTAATGTTATAATAATACCAGGCAGCACAAGTTCTGCTTATGATGAAAAAGCTTGGATTCGCAGTTTGCAAAATTTTATATTGAATGTATATGAGAATTACAATCATATAAAAATGATGGGCATTTGCTTTGGATTTTAATTACTTGCTTAAGCATTTGGAGGGATTGTGGCACCTTGCAAGAATAGAATCAAACATAAAGGATTTTACTATTATGGAAATGAGAAAATTAGGATTAAGAATGATTTGTTTAAGATTGGATGTTTCTAAGAATTGGCTTAGATTGATAGTATAATAATTAATAAAGCTCATGGCGACTTAGTAACTAAATTACCAGAGAGATTTATAAATTATGGATCATCTAAAACAGCTGAAAATGAAATATTCATTTCTGAGGATTTGAGAATATTTGGAATGTAATCTCATCCAGAATACTCATCTCAATAAATTTTATTGTTTATAAGTGGAATTTAATCAAGTGAAGGATAGAGGAGTTTTGGAGATTATTACAATGATTCTAATAATAAGCACTTTGTCAAAGAGAAGGGCGATTAGTTAGGATTATTGATGTGTAACAATTTTTTATAATCTTGATTATATATATATATATATATAATATGCAATTTTATTAGATGTTGAATTCAGAATATCAAAAATTCGATAAAAGTAAATTAATTATTCAAGACTTAAACACAAAAAAGAACAATGTCTTTAATCAAAAAATATTGCAAGGACAACATTCATCAAGATCTTCTTAGGGTTCTTTATGAAAGTACTTGATTTATTGAAGAGATTGTCCATCAATTTGATCTCTAAATGTAATCCTGTGAGTTTTCTAACCTTTGACAATTTCATTTTTGAACATGTCTAATCTATGATTTTATCTTTTAGAAATTCTCTCTGTTTCAGGATTGATATCAGTTTAATCCCCATCTGCTTTAATCAAATTCTTTAACTTAGGTTCAAATGAATGAACAATAATATTAATTTTGGGTAACGACAATTCAAGCAACATAGTCTTGTGAGTTGAAGCCTGTAGAGCACTAACATCGCTTACTTCTGATTTTCTATTTCTAGTGCTGTAAATATCAATATTTTGCATTATTTTTATTTTTCATTTCAAATAATTGAAGAAAAATGGTTGTGCAAATTAGAACAAATGAGCACAGAGTGACATTTAATTCAAGATAATAATATTATCAATAAAGTCATTAAAAGTTGGCCATAATTAGAGAAAACGGCATCTGTGCAAGTTTCAGAACTCCAAGTGCACTGAGTTAATTACTGGCAAATAGGTTTTGTATAATCAGCGCAAGCTTTATTGACACATTTAGTTCCAATTTCATCCCACACACAATAAGTTTTGGAACAAGCAGCTTAAGTAGATGCTCCAATATCTTGACAATCTTATTATCTACATTTATTCCAGTACCAATTGCATCCAGGAGTATTGGAACAAGTCTTAGGTCCTATAGTTAAAAATCTAATGATATACCCTATTCTGAATAATCCAAACAAGCCTTGAATTGACATTGTTGATCCACCCACTTGCAATTAAACAATAGAATACATTCTTATTGTGGATAGGATGGACAATCATAATAACATGCTAAATTTAATATGTATTTAATACTCGATTGTTTCCAATCATAGAAAATGCACCCCTTCTGAGATTCGCATGACTGTCTACTAGTATAGAGTTGTGGACAAGTCACAAAATTTGAAAAAACAGGTTGATGTAGCAGGAGTAGAGAAATTAGAAGTAACATAATAAATTATATAAAATGATGAAATGGTTTAAGAATGACTAAATATTGTTTACTTAATAATATACATCACAGATCTGTTTTTTGAGCATTCAATTTAGGTAAATTAGAGAATGATTGTCCAGTTTCGGTTTTCTTGATGACTCCCTTAACAAATTCATTCAAATTTTCAACAGTCAATTGTCTTCTAAATCTATAATGCTTTTTAGCACTCAAATCCAAGACAACGACTTAAGGATATCTAAACAATTTAATAGATGATATTACCCTTCACCAATTACATTGAGTTCAGCTTCGAAATCATCGAATTTTTCACCAACAAACCAACCAACATTAGCTCTTCCTGTGAGAGACAAGGCAGTCTAACATAATAAAGAGATTATGATACCTTCTTTAAGACTTAGACAGCATCTTCTTATTCGACTTTGTCAGCTGGTAAGAATCCCAAGACGCAGAGTTCTTTTATTATGGAGAATATTGATACATTTGCAAACTTCATTTAAGCTTTCATCTGATTTGATGTTAACGACATCAGAGCCAGCCTTTTGTGATTATCCATCTACTGGTTTCTATTCTTTGATGTATTTCAAGAGGGCAGCTGCATTTCTTTCTCCTTCATACTTTTTATGGGTGTTTTGTTTGTTTCCAGCTGGGAAGAAATAGATGGTTGGATATGATTCAATGTTAAATCTCTTCGCCAATTCAGTCTAGACAGTTGCATCGACTTTAGCAATGGGGATGTCTGCTTAATGAGATAGTTTATTCCATTCAGGTTAGAGTTATTTACAATGACCACACCAAGGAGCATAGAACTCAACAAACCAGGCCTCCTAACTAGTGAGCACTTATTCATCGAAGTTGGCATCTGTCAAAACAACGACTTTTGTATCATCATTTGAAGGTTCTGGTTTGATCTCCACACCCAATCTATTTAATGCAAATTCTCTTGCTTTATCCAAAAGGTAATCAACTATTGCATTCCTCTTTCTTTCCCCTTCGTAGGCAATTGGGTCACCCTTGTTTACTCCGAAATACTTGATTGTTGGATATCCATTAACACCATAAGGCTATCCAGCTTCACCGTCTGTAGTCATATCCAAGGCTCCGATATGCACGATGCCATCCAAGGCCTTTGCTGCCTTATTATACTCTGGAGCAAGGGCTTTGCAATGACCACACCATGGGGCATAGAATTCAACCAACCAGGGTTCATTCGATTCAAGTACTAATGTCTTGAAATTGTCCTTTGTCAATTTCACGACCTTTGAATCTGCTTCATACAGACCAAAGCATTAAGTAGCTGCCAAAGCAAAAATAAGTAAACAGCAAATGCCTTTCATATAGATTCTTAATTTTAATATTAGTGATGTGTTCGAAATATTCTAGAATTTATAATAAGAAGACTATTTTATATGAAATATTTCTAATTCTCTAATTATTTTGGTTGTAGTTATTATTAATTCATGCTTTAAACACACATCACTACGATAGATCCTGCTGAAAAGAGAATGAAAGACATTAAAGAAGCATTCGATTAGTTTGATACAGATAACAAGGGCACTGTATCAACAAAGGAATTAGGTACTATACATCACAAGTTACCTTTTCTAGCTAACATTTTGAAATATTTGGGTCAAGACCCTACAGACGAAGAGTTGGACAATTACATGAGAGAATTGGATCCTGAATCCACAGGCACTATCGATTTCATGAAAATGATGAAAATATTAACTAAAGCAGTCAAAGACGATGATACAATTGATGAGTTAATGGCTGTACATAAATGCATATATATATGAACATAGTCATTTCGTGTTTTTGATTTGGATAATACTGGAACTGTACAAACAGCTGAAATGAGATATATTTTAATGGAAATGGGAGAAAAGATGACTGCTTAAGATGTTAAGGATATTTTAAAAGAGATGGACCCTGATGACAGTGGAATGTGCAAATATGTGGATTATGTTAAAAAAAAGTATGAGGACTTATAAGTGGCTAAGGCTAAGGCTGCCAAACTTAAAGCCAAGAAAAAGAAGAAATGAAAACTTTATGTTTTGGTTTATTTTTTATTTCTTTTTTATTATCTCTTTAATATAATGAGAATGTCAATGTGAGATGTCTCTCAAATAATGATATATTCTTAGAAAAATAAATTAAAATTTATTATCAACATAGGATGATTTCCCCTGAACATTTATCTGACAAGGTAAGATAGTGTAAATATTTTAGTACGAAGATCAATTCTCAAGACTGGAAAAAGCTGTAATGATTGATACTAAATTTTATAGATGATCGAGCTATTCAAATATGAGAACTTGCTGAATAATGAATATTTGGTGAGGAAGTTCGAAACAGACATTGCAAAACCAGATCATTATTTGTTATAATATGTGGTGGTGTAAAGGGAAAATTCAATTAAGAATCAATATGTGCAAAATGAATAGAATGATAGGAAACAATATCATCTGATCTTAACAGCTGTATGAATATGATGTAATGCATAAATTTAGATACTGAAGAAGTATAATAATTAATTGTGGAACTTTGATCACGGACTTCTACTTATTAGACCCTATTTCCGTAGTGAAAGGAAGAGAATTCTAATAAAATCAAGTGCATCCAATATTGGTAATATAAAGGAATCACTTCGAAGTGCCGGATAGAATAGAGAATAATTATAGTTTGAAGAAGAAATATATTAGGCTGATAAAAGCTTAATTAAATTGACATTGACATGTCAGAGTGAATAGTGTGCAGATGAGATTTTCACTTATTTGATGTCCAACAAATCGAAATTGCAAATAGATTCTGTCATGATGCAAAGTGTTGATTACTTGGATGAATTCCATAAGTAAATAAACTTGAAGAAGTGTGCAATGATATAGAATAAGAAACCTCATTAGCATGATAATTATGATGAGGAGATTGAGAGACATGATAAAGGTTATCAAACTTCCAGTTACTCAAAAGGGAGAGGAAGATAGAATTATGGATAATAGGACTCGCAAGATAATGAAGATTACAAAAATTCAAGAGGGAAGGGCAGATTTGATAGAAAACATGGGAACAATGGGAGTAGATAAAATAATGTAAGGATTCGAATTGATATATGTTAGCAATACTATTAAAAAGGGGAGTCTCAATAGCAATATCAATTGGTTCCGAAAAGCACAGTCCACAAAACACCAAAGCAATAAGTTAAGTAGGACCCAATCGATTAAAATGATTTCCCAACTTTGGGTGCATTATAGAATTGAGTAGTATGAATAAATAAAGAGATTCATTAATTGTTCGATTTGTTTATTTTAATATACTTATACTAATATATGCTCATGCTCCAATAGCTAATTTAGATCTTGCAGCTTGTTTTCTTGATTAACGAGCAACAACCTTATTGTTGGCTTCTTTTTTAACATTTTCATCTTTTTAAGCAGCCCAAATTTCAATGTGAGCATTTGATGATAGGAAAGCTTTTGAAAATATATAATAATAATTAAAATACGATTGATTCTTCCGTGAGCTCTGTAGGTTCTACGTCTTCCCTTTTAAGCTCTATTGACTTAGACATGATTGATGATCAATTTTTCATTGCTCAAATTTTTGACTTGAGCATTGGCTGCCAAGTTTTATAAAAGGGACAACACAATTCTAACACTCTTTTCTGGCCATCTACCTATGAATCAATTAATCAATCCAAATACCTTGAGATCTGCCGAATTCTTTAGCTTAACCTGTTCTTCCGACTCCACCATTAAATCTGGTGAAAGGAACGCATCTCTTATGTTAAAGAACGTCTTGCATGTATTTAAGGGCTTAGGCAAGGGTTTATCCTTTGATTGCTCTAGCCACTTCATAAGTATTCTTGAAATGAGTTCTCAAATCACTTGCTTTGGCTTTGGCTGAATTTTTTGCAACAGCAGGCTCTCTTGCATATTATTTACCCATTAAATTATATCCTTTTTAATTTATTTGATTTTTTTTTCAAATTTATTCGTAATAATACTGTGACAATCAGAATAATGTTTTATTTTATATTGCTGTAAGATGTAGGCATTATATCAATTATTTACGACTGCATATCTGACTCTATATCCTCCTCCAAATTGTTCAATATTAGTAGACTCAAACAATTCTCTTGGTTGACTTTTGAACAAGAATCCCAAATTCCTTTTCTATTGAGGAATTACATACTCGTTGGAAGTATAGAAGTTTTTATCTAACATTAATAGATCCCTTCACATACCAGTTAAAATGGCAAAGCTGTTATTAGAAGCAGAGAATTTAAGAATCTTCTCGTCTTTTGGAAGGTCAATAGGTCTTGGTACATAGGTCTCATCATAGCCTGACAGATAGATTCTATTCTAATCAGTCAAGAAGAGAGAAAGATTATATCCTAAATCGAAATCCACAACCTTTTCGTTGGGTTGGAAATACTTCAAATTCACTGGTGTGGGAGAGTAATTTTCCTAATGATTAAAGATTATTATTACTAAATCTGTGACAACATATTCTTATTATCTGACTCCCAAAGAACCATAATAACTTCTTCCCCATCCTACTACAATTCCTTCATCTGAAAATAGATCTGTAATAATATGCTATTACTTAATAATGCCAATGTTCCAGCAAAGCATGACTTAATCTTTTTAGATTGTGTCAGCCAGATTTAGCTAATTATTCAAAAATGGGATTCAACTCAGGATATTTGAAGTTCAAACTGCATCCATTACCAAGTTCTCCTCTTTTACCAGCTCCCCATACATAGACTTGGTTGTTTTCATTCACCACAATTGAGTAGTTAATGCCAGCACTCACAAATTTACCTTTAGGTGATCCAGCCAATTTCTCTACAACTTATGGTTAAAGGAGATTATTGGCGTAATTATCGCCTAATCCATTAGGTCTGCATAATAATTAATCTAAAAATGAATTATTTGCACTTCCCCAAGTATAAACATTCCCATCAGCTGTCATATTATTTATATTTATTACAAGCCAAAGCTACTCCGTGATTTGATCCCAATGCTACATCTACAACCTTTAATCCCTTATCTCTAAAGTATTTCACAAGTTATGGTGTTTATTGTTCTTCAGTGTTGCCCAATCCCAATTATCCATAATTGTTGTTACCAAATGTATACAAATCACCATTATCTTATCATCTATTTAAATATCAATACCTGTAATCACAGCTGTAAAGTATTCACTTGGGTATACTTTTTAAACATTGCCATTGAAAGCATCAATTCTCCTTGGTCTTAATTGATCACTCTATGAATCATGATTGATTCCACATCCTAAACTGTGAGCACCCCAAGTATACAAATTGCCTGCTCTATACAATGGACGAGTCCATAATGATTTAAAAACACCGCTATGTGTTAAGCAATTCATTAAAATATTTATTACAAGATCTAATAATTCACTATTATATATAAATATAAATTGAAATTCGTTCCATTTATCACTACATCATACATACATTCATCCTATCAGTATTAAAATAACCCTTCTCAGATGTATTTATAATAATATAATATTAATATTTAAATCAACATCTCATTAACAAAATAAATTTATTCTTCCAACTAAAAGCATCCAATTTGAATCCAGTTAATCCATATTTCCACTCATACAACAAATACCAATAACTATTCTCAACAAAGAACTCTCTAACATTGAAACAACTCAATTCCAAATTCATCATGTCTATTCGCTTCAAATAACCATATATCAGAATTGAAATATCCCTATTCTTCACTAGTTTAACTAAAACATTTTCTTTCTACTCCTAAAATATCCTGTTTCTGATTAAAATCTCTAATTTATTTAATTACTTTTCCTTATAATAAATCTGCATCCCTTACAAATTACTCTTACGAATGAAGTAATTTTGTACTTAAGGTTATAATGTATTGCTAATATTTAAACTAAATTAATTTGGTTCTCCCTTTGCATCGGAGTAATAGAAGATCAACCAATTTGTCAATTATAAAATCACAATATGTATATCTCCAATCATCACCTTTAATTATTGAAAGTTTTCTTCATATTTTGTAGAACTTGGAAGAATAAATGTCAATGTCTCCTTTACAATCTTGAGGTATGTAAAATATTCTTTGTCAATTTGTTTATTTATATTTATCATTTAATTAAAATAAGTAATAATCGCATTTCTGTGGGATTTTAAGAAATATTGTTAGAAAACTAGCGCTATGTATTTTGCAAGGTAATTCATCATTGAATTTAAAATATTATTACTTAGTATAGTAGACATCTTACATTAATAGAATCTATTATAGATAAAATCTTATTAAAAGACTATTTGAATAGAATGCAATCAGCATAATCTAGATATAAGAGAGCAAAATGAAAGAATAATATTATTCAATTAAAAAAGAAAGAGAATTCTAGATAAAATTACTACTATAATTTCATATGAAAGAATTATAGAATTATGGCTAAAATTAGATACTAATAAGGTGAGAATAGAAAATGAATTGAAATATCAGCAGATATATAGATGAATAGTGTTAGGATAAAATAATAAAATAAAAGATAATACAAAAGATATACTTAAGGATATATTGATTCAGTTAATTAAGTAAATATACATAGATAAATAGACAAAGTGTATTCAATGTTATTATTCTTACTAAAATTAGAAATTTTATAAAAGTTCATTCATTTTGAAGTAACCAATTAGTTTAATTAGTATAAAAAGTAATATTATAAAATGATAAAAAGGAAGTGATGATGCAATAAAAATAGTTAAGATTATTGATGTAATGTAGTACATCAATTTAGTGATGAATCCCTAAAATTAAAACAAAGAAAAATTACAAGACGTTCTAATTTGATATTATCAATAAAGTAGAATACATTATATGTGTTTTATGTATTTTAATAAAATACGAGGGTATTATTTCATTATTAAAGTATTAATTGAAATAACACTAAATTTTAGAAATTGTAAAATGTAGATTAAGAGACTATAAAATAATGTAAATGATATCTTTATATTCTCACAGTAATTATTTATAATTTAATTCAATTAAGAATTAAAAATGAGTTAATCCTAAAATTCACAAATATCTTTATCTCCCCAGAAAAAACAGCAATAATATTTTCCAACTATTTGTTTAAAAACCACGGAATCCCCTTAAAAAGGATCAATTACAAACACGAATTATCTCTTTTCACAACACTTATAGAATAAAGTCAATAACAGAAAGGTGAAAAGAAACAAGGAATTATAGCTAGAACAGGCATATTCAATTAGAAAGTACCTTCAAGTTAATTCTTTTGCACAGGGAGATTCAAATATGTCCCATTCGAAAATTTCACAACATATTTCTATAACTGAATAGAAAGATACAAACGTGGACACTAAATACTCTATATCCCCTTTGAGGCAACTAAGTAAAATCGAGGAGACATTGAGTGTAAAAAGTATTAAAATTCATAATCCCTTTTAGAACTTTTCGATATTAATCATACTTAACCAGAAATAAATACGAAACACAAATCTCAGGGTTCAACCCATAATAATTGTATACTTGAATTGGATCAAGGACTAGAAGAAGGAGATCAGAAGAATTCATTGAGAGTCTAAGATTAATTAATTATCTCTCCAATTTTATAGAATAATTTTAAAGAAATTTCAGAAAATGCTTAATCTAAATCTTAGTCTCCAAATAAACTGAATGTAAATAAAATCGCCATATTTTAGATTGTTTTGAAATTTAACCAATAAAATAAAGAGTATAAAAAGTATGCTTCCCAAATGATTCGCATGATTAGAAACACTTAATAGACCTTGATGAAGGAATTCGATTAAGATCAATTGGAATTTGATCGGGAATTCAAATTGAAAAAATTGCAAAGACAAAAGGAAAGAAAAGATATCTTATAAACAGCTTAAGAAGGAACCAAGAATAGGTAATTAAAATCGATGTTGATGGCATTGAAGGGATCATAAGATAAAATTATATCTGATTGCCCGTTGTTCTTAAGTCTAGGAAAGAAGCTCAGCTCTTAGAACAGTTAAACAACGATACAAAGTAGAAAATTATCCCATTAAAAAAATTATCAACATATCCCATTTGATAAGTAATTTGATGACAAAAACTTTCGTAAACATTCAGTAAAGTCAGAAATATGCAGTTTAGAAACCTCTTTAGAATTACCACTCTAAATATAAAGACTCATGTGATATTTATTTTGTGTGTTTTATTTGTAATGCAAAACCCACTTGCATAACCAAATTTTATAGAAATAATAATAATAATATTTAAATGTCAGGAGAATTACCAAAAATTGGTAATAAGAGTTTGTTTACTACTTATGTTGAGAAAAAGAATGCAGAAGAAGAAGCAATGAAAATAAAAAATAGAATCGATCAAATCAGATAAGAACGAGAGAAAATACTTAAAAAAATATAATCAGAAGATTAAAAAGCAGAGCATATCTACAGACATAGATTAGAATTGCAGATAAAAGTACAAAATTAGATTTTCAATATTTTAGAAAGAGGAAAAAATAAGATAAAAAGTAGAGGCTCCTCCACCTTTCTCATTGAGTGTCTCAAGAGCTTAGAGAGAGACATTGAAAAAAATAAAGTCAGAAATGCTATTTAGAAAAAAAACTGAAGTCAAAGAATTCAGAGATTGGCATAAACATGATCTCAAAGAAACAAAATTATAGAGAAATATGGATCATGATACATTTAGGAACAAAGTTATTTAATGGAAATGGGAGGAGAAGCAAGCGAACTAAAATACGTTGAATAAGTTGAAAGATAGACGAGATAAAATCAGATATGATGTAGAACTGGAAAAGGATAAAGTTATCAAGGAGAAAATTGATTAAGATTAGAGAATAAGAGAATTAGAATAAATTGAATAGCTTGAACTTTCCTATTTACAGTAGACGATGCTGAGAGAAAATTAAACAAAAGAAAAAGTCAATTTAGCTTAGAGTCTTCCCCCAAAAGAATTCGAGTCCAAATTTATAAGTGGATCAGCAAAAAGTTCACATCAATGGGAAAGTCCATGATAATCATCATTTTAATTATAAATCCATATAATCGTTTTTTATGAATATCTACTTGAGTAAATAATATTTTGTAACTTATCTTATTTTGACAACATGATTTACATCTAACTTTAAAGAGATTGGCTAAATATACAAAACTAATGAAAATATGAATAGGATAGGTATTATATTATATGTATTTATGAAAAATTTAAATAATTCAAATAGAATTTTAATATTATAGTTCGCTCCATCTATATCCATCAAAACATAATAAGCATCTATTATTCTCATCAATATGATTGCCTTCAATTTCTATGTTCTATAAAACATACAATTTGTGATCATGGATGATCACCTAATTATAGAATATATTGATTTACTTAGTTGTTCCAAAACCCTTCTGGATATAATAAGGGTCTGGTGTCTACTTAGCGGATTTTATGTATATCTTATTCAAAATTCAAAAGGAATGAGAATTGGACTCCCCTATCCTCATTGTCGTAGCCACCAAAGACAAATATGTTAGTTTAATTGATTTGGACACAAGAAGCAGATTGAAAGGTAGTTTGAAATTTGGAAGATTCCAAAGAATCAATTTCAGGATTGATATATTCCCATTTTTTTGTAAAAGTATCATACCTTTCTATAATTAATAGTATTTATCCATTTTCATCATTTCCACCAAACTTATAAATATACCTGTCATTGAAAGTACAACAAGCTGGTTGATTAGCTGGTTTATTGCAAGGAGCGCATTGTTCCATTTTTTATGTACTAATGTTGTACTTTTCTACGCTTGACGTGAGATTGCTATGTTCATCAAAGCCACACAATATGTAAATGGCTTAATTGCAATAAACCATAGAATGAGATGACCTTGGATGAGTCAATTGTCCAACTTATTGAATCTTGCCATCTAATGTGTATTTTCTAACAATAGGATCTTTTCTATTGTCTTTAGAATTGATCACTCCTCCAGATATATAGACATCACCATTAGGAGCAACTATAGATTTATGAAACCCTGGAACTTGATAGTCAATTTAACGAGTCAGCCATTGCTTGGTTTCTAAATTACAGATCTTTATTATTTTAGCTTAATTAATAAAGAAGTGCAGGAATGCAGATTGGCCAGCAAAATAATTAGGACTTACAATTGAAAAGTCATAATTTGCCATTGTACCATATAAGGGATCATCAAGATCTCCTACATTGTACATTTATGGTTTGGTTTGTTTTTACTAAAAATGTAGCGGTTCATTCTAAGCAGTATTCATTTACTATCCATATAGGCCATGTGCACTGTAATTGATGCTTTAATCCTTATTATTTTTGGATACAACAGATTGATTTTCAGCTGCGTCTTCATGATCGACAGTTTGAATAATGACAATTTTATTTAATTCACTTTTAAGATTGAATAGTTTGTGTTCATCGATGTGAACATTGATGGGATCTAAGAAATAGATAAATTTAATTGCCTAATTCTTTGGATTTGATAGATTTCTTCAAATCAGATTTATATCTATCAAGCAAAGATTTAACGTCTAGTCTACACGCTTTATGAAAGTGAGTGAATGGATCGGGGCTAGTCAGAAGATTATTTCTTAACATTTCCAGTTATTGAATAACTGAATCTATCTTTTGGAATATGCCTCCGATGTTTCTAACCTGGAAAGATCATAAATGAATTTACTTTTAATTGGTTTTCTTTCACTTTGTTTTCGAGAAGATTCTCTTACTATTTAAAAAAGATGTTGATAATTTCAAACATCTGCAACTTGACATCATTCATCCTGGAGATTTCTTGAGTAAGTATTTCATCAGGGTTGAAAATGTATTGAATGTCATATTATTCATATTCCTTTTATGAAATCTAATAAAGTTACTTTTTTCAATTATTCAATTGCTTTTGCAATCTTTCTTTCACAATTGGTTCTAGTATTAAGGATGCTTTAGACGGCAGCTGGTGTCTTGGCTGAAATGTGATATTAGTAATGATCTTGGATGCACTCAGGACACAGAGGTTTTAGACAGTCAATACAAGCACAAAAATTAGTAATTGGTGCCTTATGTTCCATGTTGGTACATTAGTAGTTATAAAGAGTTTAGGTAGCTGACATCTGTTATTAATTTAAATTTATGATATATTTTATATTATTTATATACAATTCATAAGTCAGATTAAGCCTCTGATTTGAGAGTCTCCTAAGATATCTTTTTGACGCATTAAGTATCCTCATTAACGAAGTTCCTCTTTCTTCTTGGTATTGCCTATCTTCCATGCTACATAGTCCAATGTTTGAGTAAATCTTATGTTCTTTTAACTCTGCTTTAACACTTCAAACAAGTGAATGCCCCGTTCTCGAAGAGTCCATATTCTGAATACTTGTCTCCTTTGATCTTGGCAGTTGTCGAAGATTTAACTGGTTTAACTGGTTCTTCTCTCTTTTCATTAGTCTTAGGTTGTTAGTTTTCCTTTTTTAGATTAACATAGATCTGCTTTTCCATTTTTTGTTATTCCAATTTAAGACTGTGTAAATGGTTGATTTCCTCCTGTTTGTAGAGTGACTGATTTCTCCTCTTATTGCCGAATCTTGAGGAAGGTTGCTAACACTTTGGCAATGTATTCCTCTTCTGAGTTTGATGACTTTTTGATATTAAACATTAATAATTAGTGTCTTAATTTGGATTCTAAGTTATAGAGATGAAAGTCCTTAAAATAATTTACATTTGTGTATCTTAGATTTTCAGTCGGATTTAACTAAAGTCCTTAATGTAAGACGCATAAACATTTATTATTAATTATAATAATTGAAAATGCAATACCAATAGCAAATCCAAAACAATTTCCAGTCAATCGTGGAATTGTATTACCATTAGGCCAAGTTGAGTGGTGAGAATAGAGTGACTGAAATCAAGGCTTCGACCAAGATTTAAGCTTGGCATAAAATGCATAAATTAAGAGTTCATTACATAAAAATCAGATATGTATTAAATTGATTAAATAGTCAACTGTTATTATATAGAAGTTTGCTCGTGGATATATAGCTAGAATGCTAATGAAACGAAACAACGACTCTAGATACAATGAAAGGAATATTAAATATTTCAGTTATCATGCAACTCAGATCCAAAGACATTTCAGAGGTTATCATTACAGAAAATATTATATCAATTGGTCTACCAGGAAAGCCTATTTGGAATTCTTAAAAACAAAAAATCAAGACTTCTTAGAAGAATTGAAGAAAGTGGAAGTTGATGAAAATTAGTAATTGAAAGTGAGACAAGAACAATTGGCAAGAACTGAATTTGAGTCACTTGCTAAGAACCTACATCATCTCTCCTCTACATAAACTATTGCTGGAGTGTACAATAGACCATTTGGCAATAAAGACATTGTGTTTGATATGGATGTCGAAAGTCACCTCAAGGTTGTTTTCCATAGCAATTATGAATGGTAAAAGAAGAGACAAATGTCCAGATACACTAAAAGCAATAAATTGAATTAATAAAATAAATTAAAACCATTGAAGTGATATCCTAAAAATATTCTCTCAGTCAAGTTTATCAATTAGTTATATTTCATTAACGTCCTTATTCAACTTGTCATACTGTTTACTTCTCCCCGATTGAGTCTGCTTCACACTCCGATCCCTCTAGTTCACATGAGATGATTTTGGAACTCCATACATTTTTAGGTCCTTCTATTCACCTCTTTAAGAGCATTCTTGAGATAGTTAATTTAAATGTTCACTATTTTATTCAGAATCTCCCTTTAAAAACCTAGCTTCACAAGAAACAATACTCTTAATTCACAACCATTTTCTTGTCACTGCACAATTCGCTTTGATAAGTCTTTGTCTTATCCTCCAAAATGATTTTCATCAATGTATCATTCATCTAAAATTATAACTGTTGTTGTCTTCTTTATTGTTCAATATAGGATGGTACATCATGATACACCTACATGATTGGATTGATTACCTTACTATCAAGGGACTAAAATAATATTCTATTTGGTTTTAATAATTTCTCCCAAATGCTTTAAGTAAATCTAATTAATCTTCTTGGGAACAAGCTTCCATCTCCTTGATAAAAATATAGCATATGGTGATTTACTACAAAACTATTTGTTGTCAGATATTCATAAGTGGTCTTATTTATTAAAATAAAGTAGGTGTGTATCAAGAATAAATAAGTTGCAAATACAAACAATCCAATAGTCAATATACAATAGATTATGAATTCTATTCTCCTCACATCCGATAATGATAGTATATGCTTTATTTGTACGCATATACATAATATTTATGTGATTGTTAAAAAAGTGATAAACAAATAAAACGTACAATAATTCCTTTAACCTATGCATTATCCCAACCATAAGCAATGGTGATCAAAACCTTCTACACAATTGTCACATCTTCTACAATGTGCTGTTGATCTTGTTTTATAGATCTAACAGGGGTCACAGAACTTTAATTCATGAACTTTATTTTAATTTACAACCAAAACCTCGCCACCGTATCTTTGCTTGTGTGGAATTAAGTAACAATCAGAATACTTTAGTCATTTTAATCAGTTACTTTTTATACTTAGGAGTTAATTCGAGGTATTCTCCCTGGATCCCTAAACACAGTTAAAATCATAAATGTGTCAGTCAACAGTATCAAAGCCAATTCTACATCAAATACCCTCTTCTCCGGGCCAATTCTCAATAATTATAATAAGGAAATAACGTTTAAGTAAATGAATGTAAACAAAAACATAATCCTAGAATATCCCATCACCACCCTTCCCTATAAACAATGCTTAGAATTCCCCCTGTAAACTTAATAATATGGAACTCTATATTCAGTGCTTTATATTTTCATGTTTAAAAATATCAAATAAAAAATACTATTGCTTTTCATAACTCATCCAAAAATAACATTATTAAATATCATATATAATAAATAAATCTAAGTTTAAAGAAAATCAAATTTATTACATTTAGTATAATATATTTGTCCTTGAAACGAGTATTATTATAATTAAATTCTAAAAAGAAATATGTTTTATAATTTAGTTATCACTAAGAATTTAGAATTTTTAAATTTATTGTATGGGATTACTAATCTTCATAATAACTCTTGTAAAAACTTAATTTCCTGTTAAAATCCTAAAATTTAAATATGAATTATATCAAAATTTCATTTGGAATATAACAGTATATGTGTAGAATTATAATGATAGTGCTATATAATTCAAATAGTTAGACAAATTTCGTTTATTAATGAAAAAGAAAGCATAATGTTTCTTAGATTTCTGGATACTTCAGACTATAATTTGTATGCTCACTTAAATAAGATGTTTATGAATTAGATACATATTTATTATAATTAAAATTATTTTTTTATAATAATGAACAATTTAGTTGGAAGTATTCAGAAGTATAAAGTTTCATAAATGCATTCAGATCTTCCTTTCATTCAGAATAGAAAACAAATTAGAGCTATTTCTCTGCAATAAATCTTTGATAAAGTGAAATAAAATTGCCAATAAGTTGAGACAAATATCAATAATAACAATAATATCGATTAAATTCATACAATTTCATAAAAGAAGTATTCATTCAATTAAATTAGTTTGAACTATGACATTCATCCGTAAACTGAAAGATAGGATACTAAATTAAGATCTCAATCATTAACAAATCGATTATAACGATAAAAAGATAGTGAAACAATGCTTACTTAAATGGATTCAAAGAAAACAGCTATTACTAAATAAATCACACATGTCACAAGTAATTCGGAATCAAAACCCCCAAAATAAGGATTACATCTAAAAAAAATTGAAATTAATAAATAGTTCAATAATGAAGTGATAAATTCTTTATTGCAGATGAAACTAAATAAACAATCTGAAAGTGATTAAAAATTTAATAATTTAATACAGTCAACAAATAATTTATTAAGCCAAGTAAGTGAAAGACCCAATATTAATAAAATACGCTAAGCAAAAAAGAATGATTTAGATAAAATCGGACATGATGGTTAATTGCTAAGCTTTAAGTAATTTGCCAAATTACAAGGATTTAAATTACCTTCATTTTTGCAAATGTGATATTTATATACTTAAATATATGTACTATATGTCCTTTACTTCTATTTATTTATATCTAAAAAACACAATATTAATGATATGGATCCTTCTTGCATAATTTGATAAATCATTGTCAATGATCACAAAAGATATAAAAGTTTAGTCAAAAGTTTAGTTCATCATTTCTAATAACCTATAGACCAAATGGTTAAAATCTTCTTATTTATAAATTTAATTAATTGAATTGAGGATTGAAACTAATATTTATAAATTATTCTCCAAAATACTGATAAGAATAAATCTTTTAAATTATAGAATATAACATACTAATTATAAATCAATTGATTTTTTCAATAGTCGTTTTCAATTCATGGAAATCATGAAAATGGGAATCTGTAACGATGGATTTGACCAATAACAGCAAATTTTTATAGAGTTGGAATGAAAATTCACGATTTCTATTTTTGACTTTTTATGCCAAGGAATCTAATAGTGCAAATGATTCTTCAAATTTAGAATTCAAGAATTTGGTTATATAATTGTTTCTAAGTGTAGCATCTCCAGGGAATGTTAAAATTAAATGCAAAATTAAAGTGCCTAAGGCTTGAAAGGTGTAATCCAGATAGCTTTGTTATTTTTGATTGGTTATTTAAGGATTGAAGTCTGCAAGTACAACCTAAAATAAGAGAGGAATGATTACTTATAGATCACCAGTGACGGTAATGGTCACCATGATATTTTCAGGTTTAAAGTCAATTAGATGAATCTTTCTTAATTTGAGAAACTCCAAAGCTTAAATTATTTATAAAATAATATCTTGAATGTGTTTCTATTTTTATTTATGTGGCATAGGATTCATATAAAAATAGGAATAACTTAACAAATTTTTTGCCTAACATTAATATCTAGGGTAGATGCAATATTCAATCTGCATAAATAAATAAGGTTAGAAATTCAATATTTCAATCCACCAATCATACAATCTAATAACATTAGGATGTGAAAGTGAAGCCAAAATCTTAGCTATGTTGATATAGACATCTTTGGTGTTGAACACATTCATGAAGGAAGAACTGAAATTAGCTCTTAAATGAATCTATTAATATGCTATTATTTGATTACTCTTTTTACAAAGTAAATTTGATCATCCACCAATTTATAAACTTGAAATAAGGATTGATGAGTCTCTATCTCTTCACTCAGAATAATGAATTCATTTTTAAATTTATTAGTTTTCAAGAATTAGTTTTTATAATCTTACTGCACATATGGTATCTTAATGATATTTTCAATTTTAAAAAAGTGCATTAAAAATCTAACCCTCTCTTGTTTTTGATCGATAACAATTTTCTTGATTACAAATTCTCGAATAGTTTTATGGACATAGATGAATGCTGTAGATTTGATTTATCCTGTGGATGTTATGAATCCTATGTTGATATCTTGGTAGAAACATTGAAATAAATTATTTTGTTTGATCTCTAAATTAGATTAACAATACAATAAACTCCTCTTTGGTTTTAATGCAAGTGGGCACCAACATTCTTCTGAGTGCTTTGCGAATCACCTTGGTCATCATAAGGATGTAATGAAAGAAGGGATCATCGTAATAACAATTATGATTGATGGTGGAAATTACGAGAACTTGTGTAAAAGTGGAGAAGTTATCGGCAATTAAGAACTCTTGTTTGAGTTTCTGATTGTTTCCCTAAGTTTGTAGTTGTGACCATACATTACAAGAATCACCTTGATTTTATTTTCATCGGCTGCTTCTTGGACTATAACTTTGTCATTTTCGATTTCCTCTGGGATCTCTTCAATCACAAGGTTACTATTGATGAACTCATAATGCTATCATGAGTCTGATCATATACCTCAGAATTATCCTAATACATTAAAATTATCTAATTATTTTATATAAATCACAATATTTGATTTGGAGTCCAAACAACAAGATTTCTACAAGTACTAATCAAACAACAATATTTTGGATTGAACAAAACGAGTCTGCATTTCCTTTGATGTCCCTCCACTTTGGCAATCAACTAGCCGCTTTGAGTTTGAGTTTTGTTCACATTCTATATTGATATCATATACAAGTATCCACTATTGCTACCAGTAATCAAGAATTTGGAATCTGGAGTGAAACAAACATTGACATTCATCCTGTCAGCATTCCCTGGAATGTCAAATAACTATCAATAAATCAAAGGAATTACTGTATTTAATAAATAACTATCTAAAATTAATATTTGACCATCCGAACAAACACACAATAAAAACTGATTGTCACTACTAAACTTTAATTGAGTTATCGTTGTTCCAGATACCTTCTTGACTTGATAAGGTCCTAATTCAAACTTTCTAATTTAATATAACTAGACACAATTTGTAGATTGCCCATTCTCCTTCTCTACAAAAGCCATACCAAAAGAATTCCCACTGTAATCAAAAGCCCCTATTACTCTATTATCAGGTTTAGAACTCATGTCCAACACTGCATAACAGGTGTCTTACTGTTGATTCAACTCCCATAATCGTAAAGTGTCATCAAAACTGCAACTTAGAATTATTTGATTATAAATTTCTAGTTAATAAATTCTTACTAATAATTTTACTTCAATTACATTTTTGTGTGTCCAGAAAACTTCTTCAATATTTGATTCTCCTCAAAGGCCCAATGCCAGATCTCATCTTAAATAGACTAACTCACTTACATGGCTCATTTTTTGTCACACAAATAATATGACTCTAATCCTTTGTAAATTTCACCATTTCAATCTCCTAAGTGTTATTGTACATTGTCCTGATCTTTCTATATTTTCATCCTCAAATAACATACTTCATATTGGCAATGTCAAAAACATTTACAACTTGATCATCACAAGCAACCAAATATTATCCATTCTATGAAAAATCTATTGAATTGATTTCTTTCAGCTTTAAATAGGTAATTGTATTACAAAGTCTTTGTACACTTTCTAAATCTTCAATCCTTACAACACTTCTTTTGTTATTTCAACAGTTGGTTCATCTGTTATCATATTAATATATTTAATAATTATATTGGAACTCAAAATTGTGTTACGTAAACAGGTTTTGTACTTAATTATTTACTTAAGAATATTTTAATATTGAAGAACTTATCTTCATTTCTATCCAAATTTAAATTAATATCGAAACAGAAAAATATTTAATTCAGATCCAATTTTTTTAGCATCTTATATCAAAGTTGAATCTGTTCAGTCTAAATTAAATCAACTCTCTAAATAATATACTATAATGCTTTCAATCGAAAAAGTTACCATCATTAATGAAATATATACTGTATCTATTTTGGATAATCAATAAGAAAACATGAATATTTGAATGAAAAGCTCTTAAGTTAATTTTTACTAAGGCAAATCTCGCTCTTACTATAAGTCATTGAATTTTTCAAATATTTTGAATATTAACAATATATTATGAACTCTTATTGTATACTCAATTCTCTTATGGCAAAAACTATGAGAGTCTCATCACAATAAAGGAGCAAGATTCAAATATACTATTAAATATCACTCAGGAAATTTCAGCTATAAGAATCCCATTAAGCTCCACCAAAAAAGAAGTTAATGATCTTGAGAAATTAATAGATTACATTAGTGGACAAAATTAAAGTTATTTTATTATAAAAGTATTAATAAATCTTATTATTTTATAATCAATCTTTTACATATGCTTTGCTCTAAAATAAAATTCTCGAATTTGTTTTCCTTGGTTGTAGAATTGAAAGATTCATACTTTAACAAACTTCCTGTTATAGCTTAGAACCTAATAAATAAAACTTTCGTTTATCATTTGAAGATCTAGTCTAACTCGAACTATACATGCTTTTTATACTTTTACGCATTCCACTTTGTGATGCTGTCTTTGTACGAACACTTTTTCTATCATCAGCATTCAGTTATGATGAAAGTTTTTTTATTGGAGATTCTTAATAAATAGAATCATTTTCGTTTTTTAATTAATATATCGATTCATTCAAAATATCTTAACATTATTCTAACGTAAATCTTTAATCATTTAATTGACTTTCTGATTAATTTTTTTCACTATTTAAAATTTAAAATTGATTTAATTTCTTGATATTCTGTTATTGCTATTATTATATATCATTAATTTCTTTAATGAATAAAGGGATAGCACTAAATTATTCATTTAAATCTTATAGTTGCTATTCGATTTAAAGAATTTATTAATTGTGTTAAGTCTTGATTAACTCAAATTAAGATATCATCTTTTAATGTAAGAGATCGTAAGTTGATTCTAATGTGTCAACTGTTGTTGATAATTGATTAAAATTTTTATCAATTTGTTTTTTAAATTCATTTAGTCTTTATTGTATGAAATATTCTATTTCGTTTTTTTCTAATAAATTTTATATGCCTGAAAAATCTTATTTGTTTTTTTATTAGGGATAAACATTTTAAGATTCCCTACTTTATTCATTTTTTTTAATTGATTAATTATTGACATTATTTTTAAGTATTTAAAAGTTTCTTTTAAGTTATGCTTCAATAAATGCAGTATATTCATGAATTTTTTTGTCTAGATCTGGAGTGCCTTTGTCTTCAACAATGATGGTATTCAGAAGAGTGAATTTCTCCTCTTCAAATTTAGCTAGTCTATAAATATTATTGTCATCCAAACAATTATGTAAAGTTTGAGAGATAGTACCTTATAGAAATAAAGGAAAATATTTTTCAATGTAATTTTCAAAATAAGATTATTTGTTTTTCATTAATAGCAACTCATTAGTAACATATCTATCTTAAGCTAACAATTCATCAAATTTTGGAACTATTTACTAGAGCAATTCAATGTTTTTTTAATCATGAGATGTCTATGAAATCTGTTAAATCATTTTATTGTTTAGAGAACTCAATTCTTCGAAAATTCTATCATTTTTTAATGTTAAATCTTTTTAATAACTGTATTAATTATCTATTCTAAGATTTACTTCTAATAACTTATCTTAAACATTATTAACAGCTATATTATTTTATAAATTAACTTAATCTATGTTTTCTAATAATACTTATTTAAATTGTTGATTTTACTGTCTAAAGTTTTCAATTGATTAAAGAGATTAACTCTAAATTTTGTCTAAAAGAGTTATTTATTGAAGATGCTGATCTTTAGAAATTTATAATAAATCAACTTTCTTATTAATCTCATTGATAGTAAATTAATCTGTCTACTGCAATTATTCAATTCGAGATTCTAATTCTGTCATCTGCTACTGAAGTTGTTGGATAATTGATTGACTTTTTCCATTTTGAAAATAGAGAGACTTAAATTCTTCGTAATTTTGGATGTATTTTTCTAATTTAACAGCTAGACTTATATATTAATATGTAGAATTTACGTGTCATATTAGAATCTTTGATCAAGAAATAGTTTAAGATGAGGTTCCATTAATTCATGCACTCGAATCCTTATTTAATTATCCAATTCAAACCATTGGAATTCATTCAATACCTTGTTCTGATTTGTGAGAGATTGATTTTACTATTGAATAGTATATAAACTGCAATACTTAGTTGATAGATTTCAGCAGTTCTTAAACAAGTGAATTTCTTTGTTATTATTATTACATTAATTAATGAATCAACAAGCACAATATTATCAATAAGAATATTAAGCTCAACCGCAACCTCGTATTAAAAAAGCTAAAAGCTTTGATGAAGATGATAATGACAACTTAGAAGTACTCAAACATAAATAAGTTAGATTATCAAACAAGGTTATGGGATTCATGAGGCTTTGAGAATTGACATTCTGGAATTTTATAAAAGTTGTAGAACATAACAGGAATACAAGAATCCAGCAGATTTTGTGAAGCACAGGTTAGATGGCAAGTATGGACCTTATTGGTTTGTATTTATGTGGGAACATAAAAATGGGTTGAATGCTCAATACAGTTACTATAATAATGATGACAAAGTATTGGAATTCAAAGTAATTACTATTGAAAATATAAGTCAAATGGTTGGCATGTCTTAATCTATTCCTTTAACCAAACTTAGCAACCAGCATAATTCAAACCATAACCAAGTGCTCAGACTATGCCTCAATATAATACGTAAAATAAATTATATACAATCTTAGGTAGTTCCCACCTCCTTTGTATGATTAAAGATTTGATGACTACTAAGTGGATCCCAGATACCCTTACTCTTAAATGCAATAAGGACCATCTTAATACAGATAAGGAGGATGGTATTACTGATTAAATAATTTTATTGATAAAAAATAAGTTTTGTAACGAAGAAAAAATAATTATTTATAAAATTAATATCTCTCTAAATTTGTATTAATCAAAATTAGACTCTTCTTTTGTTGCTATCTTAAGTATTTCTAATAAGTTACCTATTATAATCTATTTTAGATAATAATTAATAATAAACTATAAACATTTTTTGAAAATCAAAAATTGAAGCCTATTGTCTGAAATATTCATATAATTAGTAATGTATTAATAATAGGCATAAATGATCATTCAGATTTTGAATATTAATTACTTTTAATATTGCTTAGGTTGATAATTTAATTAATAGAACTTAGAATATTATCAATAAATATAGTAGAAACATTCTCAAATTTCTTGAATTAAACCTCAAAAGTCTAAGGAATATTATAAAACTAATAATTTTCAATTGATGTCTCATTTTAATTGAATTTATATTATAAATACATATTTATCTTCTTATTATTATTAATTTTATTGAAAACAACCCTTAGATGTATGAGTGATATTTAATAATTTCATGTCACTATTATTATAAGATGGACTCAAGTTTGCACCTTTGAAAAATATAATGTTAAATTTTTATTGAAAAGTTGCAAAGATTATTACATATTTTAGAAAGAAAGCTTATGAGGTTTAAAACACAGTATTTGAAATATGAACTCTGAAGTCAAAGAAATCAAATCTAAATTCTACAAGAAGTAGAATAAATTAAAATTAGTAATAATATAAAAATAATAAGAAATGATTCATCGATAAATATTTATCTTATATTTAAATGAAATAAAACATTAATTTTACTCATATCCTTTTATAAGGTACATGTCTTAAAGTAATTGATACTCTGAGCAATCTTCTTATAATCAAAGAATGAGTGAATTAATTATCATTTTGAATTTGACATAGTTCATAATTGGGCTAACTATTCAAATATTCAATAACATTATCAACTTTTTATAAGTTTTGATATAGCGAGGTTTGAGGGAAATTAATTAAATCTGTATTACAGACTTAATTGTATTTGATATTCATTAAAATTGTATCATCGTGGTGATAATTGATTCCATGAAGCCATTCTGTGTATGCTTGCTTAGTAAAAATTAATAGACTGCCTGGTTCTACAAAAAGTTTCAATGATTGATCTTCTTTTTTAAATTTAAAAATGCAAGTGCTATTGATACTAAAGATATTAACAAAGTTATGGTATAAAGGTCCATCGAAATGAGGATGGATACCAATGCCTGGAGCATATTCATTAATGAGGGCATGATTAATTTTTAGAGTATTATCATCTAAAAAGCATAAATTCTAATAATCTAAAATCAATCTATACTGATAATTAAGATAAAAAGTCTGGCAATAGTTCTACATTGATAAGACCTTCATCTTTAACATCTCCGCCATATTTCTATACTCTTCTATTTGAATGAAGTAAGTCAACCCATCTCTTAGGCTGATTATAAATTTCGTTCATCAAATATTCTTATTATTGCAGAGTGAGAATTTCTTTGATATAGAATATTGCTTCAATTGAATTGGGTACTTGATAGGGCAAATACTCTAAAATTTATCTATTGAAATTGGTTTAACACTATTTCTCCTCAATTTTTGGTATCTGGGCAATATCCTACTATTCAGACAAAGAAGATTTAGTCTTTTCTTGTTTAACAGTCTTCAGAATTGCTTTGAACATGATAATATAAAGTGGGATAGCTATTTCGTAAATGAAAATACTATATAAAATTATTAATTGTAAATTCTATACAAAATATTATAACAATGAAATTGGATCAAATCAAATCAACATTCTTTTTCTACACATATAATTTAGATTAAGACTTTTCTTTAACTGAATGTTTTATTTAAATTGGTAATTCGATTAACCATCTGAATATAAAACTAAAACCAGAAATAATTAAAACGCACCCCACATAGACTTGTCCAATACTCTAGATATTGAAATCCAAACTTCGGTAAAATGATGCTATAACAACCTCAACTACCAACATATGTAATAGATATCCAACAAAGGTAAATTTCACAACATATTTGATTGGAGTGTAATTTAATAATTAATAGATTATATTATTATTTCCTAATAGGTTTGGCAATACAAATAGAGTGATTCCTATGGCATAGATAGTTCTCATTACTCCTTCATAAATTTGTGCATACAATTTAGGATAGAAATCTTCACCAAATTACATAGCATCATACCAACCTACTGTTAAATAGAGGATTATCAAAAAACCAAGAATTTGGATTGTATTTTAAAACCAAAGCTTCAATTTTCTTTTGAAATTGATCACAAAAAAGGCTGTTAGCATACCTACAAAATAAGGTGGTGCTCTAAACCAAGGTCTATAGTAAAATGCCTTATAGATATCAGTGGTGAATACAGCAAAGTAGGGGATGCCATATTCTTTTTGTAAACATGTGTATATGACATAAGATTGTGAAACTAAAAGAAGAATGCTTGTCAATATTATTGCTGCCATTTTGTTTCGTTTATACAATATTATGATTATGGCACATAAGATTGTCAACTGAACATCCAGTGATAATTGCCATAACCAAAGCGTACAATAATTTTCATCATCGAAATTGTTAATAAATAAGATGTTTTACCACCATTTGCCACATTTGGTATATCTCTCAATATAAAACCATCTTGGACCTTCTCCTAAGTATGGGATTATTTGTGTATTAATCAGAATGATCAGGACCATCAATGGCCAAATTTTGCATATTCTCAAAAGTAAGGAATAGAGACAATTCAATTTAACGAGTGAAAGTACAGCGAAAAATCCAGAAAGCCACAAAAATATTTCCACAGAATAGATGCATCCAAAGACTATCAACAAGATGTAATGTTTGCTGTAATGTTAAACTTAATAAAAATCACATTGTAAAAGCATTGAGATTCCTGTGTTTCCAAAAACACACATAAGAAATCCTAAGACACGAATTCCATTTAATGATGAGTATCTAGACTCTTATGGTTTACAACATTCTTGATAATTGTCTTTTAAGTCCAAATTTAGATAAAGTTCATAAAATTCGTTTAATTGTATTCCTTTCCTATTTTATTTAGTTTTATTAGCATGATTTATTAATTATTATTCTTCATCGAAATAAGTGCTCACTTCTTAGATATCTCTTTATTCATACTCTTATTAGAGTTGCTATTGAGGAACCTCCATGTCTTTTTTATGAAAATATGTGAAGTATACTTATAACATAAGGAATCCTATCAAACATGATATAAGTATATAGGTAGCAAATTAAGGCTAAGGAGTGACTTGTGAATCCAGAAATTTGAGTTCATACTCGGTTAGATCAACCTGAAATATAACTTCAAATCAAGACCTATGATATATCTTAGGCGATTGGCAGGATCCATTTTTTCAGTGTTTAAATTGAGGAATTGATGTCTGAGATGGAACATTATTTAGTAAAGCAAATTCCAATGTTGACAGAGGCTGGAGTTGTAGGAACAAAGAATTGTATGACCGCATATTAGTATTAATTTGTACAGTCTTCATAGAATCCAAAATCGTTGATCCTAAAAATAAATGAAAATGCATACCCTTTGCCACTGAAATAGATGTAGGGTGCCAATTTAATTAATTCAAGTTTTGGATCGGTCAGGGTGTCTGCCATTAAATTTCCAATGCTAGAAATGCATGATCCAAATACTTTTGAAATAAATATAAGTAAAAACATTAATAATTATTATTAAATTCATTTGAACTCTTGTTTTTACATTTCTTCGATTTCCTTAAGCATTTTAGGTTTGTCTGATCTTCTGATAAGCAAATATATCATTGTTAAAACTGACCAGACCAGTAAGATAATTTCAAAGACATTGTTAGAATATAAATAAGTAAAGAAACGTAGGTATTGAATTTGAGTACTAAACAACACTACTATAAAACAAATATTTACTATTGAGAGTGCTCAGTCTAATGTACTGGGAAAACGCTTTGGTGCAAAACTAAGTAACAGCCACCGAACAGATTAACATAAGTTGGACATTAAATAGAAAAGTATTCATCCAAGTCTCATTCACTCTACGATAATCAAAAACATCATACTTCATTATATGCAAGGAGAATAGAAAAGGAATCCTGAGACCAAATTTAATGTTGCCCTTCTGAGTGCACCACAATAAATATATGCAAAGGAATCCAAATATACCGACACATAAAAACCCAGCATTTCCATCTTCTAAGCCAATCAATATTTTATTCAGAAATGGACTTGCTGATATCCCATCTGAATCTCTTATTACTATAAACAATAATCTAATCATATGAATTAATAATATACATGTGCAACCACCAAATGAAAGAAATAACGCAGAATATCACTCCAATCACAAATTTAAAATACCAAACTACCGGATTCGTATCAAAATATTTGAGTTCCATCTTGAAAATTTCATTATCTCTATCTAAACATAGAACTGCATTCTTATATCTTGTAAATTGAGTCCGCACTCTTCTTTTCTCTCTATATCTGGCCCACCATCCATCTTAATTAACTGCCTCTTTTTAATAATCTTTAATTTTGTTGCCCTCTTCAATCAATTCATAGGCTTTCCTTTTTAGACTGCTTTTCTTCTAATTTCCCTCAGCAGTTGTCAATTTTTTTGGCCTATTTATAAATTCTTATATCAAATCGACTGGCAAGGCTGTTAAACCAACTCCCCCAAAAAGCACGAACAAGCAATAACCAAACAAAGACATAAATGCCATCACATAAACAGGGAAACTGACTTCATATTCCAAAGTGTCAGCCGAATCCTCCTGCAAAGAGTTTGCTACGCCTGTAAATGGGGTTTCAGAATCCAAGAAGAGGGTTGGCTATGCACAGGATTTCACTGAAATGTAGACTGGGATATCAGCAAATCGTAAAAATGCATAGGAAATAAATAGCAAAAGTGCTACTATTATCACAAAACATAATTGTTAATAGAGAGCTGCACAGCATCGTTAGCCTACAGACTTCTCATCATCTGATTCGTAATAGTATTGAGCGAAAGGGATAAAAAGGGTTCCAAATATCAAAATCAACATGTAAATGAACTTCCAAAAGAAATCCATATCCAAGCCTTCTCCAAGTCCTCTAATTCAATTTGTTAAACTCTTTACCTTGAATTTGCTGCATCCAATGGCAACATCAACACCTAAGCCCAAGTCAATGTCATTCCAATAATCACAAATACTTTGCATACTAATGATGAACCCCAACCACTATCATCGGCTATATTTTATAGATTTCATTAAAATACGATGACAATATAAAACTAGTAAGTAGAAGTTCACAAATAATAACAATAGTGCCATCACTATCGTTACAATTATCAAAAACCATTCCATTTTAAATTTAATTTATATTAATGAGTAAATTCAAATGAAATTATTGATATAAGTATCAATCTTCATTTAATTTTTATTCAGAATTTAGCTGGGTAGAATTAAATTTAAAAATACCCAACTTTTTAACTATGTAAATAAATATTATTTTTATAATTTATATAATTTACTAGCAGGAGTAGATATATACAATTTTAATTCTTAAAGAATATATTGCTACTCCAAAAGAAATACTCTATAGATCTGCTTACTCCTCAAATCTCTCTGCTCCTTCTAGCACAATTAATTACCATACAATAAGTAGACAAAATTTAAGAATTTTTAATAGAGAAGGTTCATAGTCAAAGAACCTCAATCACGAGTAAGATAATCAAACTCATCAGGAGGATCAAAGTTCATAAAGTCTTGCTATTCCTTTGTTTCATATCAAAAACTAATATATTTAAAGTAAAACATGCAGAAGCTATGACATTTATATAATATACTTTTAGGTAGTATTTATGAATATTTAGTTTAATAATTTAAAGGTCCAACCTCCTTACAATCTTCTGTTCCCAAGAAAAATGAAAGTTCATATTTAGTTTAAAATCATACAAAATTATATAATAACAAATTATGGTTGAAAATATTTTATCAGCACAAATAATTAAGTGAAGAACATAGATATGGAGAGTTGAATAGATCCAGATTATTTAACAAATTAACTAATATGAGGATACGAAATAATTAGAAATATGCATATTAATGAGATGGGTGAGATTAAAACATAACAATATGTGATGTGTCAAGAGGAAGTAGAATGATCAGAAAAGAGATTAAAAACATGTGGAGATCTTTTACAAAAGAATATGAATCTATAACTCATATCAAAATGATTGACATTGTGGTTTAGATGATAAAGTATTACTAAAAATTCTTATCCAAAAGATAAGGACAATGTGAAAAAGGAATTGGTTAACTAGAAAAGGATATAAAAATGATATAGAATTATGTGTTTTTGGATACCTAAAAATGACTAGACATAAAGATTTCAAATAATATTATAATTTCTATATATATTTCAAATTATTGTTTGGAAAAGAAGTGAGAATTAATCTTTAATGTTGGAATCCTAAATTTGATTTGAAATGAATTTGAAAGTCTAAAATATTTGATATTAAAATAAATGAATAATAATTCTTAAAATATCAGGAAAACTATATCTAATTATACTTATGAGAATAATGATTTAATAGGTTCCGGATACTCATCGAAAGTATATAAAGGAGTTAACACAAAAACTAATTAAGTAGTAGCAATTAAGGTAATAAGTATTCAATAACTAACTACTCAAATTTCCAAAAGTTTGCTAAAAAATGAAATTCAAGTATTGAGTTTAATAGATCATCCAAATTTAATGAAAATTTATGATACATTTGAAACTAAAAATAATAGATATTTGATCTGTGAATATTGTAACGAACGGGATTTGGCTGAAATTTTAGACTCCACATAATTCACAGAAACATAAACCCTAGAAGTGTTCTAATAAATTGCTTAGGGAATTAAAGCATTACATGATAAAAGTAACACCTTTATGGTAAATTAATAGAAATAATACATAGAGATATCAAACCAGCCAATATATTAAAATCTAATGGATCATACAAACTAGCTGACTTTGGCTTTGCAGTTATCGAGAACCAATATGAGAGCATCATAAAGAAGTTTAATGTAGGCACCCCCATGTACATGGCTCCTGAAACTGCGCAAAATAATGTTTACTCAGAAAAATCAGATATTTGGTCTTTAGGAATAGTTTTATTTTAGATGATATATCGAGAACTCCCTTTGTTTTCTAAATAGGAAAACGAATTAAGTAAGAAGCACTCATTTCTCATCAACAAAATCAAAAATGATACAATAACTACTCCTAAAACTAAAGAACTAATGCTAAATATGTTGAATATTGATCCAGAAAAGCGAATGTCCATTAATGAAATCATTGCCAACTTGTCAATTCAACCTAAGAAAATCTAAACTCTTTCACATCAAAGCATTCCATATAGATCTATTAAAACCAGTTATATTTCTCAAGATCTATAATAGTCTAGATCATAATTAGAAGATTAGTTACTAAATAATTAATCACTCTCAAATAATGCAGGAGGTATCAGTGAAAATTAGCTTAAGGAACATTTAAATTTTAAATCACATGAGATAATAGGATTATAAAATTTAGATTCTAAAAAAGTTATTAAAATAAATTAAGTTGCTTAACTTATAGATGCTAAAAAAAGTCATACTGATTTGGAAGAGAAACCTTATGATTTGACTCTTTAAATCAATTAAATTAACTCAAATTTATTAATAGAGTAACCAATAAAAGAGTCTTACACATAAAAAATTGAAGCAATCCCTAAGCCTTAATAATAATCGTCGATTAAATTCACTAATTTTACTCTTGAATCTAGACTTAAAAACTAAAAATCACTTGAATTAATTGACATGCAAAGCAAAAATCAAGAATTAATCCCGGAGTAATAACTCAAATAAACCTCACAAAAAGAATAAGAAAAAATAACTGCCATTAAGATACCTATAACAACATAAAATTTTGATAATAATAGCAACACCCATGGCTTATCTGGAGAAGAAAATAGTACCAATGACACTATAAATAATCATTAATTTTCAAACTGCCATTAGATTTTGTAAGAAAAACAAAAAATCATAGATATTTCCTAAAGTTTATAAAAGTAATCTTACTCAGTTTAAAATAGCAATTCTATTTAACAAAAGAAGTCTCCTGTTAGGGTTGTATAATCTCAATAAAATATCATGACTCCAGCTTTAAAATCATCTGGATTGAGCTTATAAAAGAACCCTTAGGAGAATAAACAAAATTGCTATTTCTAAACTAATACAACCTCTTAATTTAGGCAATTTGCATCCTAAACCAAATCTAAATAAAATGTTATTACTGATAAATTCACAAGTGATTTTAATTCTAATATCTAAGATGATAAGGAAGAATTTCTTTCTGCATCAATAAGGCCTACTTACAAATTTTTATTGTATTTAAATAGTGTCCTTAAATAGTTTGATTGTATTAATACAGAAGACAAATAAAAATGCTATTTTTTAATCAGAAAGCTTTTAGGAATCAAGGCAACTTATGTTTAAAAGTATTGTCCATCAAATAAACAAGGCATTATATAAGGCTGGATCGATAACTTTTTATCATTTTATTCAAAAGTAGAAACTGTATTTTATATCACTCCTGATAAATAATTTGAATAATTTTTCAATAAAGATTTATCTGAATTTAGAGTTAGTTTCTCTTAATTGTTATTGCATTATTTATAAAAAATAAATATAGTTAAATTACAGAAAGATTTCCAGGTTATCTAAGAAATACTGTTAGAAAATCAAAAATAGAATAATGATCCTATAATGTTTGCTAGAAGATGGGAAAATGACTAAATTTGATCTTTATTTATTTATTAATGTGTTTTATATATTGGATAAAATTATGTTATAATAATTACAAATAATTTTACTCACTATTTTCTTAATCAAAAATATTAGATTAGTAAATCGATATTAACCATCAATTTCACTAGAACTGAATAATGTACTGTTTGAAAATTTCATTTGATAACCTCACTCCATTTAGAATATTAATTAAATTACTTAAAATAAAATTAAAATCATAGAAAAGACTTAACAATTTATTAAATCTTAATATTTAGGTAATCTTCTTACATTGAGGAAGTAGGAAAGCATTTATCTTTAGGTGGACTATCTAATTTCTGGATAGAAATGTCATCCTCGAAATTGTAGGTTTTTTTCTTTTTTGGAGATAATTATCCTCCTTAAGCTCTGCTAGTTAAGTTTTATTGAATCTAGAAATATTGGTTTTCTAAAGAAAAATTAGGAACCCTTATTTTGGGGCCTAAGGGGTAGAGAAACTTTGGAGATTTTCTTTGAGCCATTTTTAGAATGACTTTTCTTCTGTTTTTGATATGTTCTACTTATTATAATTCTTTGCTGGAGAGAATACAACCATTTTCTTCTAATTAATTAATTTATATAAATGAGTTTACCTTCGTCGCTTTAATACTTAACAGCATTTTTATATAATTATCGAAAATTATTAATTCTCTTTTGCTCTATTTTCTCTTAAACGTATTTTCCTATGTTAATGTTATCGTTTTAATTTTGACTTAAAAACTGCGAGAGTCTTAATACTAAAGAAAATTACTTTAAGATGCTTTGATCATTTGAGATTTTATCGTTTTCAAATTCAGTATTATTTTTAGGCTAATTAGTCTTTTATTGATGTTTACTTAAGATTTGATTGATAGATTTGAATATCGGTCTCATGGCTAACTTATACATAAATATATTACATATTTTGTCTTACTTACTATTGTCCATAATTTCAGCATCTGAATTTGAGTATGGTTATAAATAGGTTTAAACTTGAGAGGATTTTGATCTATTTTTATAAATGATCGGTAGTTTTAATGAAGTCTTATTATTAGTTTAGTATTTTTTTTTGGAATCTCTGTCTAGTTCATCTATTTTTTTGAAATCTTCATTTTCCACTATCTCTCCGAATTACGTTGAGGAGATTTCGTCTTTGAGTGGTTTCAGTTCAAGCTTCAACTTGTATGGTTTTTTGTTTTTCATAAGACCTCCTTTATAAAACATGGCATGATCTTAATTATTGTTTTCGATTAAATCATAGGTAATTGATCTCTTATTTTTATTTTACATTTGAGATTGATATTAACTTTATAATATATAATAAATATTTCACATTCAAAGCAAAGGAGCTAATTCACTATTTAAAAGTATTTAGCTATTTCATAATCTTAGTAACTTTGACATCCTAATAATCTGATTTTAGATTATTGGTAACATAACTGGTAGTTATAGGTGGTCCAGACAACATAGTTAGGTTCTCAAAATCTTAATATTATTCTTTTGTATTTCTCAATTGATGCACTTTCTATTAGAGTTCCCTTTCTGTTATCCTAATTCTCAGGTTGTTGTAGTTGTTCCAATTTTATTCACTATTAATAACTGGAAATTTGGATCCACAAATATGTAAGAATTTAGGTTTCTGTTTGTTTAATATCTCATGTACAACTTCCTTCCTTCTTTTGAGCACTTTTTGTCTCTGTTCAAAATCAAAATATTAATTAACATCTATTTGAATGAACAATTAATATTTACTTATGTCTTTATAAATATCTGGTAGTTGCTCTTTTTCAGTTTAATCAAATGAACTCTAATTAAGTTACTCAATTTTAGTCTCCAGAGGTGGGTATTGGATCTGAGTCAATTCTAAATTGTTATTATTAAATTGGGAGTCTCTTTGTGTAATTTCGGCTTGATCATCCTCATATTAACAAGAACTTGATATGTTTTATCTAAAGGAATCCGAAATCAGTTATGATAAATCTACCTTAAAATCATTATATAACTACTTTAGGAATGTCCTATTTTTGCTATTTGGAGTAGGTGTTTGTTTTCTTTTTTTCAGAGTTCCTTCTTTTGAATTTAAGGTCGATTGAAAATGATTTTCTCTTCTTAATCACATCAATGGATAGATCTTCATTAAAGTTCACTTGATTCATTGGGCTAATCTAACTTTAGTTTAAGCGATCAAAGTTAATTAATTTTTATTCCAATCTTTGAGTGATATTCTATGGTTATTTAGGTCTGATTGTCTGTAGAGTATACTTGATATTGGTGTAATTGTTTGAGGTTTTCAATGTGTTATTTTGATTATTTCTCGTTGATCTCCTGTAACTAAGTGGATTGTCTATGGTCTATTCATTATTAGCCCTCCTGTTGATTTCATTCAAAAGTGGGATGAGATTCTTCGAATTGATGGATATGTGAAAATTAGTGATTTTACCTTCGTCTCCTGCAAACCGAATAAATGTTTGATTGTGAGATTTTTCAACTGATTGGGATTGGTTTCTTTTATTTTTGATATGCTTTAAATCGATGATATCGTTGTATTCCTTGATTTTATCAGCATAAAATTATTTAGTTTTTTCCAAGGTGATGCCATGGATTTCAACAAGATCTCGGCATTTCTTCTCCTCATTCAATTGCTGGAGGATTTCAAGTTGTGGTTTTTCTATATGATCTTCCAAACTTTGATTTTTGGGGACTATCGAATAATTAATGGTTTTATATTGTGGTTCTGGACCTTTAAAGCTTGGCTATAAATATATGAGTGTACCCATAGCTATTGAGAATGTTAGTAATTGTGGTGTGATCCATAAGTTGAGTTTATGAATTAGGTTATAAAATAGAAGTTAATGTAGATAAAAAGATTATATTAAATTTATGAGTTTCATAACATAAATTGAATTGTTAGTGTTTATTCGAAATTTTCGAAATGTTGATCTATTTTAATAAGGAATCTACAGGATCTAAATATCAATACCCAAGCATTTGCCATATTTGACTTTGGATTAATTGGGGATAACCAAATAGAAGAAACAAAGGGATCAAAGATTGGTTGGATAAGACATCCGAGATCAATACTACCTATCAAGTTCTTTCGCTATTAGATATGAAGATGAGGAGGTATAAATGATTAGAATTTAGATTAATTTGTGCGAAGGATGCATATTTAGAATAGAACAAAATACATTTGCATAATTAAACTCTGTAGAATTGCAAGTTGATTTATTATTTCTGGACAGTAAATCTGCTGAAACATTCCCAGATCAAGAAGCATTGCCCTTGAACAAACTCACTTCCCAGACCTACGTCATTCATTCTCTAAAACAGATCAATCACAATTATTTGCCTATCACCTTTGATCCCAACACTGCCTGCGTGATAAATTGCTTTGTGTTCTCACTGCCTTTGAGTATGATTAAGTGATTAATAGACCTAAAGTATTAGTAGCGAAAGGAGGGATTAACAATGATTGACTACATTCAAAAATACAAAAGAAAGGGCCAATACGAACTATTGTAATAGAAAACCTTTGATTACCTGGAATCGATATTCAAGCAGTTTATTCAGTAATACAAAGAGACCATTGCCGAATTTATAACGGAGCCAACAAAATTTGCACATTATTTAGTATTTTAAAAGAGAATTAATTTTAGTCCCAATTGGCCTGTTTGGGAGAAGTGGAATATAACAGCGAAGACCTAGAACGTCAAATCAATTCAATCAGTTTACAATTGTATATGCTTTGGTATGTCTACATCGACGTAGTATCAAAGGTGTATGCTAAACTAATGAAGAAATTGAAATTTAAGTATATTTCGGAACTCCAAGATCTTTATGAAGAATTCGTCATTAAAATTACCGATTTCCCATAATTCGACAAAACCTTGAAGAACAACAACCTAATCATTTCCTTGAGACAACTAGACCAAAGAATATTGCCCATTCTACCCATTACATCTACAGAAATATTGGACAATCTGCCAATTCTACTGAAATACTCGCAAAATGAAGTGAAGCAATACTAACTAAATTAAAAGAAGGCAGAAAGCAAACATCTGATTGTGTTTGTCCATGGATATAAGGGCTCTCCCTTTGATATGAGGAGATGGAGGAACATTATCAAAATCTATTATCCGAAATGCTTCACACTGTTGTCCAGTTGCAACCAAAGAGAAGGAGAAGAATCAATTAGAGTGATGGGTCACAAATTAAGCATCGAAATCCAAGCCTAAATCTAATTGATGGATGGAATAGATGAATTATCATTTATATGCCATTCCTTAGGAGGAGTAGTAGCACGATCAGCTCTTTGTAATTTAAGTATGCATTAAAACAAGATGAGATTTTATGTAAGTCTTGGATCCCCTCATGTAGGGTTATTTGTAAAATAAAATAGTTTGGTCAAAACTGGATTGTGGTTCATGACCAATTTCTCATCCAGTTAAAGTATGGCTGAATTACAAATGTAAGATGCCTCAGTGCCTTAGAATTCTTATCTCTATTATCTATCGACAGTCCAAAGTTTAGAGTGGTTCCAAAAAGTGATCCTGGTCAGCTCGACACAGGATGACTTTGTTCCCTTTGAGGTTGCCAGACTCGAGAAATCCACCAGAGTTCCGCAAGATAAACAGCAGATCTATTAAACCATGCTTGACAACATTAAATTGCCTGAATGCACAAGGGTTGAAGTGAATTTCATATATACAGAGAATGATAAGAATTGGGATAATTTCATTGGTCGAACTGCTCACATGAATCTAGTTGAAAATACAACGATGATAAGGATGATTGTAACTTAAAGCAGATTACTTGATTGATGAAAAGATTAAACATTTATCGTTTTATTTTAATAATTTATATTTATTAATTCGATACATGGGCAATTGTTATGATTCAAGAAAGAACACAGTAGTCTTAGCATTTGATTAAGCTGAATATACTCAATTGGATCAATAATTTCAATATTACTGTGAATTAAGTAGTGAGTAATAACAATAATATTATTAGAACTCGTGATACTAAGTAACTCAATTAACGATCCTTCGAGGATATCTTCTCAGAAAATCCTGCCTTTGGAATCAAGTTATTTAAGTTCCTTGAATTGTACAGTGGAAGTGATGGTTTTGTGAGGAAGGAACCCTTGTTTGAATTCTGTATTCTTAATATTGCCTACAATATATAGTGGAGCTGTTAGTGAAGGATGTTCAAACTTCGGTTCCAGCCTTCAAGAACCTAGAAAGATTTGAATTGATGTCCTTGATTACTTTGCAGAACTATAGATATGTAAAATCAAAAGAAGAGTTGGCCCAATTGCAATTAACTTATCTTGACACTCTCAGTGTCATCAAAGTATTTCTAATCCCCTTCAACCTTTTAGGATATTATCAAAATGTATCAACATGCTCAGAAGAACGCACCAACTAATGAGAAATACATTAAATCATTAGTAGATTAACTCTATAGTATTTTGATTAATTCTAAATCTAGAAAATGAATCAGGTTCCTTGTCTTGGGTTTAGTTGATGGACTTCATTTCAAAGTAGATGCCAGGAACTAAATATCTTATCAAAAAGTATTTTTAAGCTAAATTTATGGGAAAACAATTTAATGTAATTAAATTATATATATATACTTTCCTTTAGAATACCATTCCAGTTGTCAATACTCCATCATATTTTGTAACCGATGAATTGTTTTTCCAATTATTATTGAGTACCTAATCGGTGCTTACTGATTGCAATTAATTAACCTTGTTATATTCAAGTGTTGCACATCAAGGGGGGTTTAATCAAATGGTTCAATCACTCAAAGGTATTATCAATACTCAAAACACTTAGATTGTAAATTACCTACGATTATGTTTTTTTAACATGAAGAAAAATATGAATAGAAGACTAAATAATAGATATTTGGAGCTCTAACGAATCTTAGATGGTATGACACCAGATAATACTTTGGAACCAAGAAGGATTGCATTTTCTGTCTCTATCCTCATTTTAAGATTTATAGATCCAAAAGAAGAGGAGAATAAAACTACTGTTTTCTTGATTCCAATAAGGGAATTGGATTTGGGGGTAAAAATGGAGAGGGGTGCAGAATCTGGATTGATAAAGACTTACAGAATTCCTATTGCACTCAAACAGATGATTCATATGAAAATGGACCTCTAATTCTACCCTATGTGAAGAAATTGTAAATTAACATCATTGAAATTTGGGCTATTTAACACCCTACTGATGAAAATGATGAAAATTTTGATATAAAAATAGATTTGAAGGATCCACTCTTGTAACAATCAGATGAGGTCTAGTTTCCAAATTCCAATGCTGATTTCTATTGGGTCTAACAACAGAAAAAAGTGCAAAGTAATTCAGGATTTTATTGGGAAAATAGTAATGTAAGTTGATATATTATATATATATTTATAATAAATTGCCGCATAAATTATTTGAATTTAAAAAGTTTTATGAACGAGCTAAGTGAATATCCCAATATTTAAGTATGATGAACTTATATGATAGTTTGATAATAGTCTTTACAATTCACTCAAAACCAAGGATAGCAGACTGATACTCAGATAAATGAGATCAGCTATTGAGGAATTTAATCACAGTAAGCATTTTGATAGTGAAACTTTTACCATCCTCTATTATGGTGTGCAATAGGTATATAATAAGTCTTAGAGATAGATCCAAAAGGACGATATCTTAGAGTTTCTAGAGAAGGAAGTTCTAAAGAGACAGGATGCCTTGGAGTTTGAGATTTTACAGATGAAGTTTTTATAGGCAACTCTGGATGATTAAAACAAAAACAGGAAGGAGAATTTGTATTAATTATAGAAGGAAACATTAACATCATTTGGACAATATGATAAACATGGCTAGATGGGAATAGAAACAATACTATAATTTTATAAAACAAAAATAAAGGAGAACGATGTTAAACAATGTTTACAAAATTAAGCTAGGAAAATCATAAGAAAAGAGAATCTTCATAATTACATTAAAAATAGGTTGATTCAAATTGTATTCAATTCAGAAGATTGTGATCAATAAATTTCAGATTTACTAATATATTGTGAAAACACTGCATTTGTTACCCAATTCATTACCATTTTAGCCTAACACAGTTTGGAAATCTTATAAAATGAGAGCAATTCATTAAAACAAGTATCTAAAGTATTTGAAAGAGTAAGTGCTCAATTGCCAAATTTATTTAATTAAAATTTGCCTGTTTTCTTGCAATTTTACGATAGCGAAGTAAATTATTTATATCTATTATTATTAGTGCTACTGTCTTAGAAATGCCATTAATACAATAATCACAAATATTCTAACTGAGCATTTGAATCCATCGAAAGTGGAGTAGGATGTAGAAATGAAAGAAAACCAATTAAATCAAAGACTATTCCTCATTTAGAAATTGGCATCAAGAATTATTGATAAAAATGCATATGCTAGAGTTCACACTTTAAAGATGTTAAGAGTTGTATGCTCATAGAATCTTATACCTCCAAGTGTATAACTTATGATGTTCCCATTGGTAATCGCAAGAGTGTAAGATGTCTCTTCGATGGTGAGAAAGGCAGCCTTGGCATTTGTTAAATAAATAACAAAGTACAATTTCAAAATATATAGAATTCAACCAGATTTATGAAAAACCTATTTGTTGATGGGTTATAAATGTAAAATTTCATGAAGATCACTGAAATCAAGGAGTAAAATGAATATTTGGGAACTGAAATTCATAAGACTTTAATAGCCATCGATTAGATATTAGAAGACAAAGGTAATGCACAGACCGAAGCAGAATTCAAAGAATTAGAAGATGAAGAGAATCTAGTTGTCTCTAATTTGAGAGAGAAGAAGAAATTGCAATCTGTGTTCATTCAATATCAAGAGTTTATGGAGCTCTTACAAAAGTTATTGCCAAACATTGAATTACTATTAAATAGCAAATGCATCACTGACATTTATAAAGCTATCTCTCTCATTAGTTTTTTATTTAAATAGAAAATAGAAAATACTGATGTTGGCATCATGAAGATGTTGATTCACTCTAATAACCCCTAAATAGTCAATAAATTGTCTAAAAAGTTCCATATGCTATTTATAGAAAACGATAATGATTAAGTTCCAATTAATAATTTGATTCATTTATTAAAAATTTCATCGCCAAAAGAATAAATTTACCTTGAAGAACTCATTCGATATATGATCAAATAGAAAATGATACAAGAAACTACGATTGAAATCGTATGGACTAATTTTATGAGGAACTACACTATTAATCAACATGAATAATTAAATTAGTATTCTAAACTAGTAAGAGTTATGTTTGGGTAGCAATCTAATCTTTTAACAAGAATGAAATTAGATCAAATAAGTAAAATAATTGATGGATAGAAAAAAGAAATCAATTGGATCACAGTTGTAGAATTGGCGAAATTAATTTAGTATTTAGAAGACAAAGTACTTGTTAAGAAATATTTCTAACAATTTTCCTTAATTTTATATTTCTATTTTGGAACACCCAACAATTTGTGGTTTGTTGCTTGCTAAGAGATTCTAAATTTGATTTAATTTTTACCTGTTCCAGAGAGTATCTATGATTACATAATTAAAAAGTTTAGTTACAAAGTCTTTTCTATGGGAATGACTCCTAAAAGAAGGTAAATCTAGATCATTAATTAATATAGCACTCAAGACTTTCTCGAAGAGGAATCCACTTTAGTATTTAATAATTAATGTATACAACTCAGTTAATTGTTATTTATTGTTGGTTAATCAGCTCTGGCTATCATTCTTCATATTGACGAAATTGAGAATCAATTAACTCATTTAAGAAATGTAGAGGAAGCCAAAGAAAATGAATTGGATAAAATCTAAGGGGGTTGCGAAGAAGAATACGAATATAATTGCGTATATTTATAGACTTTATGCAAATAAAGTATATATCTTAAAAATATCAATAGGTGTGATTTAAAAAGGATTCTATTAAAATTATGCTCCAATAGTCTTGGAGATATTGGCTGAAATTGAAGAAGAGAATGTACAGTTGACAATATTACATAAATCAGCAGGTCTATGTTTGTGTAAATTCATGTGTTTATCTGAATAATTTTGTGAAGAACATATTGAGAAAGTGTTTCGATTAATATAAAATCCAAATTCTGATGGAATATTTAAGAACAATTTAATAGTTGCTATTGGTGATCTATTGCACAGATGGCCAAATACAGTAACATCTTATTGTAGATAACTTTTTGATGGGTTAAGCAATTAGGATTTTATTGTAAAAAAGACTTCATTAAATATGCTATCACATTTGATCTTAAATGATATGATTAAAATCAAAAGAGAAATTACTGATATAGCCATGTTATTGACTGACCCTGATGAAAACATTTAATAATCAGCAAAAAGATTCTTTTTCCAAATATAGAAGAAGGATTCAAGAAGAATACTCAACAGTTTACCTGACATCATATTTACTATGTCCAACGAGGAAAGTCATGATAAATATAAAACGTTTCTCATGAATACTTTGAAATACTTAGATAAATAGACTGAATAATTGGTTGAGAAATTGTTGAGAAGGTTAAAAGAAAATATCAATGATTTTGAAGTTTAAAACATTGTTTTTACATTATCGAAACTCTAAATGAAGGAATCCTTAGCAAGAAAGTTTTATGAATGTTATCCATATTATTAAGAAAGATTAGAAAATCCATAGATTAAAGAGTACTTCTAAGTGATAATCTAAAAAGTATATTTGTATTTTTATGATTAGTTAATGAAATGTGGGTTAAATTAAGAAAACAAATAAATATTACTGGAATTCGAGGAGCTGCTTAATCGAGGTGAGACCAAACGCAGAGTATTAGGATCCAAGAATAAATCATAAAAGTCAACTAGGTCTCATACAAATTCACAAAGATCAATTGGATATACTAATATCTTAGATTAGCTATATACTTAATCTACTGAATTTTGATTTGAAATAATTTTATATTTTTTTGAATGTTTGATTTTTCATATACATTCCTTATTCTCTTAAGTTTCTGAAATGTTATTATAATTATATAATTTTTATTATAGATAAATAAATGCAATAGTACAAATCAATTATTTAATTATATTGAAAACCTGAATCGCCTGTTAAGATTTTAAGTGAAAATATTAACATTTTGTATTGGAGTTTCTGAAGTACCAATCAGCGAAACTTGAGAAGTATTGGCTAATAGAATATTCTATTGAGACATTTGTAAAGACTTTTTGGCTGACACTCTTAGAGATTCAGTGAAATAATGATGAGATAAAGCTTCTTTGGCGCTTAATCTTGTTTTATAGTTAAAATCCAAAAGCTTTTGCAATAAGTCAATCCCAGATTCAGGAGTATTGAGTTTTCTTAAAAGGTCTAATTTTAATTAAAAATTTGCGTAATCTTTGGCCTCCGTAAATAAGTCATGGGAAGTTATTCTTAATTATCATGCACAAATTACAATTTATAAAATATCGCTCCTGCTGCGAACATGTCGCACTTAAATGAATAAACAGATTGCTAAGTAGTAATACACAACACTTCTGGAGCGATATAGCCGACAGTACCACAAATATCGTTATTAGTTACTCCAATTTTTGTAGCTAAGCCAAAGTCTATGATTTTGATATTATGATTTTATTGAATCATTATATTTGACGGCTTTATATCCCTGTGAATGAGTTATTGTTGATGAACATAGAATAATGTCAGTAGTATTTGCTAAGAAATTTAATTAATTGGCTTTACTCGCATAATAGATTAAATATCGAAATGACTTAGAGACCCACAATGATCATGTAAATATTTCTCAAGGGTGTCTCCGTCTATAAATTCATATATTATGACTATCTCTGAATTTTTGTCATAGACCTCTTTTATTTTGGTTATATTTGGATGATTCAAAGATTATACTATATTATTTTCGTTTATTATTTCCTTTAAATAATTTTATATTATTGCCTTCATTCGCTCTGTATTGGTTTTGTGCTTCCATTGCTTACTTAAAAACTTAGCTGCCACCATTTCTTTGGTTTCTAGGTTCTACAACAAATTAACCTTATATTTAGTATTTGGGTTACGTATGAAAATGATCCATGTCCAAGTTAATGCTTTTACAGATAGAATTAATTCAAGTCTCCAAAAAGAATCTTTCCAGATAAAAGTAATTTAAGTTCTCTGACTTTTTTGGAATTTGCATGAAATAGCTTTAACTTTCCTCTATAGGGAATGGAGAATCCAAAATAATCTTATTCAGTGTGAAATACAATAAAATTCTTCAGTGACACTTCAAAATAGTATTTGGGTTTTGCTCTATTCTTAATATATTCTAAAATTTTAGAATTACTTCTCCAATGAATACTTCTCTTTCATAACATTAAAGGATGTACGCCTTATCAAAAATCAAATGCTTTCGAAGGCATTCAAATTAAAGAAGCATAATTAAATTATTGATATTTATTATTTATGTCATCAAAATCTTTTGATACTAATTTACCAGATCGATAGTTTCTTACACAAATATTAACCATTTTAGATCTTTTTAAATAAACCTAAGGATTATCATTTCTATTTTAATGATAACAATTTTACTTTTGAAAATAATTTACGTCTGATATAATGATAATGGAGAAAAAATGAAATAATTAATATTTATAAATAAATAAAATAACTTGTAAAAAATGATAACTCCTCAAGAATAACTTGATATAAGTAAGAAGTTTACTATAAGTAGTTATTAAAAAGATCACAAAATCATTATTAGGAAAATGCTCAACCACAATTAGAACTCTAGGAAAAACATTCAGGGGATTTGAATCATTTGATAAAAATAATAGGATGGACAAGGATGAATTCCTCATTGGTCTAAAATAAAATGGAGTCGTGTTAACAAAATTCTAAACTGACGTAATCCCATATATACATATAGTTTTTATTAAATTATCTCGATAGAAACAGGGATGGATCAATAGATGTTGCTGAATTCTTTTATTTAATTAGAGTAAAAAATAAATTGATAAATAGGGATCTCCCAATGAGAACAGAGTGTAAGTCATAGTCTAAGCATTCAAAAAATTTGATAAGGATAATTTGGGTTATATTGTGGCTGATGAATTCAAAGGGATTTTCAATGCAAAAAATCATCCTAAAGTTACCAGAGGAGAACTGACTGAAGATTAGGCTTATATAGAGTTGTTACAATATTTCAAGGAAGGAAACAAATCTGGCCATATCACCTTAGATGTAATATTACAATATTCAAGTTTAGGAATGGAAGGAATACTATGCTGCAGTCAGTGCTGATATCGAATTAGACGATAATTTTATAGCATTAATCAAGGAAACTTGGAGACTGAAATGATTAATTTATAAATAAGTATCGCAAATACATTACAAATCTCAAAGATCAGATTCTTTATTTTAATGCACCTCATCTTTCTTTTATTCATTATTTTACTATTATTCTTATTGTTACTTTTACTCTCCATCCTAATCATTCTCTTTTTCTTATTAAATCTCATCATTAACATCAAGATTCTTTATTTCTAATTAGATGTGATTTTCAGATTCTGAACTTGATCTATCATCCAACTTTTCCAGTCTACGTAATCTTTCATGGGATCTCGATCTTGAACGGGATGACCTTAAATATTTTTACTAAATACTTTTTCTAAGTTTTCTTTGATTTTACACTGACTTTATAAATCAACGGTTTTATTTAAGAAGGACTAATTGAATTTTAAACAATTTTATTATCGTTTTTAATTGGATAAACCACTAAATATATCCAGCCATTCTAATAATGAGAAGTTACTTCATTTATTTGTAGTTTTTCAATATTTGATATTCCTTCCTCCAGCCATATATTATCTTCAGGTTATCTCAGAATGGCTTAGTTTTAAGAATTTGATATCAAAAGCACAGGCTTATCATCTGAAGAATACAGTTGAACCTCCAATTCTATTTTATTATGGTTTTTGATATTCATTCCTTTCATGTCTTTAAGAGCAATATATAAATTGAAATTTTTATCCTTAAATAATGGCTATTCCAAATCGTTTGTCAATACTAGTTAATATTGAAAATCGCTCTAGTTACATTATAAGGACTTTAATAAAATATTATTTTATGTCATTTCTTAATTTGGTATTGATACTAAGGATAAATATTTTTAGTTTACATCTACTCATGAAATCATCTGCCTACACATTATCAAATTTTGATTCAACAATTTTTTATAGATTTGATATTTCATCTAATATTGAAGTAATGGTATTTTCCAAATTCGCATTTTTATTCTTAAAATCCAACAGCATTTAGTTTTGCATAACAAACATGTTTAAAATTTTAAGTTAAAACTCATTCACTACTTGTGAGAATCCTATTTTTATATAGATTTATGTGTACCCTATTCCAAATTTTATTGATTGGATTAATTTGGTTATCCTGAAGATTGTTACTATGGTTATTAAGAAGGAGCCTGTTATTATTATATTTGCTGTTGTTATGGTATATGTTGTTATTATATCGGTTGCTATTGCGGTGCCATAACTTAATTTGGATTCATTGGTGATTGCATAGGAGGTTGTTGTTTGAATTAAAAATCGAAAGGTGGCATTTAACCTATGGGTCCTTATGGTATTGGACCCATCCCAGGTAATTGCATACCACCTGGTCCCATCCCATTCATTCCACCAATACCACTCATTCCAGTTATTCCACCCATAGGAGGAGGCCCCATTGATCCAGCTCCAAAAGGTCCTTATGCCATTTAACCAGGACCTAATGGGGGCATCCCAAAACCTGGAGGCAAACCCATGGGCATTGGAGGCATGTTTTATAAACCCTAGTTAATTCCATTTAGGTTTAATCCACTTTAATTGGGTGGAAGTTAGTTCATCTAAAGTGCTTATTCATGTGCCAACTGCTCAGGGAATTAGAATTTTTGATTAGGGGGTGGTGGTGGCATAATTGGTTAAGGAAATGGAGGGCCCCAGCAAGGATAATAAGGAGAATTCGGCACTTGAAGCATTCTACCATATGGATCAGGTCCAGCCATTTATTAGAACATTTAGTATAATCTCTATTGTTCATCATTAGGTAACATTTATAAGTTAATAAAATTATTATGTCAAACCATGTGGCTAGTTATTCCATCAATCAAAAGTCTTGCATTATCATTCTTCTCTTCTTTATGAACCATCAGTATACTGTTCTATAAAAGTGTAAGCGAAGAATATCTAAAATTTTCATTTCCATAATTTATTTTTCCAAAGGTAAATCCAAAGTGAAAATGAGAATTAGTGGATTTTAATTGATAAAAATAATTAACTGGAAAGAAGAATGTGAAAAGGATAATTTGTAATTTTAATGTTTTATTACATTATATCAACGAATAAAGCTTATTCTTATTTCAGTGTATGTATCCAATTTGATATATCATAAAATCATTTTATTATAAATGTGTAAGATGTATCTTTAGGAAATTAATTTTTACATGTATTAGAATTGGATTGAAATAATAAATCTTTATGTATATTCCTCGATTAATGGATAAATGAATGTTAGCATTTTATTTAGAATAACAAGTGAATATTTGTTATAATTTTTATTGTTAAATTTCAAATTTGAAAAATGACTGGTAAAATTATTTTAGACATCTATTAGATTGATTGGAAGAGAGAGCGTAAAGAATTTTTGAAAAATTGCAGACGATATAAAATAATGTGAAAGGAGAGAAATAATCGAAGTTCAAATTGATTCTTGGCTACTTGCAAAGTGTTGAATTGGCTATAGAAGACGTTTAAAAGTAAAAGAATTAACAGTTTTTGGATATTGCAGAAAAAGTATAGATAATTTTATAATAAGTTTAGTTATAGAGATTGAAATCTATTGTTGATATTGAAAAGGAAGCTCGGGATTAAGTAGATGAAATAATGAGAAAGGAAATTTTAACAGTGGAAAAGAATTGCAAAACCCTTTTAAAAAGATTTAGCAAAGAAAGATTGGAAATAGATAAAGGGGAGTTTTCAAATCTATCTCAATAAGTTGATTAATTATCAGTTGAAATATAAAAAGAGTTTCAATAAAAATCAGAAACCTAGAATAAATTATTAGAGATATAAAACGGTAATGTTTTTATAGCTAATGCATAAAGAATAAATTCAATTATTTTATTAAGATATAGAATAAAAAATTAGCATAAGGGAAGAAATTGAGGATAAAATTGCATAATAATTTAATCAGTTATTAGATGAACTCAAAAGAATATTCGATTGTTAGTAAAAATAAAGGGAGTAAAGAGAGGAAGAAATAATAGGTATTCTCAAAAAAATATACTAAAGTGCTTATGATGCTTGTAAGAGAAGTAGGAATGAAAGAGAAAGAAATGAAGATTTATTTGTTAAATTAGTTGAAAAAGTAGTTGAAAAGATAAAAAGAGAGCTCATTGATTCTGATTTTTGATTATAATAAAAATATATTACTATATTGAATGGGATAATGTTAAATGCGTAATGAAAGGTATTTGCACTTGATATCATTAATTTCAGGATTTCAATATAATGTCTAACAAATAGCACTGGAGATCGTTTCGACTATGAGAGTATCAGCAATCAAAAATAATAATTCACAGTCTAAAATTAAGATTCATATATTATTAGAAATGAAGAGACACTTCAATTAATAAATGAATTACCCAATGAGAATAGGTAATTTGAATCTATTATATGTAGTGAGGTTTTACTGTTTGTAACAGCTAAAAACACAATAGTTGCTGGAACATCGTAACAACAAGGAAATTCTACAGCCTTAACAAACACTAAATTTCCATTCAAACTTAAAAAAAATTGGTTGACAGTAAGATCTGTTAACAAATACCCATTAAATGTAAATGACATTTTTAGGCTTGGAAAAATGACATTTAGAATTTCTAGTCTTAGTTTTAATCCTCTTACAGAACCTGAGCTTTTGAACCAAAGCAAAGCAGATTCCAATGATTAATGTAGAATATGTCTAGGAAATACCTAAAGTTCCAATCCTTTATTGAATCCTTGTAAATGCAGTGGATCTCTAAAATATATTCATTTAGATTGCATGAAAAGATGGTATTTTACTAATAAGATTTAGGCTTAAAGAATAGACTTAGTCATCAAAATAATACTAATCTGAGAAAAGCGAAACATACCTATGGAATTCATTAAAATGTGAAATCTGTTAAGAGTCATACAAGGTGATATTTTAGAGTGATGGAGTAACATATCATATGCTGGAACTTTTAAAACCTCGATATCCATACGTGATGCTAGAGTTCTATACAAAAAAGAAGGATAACTAGGTTGTTTAAATTAATTTAGGAGATCGCTTCACTTCAAAAGCAGATGGAGTGATGGTAATAAGTCTTGGAGAAAAGATGAGTTTGGGGAGAGCCAGAGAAAATTGGATTAGATTAGGTGAAGTTAGTGTGAGCAGATTTCATGCCACTCTATAAATAGAGAGGATTCAGGAGTAGGATTCTCTAATTTTGTTTGACAATAATTCTAAATTTGGCACTTTAGTCAAAATAACAGAAGATATGCCAATTTATCAAGACCTCGAAGTATAAGTTGGCAATTCTTTATTTAAATTGTAAACAAGCAATATTACATGTTGAGTAATTTATAATTATTTATTATAATATGATAAATTATTTTGATTTTAGCGATTATATTCGAAAGATACAAGAAATGCCTTTTGTTGATGTAAAATCCATTAAATACTTAGTATACCAGCTAAATGTTCCATATAACTTTTTTATCATTTCAGGCAGGAGCTTCTAGTAACAATCAAAAAGTCTTAAAAAAATCATTTTATCTTATTGATTAAGTTCATTCAGCATACTAGTTCAAAAACATTAATCTAAAAGAATTGCAATAAATATATAATGATTACATAAATGGAAAACGGAAGATTGATTTTGAAGTACCAGATGAGGCTTTATAAGATTCTAAAAACAGTCAATTATATTGCGTATCAAGTCTCTTAAATAAATACCAAAGATCGGCTGTCTTATCATAGTTCAAACAAGATATTGCATCAAAATAGAAATTTTAAGGATACTTTGACCAGAATGAAAACACAGATAAATTTATAAATTAATTTTAACAATCGAATGTCTAGATGTTAGAAAAAAATGGGAATAAAGAAGCAACTGATTCTAGTATTTAGAATAATTATTAGTAAGTGGAAATTTAGATACCCTAAATTAAGGAAATTTATTATCTGGCAATAGATTAATCAAAACAATATAAACAATAGTAATATGAAGAATATAGAAATAAAGAAAGTTAGAAGTCATAGATATTCTCTTAAATAAATAAACAAAGCTAAATCTAATAAAGTACTCAATGTAGTATTTGTTTAGAAAATGTTTAATAAGACAAGTATGCTCTTACAGCTTGTTAGCATATATATCATAAATAGTGCTTAGAGAATTTAATCAATGCAGCATCTGAATTTCCAATAAAATGCCCAAACTTAGAATGTAGAGAAGAAATATTGAGGGATGACTTAGAAAATATTGTCTCAAGTCAAGTTATGGATAGGCTAGAAAAAATTGCTTTCAATTAATACTTATTACAAAATCCAAATGTTTTTTAATGTCCAACTGAGAACTGTAAAGGTGTTTATGAAATAGAAGGACCAATCTAAGTGTGCATGATATGCTAGAATTTATTTTGTACTAGATGTAGAAGGTTATATCATGAAGGAATATGTGGAGAAGAGAGCTTTATAAATGCAGTTCAAGAAGCTAGATATAGATAATGTTCTTAATGCCAAAGGTGGATCGAGAAGACCGCTGGATGTAATCATATAACTTGCAAATGTGGATTTTAGTTTTGCTATCTTTGTGGCACTGTCTGGGTAAGAGGAACGGACTGTGACTGCAGAAATAGACCTTAATAAAATGATATTAATGTTTAACAAATACCACATGATTTAAATCAGATATAATAATTTGTCAATCAACAGCCTCAACGTTAGAGTAATTCTTAGAAAGTTGATAAAGTTCTAAATAAATTGGGTTTAAGTTTTGTAAAAAAAATATTTAGAAAATGGTGATTCTTATCAATCAAGAAGAAGAAATGATTGTCATTTTGCATATTTACCAATTGTTAAAATTTAATGCATATTCATATAACATCAAGCTACTTCTTATTCTTGATTTTCAATTTGTTCTGGCTAAATGTTATTAACTTCTTAGATTTGTTGATTCTCAACGAATTAATCCTAATTTTGCTATTATTATTCTGATGACTCCTTTGGTTCATCAATATTCTAAGGTTCAGGAGCTTCAGTTTATGTTTCAATGAATTCTTTTTTTTCAACTTATTATTACTATGGTTATTCATCTTATTATTTCTATTCACTATTATTCTAAGTCTTAACTAGATTTTATTATTATTGTTAAAATTATTCATCTGTTTATTATTATTCAGTTTTATTTTAAGTATCCTCAGTTTGCTTTCCTTTTTTCACAATCTTTTTATCATCAGACTTTTTATCTGTTGCTTTCTATTCAGGTTGTTTTACATTCTATTTATGTGAAGCTTTATTGTCTGTTTTTTTGGTATCTTTTTTATCTTCTTTTTTTTCTGGTTAAACAGGTTGCGCTGGTTAAGCAGTTTTTGGTTTGGGTGGTTATTTTTCAACCTTTTTTTCTTCTTTTTATTAAGGTGGCTATTTGACTGCTTATTCTTTAGTTTCCTTTGTTTCTTTAGTTTCTTTGATCTATTATTATTTTTATTATGGTTAAACTACAGGTTTTGGTTTAGGTTATGGTGGTTGTTGTTATGGTTACTATTATTATTTAGTTTTATTTTGGTTTCCTTCCTTTGGAGATTTGGGTTAGTCTATACAAAAAGATGATTTAAGTTTAAATACTTTTTTCGATATCAACAGGTGTTGTTGTCTTTTCAACAATTGTACTTTGACTTAAAGGTTTAGGGGCAGTTACAGGCTTGGGATCTTTTACTTTTGCGGGTGCTGGGTTTTTAGAATTTGCAGCAGTAGATGGACGTTCAACCTTTTTAACATCTAATTATGTGGTGGGAATATATTGATTTCAAATACCATTATTTTAGTGATTTTCCTTTTTTGGCTCTTATTTGACAATTTCTATTACATACTATTTAATATTACTCTTTTCTTCTTCTTTTATTGGTTTTAGGTTTCCTATTAAAGTTTTCAATTCACTCATTTGGTCAAATAGATTTTTGATCTATAACTCATTTGATTGATCTTTTTCTTTCAAAACTTCAATTCTCTCCAATACTGGTTTGAGCAATTCTTCAAAAATAGTTTGCACTTCTGGAGCCTCTTATTGCATGTATATATATTCAAATAATAATTATTATTATATTGTATTTCTAAAAGCCAATAAATAATTAATTTTTATCAAATATTTTCCATCAAATCCTTGTTTTACATATAGGGCAAGTTGATTTACAACTAATCCAATTGGATATGCAAGCTTCGTGAAATTTATGTTCGCAAACTAAAACCATAGTTTCCTCTTCACTCTTTATGGTTTCCTAACAAATCACACATTGATTATCAAATTCATTTTATTATTCCATCACTCTTTATATCTATATGTCAGGCTCATCCAAATGATTCTCCATAATTTGTTTATGTATAAAGTATTGATAGAATTATTCATCATTCATTTAATTCACTTCCTCATCTGTATAGTTCTTTAATAAGTCAAAATTATTTAATCCACTCACTTCATGTATTTCCTCATCTTCATTACTTGAATCATCGCTTGGAACAATGTTTTATGTCCTTTAAGTAAAATTAGCAGTTTATAAAATAGAACTACTCCTTGAAAAATTAAATTAGGGTGGGGAACGAGTAACTTATTAAAAACGAGGAGCTTATTAAATTTAAGAAATATTTGGAGTTGGTGTCATGATATTATTAGTAATTTAGATGAAACTAGGTTATTATTGAGGAAATTACGCCTACTAAACAGGCTATTGTTATTACCCATAATTAGTTCTAAATAGAGTATTCGTTTATTAGTTTTATGGCTGTCTTGACCTTTGAAGTTCAAGAAACCTTTAAAATTATTGATTTGAAATATTGCTACTAGTAGTTTACTATGATATTCTACTAATTTAAAATTATTGAGTTTATGCAGGTTATTATTCTTAAGTAGCGTTAGATTATACAATTTATCTTGTAACATTATTCGCTGCGTTCAATGTACCTGACTAAATTATACTAGAAATATTTTATTAATTCTATTAAGAAATTATGCCAATTCTAAACTATTGTGAGCTATTCGTTGTTTACTAAAATTGTTATTAGTTGTTTGCTTTTTCTGTAAAATTCTAAAAGAATCATATTAATTTCGTTACAATTTATTATGGGAAATTTTATTGTTGTGGAATCTATGATTATTCATTCAATTGATTTCTTAAAGTTGTTTCTTGAAGATTTTTCATAGTACATTTTACATTATGTACTTCCTAACATATCTGTGGTACATGGGTTGAACACAAATTGCATTGAAACGTCCTACTTTCTTGAGAGGATTGCATTATATAATTTGTAATTATATATATTAATGAGCTTAATAAAAAATCTAAAAAGTCACTTCCACAATATTTCATATCATGGAAGTACAATAACCCCTCAATGAGGATAAATTAAATTTAGAATCACAATTTCTATTAAAACATTCCTGATAGTAAGACTTTAATTTTTATTTTGATAAGAATAATCATTTTATTATTCATAATGTTTTTGATGAGAATATTTATTTTATTTATATATAATATTTTATAGATGTTAACATTTAAATTTTAGTTTTATTTTATCAATTTGTGCAATTCGTCAGATTTTGTTTTTTCAAATGATAAACTTCATCATATTAATCTAGAGTTTAATAAGCTCTGCAAATCGGGCATTAGAATAAGCCGTTAGACTATTTAGAAATATCAATCATATATTCTATATCATTTTAACAGTAAGTATGTCCACATTTCAAAGGATATAGCTATTCTGACGACTCCAAACAAATTGGACATTATTCTTCTTGGAATATATTCTCAACTGGTTTATCCAATATGATATAACCCTTACATTCTGATATTGAATTTATCATTCCATTTCTTCGAACTAATTATGGTCTTTCAAACTCTTAAAAATCAAGTTCTTCATCAGTTTCAAGACTATCCAATTAATCTACTCTATTATTTTGATTCATATTGTTTTAATGTTTTCTAAATTGTATTTTTTTTGTTTAAATTATTCTATGAATAAAAAATGTGATTAAATATTAATCTAATAGTTTTTAACAGTTTTAGCCGAATAAGATCGTCATAATCAATTATTCTTTCATTTTTATTATTACAGTTCAAACTATGAATGTTTTTCAAAAACAAATTCTTTCATAAAATAATTAATCCAAAATCATGTTAGATTTAGAATAGTATTTCAAACCGACATTGTATGTTCAAATATTGTTTCACATTTATAACAAAATCTTTTTTCTAAGCCAATTTATTAAAATTAAATTACATCTTACCAATCTTTTTTAAAAGTACCTCTATCTATAATATGGAACCTATCAAAGAATAGATTATTATTAAAATATTTGTAATACGTATCCATCTATAAGCTCTTAAAGAAATAATAGGAGTGAATAATAAATAATTTACAATCGAAATCATTGTTGTTTTTATAATGCAATTATAAATAAATGTAGAGTGAATAGCATCGCTTAAGTACAAATTCAAGTGGATCAGTCGATATTGGTCTACTCTTAAAAAAGTACAAATAAGCAAACACAAAATTGAGCCCATTGCCTCTGGAAAAATTTGAATAGGTAGCTTTAGATAGTAATATTGATCTCTTGCAACAATTGCCAGACAATGATCTTACCCAATTTTTAGGGTTTAAAGAACTCAATTAAGGGGCTGTTAGCGAATTGAAACGCTCTTTATTACAATCTAAACGGATGTGGAACAATTATAGTCAGTCCTTATTTACTGAGGAATAGTAAGATCAGCCAAAATATTACACTTCTAGAAAAATGCAATTAATACACAATAGAGACACTTTTAGGCAAATCAAAGAAAAATACAAGAAGCAAGAAGAAACACAAATTGAGGAAGTTAGAAAATACTTTCAGAAAATATAATCAAAAAGTCCAGGAGTCAAATCATATCCTTCAATGCAATATTAAGACCTATAGAGAATTGAATAAATACGCAAACAGATAAGGTAAGGCAATCAAAGCGAATTAATAACTAAAAGTAAGGATGCTGAACAATTATAGAGGAGATTAAATGAATCGTTAATCAACGAAATTAAAATAAAGAAACAATGTGTGTACATCTACAAAGATACAAATTTAAATTGGTAGCCATGCTCAAGAAATGCTAGTACAATGCTCTCATATGATCATAAATTATATTTATACGGAGGAGCAGGATCTAAGCAAGCAGAGGACTTTTGTTACGCTAACATTGACAAACGTAAGGTATTAATAAAATTGTAGAAAAATATAAATGGAATCAAATTAAACTGGACGAAAAGTCATCTAATGGTTATAGAGGAAATCATTCAGCAGCAATCTATAGGAATTTCATGATCATCTTTGGTGGTGAAGTGCACTAGGTTATCAATGATAAACGAATAAGCAGTGAAATAACCAGTGACATTAAAATAGTAAATCTAAGTAATAAAATTCAACAATATCAGTTACCAACGAACTTAAAGTTTTAAAGTAAACAGGAATCATACCTCCTCGAAAATGTCATATAGCCGAAGTCATTGGAAGAAATATGATTGTCTAAGGAGGGATTGATCTCAAGGGTTAATATTTAAGAGATGTAATTGCCTATGATATAGTCACTCAAAGATGGTCATAAGTCTTAACAGAACAACATGTATGCTTTCCCGATGGAGTTGCATTCCACAAGTCTTGTGCAGTCTTCCATAACACTTAAATAGAATTATATAAAAATGATCCTGAAGTTAAGTTTAATTATTAGGGAGTTTTTATCTTCGGCGGCTTTGATAAGAATGGCCATTACCTAGACAAACTTATTAAAATTGATATCACTGCTAAACCTATCAATTTTGAACAAGTATAGACTAAAGGACTTTCACCCAGTAAATTATCTGATCCTATACATAGTTGGTCGTTGTTAACATTCTATGAATTATTTAGAGTAGTATCAAGTCATAGTTATTTATGGAGGCAAGAACGATGATCTTAATATAAATGGGTTTTTAAATGATATTCATTTGCTTGACATGAAATCTTTGACTTGGATCAGTGTGGAAATTAAAGGGTCTTAAGTTGCAGGCAGATGTGGACACAGTGCTGCTTGTATCGATTCAAAGTTATACGTTTTTGGAGGTTGTAATTATTCAGGTTTTCTAAAAAGTGATCTGCTAGTAATTGAACTAGATCCTATATCAGCCTAATAATTTGGGTAGTAGGATGTAGTTGTTGAAAAACCAATAAAGTCTCAATTAAAAGTAACATTCAAAAAACAAATTCATAAAGATCATCTCACTGAAATTAAAGAGAAAATAGATTAAATATGTTTAAGACCTTAAAAATAAAGTCTCTTTTTACCGAAGCCGAGAAGATTAAGTGATTTACTGAACTCATTGAATTTGAAAGAACTTATTTAACCAAATTAATAAGAAAAAGATAGAGATAGAGAAAAAGATTAATAATAAAAATCAAGTAGAGGTTCTAATAGACAATCACCAAGGAAAGAAACCCCTAGAATGCCAATCAAAAACATTAAAAGAACTATGACCACTATTGTTAATTCAAATTGAGTCAAAGTTATTATTTAAAAACTTTTAATTAATTTTTCATTCTAAATATTTATTTATTTTTTGTTTAACTATATTTTATAGTAATCTAAAGTTTAACAGCATATTTATAATATTCAAATAGTATATTCATTTTTAATCAACCTTCTGTTTCTACAATCGTTATAATCATAAAATTTATTTTTTCTAAAATTGGTTGAACCAATTTATTAATTTTAAATATCATATGAAATATTAATTAAATTAATTGACACTATTAAATTATCCTTAGAATAATTATTAATTATAAATAATACACTACAAAAATATCTAATTAATTAAAAGTTGAAAAACAAATTATAAAGTATGGTCGCCCAAAATATTAATAAGAAAGAAAGGAAGATTCATTCATATAAAGTTCTGGGTACCAATCAAAAAAAGGAGGCTTTGGAAGAATTATTGAATGATCCTAGTCAAGAAAATTTCGTTTTACTTAGCAAAAAATTTGACACAACAACACGCAATTTAAGGAGATGGTTTAATTAGGGTTATATGAGAAAAGGAGGATGTGGAAGAAAAAAAATTAATCCCGAAGGTATAATCAGATTAGAGGAATGGATATTGGATGAAACTAGGAAATTAGGCAAGAAAATAAGTAGAAACCAAATTAAGGAATAAGCAATTAAAATATTTAATATTGAATCATTTAAAGCATCCAAGGCATGGATGGATAAATTTATTAAAGAACAAAATCTTAAATTAAAAATACGATAAATTCTCTTAGAAAAAGGGGTACTTTCTAAATGTTAAGTATAAAAACATAAGTAATTCCAAGATTCTCTAAAGGAGAAGGAATGCGAAAGGTCTACTACAAAAAAATAGTTAAAAAGGATTAAACTAGAGGAAATGAAAGCCAAGTATATAAAGGGGAAGTTAGATTAATTGCTTACTTAAGATTTTGAAATAGGTTAAAATCTAATAAAATAGGATACAATTAAAATAGATAACAATAATAAAGAGGATGATATGTATTTTACAGCTAGTTTTGAATAAGAAGCTCGGCCATTTGGAGAAAATTATGGGGAACAATTATACTTAGGATTTGATTGATGTTAGAATTGTAATTTAGATTATTTATATTTAAAATTTCATAAAAAATGAGCCCTCACTATCTTTGAATATTCTTCTACTTTTTGTATTCAAAAAGAAATAAATATTGAGGGTAATGAGGATTATGATTTGTAAAAATATAATCATTCAATATCAATTCAACTATAATTAATTAAATAATGTTAAATCAATACGAATAAAATGATGATGAGATCTAGTCTGAAAATAATGATGAAATAATTAATTTCGATCAATTTGAAGATAAGGAAGAAGAAATAATCAATACTTCCAATGACAAGTTATAATCAATACAATACCCGTTTGAAGAATAAAAGTAGGTCTTGAAGTAAGAAGGAATTATAGAAAATGTGATCGAAGAGATGGTTTAATTTAAACCAGAAGATGAGCCTGACAACATAGCCAAATTTGGGAGTATGCATTGCGAGGAAGACTTTTAGAGTTGGAGGGATGAAAATAAACAAAACAATTAAGACTAATAGGTTTAATAGATTGATACTATGACTGAAAGATAAGAGTAATAGGCTTAAATTATATATCGACCTAATTTAATTGTGGATATGAAAGAATTCTTGCAAAAACCGATCGACTAATGTAAAAAGATATTTTGAATTATTTTATTAGAGCATTAGATATAACTGACAATCATCAAGGATAAAAGTGGAACAAACAAGTTTCATCATAAATACCTATTGTATTTGAGTGGTTAACCCAATAGATTTTTATGTTCAGCAAAACGATAGGCTTTCAGTTAATAAATTCATTATGTTTTATCCATACTCCCAGATAAATTTGATAGGAAACACAAGTCTTGTTTGGGTAAGCTAAAAGGATATCGTGGGGTATTTAGATTGTTTGACACTGGTGATAATCCAAAAGATGCCAAGTTCTTAGACAAAGTAAGGAAGGAATTGTGTTTAATCAATTTCCAAAATTCCAAATAGACTGGTTAGATTAGACAGAGTGTGATTGTACCAAAAATCAAAGATGGATAACCTTGTGAATTCAAACCATTGAATGATACAGATGGATTATTGAAAGCCTATCATTCATTACAATATAAGGATCAAATTATGCATTTTATGAATAAGATACCAATTTACAATAATGAAAAGAAGATATATCAATTGTAATTCAGTGATAGAGTGACTATGCCCTCTGTAAAGAATTGTATAATTCATGATATCAATTGCACAGATAAAAATAAGTTTGTATTACAATTTGGAAAATGTGCAAAAAAGACTTATTCAGTTGATATCAGTCATCCGTTATCTATTTTACAAGGATTTGCAATATGCATCTCACAATTTGAGAAAAAAGATTGAAATTAACAATGAATACATTTTTTTCCCTTAAAATATATTACGTAATTTTTTCAAATCATTTATAAATATGAGAAATGTATTCGTGATCTTAGCACTTTTGTTTTGTGTTGCCAATACAATAGACATGGGTGAAGAACTGATGAAAAGGGAAATATTAACCAAGATAGTTGATTATGCTGGTATAGAAATGCCTCATGAGTACTAATTTATATTATCTATCATAGATTACACTTACTTTGTTTACCATGTAAATTAATGATGAAGTAGGTTCAAAAGTTTTCATCAACCATTCTCTTATCAACAATTAAAAAAGAATGGACACTTCTTTGTCCAAAATTTAAAGATGCAGCCTTTTGTGAAGGAATCAATTAGACATTCATCGATTAATTCTCTGTACATTTTTTGAAGTATTTTGCTCATTAATTATATATAGCAATTACCTAGCACCTTCAAATGCATGTCAGAATTTAGGAGCCTGTAAATTGGAACATGAACCATAAACAATTAAGGATTATATAAACGAAGTCATGTCAGACAAGCTCTCAAGAGAAGAACAAAGACAATGGCAAGTGCTGGCTGAAGAAAACGTTTTAAATTAAGAAGATTTCACAATTGCTTAATTTGCAGATTTACACATTGACGTAGAATATTCAGTTGGAGCTAATGCCTTTTGTGGAGCCCCCTTCTGTTGCAGGGATGAGAATGGAAAACCAAAAGATCCAAGCAAAGGGGCTTAATATTGGGGAACTTATGCACAATGTGATTTGCCATTTAGAACAATATAAGATCTGATAAAATTCACAGGAGAGAAAATCAAGCCAGATTTCATCATTTGGACAGGAGATAGCACATCACATGATGTTTGGCATCAATAATAGTGGAATCAAACACTACCTACGAAAATGATTACTGAAGAAATCAAGAAGCAAATACCAAATTCATAATTGTATGCAATCTATGGAAATCATGAGGGTTACCCAGCTGATCAATATGATATGATCGGAGAGGCTACATAATGGCTAAGAGATGAAGTGGCTGACATGTGGAAACAATACTTAACACAAGATGCATACTATCAATTAAGAAGAAATGGCTACTATTCTTAGGTGGAGGAATCAAGAAATCTCAAATTCATTGCCTTGAACTCTCAAACTTGTGATTTACTCAACTTCCATTTAATGGATGGCATCACAGATCCAAGAGGAATGCTCAAATGGTTAATCTCTGAACTCAAAGACTCAGAAGCCAAACATTAATTTGCTGTGATCTTTGCTCATATTCCACCTGGTGATACTTTTTGTAATTCTTTATGGGCTGACAGATTTAGTGTTGTAATTGAGAGATTCGAACATGTTGTGACTGGAATCTTTTATGGTATTGTTATTTACTATAAATCAAGGACATACTCATTAGGATCATGTTTAACATATAAGATCTAAAATTGATGGTAGATATGTTAAGACTTTGTTTATTGCTCCTTCTGGAACTACATTTTCATATTAAAATCCCTCATTTAGAGTCTTTTAATTCAATGGCAAAAATAACCAAGTTTAAGATTATGTCTAATACAGATTAGATCTAGCCAAAGCCAATAAGGATGGATAAAATGCAATCCTGAATTGGGAAGTTGCATATCATTTCTTAGAATACTATGGATTAGAAAGTGCATCATTGGTCCATGTTTCATCACTCCCATATAGATTAGCACATGACGATGAATTATTAAAGAAATATATCTACAGCTATTCAACAGGAAGCGAAGTTTTATATAAATAACACCTTAAGTAAATTATTTCTTCTATATAACTTAGAGACCTCAAAAATTTATTCCTTAAAAAGAGTACTAAAAGCTTTTTCATTTGTGGAGCTGAAACATCAACATTAGATGATTGGTACGAATGCATTGGGTTCTTTGAAAAGTTTAAGGAATCCTCTTTCCTTACTTTTAAATTATTAGAAAAGTTTATTGGTAAATGGCTCAAAGAATGATCTAATCATTAATATTATAACACAAAAAAATCAAATAAATGTCTGCTTTTCAAAATTTACAATAATAATCCCTTAATTTGGAGTGAAACAACTTCCAAATTATCCTAAAGATTTGTAAGACAATAAGGTTTATATATAGTTACATTCTTTTTTCTTACAAGTTTAAATGTATAAATAGTAATATTAAAATCTTAGAGATTCTTATTTATTTAGATTGACTCAATTTCAACTTTATTTCAAATAAGAGAGAGATTATTGATTAGATTCTTTTTATTTTTAATTTTAGGAATATTTGATAAAATATTTATTATAAAACAATTATAACATCACAATAAAAGACATTTTGAGGATCTTAACTCAATCAATGCAATTATTAGTCTATAAATCCATCCTTATTGGTTAAATACCTTCCCTAAAGTATTGCTTAAGATTATTTGCTTCACAATTGATCCATAGAATGGATTTCTTAAAATATAGCAGATCTTAATAATATAGATGTATATATACTATAGCCTCTTTGGCTCTGATTGCGAGTTCTTCTTTCTGGCTTTTTCTATAGATTTTAATTCTGAATTCTATAAGTAACCTTAATATATCAATAAAGAATGAGATAAAATATGGTGTATAACTATCTCCACCATATTTAAGAATCAGTGCACAATATATTAATGGACGAAAGAGATGCAGGATTTCTCCAATTTAAATCTAATCATTGCAAATGACATAATACTCTTAGTTAATTTAGTTTGGATTAATAATCTTTCTACTTCACATTATTTGGAATTGGCAGCATTGTTAATAGAGAAGTTTATTTATCTTGGATCACATCATAATAGCCTAGATTGAATTTGGGAATCGGATCTTTGATTGATTTGAGTTCATCTTTTATTGATTTTTCATTGACAGCTGATGGATTATATTCCAGAGACCCCAAATTTTGTTGGAATTGTATGGCAGCCTCATCCTCTTAATAATCTGTTTCAGAATAGTTGTTATTCTCTGAAATCATTAGCCCACACTTATCTACCAAAGCCCATTTTCTTAGTTTTACAAGTAATTTCAATACTTCCAGGGCCAAGAAATACGTATAAATTCGCTCTTTATTAGAAATAAATTAATACTTTCAGATGATTTACCTAAGTACTCAGCAAGGAATTCTACAGCTTAAATAAAACTGAGAGCTTTGGGAATATGTTATTTTTATATAAAATACATTTAATTTATAGATATTAATATCATGCCAGCCCAAAACACTTTAAAGTATTTTAAAAGCAGATTTCTGACAATTTCTCCTAATCAACTTTCAACAATTCAGACATCACTTCAAGTACTTATATTATTTTACAAGGTTCATTTCTACTCTTGACTAGTTGTCCTTCTTTCCATTTTTCATTAAATTGAGCCTAGAATTGAGTTTTAACATATTTGCTAGAGGGATGGTTTCTTTTAATTTCACAATATGGTGCATCAGTCTCTAACAATAATTTATCCAAAGGGATCTGCTTTGCAACATTAATATTTTCCTGAGTTTTTAAAGAACAACCATTGACTCCGACATAAAGATCCAAATGCAAGATCTTTTATAACTCATCTAAAGGACCAGTAAATGAATGCACAACCCCTCCAACAATTCGATGTCTATTCTTCTACATTATGTCGTAAAAATCATCTCTTGTATTCCTATTATGGAGATACATAGGCAATTTATATTTTTCAGCTAAATCAAAATGAGGGTCAAAAGCTATCATCTATTCTTACTTAGTAGACCTCCCCAATCTATCATAATCTAATCCACATTCACCTATGGCTACTAGCTTCTTTTCTTTGAGTGCCAATTCCAATTGGTCCTTCAATTCTCCCATGTACCCGTAATAGTCTTTATTAAGTTCATAAGCACGACAGGGATGAATACCTGCAGTGGTATAATAATTTGGACTCAATTAACATAATTCTCTTGTCTTCTTCAAATCACTCAAACATCCACTTGAAATCAATAGATGTTCACAACCAATATCAGAGGCTCTTTTCAACACATCCTTATAATCAGGTTTATGGTATTTCTAATGATGATACATTCCGTAAAATTAGTCATCTGTAAGATTGACAGCAATATCAAATAATCTTAACTTACTATTTATTTACATAATTTAATTAAAGGATTTAAGGAAGTTACACTAAATTAATAAACTGATTTTAATTTATTTTTATTCTCATCCCTAATCAGTAACCATCAAAAATACTGTAGAAAAGTTTATTTTCTTTAATTTCATTACTTCACATGTTAATACAAATAAACATAGAATTGCATATTATTTAAATTGACTGACACATCTCAAATATATTTAGAAATAAGAATTCTTCTAAAACAAGGTAAATTTCATAAAAGTAGAAACTCATAATTATATTAGTGAAAATAAGTTACCTATAATTTTCTTTCATAAATAGATTAAAGATAGATTATGATGAAAAGAAAGATCATGGCATAATAATTACTTAAATCACATAAAGTTAGAGTTCAAAGAATCAATACATTGTATTCACAAGAGGCATTTATTAAGGAATAGATTAAACATTTTAATAGCTAAATCATTTATGAGTTGCAAAGCATGAATGCGATAGATTCGAGCATCATAGGTATTTAAAAATTTTAGCTAAGTAATTTTTAAATTCAGATGTTATAAAATCACACATGTATCTTCCTTATAGATGGGAATATTAAGGCTATTTTCACTCTATATTTGAAGTGCTTTGTTTTATTCACAACATAACATTTATATTCCATCTTCCTATAGATTATTTAAATTTTAAATTGATATTTATTTTTGGGTAAAAGTGTATTAGAGTAGTCAAAAATCATCAAATCTTAGAATCCATGAATTTGATATTACAAATAATATTTACTAAGAATGAAATATTTATATAATTATATTCAAAATGTAATAACCTAATGAATAATTTGACATACAAAACCACTATGTAGTATTTGATTTCTAAAAATGTACTAATAGGATGTCCATCAATAGGAACACATGAAAAAATTGAAGGAAAAATTAGTTGAATTGAAGGAAGAAATTATGTAAATGCCCAAGGGTATTAAATTCTTTAAGAAATAGATCCCGAGCTCTTCAAAAATCATCAGTTACCATTAGCAAGAGTGAAGAAAATAATGAAATCAGATGAAGATGTCAGAGTATTGCTTAGTATATCTCTAGATGATTGCTTAAGAAACACCAGTTCTATTTGCAAAAGCTTGTGAAATTTTCATTATTGAATTAACACACAGAGCATGGTAATTCACCGAAGATGGCAAGAGAAGAACACTCTAAAAGACTGATATTGCAACATGCATATACAACACAGAGATCTTTGACTTTTTGATGGATATCATTCCTAAAGATGAAATTAAGTCAAATCAAGTTCCTATCAAAAAACCATAAGGCCAAGATGGATACTTCTCTAATGTTAGTCAGCATGTAATTGCCTTTTAATATTTAGCTTATACAATAAGTATAAATGAGTCAGTAGAGACAAGGACAACAGTTTCCATTAACTAATTTCAGTCAATATTTGGGCAGTGGCTAAAGATGACACATTATTTGAGTGTTTACCATTATATTATATTAAATGTTTATACCAAAGAAGGGACAATAATAATAACCATTTTAATTGATTTGTTAGCAACATAAGGATATTGCAAAGGATATATATTAATTAAGGGAATATTTTAAGTAAAGAAGCGCTGTCTCACAACAATCTCTAATAGTAACATTGTAATTGAAAGTTCATTTAAAAATAATTGTCAACAGTAATTCATGTTGTTTCTAATTCTTACAATGGGATAATATAAGTTATGTATACGTTTTGTAGTCAAGCATCAAAAACAAATAACAATCTTAAGTATTTCTAATTATTTGGCTATATCTAAAAGAATAAGTAAAGAGTAAGATGATTTATGGTCACAATCTTAATTATCTGAAACTCTTACTTGATTATTACTTGATAAGTTATGAGCAACTTCTATTAAATACATGTTTATCTTAGACTCATTATGAAATAATCAAATGAGAAATATGTGATAATAATTTAGGAAGGAATGAAGAATAATAAGAACTATAGAAATGAAGAAGAGTCTATGTGAAGTAAGATGATATAGAAAATAATGGTGTTTATATAAATATTGTTGATATTTTAATAAAGATATATATTTATCAACTAAAGGGGAATGTAACTATATTAATATTCTAGGAATGAAATTGTAAAGGTCGATGTAAAGATGAACAAGTGTTTAAACAAATTTAAAAAAAGAAATGCGAGAATATCATATTGATGATGAATATATCCATAGTTAGTAATGACACTCAATATAATCAAAGATTAAACAAATAATTAGATTCTCAGTTGGAAACATTTAGGAAATTAAAGCATAAATGTAGTAATAGTTCTGCCAAATATCAAATCAATGAACCAGATAAAGGTCCATTTAAACTTCAATAGAATAGGCTTTTAAGATTGTTTGATAATCATTTATGGAATGAAAGTGGCAATTATAAAAAATAATTAATTTTTGTATTCATTTCTAAAATTATGGGACTCTCAATTTTATTATTTCAACATTTTATAGATAATCTATGAGATGAGAATGATGCGAATTATAAATATAGGAATGTCTTTTTATATTGCTATGAAATATCAATTGTTTGTATATATTGAATCATTGAATCCAATTTGATTACTCAAATATCTGAAGCATTTTGTACTGTATGATTCAGCTTAGCTTTATTAATTCTTTGCTATTGAATAATAAAATTACTACGCTCATTAATTGATTAAAAGAGTTTATGATTATAAATAATTTAATAAGTTTTTATTCTCAACGACCTTGTTCCTTCCCATAAATATATGAGTATGTCCTTTATGGTATACCTATTCCTAAAATGCCTGGATTGATATTCTGAGAATTTAACAATTAAATTAAAGCTAACATCATAACCCAATATTACGAGCATTTTAAAAGTTATTAAGATTCTGTTCATTCAAATCGCTAGACACAGGAGATAATTATCGACTATTTTTTTTAGGCTTCTCTTTTTTCTTATCCTCTGGATTGCATCCATGACATCCGCAATACTGACAACCATGAGGAGGAAGAGGTTTCTTTCTGACAGCCCTTGGAACCTGGCATAAACATGACTATATAAATTGAATAATATCTAAACTTTAGCTTCTTTCCCTTTTTTAGAGAATGCCTTCATACATTTCTTACAGCATCCATTCACAGTTTTGAAATCTGAAGAATCGTCTGAGCTTGAATCTGAAGAAGATTTTCTCTTCTTTTTTATTTTTTTTTATTTTTTCTTTTCATCCTCAATAGAACATCCTGTACAATGGCAAGATAAACATCCCTATTCACCAATTTAAATTCTTCTCTATGAAGCAGGTACAATACAAACGCAAGTTTTAGGTTTAATGGAACCTTTGTCAGATTTAGTGCATTATTAACAACACTAAGTAAAATTAATTAAATAATACATATTTCCATCTACTTTTTTTCTTTTCTTATTGTTGTGATAATGAGGACTCATCAGCTAAAATAATTGTTAATGAATTTACTTATTTAAGATGATGGATCTCTTATAATTATCTCTTCGTCATCACTAACTGAAGAATATTACTCACTAATTTGATCATAAACAGGTGATTTTTCCTATTGAAATTCTTACTGAATTAGTCTCAATAACTCCAAATCATTCAATCCATTATTATTGTTACTCATTATTTTATTTATATATATTTATTTATAAATCCTTTATAAAAAGATAAATGAGTATTTATAGTAGAACTCAAGAAAACATTTAATAATATTGGAAAGTATTGGAACAATTTTAGTTTAAAATTATCAATATTAAATGTTATTGTATTTTGTGTGGCTCATAATCTTTAGATGAATGAATATTGAATATCTTCAAGACATTTCTAATTGGTTGTGTATTCAACTCTGTCTCCCTTGAATTGAGCATTCTTGAAGCCAACAAATTTCAATCCTTCAGGTATCTGCATAGACTTTATATGGAAATCAAACTATCCATAAAATAATGGAAGTATACCTTGTTTAACTCCTCAACATTCTCACAAATCTACCCTTGTTCTCCTTAATAATTGCATTCACTAAAGACAGTAATACATTCCTTAATGGGGGAATACAGTAACATTACATCTCTAAACCCCCAGGAAGCAATGTCTGCAGTTACCTATAAGGTGGATGTAATGGTTAACTTAAACTCATCCTTGTTGTGTTCAACCACTTAGTCGATAAACATAATTCTCTCCTTCCATGGACTTTTAGGGTCACCACAAATATTGGATTGTCCAGGATCATTCCACCCTAAAAGCTGACTCCATACTAATTTATCATCTCCTAGAATATCCAACTCTTCTCCATCCCATCTGTCAATTTTATACATAGTGATCCTTAACCTTAAGAAATGATGTGGAGGAATATTGGTATACACTTTTGAAACTTGAGATTTCTGAATACATAGAGTAATTAATTACCTTAGCCAATATTTTGTAACCTCCAAAAATGTTGACATCCTTACCACACTATGTAATTGGAGAAGTCTCAACCTCAGATTGGATGGGATCGATATTATCGATTTGCCATTCTCTAATCTTTTTAAAACTGGATGGTTCATTGAACTCTTTGGCCAATATAAACCAATCATCTTTATTGACGCATTTCCCTTCAATCAATTAATGGGTTTCTTCACATTTCAAACATTCATTATCTCCAGATCCAAAACAACTTCGGCAGAATTTTGGACATTCAGCTACAAAAGCGAAAAAATCTCGAATTCCCCATGATTGATCTTCAGGATCTAAAATATTGTTAAAATATTTGTACCTTACTTTAAGGAAGAGGAGAACTTTATGGTCATATCATTCTTCTTATGCTTCTAGATTATTTCTATATTCACCAATTTCTATCCATACCCTGGTTTAGAACTGAAAACTCATAATTAATAAGAATTACTTTCCGCATATGTTTAATCCATCCAAGATTTAGAATGTTTGCTTATAGACTTAATCATCGTCAATGTGCACATAAAATTGATCATTATCCCATTGTCCAAACTTAAAATAAATGATATTATCATACTTTCCATAAAGTGAATTTAATCATTACTCTTGAATGAGGAGGCAAGTTTTTTGTTTATTTTGTTAAAACAGCTTTGCTACCAATATTGTCAGGCCCTCCAAACATAACGATTCCTGAGCATTGCACCGACTTTTGTCTTCCTTCTAGTAAGTTCCATCCTTCTAATGAGGTGTCAGTACGAAACCAACTAAGATCCACTTGCTTCCAAAATTTGCATTCAATAACTTTGTCATTATGACATATGCCACATTGAGAAGGACATTCTTTAAAAGAGATTTTGATATTCCTCATGCCCCAAGCCTATTTATCTGCTTTCTAAACTTAAGTGCTAGCAATGACGATCGTAGCTGTTGGAGAATTGTGAGCTACTTCAAATTCGACATCGTAAACTTTATCGCTGTTTGGGATTTTAGGACCACCACATAATTATTTTGCTCCTTCTGTAAAACCCCATTTCATTTCCCAAGGCACACCATCGACAAACACTTGAATTTTATCATTTTCCCAATCGCCTATTCTACATAACTGTTGGGTAGTACTTCCATAATTGTATAACAAATTTAAGTCTATAGTGTGGAGGAATCTTAATCATCTTTGTTAATGTTGTTTAAGAACCGAATGACTTTAGACCTCCTAAAATTTATATTGGTCCGCATTTAGTTACTACATCAAACGTAGATTCATATTGATTTTCTATCACCCATCCTACATTTGCTTACTTTAAATTTGTACCATTTAAATCATCAATTTTTTCATCTCTGAATGCCTCATATGTAGGTAACCATTGAGTTACTCCAAGATCCAGATTGCACACAATTAGGAACAACCCCAAAGCGAAGTAGATATTTGGCATTAAAAACGAATATATAATTAATATTGTTCAAATGTATTCATTTTCTGTTTTTTAATTCATAACAAAAACATGTTTTTGCATTCTTATACTCAAAATATAAATTTCAGCATTAAAATTCTCAAGGGCCCCACTATTTATAAGTAACGTTTCTCATTTTCAAAAATTTTTAACTTAATATTTAATAATTAAAAAATGAATAAAAAGAAACTAACTCATTTTCCTTACCAAAATTTCAAGCGAATAAATTTCAGTTTCTAACTGCTTACCTTTCATCCTGTCTTAAAACCTTCTTTAAAATTAAGCAAATTATTTTGATAAAATTTATTTCTTTTTATTTCATAAGACTAATATGTCAACTAATTAAGAAGCAATGGCCACATTCTATTCACCTAAATTTGAATAACAATGTTATCTTTGTCAACATGGTTTGCATGGCGTAGAACAGCAGACTCACTCAACAGGAATCATAGTAGGCGAACCTGTCGGTACTTATATCATAAATTATTTTTGTAGTTGTTTATTCAACGCCTGAAGTATTGGTCTCCTAAACTGTTGGCTAGCCTATACCTGTAAAAAGGGGAATTTCTCAAAGCAATCAAAGAAATGTTTAAGTCACCACTCCACAGAGAGAGATATTGCAATCCAATTAAATTCAAAATAGCCCAACTCTCATATAATCTTAACAAATTTAATACAATCAACCTAGACCAATTGAACATGAGACGAGATAAACTTATTAAATACCTATCGAATAGTAAGTCATTTAAAAAGCATAACTTCAAAACTCGTAATAAATTTCAACCTTTTATTCTGGAAAATATGAAGAACAGTGTTATTTATGTCAACACGGTTTGCATGGTAAAGAAGTGACCACTGGCACACAAAATAATGGTATCTTATGTTTTTCATTGATTAGTTGTTTACTAAACACCTGAAGTAATAGTATCTTAAGTAGTTGGTTAACCCTTGACTTCAAGAAACACCACAACTGTTTAAAACTTTTCATAACTCATCAATACTCCTCCAAGAAATAACTTCATTTAATCTCAACAGCTTCAACAATCTCCAATTTAGAATATCTAATTAACTGTACCATAAAATCAATAATAAATTATTTCTACAACAATCTAATAAATTTAATAGTCTCCCGTCCAAAATACATAACTTAACGTTCAACAATCTCAATTCATTCCTTAAATGATATAATAAACATAAGTCTAATAGATACCATAAGTGCAAAATTATTAGGTCATCATAGCACCATAAAATATTATCAAAGAGACAACAACCACTGCTGTCCAAGAATAATAATACACAGCTTAGGAATAGGTTGAAATGTTTTGGAGATATAAAGTTTATGAGCTTTAAGAGAGAGTCTATGAGTTAATGAATTAGATTAGTCTTCAAAAATAAGGAAGTCTGTAACATCAAAGAACTGGGTCTCAAGTCAAGAAAAGCACTGAAGATTCATTCAAAGTACTCTCCTATAAAATTAAAACTAGGTTGAATAAGCTAAATAAGAAATTTTGTAATTAGAAAGCCAAGTCAAGGTTAAACAAAAGACCAGTATAGATTTAAAAAATAAACTCAATCTTATGATCTATCGATAGGATCCTACTGACGAAGCCACTAAATTTAAGGAATAAGAGCTATAGCAGTTAAGACAAAAATATAACACCTTAAATTTTAAACATTAGAGCAATGTAGAGGATATTGCAATGACTCAAGCCATTATAGAGGCCATAAAAAGTGGAAAGGGTTACAAATTAGTGTCTGTTCGAGAACAATAATAAACATCAAGCTACAACAAATCCAGTCAAGGGCAACAGTAATATAATTAAATTATATGAATATTTAATATATATATATAAATAATATTAATGTGTATATTATTTGTTTTATTTATTAAGTAACTTGAAAGTGACTTATATAATATAAATCACAAATAAAAAATACCAGTATGAAAACCATGAGAATTGTTGAAGTGGTGTGGGAACTCAATTTTCAAGGCAAAAAGGGGTTATTTGGCGAAAATTAGATGGGACTTGAAAAATTCTTAATTTATAAATTTTGATTTAATAATATTAAAATTCACAATCTTTATTATTCATCGCAGTAGTTTAGCAATTCATTGGCGGTCTCCTTGAGTTTTTCTATATTCTTTAGAGACCATGGCAACCTTTTGACAGTATATGACTATAAGTTATTGTAATGCAACTCTATACTTTTTTGTTGGATGAGATGAATTCCCATGATTTTTCGGCCAAGGCCTTAATTTTTTTATTTCTATCGTTTTCTATGATGGCATCAAGATTATCTGAGAATAGAGATTAGAATAATACCCAAAAAGGTCTTGTACTAATCTATAAATTATTTGGATTGGAACAATTCATGTAAAAATTGATTGTTCATGGTCTTGATTTTGCTATTTTTTCTGAAAGGCAAGGATATCTATTTTGATTTTTCTGCTTGAAAAGATTGCTAGAAGAGTTTGGAGGCAGCTTTGAGGTTCAGTTCTCAAATTTAAAGATATATATTACTTGATTTCGTATTTTTCTCTTGGATTTGATGGAAGATCTCTCTAAAGGCTTTTCTCAAACAAAATTTGATTAATTCTTCTCTACTCTTTTGTTGCGATCTGATTTTTTTGGTCAAAGTGTCTAAGATCTTGATTACCTTAGCACATTTCTTTTCTTTCAGTTTTTACATGATCTTTTTGATTTTGGAAGAATCTGCAAATAGTAAATGGATCAATTGCTCTAGATTTTCCAGAGTGATATCATCATAATTCATTTCTTCAATTTATTACTGTATAGTTTATATTTGACTGAAGTATTGTTAGGGCTGTTTGACTTGAGATGCATCCTTCATAATTTACGCTATGGAGATATTTTGAAAAGTTGTTACATTGATCACACCTGATATCAAAATTGATAGTGGGCTGAGGAAAATTAATGTTGGAAGTTAAAATTGGAGAACCTAGATTGTGAATAGGACTCATCAAAGGATTTTGAAAGTTCATCATCAATAACAATTGTGAACTTGTTGGCCAATAGGGTAACGGATACATACCAAATAAGGGAGGGGATTGAGCACCATCTGAATGATTCATATATTAATTTAAAATTCATTTGATATCGTCACAATCAAAGATGAAATCGAAATAATATGAATTAATTAGAAGATTAGTTCAATCTCTAAAAATTTCTATGGCTATAAGATGCCATAATCTATGATTTATAATACTTTTAATATCACTTCAACTTTCTTGAGCTGTGTCGAGAAACAACAAAAGTTATTATATATGTATTATACAGATTTTCATGCAAATGGGAGGAATCCTAAAAACAGCATTCCAAGACATCATATCCAAATGCAACATAATTGAAAGGAACGAGAGGAACTTCAAACACGTGCACATATCTCTCATTTAATATATCTTGTTGGAAAAGAATATGGGTATTAATTAACCCACATATTTCTAGATGTAGCTAAATATAATGGAGAAAATTGTGATCATCTTAAAGGCACCGAAATGGATGCATATACAGACTATGAATCAACAGCTAGAACTGTCTTGAGATTGATGTGGTTTTTGGATTACGTGGCAGTTCTATTGGAAAAGCTCCTCAACAAACCCAATGACAGTTTGGGTTCTATTTGTGCTGAAGCCTACAATATTGCCTTGGCTCCTCATCATCCATTTGCTGTTAGATTTGCAGCTAGAACAGGCATGCTGGTTGTTGGAAGGTATGTAACTATTCAAACTATTAGTCGAGAGTCGTTGTATAAGATTATATTTTAAAATAATGAAGACATTTATTCGACTTTGTAATTATGTTGCCATAACTTCACTAAGATCAAAGATAGACTTTGGGATCTTTACAAACAGGAATAATTATGTGATTTGCCATGAATAATATTATTAAAATAGTATTAAAATTCATTTATTCTTAATTTTACATCTGTTGATTATGCTTGTATATGGATATTGGTGAGATTAATCTAAATCATTTTCTGAATTCTTAGATTATTGTCGAAATATAGAGACCTTATTTCCTCTGATCTCTGGATTCTTCACTGTGTTAAGGGATTGAGCTTTGGATCTTGGCTAACTGGCTAATCTCTATAATTCAATTCGCTTATTCCAAATGGGAGATCTCTCTTTTAACTCGTGATTATTGGGGGTTCCATTGTATCGTAATAAAGGGATTTTCTCAAAAACAGTTTGCCCATTTTTCTAAAATGTTGATAACTTCAATTCACAGATCTAAGAATTAAAAGACTGTCCAGATTTCTTTTATTCACTTAAACTAATCAATTTATCAATAATTAAATACTCCTATATTGAACTGATTAGACTCGGGTAAGAAAGTTCACACAAAGATTCATTGAAGAAATCATGTCTCAATATTTGAGATGCTGTGGGTCTTTGCTTTGGGTTTGATTTTAACATCTAAGCAATTAAATCCTTGCAACTCTAAGGAACTTTGATTGAATCTTCGAATTTGTATTCGACTGCCATATTCTTCTTTAATATCCCTGCTTTCTAAGTATCTTTAAACGGATGTGTATTATAAATTCTTAAATTTAAGCTTATAAATTTAATACAGTTAATAATAAATGACCCCAAGACTGAAGATATCACATTTTTCATTGTACATCTTCGTTCCTTCCTTATACATCAAGATCTCAGGAGCAACATATCCAGTTGTTCCACATCTATAATATAATTATTTTGATTCCTTTATGTGAGTTGCCAAACCAAAATCAGCAATCAAAACATCAGATGTGTTGGATTTACACAAAATATTCTGAGGCTTCAAATCTCTATGCATAATCCCTTTTTGGTGCATATAATCAACACATAAGGCCAATTAACGTGCAACCATTCTTGCATCTCGAATGCTTTTATATTATCCCTATTTGAGTAATTCCCCTCCTTAAATTAATTCCAAAACTAGATTGATATGTTCTAATTAGTTTATTATTTAATTAATTACTATTAGTCTCAAATACTTGATGAAAAGATATAATGTTCGGATGACTAAGTTCCTTCATTATCTGGATTTCATTCTTTAGAGACTGCTCCTGTTCCAATTTCTTCTATTAAATCTAATAGTTTTTCTGGACCCTCTTGATAGCATAGTACTACTTATTGTAATTGCTTCTGGCTATGTAAACCTAAACACTATTGACTTATTATAAATTACCTAGGCACTCGAACCAAATCCAATTTGTTTCATTAAACTAAATTAAGTATGAAAATCTGTTAAAATGCAATGCTGTTAGAGTATCTCTTTGAAATTGTCGTAATCTTTCTTTTGATCAGTATAGAGGTCTAGAATAAATCCGCAATATATCAGTTGCAATTGATATCTATAGTTGTTGTCTAGTAAGCTGTAATGCAAGTATACGCAATCTAGTTTCCTGAACCCTTTCATTTTCTGAATAAAATCATATTTTTACAGTGTCTCCGTACAATATATAATTTCCTTACACAGAATATAGTCTTGGTATCCATTTTTTAAATATTCTTCCCTTTTTATAGAAGGTAGTGCTGTTATCATTTGAAATTTAGAAATTTTCATGCTGATTTAACAATATATCAAAATTTCTATCCCAAAAGGCCTTATGTTATTTTTAAGGGCAATTGAAAAAATAATTAGAACCTTATTCCATTGTTTTAATTAATATTAATGGGTTTGATAAACTATTATAAAATGTGTGTAAAAAATCATTCATCTTCATTTTTTGTCGTATTTTTTTTTCTTCTTTGACTAGTTTATTTCTTAATTACCAACGACTCAGAACTCATCTCATCTGAATCTGATTCCAGCTCCATGAAATCGTCCTCTCTCTTCTTCTTTGGCTTCTTTTTCTATTACTATTATTATTGTTGTTGTTGTTATTGTTGTTTATTTCCACCTTTATTTTCTTTTTATTCCTTATCATTATTATTTTCATGTTATGTTTATTTAACATTCTTTTTCTTGGTTGTTTTTTCTCTTCTCCTATTTTCAAATGTTTCCTTATCATGATGCTCCACCTTCATTTCGTACTCCTCAATCAAAGGCTTGGCATCTTAAGGCAAAGTCCTTTTCAACTAAATTATAGATATAACAAATACTACCTTCTTAATTAAAGTGATAAATTAATTGAACACGAATTGATCTCTTAATTTTTCCCTGTATTCTTCCCAACCATCCAATAGTTTCTAAAGAGAATTCTAACTCAAATTGATGTGATTAAACAGTATGGATATATTCTTAATCTCGTATTAATCTAAATATTCATCGAATTGATTCATTACTTGTGCTAGTTCCCAAGATAGTGATTAGTTTATCAACAATAGACTCAATTTGTGATTTATCAATGTATTAGGAGATTTGCGATAGAACATTCTCATTTTAATCTTGGACATTTGAAATGATATCTGGAATCGCATTGGTTATGGCTCTTTATTCCTTTTTTTATAACTCATTCAAAAAGTATCTTGCCATAGCAGGTATTTAAGGATGAGGATCGTTCAATAAAATAGGAATATGAGACAAGGAAGTTTTACTCTTCACCATATCGTTTAATATCAAATGGGTCAAAACAAGTAGTGTTACCCTTCGAACTGCAGCACTAGTATCTGACAAATTTGAATAAATTTATTTGTGGAACTTTTGAATTGTATTAGGCCATCTATGAAGTAAATCACCAATACTAATAATCACATTGTTCTTCATAACCTAATCAATCAGAGGAGATCTAAATATAACTATTGTCTTACTTCATGATATTGAACAACATCTGTATGTTATCTCTGCAGTAGGTTTCAGACAAACACATAAATTTACACATTGTGATTAAACTCACTTGCACTATTGGAGGTTATTGTCGTGTTGAGGCCTCTTCAGTCTCCATTTAATTTAGACACTCTTCTAATATTTATTTTACCATTGGAGAAAAAACTGAGAGTAAATTCTATTAGATTAGTTTTAAATCTTGAATTTGATCAACTATGCCGTGTAATTTTTCAAATTCACCTTCTATACCTCCTTAAATTTTATCTATTTCTTATTCTTTTCCTATTTGTTTCTCCCTCTCATTCTTAAGATTCTTTAACGAATTATGTGTTGCATCAATAAATATGAGTAATTGTAATGACACTGAACCTGCTATGTGGATTGCATGTGCTAAATGTAATTCTTCCATTTTTTTTTGTTCTTCCACTTCTAAATCCATTCTATTTGATTTAAATCCTAAATCCTATAACAGAGTTTCAAAAATTAATTCAGGGTTGTCTGCATTTGGAACCAATTGTATAATTGAATCACAAGCACTAAAATAATTCATATCTTATGAATTCTAGTATTTAATGAGTAATATTATTAATAAATCAATAGACTTATTGAAGTTTATTTGATTCTTATTTTGAGTTCTATCCAATTTCGATAAAATGGTGGCAAGTTCTTTAATAATGATCCAATCAGGATCTTTCTTGTTGTACTTTTGCAATAGATTATAAATTTATGCTACCTTCTCTAGATTAAGATATGAAGAATTTCTAGTCAATAATATTCTAACAAAAATCAACATTGAACGTTGATCAACTTCTTGACTACCAAAGTATTCCCAAAGAACATGGAAAATCTTGGATGGAAATTTATAATTAGTCACCTATTCAGTTTCATAAGATAGCATAATTTTTTCCAAAGAAATCAACTCCTTCAAATTAGATTTACTAATTAGATCAATTAATGAAAGAACAATTTGTCTTGTCTTTTTAGTATCTCTTAAAAATAATTTCCAAAACTTTTTAATTACTTCTTAGGATATAGATTTATCTTATGACCACACTAATAAGATCATTCTGCGCAATCCCTAATTAGCGACCTCATAATTGTATTTTTACAAATAGGAAAAGAGTTTTATAGAATGAATGACATCTGCTTAATTTTTACTTTGGCATAATTATAATACTTGTGTGATTACGGTTTTCATCCCTTCCAAGAACTTTTAATATTCTTCTAAATATTCTTAGATTTTAATGGTTTCCTATGCTTTCTTTTTAATAAATTTAATGGTTTCATTGACAACTTCTTAAGTGATTTCTCCATTTTAAAACTTTTTATCCACTACTTCGAAATCCTTATGAATATTTTGTAACTCTTCTCTATTTTTACTTATTTGTTCTTCTACTTCCACTTAAGACCAGAAATTTTATCTTCCCTAACTCTGAACATACAAGAATCTATAATAACGCACTATAGATTTCAACAATTGCAAGGAGGACTTCCTCACATAGCCAGAGATATCTCTCAACCTAGAGGAAGAGATTGCAAATATGGTTTGTAGATGTTGTTTTGGCACACAGTTAGAATTCAATAGTTGGGACAAACATTAGAGTACATTTGATCTACATAAAGCAGTTTTATCCATGTGTCTATCTACAAGTTATTTAATTAAGTTATTGGCATTTGACAATTACAATTCATCACTATCTTGTTCTTTGGATTCCTTGATGAGATATTCAATCACATTTGTTATCAGTTCAGATAAACCATTTCTAATGTGATAATTCTCATTGTCATATAGGCCAATGAAAGCTGATAGTTATTGATAATAAACCTTAGGCATTTCCTTTGATGTTTAAGACAGGAGTTCTTTGAGATTTTTAACAGCCAGACTCTCAGTTTGATTAGTAGATTTTTCAGTAATGTAATTGACAAGTAGAATAATTTGATCGACAGTGTACTGCTTCAACTTATCATTCTTGCTGCATCCTAGGAGAAATTTGGAGATGTTGGGTACAACACTCTCCTATTCGTACATCAAATGCACAATCCTGTTTTTGAGGTTCATATCATAGGATTGCCACAGAGCAATTGCTTAAACCAAGATGTCAATCCAAACTTCCCGTATTTATGCATCCTTGATTTCGATTGCCATTTTAACTAGATCGAATATGTATCTGCTGCCTTCTCTGCCTAGGTCTTGGAAAGCGTTTGCATTAAACAATTATTAGATCATCTTTAATGCTCTTCTGAGCTATTGGCCTTAGATTTGCTTCTATTGCAATACATTGAGTAATAAGAAGAGAGTCATTTTAAATGCTTATGGGTGGTTGGGGTATAACTTTTGAATTTGAAAGGACAGGATTTCAACCAATTGCAATTATACTTTTTGATTGGGATGTGCATCGAGATGTCTAGAGTTAGTTCATATGATTACTCGACCAAATAGTAGAGGAAATCAAAATATTGAGGGTCTTCGATCAATGTTGCGAGTTGATTGAAGCCATCTTCGAATTAATTGATGCGCATCAAAATGAGTCTTTCATCCATATGGTTCACTTAATTTTTGGATCTTACTCTGTACCTGTCAGAGAAATGGTGTTCGTGCAATTCTGAGTAGGTGCCAGGGAAATGAAAATTCATTTAATTTAAATATATATTATGGGGGGGAAACTCAATAATATTAAACATATAAAAAATGTCAAATGAATTGCCGAAGAATTAGTCAATAGGACAATATAATTTTAGTATTTCTTGTATTTGATTATGCAAAGGCAGGACTTTGGGACAGGGAACCTTCGGAAAAGTGAAATTGGCAACCCACATTCTGACCGGAGAGAAAGTTGCAATCAAGATATTAGAAAAGTAGAAGATTTGCGATCAATCCGATATTGAACGCGTGACTAAGGAGATTCAAATATTGAAGAAGGTGCGTCATCCAAACTTGGTCCAATTGTATGAGGTAATATTTTTGAATTCTTACCAGATAATAGAGACGCCCAAATAGTTGTTTCTAGTTATGGAATATGTAAACGGAGGAGAACTCTTTGATTATATCGTCCAAAATCAACGTATTAAAGATGTCGAAGCAATCAGATTTTACAGTTAATTAATTTCAGGCATCGAATATCTCCACAAACTGCAAATTGTTCATAGAGATCTCAAGCCTGAGAATCTGATTCTCGAAGGGAGAGGCAAAATTAAAATCATCGACTTCGGCTTATCGAATTTTTATCATCAAGATGAGTTATTGAAGACAGCATGTGGATCACCTTGTTATGCTGCTCCAGAAATGATTGCTGGCAAAAAGTACCATGGCCTACAAGTCGACATCTGGAGTTCAGGCGTAATCCTATTTGCCATGTTGGCAGGATATCTTCCTTTTGAAGATCCCAATACATCTTAGTTATACAAGAAAATAATATCAGGAGATTTTAAATTTCCCAAATACATTTCAGGGGAGGCTAAGGATCTAATCAAGAATATATTGAATGTCGATCCACAGAAAAGGTACACGATAGCAGACATTCGTAAACACAGCTGGTTTAGTTTTTGTATAAATTCAATCTTATAAAGTTTAATTAAGACAATTAAAAAATACCAACTGGCCTCATTGTTGGTTAACATAGAATCCCAATTGATCCTGACATAGTTAAATAGATGATTCAATATGGAATCTAAGTTGAATACGCTGAAAAATGTGTTGAAACTAATCGACATAATCATGTGACAACTACATATTATCTGTTATTGAAAAAGCATATATTAGCAGGCAATAAGACGATTGCAGGTAATTGTGGTATAGATTAAATCCCTAGACGTAAACTCAGAATAATTTGAACCTCAAAAAATATCGATTAGGTAATCTACACAGACGGATAGAAGGTACGTTAATTAAATCAATCCTCTACCCTTGATATAACGAAAATGTACTTATATAAATTGGTGATTATCATAGCAAGACACACCTAATAAAGGGATGATTCTCCTGTAGACACAAAACCTAGATTAAATATTTCAGTCAATACTCATAACACTATCTAATAATAGTAGTCTCCAACCATTATGAATCAATCTGTGGATGTGAAGAGGAAGGACATGAGGGATTTTTAGAAGACTACGCTCTTGGAAACTAGTTTATTATAATAGTCTAATGATGTTAAGGTTTTGAAATTGAAGACTCCTGTATGTAGGAATTATATAATGGGTGACTATTACACTAGATTTGAAAGGAAATCTAGAAATCAAGATAGAAAGAAATCAATGGATTAGGATTAAACTTGCTTTAGAACATTTTATAAGGGAAGTCCTATTCCAAAAAGATGAATTGCTATTATGTTAAACTATTTTTTTCTTATTATTTTTATAAAATGGCATTATTGGGTAAAACATTAAAAGGACGAACAACCAAGCCTGGAGGAACTGAGTAGAAGAGAAATATCAAAATAAGACAGATAACTCGGTCTTAACAGGAATTTGAGGAGAGCCAAAAGTAGGCCCAAGTATACCCTAGCATATATATATAGTTTAAAAAAGAGTAACTGCGAAGTAAAATTAGAGAGGAGCAAAAGATTGTTAATTTCAATACAAAGAAACTAATGGCTTATTGGAGAAGGACAATGAGAGCTGTCAAAACAGAACAATTGAAACAAGATATTGAATTATACTCCTAAAACAATAAAAGAGAATTAGATTCAAAAGAAGCTTTCATTCAAATGCTTGATAAGAATCTAGATGAAGCAGAAGATCAATTTCAAATTGCTTTAAGGAACCACCTTATTCATTTGGAGAACTTCCATTTATTACAGGAAAGCAGGAATAGAGCATTGTCGGAGGAATTTGAAAGAGATATCAAAATACTTCAAGAGGAATTTTAAATTGAATTTGATGATATGACTAAGACTCATAAATAGCAAGTTAAAGAGTTGGAAGACATGATTAAAACAGTCGAGGAGGAAGAGAAGAGAAAGGCAGAGTTGGCTAAGAATTAACATTAAACTAATAGAGAGGAGACTAAGAATAAGGATGTAGAAGACACTAGTTAGATGAAATAATAATTAGAAGATAAACAAACTAAATTTTATAATGATTTAGAGTAGATGCATTAAAAATATCAATCTGATACTGCAAAGAAAACAGAAGATCATACTAAATATTATGATGCCAATAAAGATATGTCAAAAAAGATAGAGAGATTGGTTAGATCTATTGCCAGCAAAAAAGCAAAGATTGATCTAACCAAATATAAAATCTTATAACATACTAAAGAATGTAATGCTAGGAATTAGGCTCTGAAAAAGGAAAAAGAAAACATAGCCAAGAATTACTAAGATTTAAAATTGAAAATGAATAAATTTAGAGAGGAATAGTAAAGATTATTGAAAGAATTAGTAAATAATAGTCGAAATGCTGTTTTGAAATTAACAGAATATAAAGAATTAGGTGAAAAGATCCTAAAAACAGCCGAACTTTGTAGGAGATTGGAAACTGAAAGAGAGAAAGTCATGCCATTTTATGAGGATACTGTTGATATGGATCAAATCCCAGAGAATTTAAAAAATGACTTTGAAGCCATAGAAAAGGAATAATATGAAGAATTTGCTTATCTAAATAATTTCTATAAGAGATACAATAAGGTAGATAGATGACATTTAATTTAAGGTTTTGTTGGATATCTTAGCTATTCAGAAACAAAAGGAGGCCTTGCAGAATGAGAGCAATTAACTATAATCATTACTAAAATAATACTTGGATGGCTTATCATGTAACGATGATGTGCTATCTAATCCTAATCCATTATTTGTTAAGAATTTTAACATTGACTTAGGTGAAAAGCAAGTAACTGGAGATTTGTAGCAAACAATAATAGAAGGTGTGTTTAATGTAAGAAGCACTTAGATGCAATTATAAGGATAAAGAGTTGGACCATTTTAATGATATTTTTTTATTCAATATATATGTGAATTAAATATTTTATTATTTACATAATTTTTTTAAAGCTAAGATATTCAATAATCAATTAATTATGATTGATGATAGCACGAAGAATTTCAAAAAGCGAGTTAGAATATGTAAAATATACAGATTTATTGATTACTATTTATTAGATCCAGATAGGCATAAGAATTGATAAATAGAATATAAATAGAATATTAAAATTACATAGATAGAGAATAGTAACTATTGATGTATTAAACAAATTTAAATTAATATATCTAACCCTATATAGCGGAAATAAATTATATTTTGATTGATAATTCTTTTTTTGAGTTTAGTGGATCTAAAACAATTGTTATATATCTTATGGGAGAGTGATTATTTTCGATTTATAAAGTAATCTCAAAATATAATATAATAATGTGATTATTAATAGATTTCTATCTTGTAATTGAATCTCAAATATTTTGCTATAAATTACCAAATAATATATGCAACAAGAGATTTTATTACAATCACACTCATGTATGTTAAAATAATTTAATATATTATAAAATGAAAGTCGGGCTGCCAAAAGAATTTAAGGTGCAAATAGTTTTTAATAATGATATCTTAAATGAGTTAGAAGCTGAAAGACCTTCAGATGAGATGATAGATCGATATCATAATCTATTCGAAAGCAACAAGATTAAGTTGAAGGCATCTATTGTTATGGAAAAAAGAGGGCGTGGTAGACCTCCTAAATAGAAGTCACCTGTGATGGAGGAATCAATAGAAGATGAAATCTCTAATGGGGATGATGATGCACCTGATGATGAGTTTGAAGAAGAAATGGATCTTGAAAATGATGTTAATTTGTCTGTCTCTTCAAAAGAAAGGAAATTTACTAAAAGACAAATGCATATGTATAGTTTGGCTAGTTTGGAGGGAAGTGAGTTCTTATAATTGCCTTCTAAGAAGACTAAATCAAAAAAAGAGTTGGCGTTCACAGAGGAAGAGATGATTTACAAAAGCCAGAAAGAACTACAAAGAAAAGAGAAATTACAAAAGCAATAAGAAGAGCAAAAGTAAATGACTGTTGATAAAATCTTAAATGAGTAAGGGAGAAAATAAAAGCAAAGATAATAATAAGAAGACAAAAAAACAGAGGATACTCATAAATATAGATCTCTACCTCCAGATGATATTATAATCAAATATAAATCAAATAGTGAAGGCACATTTATCATAATGCCAAAAAATATGAACTCATCTTTACCGCATCCATCGAAAATGATAGTTGAAGATGATAAATATTGCTCAATTTGCTCTAATCTAGCTAGATATCGTATTCCAAAAATGTAATAGAAAGCATGCAGTCTTGAATGTTATAAATTAATAAAACAATAATGATCAACCTTGTTATTTCGTTCAATCTCCTTTCACTTTAGTTTTACCAATTTAATCATCCTCTTTCTCCTCTCTCTCTAATTTTTCCTCCTCTTCATCTTATTTCATTTTCTCCTTCTCTTCTTTCTTTTATATTGTTCTGAACTTCAACATTTCTCTCACTCCTTCAGATACCAAAATCACATAAAACACATATGACACAAAAACCTAAAAGAATGTGAAATTTGGATTTCCTGTAAAAGAATGAGTCCAAGTTAGTTATAAGCCACCTCCTAAGAATAATATTAAGCATCCGGCATGAACAATAACTATTGTTGGCAATGAATTGAATAGCCAGTCATATCTTTAGAATAGAAGTATAAAGATTATGATCAAATCTGATATGGCAATATATTGAAAGTACAAGAAACTGCACTAAAATGCTAAGTATCAATATTTACAAACAAAGAAACTCCAATCATAAATCCAAGATACTCTTTCTCTCTTTTAGCATATTTCACAAATAAATTATACAAAGGTAGAATATAGCAAGATGGTAACAACATAAAAAAAGCATGATATAAAGACTTATACTTTGAAAATAACTAAAATATGTTATTAAATTTACTCCTGAAAATAATGCCCATAAAAATCCTATTGTTGGTCTATGATCTTTAGGGAAGTAATAATCGATATAGGTTTTTTGAACAAATTTCCAATCTCCAGTTATTTGCTATGAGGCATATAATAAACAACCAATAGTCAGAACACTCACTAATAGAAATGCTATCAAAGTAAGTGCAAATTTTGATGTGGTAGAGGATTCTCTTCTGAAGATTACTGAAATTGCAGCTAACACAATAAAATATTATGGATTTAAATATAGTAAAAATCCAAATAATATTGGGGAAAGAAGTCTAATTTTTAGTGCTGAGTATATAGTCAACAGCAAAAATAAGTGATCGAATGCGTTTGTATTCTTTAATATAATGTTTGCAAACTACAATATCAATTATTTTTACAGTAATCGGATTCAAATGGTAAAATAGCAAAATAGATTTCCTATATCCTTACTTTGCCCCAAATAATTGCACAATCAAAAAGCTTATCAAAATATCGACTATCAGAAATATGTGATCATTGTCAATATAAATTAATCCATAAACAACTAAGGGCTTTTAAAATATCCCATCTGTATTATATGGATTGTAGTTATTTGCCAAGAGATATTTTGCTTCCCTAATGTTACTATATTAGGTATATGGATTTGAGAAGTAAGGCAGCCAAGTCAAATCCACTTCCCATTTTCCTAGAAACCAGAGTAAACACTTTAATGCTAAAACAATTCTATACATTAAATAAAGTAATATTTAATCAAACATTTTTACTAACACTTCTTACTTTCTTTTTGCCGGGTGTATAAACAACTTTGATCCTATCATTAGTAAAGGTTACATTCTAATCAATTTCAAGACCTGATGGTTCAGTTTTCAATTTCTGCTAGCAATTTATTTGTATTGGTTTATGATTAATCGAGTTTAAAAATATATTATTTTATTTTCTATTCTTATTGACATTATGTTAAGATATTAAAGTAGCAAATGTATTCTGTAATTCAGGTCTTGATTATTGTGGTACCTTTTTCATTTCTTTGAACATGGGCTTTTCTTTAACATTCTTTTTAAATTCATCTAAACTAAAGATAAATTTTATATTTTACTCATTAATGAATATTTTATTAATTAAATTGGCTCTGCAATCAACTTAAATCTCAGTCTATATTTCTTTATTCTTAGTTGATAGACTAATGGTTTTCTTTTTGGAAATAAATGTAAATAGTTGTTAACCTCTTTATTTATTGTCTGCAGTTTTAGGAGGATTTAACATTTTGGTGTCAAAATCAGATTAATTCATGTAAGTAGGATCCATTTCCGTTGATCTTTCCTAACTAATCTTATTAACAAGTTTCTGCTCTTTCAGTTCTTCTTCATTATCTGATAATAACACATTTGGTATGTCATCATTATTCTATTGTAACTATTCCTATTCTTTTTAGTATTCTTATTCAGCCTATAATCTCAATTGTTCTTGCATTTAGAGTAATTGAAATTGATTTTATTCAACCATTTTTATACAATCTTCAATTTTCATAGAAACATCAAATATATCAGTCTGACAGTATGATGTAGATTTATTATATTGATTAAATTTATTTCTGATGATTGTTTTTTTAATAAGTTAGGAAGTCAATTCATGGATATCCTCAATGTCTTTATTTTGAATTTGATTAATTTTATTCTAAAACTATTTTATTTGAGAATCAGCTTTTTCTAAAATAATATTGATATTTCTTTCATTGACTTCAAATTAAGGATACCCAATTCTTCTCATTAAAAGGGAGAATATTCTTTCAAAATATTTATTTTGATTCTCTAAATAAAGTGTGCGTTATTCCAGATAGAGATACTTATGAAGCTACATCTCATAATTCATTAAAATAGATTAATGTTTGGCTTTCATTTAATTTAATTCGACATTCAATTGTTGAGATTGTAATTATTCCTCAGAGAGATTATACTCTAATAATTATAATTACTTTTTGATATCATCAGTTCTTTTATCTAGCAATCCTCTTGGATTACAAGAAACATCAAAAATATTAATAGATCCAGATTAAGATTTCCTGAGAACTTTATGTTTTTACATTTTTTCACATTTGGCTAAATACATCCATTTATAAAGAGCATGACCCTTAATACATCTTTTGACTTAGGATAGCGTATCTTTTTGCAAAATGGATTCAGCATATTGCTCTAATTTTTATACAAAATTGGCTTTTACTATAGATATTAAATATGATAAATACGAGCTTCTTCTTTCATCTCATAAACATATTCTATACCAGACTTCAGAGTTTGTCTAACTAAAACAAAATCTTTTTATTTTTCTTATTCTTATCCATTTTATTTATCTGTTAATATCTTAACTTGATTTCGTAGTAATTGCAATTCCTTATCTACTTAAGCTGTAAATAACAGGTATTATTCTATTTTTAATAATAACCTATGTTACCATCAATCTTATTTTTATAATCTGAAAACACTCGGTATGATGCTTAAGATTGGTTTATTAATTCGTCTATTTGTTTGTAATCGATTCCATAGCCAGCTTGCCTCTTTTCAAAAATTTCAAATATTTATTTATTACCAATCACATCTTATATCCCCCTCCAGAACCGATTCATATCTCTGTCTATTATTAGAATAGCTTTAATTTGTTAAACAATGTCAGCTTATGAAACTAATTAAGAGATAGTTTTTTTGAGTTTGTCAATTTCAATCTGTTGCTAATTAATTTAGGTTTGCAATTTTGTTTGCTATGATCTGGCTTGTTGTGACATTTCTTTCAATTTAGATTGCAAGTAGACTTGTACTTCGGCTGGAAATGACTTAGTAATGTCATAGTATGTGGCATCAATAATATCATCATCTTGTTAACGTTCCTTTCTTAGGAACATTTCTTTAAGATGCTAAATATCTTTATAATACCCAATAGTTATATCTTAGATAACCTAATCTCTGATTCGAATTTACTCGTCTTTGAAATTATCATTTTATGGTGCTTCTCTTATAATTGATTTGGTTCTCTTGACAACTACTCTTTTGCTATGCTTGATGGTTTCCTCGTCGTCACTACTTATGAAACCTTCATTTTTATATTTGTTTTCGTTAAAAAGAGTTTAAATTGGGATGGGAGAATCTTGAGATTAGTTAAGACAATTTACTTTAGAAATAGCTGATTAGGTTTTATTCCACAACTTTCCAATTCTTATTGCAATTTCTAAAGACTTGCTGTTGTAGTCTCAATTCAACTCCGAATATTTTGATCATAATATCTGCCAAAAAAGCTTTCACCAAATCCTGAGCCTCAATCATTGTGCCTCTGAATTCTAGTATATTTTGACATAATTGATCAATGAGAGACATTTATAATATTAAATAAATAAAAGAATCATTATAAAAATTTAACCCTTTTTCCAAGGCTAGATGATTTTTTCTATCGGGTCATTAATCTTCTCAATTCCACGAATTGCTCTTCAACATTATATTCCTATTGCTTGATTTGAAATGTACCATTATCTATTTATAACGGGCTTCAATGCTTGGCTTCTTATGTTTTAAAACAAAGGAACGATTATTATTTTGAGGAATCAGTTGTCGAATAGGCAGAGTTTTTAAACTCGTTTAATTGATGACGTCATTGTATGCTTGAGTAATGATTTGGGGTCTGATTCTGCACGAGATGGTATGAGGTATTTCTCTGTGAGGAGATTATTGTTTATGCAGGAGCTTGCTATAATTCAATTTAGGTTTCACAGGTTTCAAGTAGTAATCTAAAGAATTCTCTGGCAGCTCGAATTATGAATAATCAATGTTCACTCTCCTTAACTTTTGACCTACACTCTCTGAAACTCTCATTTTAGAATTTATTATATTATTTATGTTAACTCAAAACTAATAACATTAATTTGATTTTAAAACAAGACAAGCATCACAAATAGGTACTAATACTCTACTACTCACTATATTTATACTCCTCTATAAATGAACTCAATTATAGATTATTGTTATATTAGATTTTAGTTCGTTAAGACCACCAAGACATCCTTAAGGCGAAAATTAAATGGAATTGCATAGGTAAATAAATTGAAATAGGAAAGAACTTAGAAGCCTCTTCTCTAAAAACGCTATAAAGTCACAGCAGATGAGACTGATTCGAGAATTCACAAGATCTCATTACCCTCATTAACCAAATTTCGAAAAACAGAATTTAATCCAGTAGAGAATAGTAATTATTCAATTCAGTTAGTTGCACAACCTATATCCATTCTGAATCAAGGCAATGGATTAAGAATTCCCAATCGGTTACCTAAACTCTAAAGTAAAAATGATATATCCAAATCCAAATATGACATTCAATTCAACCAAACTCCAAGGGACGAAGACCTGAAGCCAAAACAGAAGTAGAAGAAAACTTCATTCACTCCTGAATAAAGAATTTCAGAAAGTCCTGAAAAGACCAGCTCTTATAGTAAAAAGAAGGGAGGAGCAAAATAATGGCAAGGATTGAAATTTGTCCATAAAACTAAGGCTGGCTGTTAGGTTAATAAATAGACAAAGACTAATCAAGATGCAGCCATTGTATTTCCATCAAATATAGAGAGGTAAAAATGAGCAATTATTTAGAAAGTTAAAATTATGGATTAGTTGGGATTTGTGATGGACATGGAGTGAATGGTCATTTCGTTTCAGATCTTATCAAATAAAGATTACCAAGTAAAATATTAAACTCAAACCTAGTCTATTTGGAATTCCAATTATAATCCCAAAACCCAGATATGGAGGAATGCTTTAGAAATGCTTTTGAATTAACGAATTCGGAGATTCTTTAAAGTGAATTTGACACAGCCTTGTCTGGATCAACGACAGTCATAGCTCTGATCCAATAAAATTAGTTATGGACAGCCAATGTTGGTGATTCGAGGGCTATATTGTGTAGAAATTCCAATGGTTGGAGAGCAATTCCACTAACTAGAGATCACAAACCATCAGATGAAGCTGAGAAGTAAAGAATTCTTTAAGCTGGCGGGAGAATCCAAAGTTAAAGAGGTGAGATTATATGAAATATTCTAGATTTCTTTGGGAATAGTGTAGGCCCAGAGAGAGTTTGGCTTTCGTATGTAGATGCTCCAGGATTGGCCATGACTCGCAGTATGGGGGATAAAATAGGAGCACAGGCTGGGGTTAGTAGTGTTCCTGAAGTATTTCAATTCACTTTATAACATAATGATAAGTTCCTCATCATTGCTTCTGATGGAGTATGGGAATATTTGTCAAATGAAGATGTAAGAATGTAATTATATAATCGTTGTAGGTCATGAATATCGTAATTCCTTATTATGAGAAGGGAGAACTTGATTAGGCAGGAGAGAAACTAATGATGGAAGCCATTCACTCTTGGAAGAAGAACAGTCCTGCGAGAGATGATATAACTTTTATTATTGTTTAATTAAATAATTGAATTTCGGAATTATGTGTGGTAAAATTAATTTATTAATTGTTTATTGGCATGTCTTTACATTTCTAATACCTTGGCTAAGGATTGAGCAGCCAAAAAACTATGGAATTATTACAAAAGCATTGTTCATCTAAGTATGATTGTGAAATTTAACTCAAGTCATCACAACAAAATTGCTGATTTCGGTGCTGTTTTTGATGAATTATTGGAGTAAAAAAAATACAAAGATTTGGTTGTATAAACCCTTGAGATTATCAATTTGTCACCAGATAAAACTTGTATTTAGCAGATCATATTTTAGTATTGCAACCAATCTATTCTGCAATTTAATATTGGATGACTAAGCTAGAGTCTAAGGAATAATAGGTCACTGTTGATCTCTTTTTAAAGCACATTGAGTAGATAAATGAAGAAGCCATTTTTAAAACTAAAATGTATTTCTGCATCCCTATTTAAAAGTGTGGCACAGCTTTTCAACACTTTGAGTTCATCTCAACTGTCATAGAACCTATTTTTGAAATTACTTGAATGTGTAAAACGATGGAATACATAGCAATTAATTATATCTCCCATAATTTAAAATCTCAAGCAATTCTTGAATTTATGGACTCTCAGTGATGCTGAAGTTCTTAAAATATTAAATGCTATTATCGATTTGATCGATCCCCAAGAGTAATACATTATACTTACTTGTAGTTAACAATATGTGAAACAAATTTCTGAATACATTTTGAGAAACCTTAACACTTCTCAGGAATAATACATTAAGACCTTTATAAACTTTTAAAATATTAACGTACTATTAAAATTGATATCTCTAGTAATCCTTCTTAAAATTGTGTGAAATCACCTAGTGTCAAAATTATCAGGTAATCGAAAAGACCTAAGTTGCTTCACTTATCAAATTGGTGTTGTCTGGAGATTTATCAGGAGTCTAAAAATATCTAGAGAAGGAAGCAGATTATTTTAAATCAATAAGTATGAATGTATATACGATATCAGATCTAAACATTAATTAGTATTTGACCTAGACAAGAATAGCTAAATTTATTTAATTATCAGGCTAAAAATAAAGTTATTCATATTAAGAAATAGCTGAGGCTTTAAATGTATAAATTGAATTTCATTATATTATAGATCCAATTAGAATAAGTAGAGATTTGGGTTATTCATGCAATCCAATCTTAAAATGTTTCAGCTTAGATCGATTAATCTTAATAAAGAATTTTCATTTTGTAATTCAATATCCTACCATTTTAGAGACAATTTCAAGAAATTATTAACCAAAGAGGATTGGCAAAACTTGCACAATAAATTATCAGGTTTGTTAACCAAGCTTAAAATCGTTCAAACATAATGAGGATGGTATATTATTAATTTTATAACAATAATAAAGATATAAACATCAAGGTTTTCTTTTCTACACTTCTTAAACCATCTTAAGTTGTTTCTTATTTTAAAACTTCCCTTGATCAAGCTATTGCATCTATTTTCCTTGTAAATCAAATTGAGCATTCAACCCTTCCTACTAGTAATTGTTCACTGACATCTAATACATTTATTTCATTCCAAAATTAACATAATTCTTTCTCTTACTAGCATTTTTAGCTTAATCAATATCATTAATTGCTTATGCAGAGACTTTAGCAAATTTCTCATCAGTTAGAATGTTTTATTTCATTTATTCTAACAACAGTTCAGCTTCTTCATTCTTTGATTATTCGCATTTCATTCTTGCTAAATCAATAGCCTCTGTGGCTTAAACCCGTAAGAATTCTCTAGTGACATCTGCATTAGCATCGTTCTATCCAATTTGTTCATCTTCGTTGTACAATTTAAGTTATAAGAAGGAAACCTTTTAGTAAACTTATTTTGAAAATGTGTTGCTGAATTACAAAAATACTTGAACTACTTGAGGGACTCTTTATTCATCGAGGATTTATTCACTATAAGGTGGGAGTGCTATTTCAAAGACATAATCCTTCCTGGAATCTGATGCGATTTAAGGAATTTTGATTTAGTAAAGTCTTTCCTATTCTATCTATTTCCACATATCGCCATAGGTTTTTTAGATTTTTATATCTTGGAAAGGGATGAAAGGAGCACACTTAATATCTATCTAGACCTTCTCTGCCAAAGCAGAAGATAATCTACCTAAAGCATCTGCAAAGAATTCATCTAATAATTTCACATCTTCAATATAATAAAAACTTCCTTGCCCTACTTTACAGATTTTGGACATTAAAGCAGCATCATGATCACTTCCATATCCAAATGAATGAATGGTAACTATGTCCTCAACTACATCTTTCTACCTTTAGATGTACTCAGCTGCACCCTAATCTTAACCATCTGACAATAAGAATATTGAAGTAACTTAATTTTTCATTTTTCTTTATTGGATTTGATTAAAAGCAATCTCAGTTCCTTTTGCTATATTAGTTTATCCACTAGCTCTAATAGAGTATATGGCTTTTTTAAAATAATTTTTATTGTCTTGTGTTAAAGTTTTTAAAGGAGTAAGTCTTTGAGCACTTCCATCAAAGGTTATGAGACATAACCTATCCTTTTCACTTAGAAAATCTAATAATTGGACAAGAGATTATTAAACACTTGCTATCTTTTTCCCTTCCATACTTCCACTTTTATCAATAACACATAATAAATCAATGCCAGCCTCAATTGAAGAGTTATTTTTAACATACTATTCAATATCCTTTGTGATGATACTCACCATTGCTGGCAATCTTTAGCTTTCTGATTTTTTTAATTTACAATAATCATATTGTGCTTAAACTCTTAAATCTATCAACTCCTCGAGATTCATATTCAATCCAACTTACTTATGATATTAGTATAAAATAGGGTCATCATCATTATAATTTTGAGGAGAATAACCGTTAATCATTCCAAATGTGGCTAATTTCTACCCTTACAATTTTTACTAATAAGAAGTTTAAGGTAAATTAATAATATTCTTCTGAAGTTATTATGGCTTTTGTTAAAAAACTTATGGCTATTGTTGTTTTTAAATTGGTTGTTATTACTATACAGGTAATTATTATTATTTTATAGGAATTTATTATTTTTATTAATTAGCACTTTATAATTATGCTCTTCTTTAATCTTCTAGCTCAGCTCTTTGCTCATTTTTTAAATGGTTCTTTTTTTTCATCTTGGTATCTTTGGAGACCTTGATATTATTGATGAATCCATTTAGTGACTATGACATTTATTTATCATTGTATTAAAATCTAAATATTATGTATATAAATACAACTAATCTTAGATATCTCCCTATGATTATGTGTCTTTGGATTTGGTTTCAAATGTTTAATTGGAGTTAAACTACGATTAAGCTTGTTAGTTATCCATTATCTTTTAAATTACTTAAATTTTCTTATGGATATAATTTCTTTTATTAATTTTTATACGCAAGATATTATTTTTGATCTGAGAAATTCTGTCTTACAACAAAACATAAATAAATCTAATATTAGAAATTTATATAATTAATGAATTTTTTCATTTTGTTGGTTTGGTTGGCATGGTGAAGGAATACATGTATAGATCGTTAAATGACATTAGATTACGATCACCTCCAAATACTATCATAAATTCCCCTGCCACAACAACTGAATGACCATCTCTTGCACATGGTTTTTTGCCAATGAGTTATGCTTATTATTGTTTTCTTCCCATGGGAGAAGAAATCTTTCTTTATCCACCTTTATCTTGATTTGTTATTAAATTGATGGAATTTTTAATCTATTCAGTGGTAGGAGACGAGCTTCTGAATTTCTACTTTTCTTCTTCTGTCAATTCAAATTCAGCTCTATATAAATTATGAGAATATTTACAGCATCTACATCTTCTTTTATTACCATCTTCTTTTCTTGAGTTCTTCCATATTATTTGTAGCCTAAGATACATTGTTTTGCTCTGTACTTATCTTCTGTGTCCCAGCAGGCAAACTAATATTCTTTAATGAACCTCTTCTCTATGGACTCCTTAACTCAGTGTCTTCACCCAATAAAAATAAGGTCCTGTTTTAGATATCTTAGATTTTAGCTTTTTCCTTTTGCTTATTAGGCTTGCTCTGACTTGCTTTATCTAGTGAATCATTCAAATCATCATTCACTTATCTTCTACTATTATCCTCTTCCAACAACACCCAATCGTTATTCTTAAACATCCACAAGTCATTCTTCTCATGAGTAATATCATGGATTCCTCCAAATAAATACAATCCTTAGCTGTGTGTTACAATAACTGAGGAGGATCGAGACTATTGTAATAATAGATTAATCTTACTCCTGGAGACTTTTCCGTTTTAATTTGTTCCCATTTCTTATTGATTAGATCGAACTTCCAAAAATCTGAAAACCTTTATTCATAATTGCATCCTCCAAAAACATATAAGTCACTCCCCAAAATTGCAGCTCCTGCCCCTGCTCTGCCTTACGGACTCGTTTTCTGCTATTCTTAATAGAGTGACCACATATCCTTTTCCTTCTTGAATGAGTATTGGAGAATCTGAGAAACATAGCCTTTGTCGGTGTAAAAACCACCAAATACAATCATTGATGCCGTCTAATATCATTTAATAGTGTTTATACATCTTCTTGCACAAATACACAACTATTATGACCTTCTATGCAAACTGCATGATTGTTTATTTTACAATCTTCCCCTTCATCCCACTTCTCTGTTTAAAAATCGAATATCCACAATTTGCTACAAGGCTAGATTAGATTCTCTTTTCCTCCAAAGATGTACATCTTATTTTCATATACAACTGCGGTGTGATTCCTCAAAGGTCCTGGTCCTTTCACTTCTTTTTAAGGGTTCCTGTACACCTGTTACCACTCCAATGGTTTGTCTGAACTGGGTATGGGAATCCTCATCAAATCATCCAATATTCCCTCATTAGTTTCATATCCACCATATACATAGATACTTAGTGATATTATCCTATGATTACTAATTGTCCCATGTCACACAGGAATGATAAGATCTTCGATGGATGTTCTTCCCAAGCGGTTTCAATTCCTGCCATTTTGGAAAGTAGTCCTAATTTATTACATTACATTATACTAGTTAAGATTTCGTTCTCACAAGATCTTCCTCAAGAACTGCATCATCCTATTGTTTCTTTGCTTTCATTTTTAATTATTTTTTTTATGATATTAATAACACTACTGGAAGCTATTGTCTTAATTAGTAATGGCTTTGCCATTCTAAACGAGAAGCGAGTCTTATCGAAATGTACTAATTATGCTATCATTTAGATGGTTTCGATAAAGTCGATTATACAAGAGCACACGAAGGAGGGTCATAGCACATGAAAGGAATCATAGTCAATTGGTTGATGTTTGCAAGATCGATGAAAAGTATAAATGCCTATAACATAAAATAGTTTTCCTTATTATGGGTAATCTCATTGTTATTTTAATTGAGATTCTGTCATTTTGAATTTTAATATGTGTCGAATTATTAGCTATTTATATTTTATTCCTTTTTATAGATATATATAAATTAATATTATTTCACAAAATATTGTTCTACTTTTTACTTTATTTAGAAACCTAGAATCCTATAAGTTAATAAACCCATACTTTAATTGGATTATGAATATTTTCATAGGATCAATAAATTGGTAATGAAAATTATTTAATTATTCTAAACTTCTAGAATATTTGATGAGTTATATTTTTCTACGTTTACTTTTTATCCCTCAATCCAGATTCTTTAAATTTTACAATAATTCTTATGTAGCCTCACTTTCTTTAATCTGATTAATCAATTTAATATTTCATAATTTTATATTAGCAATCTTATATTCTTCCAAATCTAATCATTTATCCATTATTAACAAACTTATCAAGCATTCGAATCTTGGATAGATTTAAGTGTACTATTTAATTTAAGAAATGTTAGAAATAAATAATTGTGTTATGGTAACTCACAAAATCAATTAATATTAAAATGAGTTTTAATAAACCATAACGATTTCATAAGAAACCCTTCTCATAATATGAACTCCATACTGATAGGCCTTCAAAAATTCCATCATTTATGAAATCATCTGAGATTATTTCTAATTGTAAAGAGAATTAAGATCCTTTACACTATTCGAATAGTTCAATAATCAAGGAAATACAAGATATTGAAAAAATGTACTAAGGGAAAATTGATTCCTTAAAAAGACTAAATGCAAAGTTGATGTCAACAATTGAATTTATGGAAAAAACATTAGAATGTTAGAAAAGCATGCTCTAAGAAAAATAATCAATAGTATCAATACATTTTAGAATTATCTAGATTATGAAATAGTAAAATGAAATTTCTTCATATCGTTCAATTCTGTCATAAAATACCCAAGTCAATATCAAAAATTTAAAAACTGAAATTGAAGATGAAAAAATTAAAACAGATAGATTGCATTATGAGCTCAAGGACTTTAAGTATAAAATTGAAAAAGAAAAACCTCTGGTACATTTATTCAAAAAAATTGAATAAACTTAAGAAGAATATAATTAATAAAATAAAATATTTATGAGAGAAGTGCTTCAGTTATTAGATAAACCTCGAAGTCAATCATTCTATCGATAGCCATCTAAGTAACCTGTTAAGAAATCCTCATTTTATAATTGAAACTAATTTATTATAATTAAATAATTAATTGAAAATGACAATTAAAATACTTAAGCAAATCCATAGTTCCATCAAAAGATGATATTGTATAAGTAATAAATAAAGAATCTCTAAATTCTAGATTTATTGTAACTTAACAGAGTTTTTCTCTAATTCTTTTTAATTAGTAATGCTATAATTAATTAAAGCAAAACTAAGAATATATATAAATTTCAAACAACAGTATGTTTTCCTTATAAATATAACAAAATATTTAGATAATAATATATTAGATTAGCAGCATTAAAATATTCTTAAGATTAATTGAATATACTATAATTGATTTAATAGTGATTATGATTTTTAAAGTTATTGAAGAATATTATATTGAATTCAAAACTATTGATAAATGGAGATCATTGGAATTTAATAATTATTTCTTTAAAAATTTAGAAATAAATGAATTCATTAAATAATCCATTAATAAAGAGGTATGGAAACTTCATTTGAGGGATCGATAAATTGGAAACACTTGAATGTGGATAATCAACAAAATGTCAAAGTTATAAGCTTTGATATATTAAATATAATATTATATCAAAATTATGGATGGATTAATTTCAATTTAAGTTCTAAACCTATTTTTATAATACTCTTATTTAATAATTAAATAATAAATTATCTCTAAAATAAACACATTATTTTTAAAAAACTTTTTCTAAATTTTATATGATATCCACAAAAGTATGTTGGTTCTGTAATGAGTTTTATTGGGAACACCAATAGCGTTTTAAATTTTGAGGTTTTCTATATATTGTAAGAGAAACGGCACAATAGACAGTTATATTATAAAGAAAGTTTATTTGTAATTACTGATTCTTTACCAAATTAATGAGAATTATTCAATATAAATATTATGAATACATTAATAATCCTTAGGTAAAATAATTGTATATTTATAAATTAAATTTACAGAGTATTTAATGGGCATATGTGGAGGATAAGGGAGAAAGAAACTCTCAAAGCTAACTCTAGAATAAACAAAGGATTAAATAGGAACCACTTTGAATAATGAGAATCCAGGATCCTCAAAATAATCCAGGTTCGTTAAATAATTAACAGATTTCAAAGTTGATCCGTCTATATTTGTTACATTGAAGAAGGGAGATCTATATAATTTTTACAAAATAGATTAGCTATTAGGAGAAGGTATCATAGTGTGATAGATTATAAAGGCACTTATGGTAAAGTGAGCCTAGTAACTTAGAAAGGAACGGGACTTTAAAGAGCAATGAAATAGATTCGGAAGGATAAAATAGTAATTGAATAGAAGGATAGCATGGTCTAAGAAGTGTCCATACTCAAAGAATTAGATCATCCAAATATTGTTAATATTTACGAATTATACGAAGATGAGACTTTTTATTATATTATCACAGAGTATGCTTTATCATTTCAATAGATTTTAAGATATTTGAGTGGAGGTGAATTATTTGAGAAAATCAATCAGATTGATCATTTCAATGAAACCATCGCAGCGGGATACATAAGAAAAATTTTAGAAGCAGTTAACTATTGTCATACTCGCAATATTGTCCACAGGTATTGATCTACGATCTATCTTGATTAGAGATCTAAAACCTGAAAATATTTTATTTGAATCTAAGAAAGCACACTCTAGTTTAAAGATTATTGATTTTGGGACAGCTAAGTAAATTGCTGATTCAAACAAATTGTCCCAAAGGATAGGAACTGTAAATATAATTAAATATCTTACAAAGCCATATTATATCGCTCCTGAAGTAATTAATAAGCGATACGATTAAAAATGCGATGTGTGGTCTTGCGGCGTTATCTTATTCATTATGCTTTGTGGTTATCCCCCTTTTAATGGATAAAATTAATAAGAATTATATTAAAGAATATAAAGTGGCATTTTTTCATTTGATGGTAATTTAATGTTTAAAAATTCAAAGAACCTGAATGGGAAGACATTTCTGAAGATGCTAAAAACTTAATTAAGAAAATGTTGGTAACTGATCCTGAATAAAGAATCTCTGCATCTGAAGCATTGCGTCATGATTGGATGCTTATAAATCAAAAAGGCAAGAAAATAAACTCAAAATCCTTGGAAAAACTATCTAAATTTCATGTATATATTATTTTTATCATAAGAGTTAAAGTAAGTTGAAAGCAGCAATAATGTAACTCATCTCAACTTAAGTTATGTCTAATCACGAAAAAAAGAAAATTTAAACTTAATTTAAAAAAATAGATGTTAATAAAGATGGTACATTGAGTCGAGAAGAGCTTCTAAAGTGCTATAGAGAAATTTATGAGGATGAAGTGAAATGTCAAGAAATTGTCGAAAATTTATTTTAATAAGCTGATGTAAATGGATCGAATCAAATTGATTACACTGAATTCATTGTTGCCTTTGCAAAAAAAGAACAATTGACAGCTTAGAATAAATTAGAAAAAGCATTTAGACTTTTCGATAAGGATGGAAATGGATAAATCAGTAAATAAGAGTTATAAGAAATAATGGGGGGAGCTCAATTAAGCGAGGGTGAATGGAACAATGTTTTTAATGAATTAGATCTAAATGGAGACGGAGTTGTAAACTTTTAAGAATTTACAGATATGCTAATTAGAAACGCTAATGAATAAGATTGATATATTGTATTTTCCTATATTAATATACTCAGTTGTATTAGTATGTAGACTTCTTGCCAAACTAATTAAGCAGAGTATCTAGTTTTTATTAGTAATTATTAGCAGCCTTGAAGCCATAATTTTATGGTTAATCTCTTGTTGTAGTAGGTAAGTATTTGCTTGAAAATTCTTATTTTTTTGGAACATATAATGTTGTCTCCAGTTGTATTCCTTTGTTATTTGTTGTATTCTTGCTGAAATTGTTTACTTATATAAATATTTCATTTGATTACTTGCATCCATTAATGCTCTTTTTTTTTGCTGGTTATCGGTAATAATAGTTTATTTAGGTTCAAATGCATTAAGATTTCTATTACTAGCAGATAGCTATTATAGTCTCTAAATCTGAATATTAATTCCATTATTCAATATTTCAAATTGAGTTTTCCTTTATTATTATAATTAATATTAGTTTGATTTCTGCATAAAATCTAGAGATTTCTCTTCATCTATGTACTTCTTTCTGATTTTAGAATACTCATTAGAAATAGCTTCATCATCATTAAACTTACTTATCTTAGTAATTAACCTATCTGTAGAACTTGTTTAACTTTTTATGTTATTTTATTAATTATATATTATTTTTCCATTCCAGTTATATGTTATTTCTTATTCTTATTGATTCAATTCTTTTTCGTATAACAGTAACTACTTGATAAAACCATCATTAGGATAAACCTACCATCTCTTCCTTTCCAATTATTGCAAAGCCTCTTTTGAGGACATATTATGTTTCCTCATCAAATAAGCGGCAACTAATGCAGCACTCCTGGAAATACCAGCCATACAATGGACTAAAACATTTCCTGATTGTCTTCCTTTATCAATAAATTCAAAAGAAGAATTAAAATATCGATAAATATTCTCATTCTCACTATCTTCCAAGATGATATGTTCATATTATTTCATTTATGAACTAACAGTAAATGGTATTTTAGACACACAGATAGATAAAATAGCTGTTATTCTATTTTTTTTTAGTTGAGCAAGATCGGCTTGAATATTATGTCATTTTACTTGCACTTTCTATGTTTCCTAGAAAGAGAGAACCAATATATCCGCAATCAATAATGCAAGTCATGTCTTCCATTGGTCTTCCATGCATCTGCATTTATTTTCGTTTCTCAGGAGATGATTGATACATTAAATAGTAGTTAACAATATTAAATAAATTGAACTCATATTTATATTAACGTTGTTGTATAATATTGGTAAATTAATTTATGTGAAAATAATTAAAGTACTTCTTATTTATATGAAAACCTTCTCTTCACAATTTGTGAATAATTTACAACAATAATAATCATTGTTAAATAAGTTGTGTATTTCTTATCGATTGCGGTTCACATAATTGTAAAATATAAATCATAATACATAAGAGTATTTTGAATAAACAATCTAATTTTAATGTAATTGAATAGATACTTTCAGAAAATATGAGTTGAATTCAATAAGACATAGTTACTTATAAATTATTCAAATTCCTTAAGTTGTAAATTATCAGTTAATAAGAAGATAGAATTTTATTCAAATTTAATAAGTAAATAAGGTGAATTCTAATTTTTGATTAAAATTTATCCTCCCTTTTTACATTAGCAATAAGATAAAATTACTTTGTATTAGATTAATAAATACTATAACTGCTTAATTTTTAATTAGGCAAATTGAACTTTATGAATTTATTCTCAAAATCTTGTACTTCTAACAATTATGATAACAGTATATATTGGGATATAAATTAAGTAGATAATAAATTCTTCTTTTATTACCAGACAAACAACAGTCTTTAATATCTAAATATAAGTGATATGAATATTCAATAAAGTATTTGAATAAATTATAATTTGTAAGAATATAAAAATCCTATTTTTCGTCAAACTCTTTATTTGAAGAATGTAGATACAACAAATATTTGAGTAGCCAATTCTGAAAAAGGTAATTTAAGTATTTTTAAATTGCATATCGATTCCTGGATCAATAATTATTTTACTGTATATAATAGTTTATACAAAGTGGATCTAGATAAATTATTTTTAAATTAGATTCTAATGGTATGGTTTGTCTCTTTTGTCTTTAAACATTTTGAGTGACCCTTAAAATATGAACTCTATAAAGTAACTTAATTGATTTAATTAAAATATAATGCATTTGCGAACTTCATCTTAAGGAGTGAGTCCGTAAATAGAGATTCTATAATCTGAACGTACCCTTCTAAATACTCCAGTGACGCAGAGTGCATTATTTAAGACATTTACTGAAATGCCGAAAGCGTACCATAACAAAGTAGATTTAGTAAGGCATTCTCAAAAACAATATTGCGAATACCATCTCCAAGAGCTAGACTGATGATGTAATTAACCCATAACAAAGTTTAACGGGAATAAATAATTTCACAAATGACAGAGAGACACCAAGAAGTTATATCAGATGCATTAGATTAAGGAACTCAAAAGAAATTAAAAATCAGAGTTGTATAAAAATTAAAAAGGAGAGACCATTCGCCAAAAAAGAGAGTGAACCTAAAGGAAGGAGCCAGAGGTACTTACATTAATTATTGGAGTGTACCAAATGCCTAATTTGGCTTTACCAACAGTAGAAGCTGAAATTGATCATCCTCCCCAGTTGACATTCTATGGTGAAACTTAAGAATTTTTTAGAAGTGCAAGAAGTTTCAGACCTTCTTTTACTGAGAGTGGATCGATGGCGTTGTATGGAGATTCACTATATTTGTATGGAGGAATAGCAGGAGATGGAATTAGAGATCAAATGCTTAGATTCGATTTAAGTAACTTTATCATTTAAGTAGGATTTCAGGATTGGCATGTAATAAATGCTTAAGGGGAAATGCCGAAAAATGGTCGAGCAGCTTTGACAGTAGTGGCTTTGAGAAATCATTTCATTTATTTCGGGGGGTCTTGCAAATTCAATATAAAATTGAAAGTGCGAGAATGTTTTAACACTGTGTTTGATTACAATGCAAGCACGAGGTTTTGGGAGAAGATCAACGTCTAAGGAGACTACATAGAACCAAGGAGACATCATAAGGCATGTATTTATGGATGGAAGTGGATGCTTGTTTATGGAGGAGTTAACAGCAGTGAATAGGTGCTTAATGATACAGCTTTGTATAATATAGAGAAAATGATATGGAAATAATGGGACGTCAAATCAACTCCTATTTGTTGTCATTCAATCATCAACATCTCCTAATCCTCGAAATTCAATGACAATACTACTGATCTGATTCCAGTTGAAACTATTTACTGCTTTGGAGGTAAGAATCAGGATGGGAATTCTACTAACATTATGAAGAAGTTAATCTTCTATCCTAATACTACTACTGCTATTGCTTGGGAGACTGTTTAAACTGAAGGCAAACCACCTATGCCTTGTCATAACCATACCATGGAATTTATAAAAAAAATACAAGGCATCGTTATTTTAGGAGGATAAAGAGATTAAATAATAAATGGATGTCTGGAATCCAGTGAATGTTTTATTTTTTATCCCTCCATAAATCTATGGTAGTAAGTATTAATCGAAGGTAACAATGTACCAAGATGTGCTCATAACTCAGTATTACTTAGTTCAAAAATAGCTGTCTTTGGGGGAATAGGTAATGGCAGATACCTAGAACCTTTAATTAACTATATAGAAACAGATTAGACTCAGGTTTAAGCACGGGTTACAAAAGAACAGTTTACTAAGAGATAGAATCAATACCTATTGAAATCCTAAAAAAATAGTTTAGAAAAGATGGAGTCGCTTACTTATTCTCCAAGACAATTTACTTCATTTCATAGTGAAGGGTATAAAGGATAGGGATTCAGATTTAACACAAAGCGTCTCTCTTGTATTGCTTAATCTACTCGATCATATTTACCTTAGAAAAGACAAGTGTTAGTCAGATATGATATATTAATAGGGTTCGTTAAACAAATTATCAAAGAGAACTTGGAAATCTTGAATAATTTTGATAAGTTTATGAACCAATAATCATTATAATGAATATATACTATAAACTCATCATTTTTTAGCAGCAGCTTCTTTAGCAGCAGCATCCTTAGCTTCTTTGGCTGCAGCTACTTCTTTTTACAATTCTTGATTTGCTTATTTGACTTTCTTTTTAAGAGACTTTTCCTTTCTCTTTTTTTAAGTCTTCTCCACGGTTACTTTTTTCTTTTAATACAACATTACTCCTTCCAATGTTTCCTCTCCTTCATCATCTGGTTTTCTATAGATCAATAAATCATCATCTTTTTTTGATCTTTAGAATTCAGCTTCTTCAAAGAATTTCTATTATATATAACAATGATATTCTTACATCATCTTCATCTCTGGCCAGAGTTGCAACATTCCAATGGATAAGTTTCTTGTATCTTTCATGCAATAGTATTCCTTATGGGAATGTATTTTATAAATCTCCCAATTTATACGGTCTGTATGTCTTAAGATTCTTAGCATCAACAAAGAATTTAGTTGGATAAGTGGCATTATATGAATTTATCCAAACTCCTTCAATATGTACATCATAATCAGTTCCCCTTACTAATGCTGCATTGGAGTTATTAGGTAATATAGCAATTGGTACGTACAATAGATTTGGTCTGCCTACTATGTATCTTCTCAGAGTAACTTTGAAAGGCCAACCACTTTCTATCAATTAAACTTATCAATGTTACTAGGATCTTTAATGATTTCACCCAGAGTGCAACGGATGTCTCCATCATGTCCAGGAATTCTGATATAAATGGGAGCTACATTTGCACAAATCCTTCTCTTTACTGCAGCCACTTAATAGTAATCTAAAACTATATCGATATCCTCGAATTCATCTCTCCCTTCAATCACAACTGCCACTTCATGTTGCTTCCATAGACCAATGATATGATCATCCAACGATCTAACTCTCTTAGCAGGTAAGACCACCTTGAAATATTTTATTGATGATAACTTTTTTAAAGTCTAACAAAAATTTGTCGGTATATGCTTTCTTAAAACCTTTGACCATCTGATCTAAAAGGACATCGTCGAGGTGTTTATGGTCATGTGGACCTTTGCTTGAGGTGAAAATGGGGACATTATATTAAGCTTAGGAGCAAAAAGCTCTGAATATTCTTCGCCCCAAAAACATTTTATTTAATTATGAGTTTAGACACTCTTAATGGAATTGAGTATTTAGGGGCACATTTAAAAGTATATTTAAATATTAAACTAGTTTAAAGTTCCTGGCTATCGGGAGAAGGCAGATGGTCAAATATATTATAGGATAGTGTTGTAATATACATTAGTTGAACCATTTAAGAAATCTGATCTTGAATACACATACGACAATTGCATCGCCTTGTGCAAAACATTGACTCTCCAATGTCCTGACTTGCCTCAATTGCCTGGGATAGGAATGTTTGGATTCAAGCCAAATACTTTGGACTCAGAGAAGAGAAGAGTAGATTTAGAAAAATGGTTGGGAGCCTTGATCTGGCGATGCGATGTTTTGGGAAGCGAGAGCTTTTATAATTTCTGTGAAGTAATTCTACTCAAACTATCAAATAGTTATCCCAATTGCTCAATAACAAATGGCTATTCCAACCAAAACCATCTTTGAAAATTCATTACGGCCATGCATTTCCAATCTCAGATTTCCATTATGAAATTGATACTCAATTACTATTTGTATTGACTACAGATGATTCCATTTCTAGTAAAATGCAAGGATTTATGGGTATCTTTGGTAAATCCCTAAAGCCATCATTTCATACATAATTAATCTGTTATAGATTGGATGTCAATAAAGAAGGCCAAGCTGTAGCACAAACCCTATGGACTGTGCAATATCAACACAGAGGCACAATGATTAGATGGGAAGAGAAATTGACTATTCTAGGTATTGGATTTGATGATGGTCACATTGTTTGTTTGAGAATCGCAACGAATAAATAATATTTAGAATATTCTGAATTTTGTACCATACATAAGCACACTCAATCAATCAATGGAATTGCATTCAATCATTTGACAGGCCATTGTTACAGCATTGGCAGAGATAAATGTATCATCACAACCGATCTCTAAAATCCAAGCAGTATTCTAAAAGGTACGACCATTGTCTTATAATAGAGAAGGAATTCACGAATGAGTTGACTTGCATGACTACCAATCAATATAGACTTTTTGTCGGTGACAACATTGGGAGTATATATATATTCTCCTTTGAAAATGGCCCTTTACATGCGATCCATTAGATAAAATAGGATGTCACTATGCATCTAACTTCAATTCAATATTGTCCCATTAAGAACTATTTAATTTGTGGTAGCAAGGAGGGGTATCTTAGTGTATTTGAAATTGGAAAACAAGGCAAAGAAAAGAATTCTAATCAAATCACCTTGCTTAAGACGCTCCCAAATAAAGTTGTTCAATTTTCTATTAGTACAAAGGAAATCTATGTGAATTATGGAAATTGCGTTGTTATTTTAGAATCTACCAATATGAAGTATCTTTATTCATTAGATGCTCATGATAAGGATATAACAAAAATATAATTGTTTGATTCAGTTGGCTTGCTGATGACTAGTGGGAAAGATAACTCTATTAAATTCTGGTAATATAAGTTTTTCCCTCATATTTTATTGAACAATGCCATCATACCTTATAGAAAAGAGCCTATAACTGAATAGAAGGTCTAAATTAGGTAGTAAGGAGGAGAAAAGAATAAGTAAGTTTAATAAGTGCAACAATAAATGAAACCTGAATTGGAAGACTTGGATCATTGGTAATGATGATTATTTATATGTTTTTCAGGTTATTTTCTAATATCATCTAATAGCATTTAAATATAAGTTTAATCTGCCTTCTGTAATTCTTGAATTTTGAATATTTGATCTCTCTGTATCATATCATTCTCAAACAGGCATTATGATTAAAATTAATTCACTCGATTTATCGTTCAAATTATACTTATAAAATTATTATAAATATGAGTTTTTTATAACCTAAGAATAAATTCTAAAAATAATTAGCTGACTATTTGAATGAAACTTCCTTCAAAAAAATCAAGGAATTCTCGGATATCAAAAAGAACAAAAAGCTACCTCTTCCAATCATCCAAGCTATCAAACAAACTCCGGATATTTTTTCATTACAAACTTAAGATGAAGTATAAATTAATTTAGATGACTTCAAATTTGAACCTTAAAATAAACAAAAAACTTGGCAAACTTAATTGATAGAGGCATAATTAAAGGCATAGCCCATTTATCACTAAATTTATGGATATTGCTTAGTTTAGTCTAAATTCGATTTACTAATGGAAAGACTATAACTTTTGAGAAAATCATTATTTAAAAAGAAAATGCCTAAAGATGATATCCACAAAATAGAAGAATTCATGCCATTCTATATCCTTAGAAGAATGGCCATGTAATTACCAACTGATATATATGATATGAATTCTTTTTGCCAAGATCGTTCAATTGCTGAGGCCTTTCTGAAAGAAATTAAATACTTTTTGAAATAGGTACAATTATTATTCACTAACAAATCTAGCAAAACATAGATAAAAGTTTGATCTTTTATCATCCAAAAATGTATGAATAAAGTGACGATTAATTAGAATATTTACTCGCAGAATTTATGGAATTAGACAAATAAATATTAAGCGGATATGAGGAATAAATAAAAGTACATCCTTCGAAGTAATTAAAATGCTGATTTAAATTATAATTTCATTCTAAATTAAATTAATTATTAATTTATTAATAAATAGTCAGCTCCTACTGCAGTTAATTGTTTCTAGCTTTACAATCTTCTATTTATTTCAACAGATTCTTGCATAGTTACATATTTTCATTGTTTAATTAAGATTTTTGTTGTAATTATACAGTATTATCAGTTTAAGTTAACTAATTTTCTTTCACCTTCCCAATGCGTCCCTCATGTTTGAAAAGCTTAAGGATTACTTTAGCTGATGAGAATTTAATATTATTCTTCTTTGCTGCTTGTTTTATTGATAGGCCCTCAATTAAAATGTCAACAAGAAGTGATATCCTTTAACCAGTATTAATACATTAATATTTCCTATTGTTGAAGCCAACTTTACATTTATTCATTATTTTAAATATTATTTTTATTTCCCCTATGATTTGCCCCGTTATATCGTCACATTAATGGGGGGATGAAGAAATTAATTTCTTTGTATTTTAATGAAATCTGTAAGTTTATAATTAGATATGTAAATATAAATATCGTGTTTTAAAATATGATAATATATACAAAATGTTGAAAGCATGCTCATTTTTAATTAAGTCTTCTTGCCAAATGAAAACTAATACGCATCCATAATTTGTGGGTGGCTATTAATTTGTAACAATTCAAAAGTTTTAAATATAGATTTATATGAAGGATAGAGGTTGAAAGCAAGAGTAAGGCTGTATTTAGCATATATTAAAAAAAATTTATCCTCCTAAAGATAAAAGTTTATCATTAACTTTAAATAAGACATAATTTACAAGAGGACATAAGACTCTATATCTAACAATTGTTTTAAAATTTTATACATTATTTTATTTTATTTTATTGGAAAAGGGATCATTGATAATCAATAAATAAGCATTCTTTTCTGGAGAACATCCATGATATTACAATATTTTTTTTTTTAAATATAAAAATTAAAATAAGATAAAAGGCATTTTAATATTTAAAATAATAGTAATTATTTATTGGCTATCTAGGTTTATAATTTTCTTTAATCAAAGCCAAAGCAAAATCAGTGTTTTATTGATAAACTCTCCTTTGAGAGGTGGCGAAAATTATAAAGTTTATATTCAAAATCTTTACTTAAATTGTATAATATAACATCATAATATAAATATTCATCTTTAATATATTGTATTTAATAAATATTATAAAATCATTAGTGATAAAAAGAATTGAAAACCAAGATCAATATAAACAATAAGAATAATTATGAGTAATTTAATGAATCAGAATAAGATATTTATCTCATTATGGCTCTTGTTACATAGCGTCAGGAGATGGATTTATCATTCTGAATAATTAGTTGACAGGGATTTGATTGTTAATTTCAAAGTAGGAATCAGGTTCAAATTCAATTGTGGGTTCTTGGGCAACTTGAATTGATCTTCTTGTATTTTTTGGTGCCTATTTTGAAATTCAAAATTTTCAAACTTAATTAATAATCTGTGCTTGTTATTACTGTGACCAGGGGAACATTTCCTTCTTCTATTGCATTTAGCTCTTCTTTTAGTCCTCTTGTCTTCTCTTAAAATCTTCGTATTCTTGGTAATCGTCTTCTGGTTTCAAAGTTATTGTTGTTGGTTTGCGTATAATCATTAAATTTAAATAATGAAATTTCGATTTTCTTCAATGAGTATTGCATAATTCCAAGAACGATAGAGAATAGGATGGAGCAGAACCAGAAAATGGATGTTTTATGCAGGATTAGCCCTGATTGGAGTGGAAATATAAGGAAACTATTGGAACACTGATATTCTGTATACATTCAATTAAACTCCTAAAAACTTGTAAATCATTTAAAATTGCACAAGTTTAAGATAGGTAGGGGGTAACATTAATTTATATAGGGCGTTTATAAACCAACAATTTATTTGTAGACAGCTTTCCTTTAGAGTTTGTATGGAAGCAAATTTGATCCTGTACCATATGTGCCTATGACTCGTGTGGAAGTACCCGTAGAAAATGGATTAATTACTATAGATTCTCTGCCTGTGAATCAAAAGTTTCTCAGATCTGATAAAAGCGAGAACCCAAAATAAAAAACCTTAATAATACTACATGGATTGACTGGCGCTAGTGAATGTAATTACATTAGACATACAGTATTAAATGCGAATCGCAAAGGATTTAGAGTTTACTGTATCAATATGCGAGGGTATGCAAATTCAAGAATGCTATCTGCATAGCCTACTGACTTTTCTAAATTGGATGATTTATTGGCTGGAGTAAATTATATTAAATCCTAAAATCCAGATGCTCCTTTGTATATGTTAGGATTTTCGATGGGTTCTTTGCAACTGGTGAAATTTCTAGCAAAATATAAGGATGTCATCAAAGGAGCAGTAGCAATCAGTTGTCCATGGGATATTTAAACTTTAGCTTAGGAAATCAAGAAGCCAACGAAGTTTATTTACAATATGGCTATCACTAAAAATTTCATCAGGAATATGAAGTGGAATATTGATGTTTATAAAAAGTCAGGCATTGATGTAGGTATATAGAATTGTAGAAATTTATCATCTAGATTAGGCTTAGAAATGTTATAGAACTGAAGACTTTGATGAAATAGTGACCAAAAAATTGTTGGGCTATGAAAGCATCTAAGATTTATACACGAAAATCAATTGTGTCAAAGAAATCGAATAGATTGAAGTACCTACTTTATTTGTATCATCAATGGATGATCCAGTCATTCAATCATAGTATATTCCTAAGGATGCAATTTTAAGCAATAACAATCTGATCTTAGCTTTAACTAAGAAGGGAGGTCATATTGAATGGTTCACTGGATTTAAAGCGGTTAGAGTAAGGATATTGTGATATATTTAGTGGATAAACAAGCCAGCTATAGAATTTTTAAATTATCTGGATAGTTTAAATGATAAAAATATTAGTCATTATTGATAATCATTCAAAATTTCAAGGCTTTTAACTTCTTAAACTAACTCTTCTTATTGATTGCTTTCCAAATAGGCAATATCATTAGCATTATCTTCATCTTATGGTTTAGAACTTAGCATATCCTCTTCATTAACTTCCTAAATCTGATTCTCTTGTTGATATTTTGAAGTCAATTTCTCTTGAGGGTTGCTACTTATTATTTCAAATTATTTATCTTCTTCATCAGCAGGGAAAAATTAATTAATTAAGACTTCATCATTTGGATTAAAATTCTCAATGACCTATTAATTACTCTATTACTCATTCAGATCTCTAATAAAGCTATCCTATTATTAGACTTCATTTGAACTTTTATGATGTGATTATCTTGAAAAAGGATTAGTGATAAAGTCTATAGATACTCTCATGCTTTATGAATTCTGTTCACTATTATTAGTTACATTGTTATTTGACAAATTATTTTAGAATATCTTTAATAAAATAATTGAGATACTTCTAATAGAAAATATGATGTTGTCTATTAATCCCAATTAAAATTCATGGCCTAAATAAATTTGATAATATCGTCTCTTCCAACTTTTTTGTATTTGTATTGAATCCAATACTATCGTACACGATCTTTTTTAGATTAAAGAGACTATACGCTACTTATTGGAATACCTTATTGATTAATTATTGTGCCTACTATTCATCCAAACCTTCTAAGGATTGATAACTTAATTAAGTGATGAATTGTTAAGATAATGACTATGTTCCCGTTAGTTTATCTACCACTTATTAAGATTCAGTTTCACTCAAATAAAATGGGTCTCTACATCAAATAAATTTGATATTCTTACATCTACAACATTTAACCAAACTCTTGTTTGTTTTTTGCTTACTTTAATACTTCAATTGCCTTGTTATATTGATTCATTGTGACTCTTTTTTAATGTAATTTCAATATAACAATGTCTTTTGGGAATTTTAAAGGACTGTCTTTAGGTTGAGTATTGTTGTGTACTCCTTTGATAGATTGATAGAGCAGATGCAAATTGTCATACTTCAATTAAATTTATTGTTATTTTTAGTTTATTTGTTATTATTTAATTGATGAGTTTTTTAATTGGATTTTCAATTCTTTTATGATTTATTCTTTTTTACTAATGATCTCGAATTACTCATTGTTTTATTATTATAATTTAAACATTTGTTCATGACAAATATCTAATTGAGATTCTAATTGTTACACTTATTCTAATTTGCTTTGTTGATACTAAATCTGGTCTTAGGCCATCTATAACATATGCTTCATCATTAAAGTTTATTCAAAATAAACTTTTTTTTCAATCTATGATTTATTGGGTATAATTACTTCCAATTCTTATAATTTGCAAACTTTGCTATTTCTCTTCAATATTTCTAACTCTTTCATCTTATCTTCCAATTCTTAGCTTTTATCCTTAACTTACTTTCGTAGTGAAATAATCTAAAGATCTTAATTATTCGATTTCTTTTGAGTAGTTAAATCTTCTATTAAGTTTTCATATTTTAAGAATTCTCTCTAAACTATATGCAATCAAACATACTTCATTATGTTATACTTTGGTTTTTAGCCTTGTGTTTTCGTCTTTGAGATTGTTCACTTATTGTTTTGATTGTTACAAATCTTAAAATAACTATTCATATGAATTTGGACGCTTTGACTCATCATGAGCCAAAAATGATAACATATTCTTCTAACTTAAAGGAATAATAAAGGTTCAATTACCTCAATGGCATAGATGTAGAGACTTGGGAAACATCAAAGTTTTATGGGTTTCTTTTACTGCTATTATTCATCTTCCCAAGTCCAGATGTCTAGAGTTTGAGAATTCTGAATGATTGATTTTTACTAAGTTCTTCAATGGTATTTATAGTTTATTTTGATTTACGATTTTCAGAAGTATAAGATTGATATTCATTCATTATTTGGGTGTCTGATTATGAAATTTTGATTTATAAAATAATAATAATCAAAAACATATATTTGCGATTGAATGAGCCATTATAGATTCTTCCAATAAATCTCAGCTTTCTTCATAAATTTTAATCTCCATTCTTTCGATGCATAGATAACTTACTTTCATTTATTAGCTTATTTTAATATTCTTCATTCTCGATATTCTTAGTAACATCTAAGATCTAATGAGAAGTCAAGATTGCAACTAAGTATTAAAAGTATCATAATTATCTATCTATTGAATTTAATAAGAGAACTTTATTATAAGGTTTTTCAGGTAGATGTTGTAACTATAGTAGTAAATTTATTACACTACGTAGGATGTTGTTTAAGCAATAAGATAATTGATTTGTCAATAATACAACAACAACTGAAACAACTGAATTCATTAATTTTATTTCATGGTTAAAATAATCTGCAATTATAAAATTTTAATAGAAGATTACTTAAAATAAATTTTAAATCATTGATTAATTCAATATTAATAATCTTTTAAACTTTATTTATAAGTGAAAAATACACAAAATATATCAATCAATTATTGCCTAGTTAAAGGATTTTTGTATATCTTATTATTTATATATTAATCCTCATTAAACTTGTAAATCATCATCTATTTATAAATATTGAAATTTGATAAATCAATTAAGAGAATTAATTTAATAACATAATAATAATGAAAATTTAATATTTTCATTTTTCATCTTCTTCTATAATAGGTTCACCTTATTAAAATTTTTTCTTAACTTGATCCATAGAGGGACTTTAAGTAGGATCAATATGATCAAATTCTGTAGTATTAAATTTCTATATAATTTTCTATTGGTGTTATTAAATTGGCTTATAGGTGGTCTCTTATGTAATAAAGGATCCTTTATTTTCAATTCTATCTTAAGGACTTCCTTTTAGATTTTCATTTTAAAATTCAGTAGTGAAGGCTTTTCCGCATGTAGAAAACATTTGCTTTTTCTGAAAGGCTGTTAACTTAGCAGGTCCTTGAATACCGGTTTCTTGATAGCAAGGAAGAAAGAATGGATCTTATAAACATTGAGTAGCTGTTATTCTTTGAGTTGGTTCCTTTTCTAACATTTTCTGAATTAGGTTCTTGATTTTATGAAAAAACAAATACAGTAATGAAAGGATCAATTTTTTTGATTTGTAAAGGAGTTAAATCAATTTTACACTGCTTATTTAATTTCAAAACTAAATTGAATCCTACTCCTGGAAAAAGATCTTATCCTGTTAATCTTAAATTTAAGATAGAACTTACAATTTAAAAAATATCACACCAGCACTAAAAATATCACAAACCTTATCGTATTTAAAAGTTTTGTCAGTAAGATTGGCTATCTCTGGAGCAACATATCCAGGCGTTCCACATTTAGGAAACAAATATCTGATTAATTATTGTATTTGATACTTATTTACATTACAGTATGTGGCTAAGCCAAAATCAACAATTTTAAGAGAATTCAAATCGTCCTTTCTGAGTAGCATAATGTTTTCAGGTTTTAAATCTCTATGCATAATTTATTTTTCATGCATATATTCAATACCAGTCAGAATTTACTTTATATATACATTTATGCTATTACCCACATAATGGTCCTTACTATATCTTCTGAGAATCCATTCTTATGGTTATTTAATTCTTCATGCAAGCTCTTCCCTTCCAATAAATCCATAACCATATAGAATGTGTTATCTCCTTCGTAGACTGCATGTAATTTGATAAAGGAAGGATGATCTAGATCATTATTTATAGCTATCTCTTAAAACATAGATTCCTATTTTATGTTTAAACTAATACGATTCCATTTTCTGTTTCATTAACATAAGATTTGTCAACGCATTTTGCAGCATAATAATTTTCTGTATTCTTGTGTCTCACCAATAAGACTCTAGATGAGGCTCCTTTGCCCAAGGTTTGAAGAGGAGTGTAAAAGTCTTGAATTCTTTAAAAGATGATCTTATTTCTCAAATGTTCTTTCAAAGTAGCCAGGGTTTTTTCATCTCCGCAAAAAGTAGTTATTTTGGCCACATGGTTTTCGTTTATTTATTTAACCTATGAAAAATATTAGAATGTATTTGAGCACTTATTGAAATTTGAATGAGACTATTTTGTAATGCTTTTTCCCTTCTTGATTGTCCTCTTCGACTTCCCACTTTATATGGGTTTATAGCTAAATCGGCAAAGAATATTTGAAATTTGGTTGGTTATCCTAAAATATCAACTTCTTCAACTTATTATACCTTGCATAAATCCAATCTATCTTGCCTTACAAATCCTATGTATTTCTTGTTTCCATTTTTTCCCTTACGAAAGCATTCAAATTAATACACAACTGGTACTTCAATTTACATTGACAGATGATTATTTATTAGGTATTAAGTTAAAAAAAAATTTAAAATAAATGATATTATGTGAAACAAGAAGAAGACAAAGAAGAATGGCAGTTCATGCTGAAACCGAAGAAGAATATCTCCAAGTTTAAAATCTACTCTCTATATCTTATAGAAATTAACCAAATAAGATGAAAGCCGATAAAGACTCACGGAGCACCAATAGCCTTCTCCATAACTAGAAGGATTTATTATAAATCATGATTTTTCGTTCGATCCATTCGGTTCTGAGCCAATCTTCTTGCTTTAAAAGACCACTATTTATAAATCTCACTTTCTATTATTGATATGTGAGGATTTTTCTATGAACCTAAAGAGACTATAGTCTATTTTGGATTCCTGTAAGCTCAATCTGATTAAACTTAGCAGAGACTTCAGATAATCTAACAGATAGCACCACCGAAGAATAGACATAATCAAACAATATCATTTTAAAATAAGATTGTTATGTTCACACAATTACCTTTGGAAATGTAATCCATAAATTCCATATTTGGATACTCAATCACTTAAATCCCTTAGAAATTTTCAAAGGTTTAAATTATATTTAATTTAGAATTGTATTATCCTTTATTCAATGCATTCGTTGTTGTTGCTAATAAAGGAAATAATAACAAATAAATTTTATTTTAGGCAGAATTTACAAAAATGCTCTAATTTAATTAAGCAGTTTAATATCACACAATTTCGGACTCTGATGATGTAATTAATTTTTTTTATTAAAGTTAATATCGGAAAAATAAAATAGCTTATTAAACATATTGAAATCTTTAGTGGAATGAACATATGCCAGATAATATTTAAATGACCTACTTATTTATGTTATAATATTCTATATCTTATTCGATAAATTTGAATCGCTAAACTTTATTAATAATATTTCGAAAAGACCTTATAATATGAAATTTACATAAAAAATCAAAAAAATAATTTATTAAATTGCTCTTAACTTCCTAAAGAAAACTTTCGAAACAAAAATTATATCTGATAATTCAATATTCACAGAACGG